CCCCGAGCACACACGCACAGGAGGCGCATCGATCGCGAGCGTGTATTCGGCCAGCACGCCGTCGACGTCTGCGGCGTTCTTGGGCTCGAAGAAGACCTGGGGCCGAGCCAATGAGATGCAACGTGAGTTTCCGACCGCATCACACTTTGATTGCCCCCCAGCTCCATCAAGCACACAGGCCCGCACCTTCTTCTTGCTGCCGAGGCGCGCCAGGGCGCCCGACGCCTGCCAGCGCGCCGCCGCGCCGGCGAGAAAGGCGTACGAGGGCAGAAAGACGACGATGCCGTGCGGCACGACGTTGGCCAAGTTGACGAGGCACGTGGCCAGCTCGTCGAGCTGCGCGCGTTGTTGCGCGCCAAGGAGGCCTGGTATCAGCTGCAACTCGTCCGAGAGGCGCCAAGTGGCATTGGCTCGATCCCATTCACCAAGGCACTGTCGTCGCGATTGCCGAACTTGAACTCAAAGGGCACGCCCTTGGGCCCTGCCTGCACCACCGTCGCGAGCAGATTCGACGGCGGGATGATGTGGCCGCAGCTGAATGTCGCAAAGCGCTGCTCTAAGCCCGGCAAGAGCTGCCTGCGGAAGTCCGAAATCTGCGTGGCCTCGTCATCAGCGGCGAGGAGGAAGAATCTGGCGGCGGCTCGGCGGGCAAAGGCTCACCGGCTCCATCGTGCCGCCGGCCAGAATGACGGCCCGTGCTTCGTCGACAATCGGCCGGAAGGCCTCAGAGGGGTTCAGCAGCTGATACTTGAGCGAGACGAGCGGCGTCTCATCGTCTATGCCAGCCGGTGCCGGCAACGCGGCCGTCGGCGGCCGTGCATACTTGTTTTTCGCCACCGCCAAAGGTGCTGGTTTGGGCGGCGGCGTCTCCAGACTCAGGAGCACGCGGCCATCGTCGGTGCGATTGGCGAGCGAGAGGATGAAGGCCTCGATGGCGTGCATGGCAGAGATGGCACTGGGCGTGAAGCGCGCCTCCGCATCGTCGCCTCCCTCGGCCAGCTGGCGCTCTCGCGCCTCGCGCGCTTGGCGCTTGTCGGCATAGCCGCTGACCTGTTGGTAGGCGTGAGCGCAGAACAGAGAGAGAGAGAGGGGGGGAGAGAGAGACGAGGGCCGACGCACCTTGCGTGCAATCTGGCTGTCTTTGAGGTAGCGCTCCAGCTTCACGAGCTGACACCGGGCCGAGGGCGTCAGCCTGGCGCCAAGGTGCGCGATGCATAGACATTCACGTTGATCTGGTCGAGCGTGCCGCCCATCTCCTTGATCAGCCGGGCGGCCGTCAAGATCTCCTCTGCCGCCCTGCCTTTGCCCTTGCCACTGCTCTGCGTCGCGGCATGCTTCGCGGCCCACTTCTTCGAGAACGTCGCGAGGCCGTCGAGAATCTGCAGCAGCAGGCGCAGGTTCACCTCGTTGCTGCCCTTGAGGCGCCCCGAGAAGCGCCGCAGGTACTCCTGGATCTGCTCGCGCGCCTGCGCGACCTGGCGCGAGGTGATGCCGAGGCTGTGGACCGAGAGGATGGTGTCGATGAGATTGTGCGCCTCGTCGACAATCACAATGCTGCCCGCCAGACTGATGTTGAGACTCTCCCGCGCGGAAGGCTGCAGCAGAAGATTGTACGGCAGCGTGACGAGCTGCGCCTGCACGTCAGCCGCAGGTGAGTGACATCGGAGCAAGCGGACGCACTGACCTCGGCTTGCCGAGCACTCGTGCGTGCGGCATAGTACGGGCAGGTGTGCAGCTCGCGCCCCAAGGCAACCAGATCTTCCATGTCCTGCACTTGTGCCTGATCTTGCTGCGTGAGCGTGGCCGCTCAATGCCGGTGCACCGCTTCACGTACCAGTGCGCGGTCGCGATAGTCGAGCATCTGCGCTTTCCCCGCATCGTCCTGCTTGGGCAAGTACTCGCAGCGCTTCTTGCCCTTGTCTGAGGTACCAAACGGTCAGCTCGCTACGGGCGCGCTGCAGCCACACGGCTCGACGCACCTCCGCCCTTGGCCAGCTCTCTGCAGCGTTCATTCATCGCCTCTGCGCCTGCACGCGCGGCGACGCGCTGCACCTCGCTGTTGATGCACATCTGCTTCCTGCTGCCGAGGCTGATGCTTCTCGCCGGCTCGTCGTGCGCGCCAGCTGCTCCATCGACGATGTGCAGTGTCTTTCCGAAGCGCGTCTTGCGCAGCTCGGCGACGAACTGCGCCAGCTGGCTGTGCGTGCGGCTGACGTAGAAGATGCGCGGCGTCGTCTCGGGCTCTTCATCCTCGCCCTCGGCGCCGGGACCCCAGCGCATGCGCGCGCGAGGCGCTCCCGCATTCGTCACGCGCGCCTCGAACTCGGCCATCAGGGCGCGCACCTCGGCGGAGAGAAAGGCAGAGTCGTCTGCCGGCGCGGTGCGCATGCGAGAAGGCCCGCCCTCGGAGTCGGAGTAGTCAGAGGCCAGAAAGGCGTCCGAGTCGCCGTCGTCGTCGCCCGTGCGCTCGCTGCGCTGAGAGCAAGGGCGCGAGCCGTCAACACGTCCGCCCACATATCCTTGGCCCCACTCACAGCCTTCTTCTTCCAGCTGCCCTCGCTCTTCTTGGCCTGCGCCGCCGCACGTTTCTTCTCGCGCGCCTGCGCCTCGCGAGCGCGGGCAATGCGCTCCTTGAGCTCCGTCTCGTAGCGCAGCAGCGCCTGTCTGCGCTTCTCATTGTCGTGCGCGACGACCCAGTCGGGCTCTGCACGGGGCAGTGTCAGGCGAGAGCAGCATGACACGGCCTGTCATGTGCTCACCCTCTGCATCTGCCGCGCCAGACGCCAGGCCCTCGCTTGCGCGGGCCTTGTTGAGCCGCAGCCAGGAGAAGGCAGCACAGATGAGGCTGAGCGACTTGCCCTGGCGCCGAGTGTCAGCCAGGACGCACGCCCTCTGCCCATCGTCTGCCCGCGCTCACCGTGCCCGTGGGACTCTCAAATACGCCCACCTGTCCGGCCTCGATGGCGCGGAAGATGGCGCGCATGAGGTCGATCTGCATCGGATAGGCGGCCGCGTAGGGGAAGGCGAAGGCGGCCGAGGCCAGCTGCTGCGCCTCGAGCCCTGCATCGCCCGTCGAGGTGCCAAAGAGCGGCAGCATGCCAGACGAGGCATCGAGAGCGGACGGCACGCCCGGCGTCGGCAGCCGCAGCGTGGAGCCTGATGGCACTGCCATGCTGGCCTTCTGATGCCGCTGTGGGTGTATCTGCGCTGCCGCCGCTGCGCGTGTGCAAGCTGCGCGTCTTGCTGGCGTCGATGTGGGAGTGGGAGAGGAGGCCACGCGAGCCCAACACTGTTGTGCCTGCTGGCGCGCGTGTTGCGCCTCACGCCTCACGCGTCGCGCGCAGAGTGGAGGCGGGGCAGAGCGCCGCTCTCGCCTCGCCTTGTCAGCGGCCCACCACCTCGCTGGCCGACGCTGCGGCCTGGCAAGGCTCTTCCAGCTCGCAGCCATGGCGCCCGAGAAGGCCACGCACACCGCGCTCCGCGCCGCGCTGCAGCACTACCCCGCCGTGCTGGCAGCCAAGGCGGCGCTGAGCCGCAAGCGCGGCTACGACCTCGAGGCGCTCGAGACATGGTACCGCAGCGACTTGGCGCCGGCGCTGCAGCAGCGCGGCAAGCAGGGCACGGCGCACGTCACAAAGGAGGAGCTGCAGCAGCTGATGCAGTGGAAGCTCGCGGTGCGTGTGTGCTGCCTCGCCTGCCCTGTGCACTAGCGCTGACCTCGCTCGGTGCGCAGCGCGGCACCTGGCGCCCGCGCCTCGAGGACCTCATCGCCTCCAATGCGGCCGACGAGGTGCGCAGAGTGTCGGAGCATGCCTTTGCGCTGCATCAGTCGCATCTCAAGCACAACAAGCAGCAGCAGCTGCAGCCGCGCGAGATCAAGGCGGTGCTCGAGGCCTGGAAGCCGCTCAAGGGCGTCGGCGCCGCCACCGCCACGGCCCTCATGGCGGCGTACGCGCCGCGGCACTTTGCGTTTATGAGCGACGAAGGCCTCACCTGCATGGGCCTCGAGCACAAGTACACGTTCCCGCACGCCCAGACATACAGCTCCGCCATGCTGAGCCGCGTCGCAGACACGCAGCTGGGGCTCGAGGAGCTCGAGCGCGCCGCGTACGCCCTCGTCGCGGGGCGCAAGCTCGCGCCAGACGTCGTGGCTGCGCCGGCACCCGAGGCGAAGGACGCACTCGTGAAGGAGCAGACGACGGCATCGCAAGACGTCAAGGCCAAGGCGAGCAGCACAGCAGGCGGCGCAGCGAAGCACGGCGGCTCGAGCGAGAGCAAGGCAGGCGCAGACAAGCGGCACGCTCAGAAGCGCAAGGCGCCGCCATCGTCCGAGGGCGCCGAAGCGAGCGCAGAGGCAGAGCCGCGCCGACGATCGGCACGTCTGCGGTAGCAGCAGCATTCCACCAGAGCAGCACGGGAGGGGCAGATGTAAATGATCAGTGACGCAGGCTCGGGCATAGCGAGCGAGCAGGGCAAGGCGATATATAGGACAGGATGGAGTGTGGGGCCACGACGGCGGAGCAGAACGTGCTTTTGTGGGGCATTTGTGCGAGAGCGAAGAGGGAGCAGAGTGTGGGAGAGGGGGAATGCTGGATGCTGCGGAGCGTATGGCTCTGAGATAAGCAGAGCAAAGGTCTTGAGGATGAGAGGGGGGGCCAAGGAGTGTGGTGTGTGTGTGCGTGCGTCTATGCGTGCGTGCCCGCTCAGATGTCGCTCGCCTCGACGCGCTGCATGTGTGCGTGTTCCTCGCGCAGCATCTCGTCGAAGGCGCTCGAGGGCGCCGGCGTGCTGGACTCGGAGGCGCGGCCACTGCTGCCGCGGCCGGCATCGCGCATCGAGCGCCGCTGCGCCTCGGCCAGGTCGGCCTCCTCGGCCTGCCGCGCGCGCTCCTCCTCCGGATCGGCCTGGCCCTGGACGCGACGGCGGCGGCGGCGGCGCGGGAGGGTGATGAACTTGGGCACTGAGGAGGAGGCGCGGTGAGCGAGGGAAAGTATGAGAGCAGAGCGAAAGGCAACTCACTGGCGCGCTTCTCCAAGTCAAGCGCCACGTTGGTGCTGGCCTGCAGAGCCTCGATCCAGTCGACGACGTGGCGGTCATTGCGCGTCTGGAGCAGGAACTGCTCGCCCTCGAGGCGCACGCGCACCACATGGCGGCGCTTGAGGTAGTCGGCGGCCAGGCCCGACTCGGCGCCCTGCAGCGTGTAGTTGCGCGCCGGCGTCGGCGGTGCACCGCCGCTGCCCAGGTGGCGCGCCTCGCTCGAGGAGTGCACGATCTGCGCCACGACGGCCTTGGGCGTGATGCCGTTGGCCAGCACACTGCCGCCACTGCTGGAGCTGCTCGGCGCCACAGCCGGGCCGTCCTTGGTCTGCACGGGCGTGGCGGCGTTCATGGGCTCGAGATGCACGTGCGTGCCGCTCATGCTGCCCCAGACGCCCTTGCTCGGCAGCGCCGAGCCCGAGAGGTCGTTCTTGTACACGCGCAGACTGGTGCCGTGCAGCACAAAGTAGAGGCGCCGCCAGCTGCGGTCCTTGGCCTGCACGCCGGGCGCCGAGAACTCCATCTTGCGCGGCAGGTAGCCCTCGATGTGCACGCCGCAGAAGTAGCCCGGCAGGCGCTCGCGGCCCTCCTCTTCGCGCGGGAAGATGACCTGCGGACCCTCGGGCCGGCGGTGGATGATCGAGTACGGCGGCGGCGCGGCGCCAACCTCGAACATGGAGCGCCGGCGCCGCATGTTCAGCGCCACGTCGGCGTCCTCCTTGCCGGCCGGAGACAGCAGAGCGCCGGCGCTCGGCTGCTGCGCGATGGGCGTGCGAGCTGGCGACTGCACGCGCGACGACGATGGCGAGAACTCGCGGCGCAGCGGGCCGGAGAGGTCGATGAGCGAGCGCGACTTTTGCTGATACAGGCCCGGGCGGTCGTGCGTTGCCGGCGGCTTCGTCACGGGCGGCAGCGGCGCAAGGCCCAGCCGCTCAGTGCCAGGCCGCAGCAGGTTCGGCGCCAGCATGGTCGTCGGCGACGAGGGGCTTAGCGGCTCGCCGCTGGCGCCGATGCGACCAATGGGCGCGCCAGAAGCAGAGGAGATGGTGCTGCTGCGCGACGGCGGCTTGATGTGCTTGAGCCCCGAGGCAGTGTGCGGCAGCGGCGGCGGCGGCATCGAGCCCGAGGGCCCTGCCAGTGCGCCAAAGACCTGCGCCGGCGAGCGCGTCGAGCGCAGACTGGCAGACGAAGGGGCGCGCGAGCGCGAGATCACGGAAGGCGACGGCGGCGGCATGTTTGCGTCTGGCGCGTGGCCCTGAGCCGTACGTGCCGGCGCAGGGCGGTGGTTGAAGTAGGACGGCTCGTGCTGCGCTTCGCCGGCGATCGGCGCCATGCGACGACCCGAGGGCGTCACTTGCGGCGAGAGCGTGTTGCGCGGCGTCTCAAAGGGCGTAGCCTCGGCGAAGCGCGCCCACGAGTCGCGGCCGACGGCCACGGGCGTGACGTCGGGCAGCTGTGGTGCTCCGGCGCGGAATGCAGGCGCAGGCGGCAGCTGGATGCCTACCGGCGGCAGAGCCCGCGGCGCTGTCGTAGCTGGGCCAGCAGCCGCCGCTCGGGCCTCGCGCTCCTCCTCCGAGCCACCAGTGCCGTCCGCCTCCTCGTCTGACTCCGTCTCCGTCTCTGTCTCCTGCGTATCAGCCGTCTCCTCGTCTCCCGTGTCCTCCTCGCTGTCGTCTCCAGCGCCCCCGCCATCCTGCGAGCCCCGTCTCTCCCGGTCGCTCGAGCCGCCGTGACCCTCTCCAGCATCGCCGTTGTTCTCGCGCTCGATGCGCATCGAGTCGAGACGCGGCAGCTGCGAGAGTCTGCCGACGGCTCGCGGACGCCGTGGCGGCTGGCTGCCGCCAGCTGCACCGCCGTTGCCTGATGCGCTCGAGCTGCGAGACGTGCCGCGCAGGCTGGGCGTCGGGGAGACGCCGATCGTGAGACCCAGCGACGAGGCCTGGCGGGCCGACGCCTCGGCGCGCGCCTGCTCCTGGTCGATGCCGAGCGCAGAGCTGCTCGAGGCGCCTGCGACAGGTACGATGGGCGCCGCTGCAGAAGCGGGAGCAGCCTGAACTGCATTTGATGCCTCAGGCGCCTTGCCGGCCGACTTTGCCTGCTCTGCCTGCTGCACACCGGGCGCCGCGACTGCAGCCACGGCCGCGAGGTTTGGCGCGCCGAGGTGGCATGAGGCAGACGTGCCGTCGGTAGCGACCGTTGCTGCCGAGCCGCGGTCCGACGGCGACGAGAGCGGCGAGGGTCGATCGGTCTCGAGCATCTCTGCCCAGGTGGCCGAGTAGGCCGGTGCGGGTCCTTGCGGCACGGCAGCCTGCGGCAGGCGCTCGCCGAGCGGACCGACGTCCTCGTGCGCGACAGCAGCGGCGCGTGACGACACCGGCTGGCCGAAGGCCGAGGCGAATGTCTGCGTCGCCTCTTGAGTCTCAGCAAGCGTGGGGGATGAGGAGGCGGGAGTGAAGCCGCCCATCGACGGACGCGAAGGGTTGGGAGAGGCGAAGGTGGAGGCTGAGGCCGAGGCCGGCGTGTTCGAGCCGCTCGCCCGGCCAATCGTCTTCTTGAAGAAGCTCTTGAAGCCGCTGCCGCGCGAGGTCTCGTCCTCATCTTCGTCGGCCTCGAGCGCCAGATTGTCGCGCGAGCGTCCAAAGCGGCTCGCGGTGCTTGTCCGACGCGAACGCTCGGCGCCGCCAACAGGCGCACGCAGCCCGCTCGGATCGCCGTTGGATGGTCGACGACTGCTGAGCATCGAGCCGGACGACTCTTGTGCACCAGCCGCTGCGGAGCCGCGCCGCGTGAAGAGCGAGAAGCTGGAGCGAGCCGAGCGATTCTGCGTTGAGGCTTCGCCTGCGTCGGCGGTGGGACGCGCGGGCGACGACATCACCTCCATGCCGTCGCCGATGCTATTCCGTGGCGCAATCTCCTCCAGCACGGCCGCTCTGCTCACGCGGCGCGAGCTGCCCGAGACGGGTGCGCGCGAGACGTCCATGCTGGCGCGGCCGGCTGCGGCCTCGAGGTGATCGTTGGATGGCCCAAGACCGAGTGCCTCGCTCGACGCAGACGCCCATCGCCGAAAGGCGCTGCTCGACGCACCGGTGCCGCTGCTGGCCGACACCTTGCGAGCACGTACCGGCGGCGGTGGCTCGTCGAAGACGACGCCCGACGGCCGGCGTGCAGCGAGCACCGACGAGGAGGAAGCAGGCTCCATGGCAGCCTGCGGCGGCATGCGAGACGGCGGCGGCACGGGCACAGCGGGCGAGGCGGCGCGCGGCGAGGGCGCGTCGTGTGCGTCAAAGTAGCTCTCCTCCTCTGCGGCGTCGTCGGCGGCGAGGCGCGCCGAGCTGCTGCGCACGGCGCCCGAGGCAGACGCAGCGACTGCTGCGGAGAAGGCGTCGAGGCGTGCGCTGCTGCTGCGCCGGCTGGCGGCGGCCGAGGAGGCCGGGTCGGGGTTGCGCTGCGTGGGCGTCGTGAGCGGCGGGCTCTGCTGCTGCTGCTGCTGCTCGGGCGAGCCGGAGCCGGCGGCGCGGGAGGTGGCGCGCGACGTGGAGAAGGACGAAGAGGGCGAGGTGCGCGGCGAGAGCGTGTGCGTGGGTGATGCTGATGCAGCGGTGCGTGATGCGGCTGCGAGGATGGAGAGGAGAGAGGAGGCCGATGTCAGCGGCCCGCTCAGCAACGCGGAGAAGGCGGGCGCGGCGTGCGGAGGCCGCCGGCCGCGCGCGGCGGTGCTGACGCCGCGCCGCGCTGCGCGCCTGCAGAGAGCAAGTTGCAGCAGGCAGGCCACGGCAGGCGGCATCACGGCCCTCGGCGGCGCGGGCACTGCACGGCGCATCTCAGGAGCGCGTCCGCGCCGCGGCGGCGCCGTCAAATTACGCTCGGCGCGCGCCGGCCGAGGGCGCGGCACATGGCCAGCGCGGCGCGCCGCGGCAGGCGGCAGGCGGGCAGAGCGAGCGATCGCCGACAGCGGCGGGCGGCGCACGCGGAGTTGCCCTCGCGGCGTGCGTGCGTGCCTGGGCGCGGCAACGGCGCACACTGGTGCAGTGCCTGCGGATGCACGAGCGCGTGATGGTGCAGCGAGGCGGCCCACGGCACCCGGGCACATCGCAGCGTGCAGCGGCGCCATGGGAACGGCATCGCCGCCGCCTCGCCGCGCTCCACGCCCAGCGGCGCAGAGGCCGACGCTTGGCTTGGCGCACGCCGGCGACGACGCCTCTGGTGCTGCTTCTCTGCAGCAGCATCGCACGCAGCGCAGGTGATGGGAAAAGTGCGTGCGAGCAGCGCAAGCCACGCAGGATCACCGCACATCGGCCCATCAAACGCATCGGCGGCGGCGAACGGCTTTGAAAGCGAGAGGCGCCGGCGCGAGACGATGCGGGGGTGGAGGGAAGATGGCGCGCGACGCGAACGAGAGCGAAAGCACGGACCCCAGTGGGCCGAGCGTGCTCGGCAACCTTGTCGCTCCTTTGCAAAAGCCTTGGGGAAGAGCAGATGCTGCACCCGCAATCTGCAATTGCAGGGTAGCCGCAAAGGCCACCCCCTGGGCGCAGGACTGCTGCCGCTGCCAGCCAACCAGGGAGAGAGCATCTTGGCGGTGAGGCCCTGACGCTCCATCACCCGATGACGACTATGCTCGCGCCCATGCATAATGCTGCGCCCATGTGTCGAGCCGCACAGGGTACGGCGTCCAACAGGGGTCGCAGTTCTGCTGGCCAGCATGAGGCGGCCTGCACAGCACGTGCCCGCCTGCTGCGCGCCGGGCCGAGCAGGGAGAGGTCGGTCGACCTCGCCTGCCTTTGGCATGTTGCGTACGCAGGCTCGGCTGAACGAGGAGCAAAGTGCCTGACCCGCATCGCAAAGCACAAGGTAGGGGGGGCGCAGTGCGCAGCACTTTTGACCCCCACACCCGCTTGCACACCTGCGTCGAGAGAGCGTCGTGCGGCGCTCTCCGTGCAGATATCCAAGCTGGCTGCCGGCACCCGTGGCCCGTCGTCCGCCCATCGCCAGCGGCACCTCTGACCACAGGATTCGCAGCAGCACTCCTTCCGCACCGGCGAGCCATAGCGGAGACGCGTCGAGACGGGGGACTCACTCGCAAAGGCAGCACTTGCGTTCATGCCCGGACTCTCGCGCCGCGGTCTTCGAGTCGGGCCTGCTCCGGGCGTAGTGGGAATCGGCATGGCAGGCGTGTCCGAGGCGCTGCCTTGTCTCGAGCTTCGGCCTCCGATGCCCGCAGATGCAGGGCCGCCCGGCTGTTCCGTCACGTAGTAGACGGCGCCGCCTCCCGCTCCCGACGCCGCGCCCGTGGCGCGCACGGCAGCGGCGGCGCCGCGTGCAAAGGCCGAGAAGCTGCCGCGCAGCGAGGCTGCCGGGCTGCGTGCGGCCGGACGCGTGGGTGGCGAGGAGGCGCTGGAGGAGCGCTGCGGCGTCTCCGAGTCGCTCTCCGTCTCGGGGTACGCGTAGGCGCCGTCGAGCGACGAGGAGCTGGCCTGCGTCTTTGACAGATGCGACAGCGTACGCAGCACCCGGCTGCGCTCGCGCGCGCCTTCGTAGTCGTGCATGATGGGCACGCGCACGTTGGTCGCACTGCTGCTGCCGGTCGAGGCGCCGCCGGCGCCGGAGGGAGCGTCGGGCGCGCCGGAGCCTTTGCGCGCCATGGGCGCCGACGTGGCCGAGGAGAGGGGCACGGACATTGCTGCCGCTGTTGGAGCGCGGGAGTGTGGCAAGCCAGGATCCGGAGAGGGGATGAGAGGAGTGAGAAGGAGGGAGTGGGTGAGATGTGAGAGGCGAGCGCGCGCCGGCGGCTTGCGAACTTGGAGCGGGCCGCTGCTGCTGCTGCTGCTGCTGCTGCTGACCCTCGCCGCGCTCCGCTCGGTCGATTGACAGGGCCGGCGCGCGCGGCACGCTCCTCTCGCAGCTCGCGCGCTCGCCTCTCACGCGGCCAGCCCGCGCCGGCGGACCGCTGATGGTGAGATCCGGGCTGCAACTTGCGCCCAAACAGCCGCACAGAGAGCGAGAGCTCTCGCGTGATGCGCACAACAGCTCAGCAGCACGCACTGACTGACAAGGCTCGGCTCCCACCACCAGCATCAGACGCCGACGGCCGCACCACGCAGCAGCAGCAGGGCGCGCTAAACCGCTGCCGCTGCCAGCCGCAGACTCCGCTGACGGCCTACCTTACGCGCGCGCTGCGGGCGTGCGGCTCGAGCTCTCTCTCTGCGCGCTGCCGATGCCGAAGGGCGGGCCAAAGCGTAACGCGGCTGCGGGCCGCCGGCACGGGCGAGAGGGGCGCCGCAGAAGGCGCTGCGCCAGGCCGCAGCGCCGGCATCCGGTCATCATGCTCCGGCATGCGGCACCGCTCATGATGCTCTTCGTGCGCCCCGACCCCAGCGGCGCGCTCGAGCTGGTGCAGGGCAGCGCTTGTGGAGCCCGCGTGATCGCACCCCCTCACATCTCGGCCCCGCGCCCATCGGGGCGGCCAGCGTGCAGCCTGCGGTATCTCCCCCTCGTGGGCCCCCTCGTGCGGTCATGCATCGTGTGCGCGGAGCCGGGCGAGCTCCGCCGTGCCAGAGGAGCAGGGATACAGGAGGCCAGGAGCAGGAGCAGGAGCAGCTCCCTGGCCCTGTCCCCTCCTGCTGGTGCTGGCCTTGAGCGCACTTTGTCTCAAAGTCAGATCTCGACGGCTTGATTGGCGAAGCCGTGAAGCCGGCCGCGGCAGTCAGCCGCAGCACCCAGGTGGAGGTGCACATCGGCCGTGCCCCTCCATGCAGGGCCCAGCTGCTCCTCCATCGGCTTCGCCGGCACCCCTTTTTCCCCTCCGACGCCGGCACAAGACGCCGGCATGCGGCCGGCGGGGGCACCATATCTCTCGCTCCTCTCGCTCTGCAGCACCGCAGCCGATGCTTGAGGCGTGTGGCGCTCCGGCGTTTCTGCTCGAGCCCGTCGGGCGCATCGGGCGCTGCCGAGATGGCGGTACGCGGCTCGCACGGCTGTTTGGCCGTTGCCTGCCAGCGCTGTGCGATCACCTCGCAGCTCTGCGCGCGGCATGGCGCGGCTACGCTGCGAGAGGTGCGCCATTCGATGCCTAGCTGAGCCTCGGCCGGATCGGCAACAGCACAGCGCAGCGCGACGACGAGGAGAGATCAGAGGGAGAGGCGGCACTCGGGCTGGAGTCGCGCGCCGCGCACGGCTCTTCTGGAGGCATCGCACTCAGACTCAGAGTGTGAGCCGCGATCTTCTTGCTCTCTCTCTGCCCTCACCTCGCTTGCAGCGCATCACGCCGCCGCCGCTGCTTCTGTCTCTCTCAGAGAGCAGGCCGCGCCACTCGCTGCAGCCTTCGCCATGAGCGCGCCCTCGCCCTTCCTGCTCTCCTTCGCCACGCCCTCTTGCCTCCCGCCAGTCGGCGCGCACCTGCTCGTGTCCAGCACCGCGCCCTCGCCTGCCCCTCTCTACGCCTCCCAGCTCGCCGCCGCCTTTCTCGCGCCCGCACGCAGCGCACCGCTCCAGCCGCCGTGCCGGCGCAGCGTCCTCTGGCTCGAGTGCGCCGGCAGGCCGCACGAGCATGTGCGGTGCATCGTCAGGCGTGCCGGCGGCGGCGGCCCCGCGACGCCGGCATTGGCAGTGCGCGATGCGACGGCAGCTGTGCTGGCGCGTGCTGCACCGTCCAGCTGCACTGCGCCCGCCGACGCAGCAGAGGCGCTCAGGCCGCTCAGCGCGCTGCTCGAGCTCGTGCGCACCGAGCTCGCGGCGGCAGCGGCGGCGGCGGCATCGCAGCGGCGGGAGGGAGAAGAGGCGCACCGGCTCGTGGTGCTGGATGACTTTAGCGTGCTTGCCTGGGCGCTCGAGCCACCTGCTCAGCCTGCAATGACCGCCAGTGAGGCGGTGCTGCAGAGCAAAGGTCTGGCGACGAGCGGCAGCAAGGGCAAAAGAAGAGAGGCGCCGCTTGATCCTTGGGCTGCTGCGCTCGCGCGCTGGCTCGAAGAGCTGCGCGTGGTCTGCGAAGGCGTGAGTCTATGAATCCCTCTCTGAGCTGCCCGAGCTTGGGCATGTGTCGCTGATGACGGACACGCCAATCAGCACGGCGCAGCGCTCCTCACGCATCTGCACGCCGAGCACACCAGTGTGCTTTCGCGCGCCGCAGCTCCAACGCGTCAGGGCGCGGGCGAAGGCTTCGACGCAGACGATGCAGGCGAGGAGGACCTGGATGTGTTCGACACGGAGCTGCCCGCCCAGGCAGCGCCTGTGGTGGTGTTGCAGCAAGACGAGGAGGGCGAGATCATCCAGCCGTGCGCCGAGGTGCAGAAGGCGAGACCGGAGGCGAGCCACGTCGAGGCGTTCGACGACTCGTTGCTGCGTGCGGCGCTGGGCACGGCAGACGTGTGGATTGAACAGCGCGCGTTGCGCAGCGGACAGGCAGACGATTGTCACGGCGAGGTGCGTTGCTCTCTTCCTGTGTCCTTCGGCGACTCTGAGCGAGGCCCTCTGCACATGGGACTGAATCATGTGCTATGCTGCGCCGCGGCGCACACACCAGATCTGCGTACATCGCCTCCTTCGGCCCTCCTCCGCCATGGACCTGCCCATCCCCCACCTGCCACTGCCGGGCTCCCACGATCCGTTCCGCGCACAACGCCGCGCCTGGCGTCTGGCCCACCCCTCCGCCACTGCTGGCGCTGCCGCAAATGGCAGCGGAGCATCGCATGCGCCCCTCCGTGCGCTTGCAGGGCTGGCACTCAGGGAAAGAGAGAAGGCACCGGCAAGCTTTGCGGTGCACAGCGAGGCGCGCGGACGGGCCGAGGCGGTGCTGTTTGAGGTCAAAGAGGGACGAACGAGGTGTGAAGTGAGGACGTGGAGGCGCGCAGGCGGCAATGCATGATGAAGAGACTAGACATTTCGTAGCGAGAGCGCTGAGAGGTGCAGTGAAGAAGAGGAGACGAGGGTGGAGGACTATAAGAGGCCTTGGAAAGCATGACGGGAAACCCAGAGCGGAGAAGTGTCGTGAGCACAAGCGAGGAAAGCCGGAGCAGTCGCCTGAGACGACCGAGCGGGGGGGGGGGGGGGGGAGAAAGATGAGAGAGAGAGAGAGAGAGAGAGGAGAGGCGAGCTGCGAGCAAGGCCCTGGCGAAGATGCGGGGCCGTCTAGAGGTCGATGGCAGCGAGCACGACGCCCTCTTTCGGGCTGAGCATTGCGTGTCCGCCATTCGCCACGACGACGGCGCCGACATAGCAGAGGCCATGCAGCACCGCTCCAAAGTCGCGCATCTCCTTGCGCTGCAGCGCAAGCACGACGCGCCTGGCGCGCAGGCGCTCGCATGCGTAGTCGAGCAGCGCCAGCACGTCGTCGCGCAGCGGCCCGTCGCGCAGCGTCGCGGGCAGCAGCACGTGCAGCGTGCGCTGCGTCGTGCCGGCGACGAGCAGTGCGCCGGTCCAGCCGACGCCGCAGACGAGCTCGATGCTGGCGTCTTGCGCCACGCCGAGCTCGTGAGGCGGCGGATTGGGCATCTCGGGGTAGAGAGCCGAGAGGAACTGCAGCGCAGAGGCGGTGGGATGATGACGGAGGAGATCGGCGGGCGACATCGTCGTAGGCGTAGGCTCGGGCGTCGCGGGCATGAGAATGCCGCGCGCCTCGGCCGCGGCGGTTGCGGCGGCCAATGCGGAGCTGGACGTTGGCGAGGGAGACTTGACGCAGATGGCCGAACTGCCAGGTGATGTTGGCGACGTGCTTGCACGCAGCAGCTGTGTCGAGGCAGAAGCAGACGAAGCATCTTGCGAAGGCGGCACGCGCTCCCGCGTCACTGCCACCGTGGCGGCTGCGGCGCGCAGGAGAGAAGCAGCGACGGCTGCACTGCTGCTGCTGCTGCCACTGCTGCCTGCAGAGCGCACAGAGTGACTACTGCTGCTACGGCGCGAGACGCGACTGCGCACCGAGCTGCTCGAGGCACTCAGCGTCGAGGTGGGCGAGATGGAGAGACGCCGAGTGGCGTCGCTCAGAGCCTCGAGCCCCGCAGCGACCGGCGGCCCAGCCCCGGCAGTGGCGCGCAGAGGAGGACTGCCGGGCGGCGTGGGCGGCGGCGAGAGCGGCAGCATGTCTGCGGCGCTGCGGCCGAAGAAAGGCACGGCGGCGGCGCGGGCGGGGAGGCCGCTGCTCATCGGCGCACCGCCGCTGCGGCTGTGCGACGAGGCGCGATGAGGCGACGTCGGCGAATCAGCGGCCAGGCCGATGATGGAGGAGGAGGAGGAGTGCGAGGTACAGGCGGTGGAGGCCGCATCAAGGGAGTCGGAGTGGGAGTGGAGCTGGTGGGACGGAGAAAAGGACGGCGCTTCCCCTCTCACAGGCGCGCGCCGACCGGGCGGAGAGCCCGGCATTTCTGGCGAGCAGAGGACGATGTGAGCACGCAGAATGGCAGGAGGCGAGAGAGGAGAGCAGCTGCGGCACACCATGCGTCCAAGGCCGAGTGAGGACGATGCCCTCGGGGCGTGCTCCGAAGCAGCAGTGAAGTGCTGGCTGTCTAGCGCCGTCTTTAAGGCCCAGCTCCGGCCTGCCTCGCTCTTCATCGCTTCTGACCTCCTCGCGGGGCGGCACAAGTACGCACCTGAGTTCAGCTCGCTAAAACCACCACCTCACCACGCCGCGCGGCGGAGCGCTCTGCTGGCGGGGCCGCACGTCGGCGACTCGCTCGGATGCAGCGCTGCCAGCGACGCGCACGACCCCATCCTCGCCGGAGGCAGCGCGGCCGCCGGCGGGGCCTGGACTGCAGGAGCGAAGGGGCAGATGTGTGAGCGAGGAGAGAGCAGAGCAGGGGCGCCGAGGCAAGGCAAGGCCGGCGCCCGGCCGCGCGACGCACTTAGGATTCATCACGCGCGACTGAGGCGAATGCGACGACATGGCGGCCCAACGTGGCGGCGTGTGAGTGCGACGAGTGGAGAGGGCGATGCGCAAGATGCGGCGTCGTGCGACGGGCGAAGAGCGGAGAGTGCGGGCTGGAGCGGTGGGGGGGGGCGGTGGTGGAGAAGCGCGAGGAAGCTGGCGGCCGCGCTGGCGGCGTCACCCGCTCCCGCCGGCCCGGCGTCTCGAGTCTGAGTCAAGCTGGCGGCCACGGCGAGATTGCCCCGCTCAGCGCCACCGCGCATGTGGGCGCGACGGCGACGATCCGCCGCCCGCGCCGGCGCCTCTTGCGTGCTCGGCGGGAAAAGGCGGCGTGGGAAATCCCACGTGACCGCGCACGGACGGGCCGTGGAGCACAAGGCCGAGTGCCGAGGCTCGGCTTCCAGGTCCTTCGAGGCACCTGCCCCTGCTCCGACGACTCCCTCCACCACCACCTCTCGCCCACACAATGAGCAACCCACACGTCTGTGCGTGCCTGCAGTCTCGGCACATCTTGCATGCCTGCGTTTGCTCATCTGCGCGCGCCCGCAGTCTTCGACCTGACCTTCGGCGCGCAGCCGGCCGCGCGCGCCGGCGCCAACCGCATCGTGTTCGAGCTGTATGCCGACCGCGTGCCGCGCACCGCCGAGAACTTCCGTGCGCTGTGCACGGGCGAGAAGGGCGCCAAGCTCACCTACAAGGGCAGCGCCTTCCACCGGTGAGCCTGGCGCGAGCAGAGCTGTGCCCGGCCATGATGGCTGACGATGTTGGGCGTCTTGCGCAGCATGTGAGCTCGTCTCCCACAGATGTCGCAAGGCAAGAGAGTGCGAGGCTGAACAGAAGCGCAGCATTCCCAAGTTCATGATCCAGGGCGGCGACTTCACACGCGGCGACGGCACGGGCGGCGAGAGCATCTACGGCGAGAAGGTGAGTGTTTGCCGGTGCTGCGGCTTCTGCCGCCCTCCACATCTTGTGCCTTGCTGATGCGCCCGTGGGCTGCGTGCAGTTCGAGGATGAGGATCTGACGGGGTGCGTTTGCTTGCCTCTTCCCATGCTTTCGCAGCTATCACTTACACACGCAGCAGCAAGCACGACACGCCCTTCCTTCTCTCCATGGCCAATGCCGGGCCGGGGACAAACGGCAGCCAGTTCTTCATCACCACCGTGCCCACGCCGCATCTGGACGGCAAGCACGTCGTGTTCGGCCGCGTCGTCGCCGGCAAGGGTGTGGTGCGGCGCGCCGAGGCGACGCCTACGAGTGGAGGGGACAAGCCGATTGAGCCCGTCGTCATCGAGGCATGTGGCGTGTGCGAGGGAGTGAGTCACACCTGCTTGAGGCTGTGCCGGCGCGGAGGCTGGCTGAATCTGGGATGCCACGTAGGGCGCTCCGTGGGGCATCGAGGCAGACGAGACGGACTCGTTCGAGGACTTTCCCGAAGATGCGTCCGAGAAGCTCGAGGAGGAGCCAAAGGAGGCACTGCGCATCGCCACTGCGCTGCGAGCGCTGGGCAACGAGCGCTTCGGCAAGGGACAGTGGAGTGGTGCGCTGGAGAGTGAGTTGGGAGAAGAAGAGGCGCTTCTTGGCGGGGCGACGAGCTGATCGAGAGGCTTGACGAACTTGCAGAGTGGCAAAAGGCGCTTCGCTACCTGAACGTGCACCCGGTCCTTCCGGCGCCGCACGATCTCGACGCCTCCTTCGTCGAGGCGTACGAGGCGCTGCGCACCGCGCTGGCCCTCAACAGCGCCCTGTGCGCGCTCAAGCTGCCGAAGCCCGACACGGCGCTGGCCCTCTCGAGCTGCTCGGGCGTCATTGCGCGCGTGCAGAAGCAGACGGACACGGACTGGGAGAAGGAGGCGGGCGAGCAGAAGAAGAAGGACCTGGCCAAGGCGTACTACCGGAGGGCACTGGCGCAGTGAGTTGAATGCGACTGCGGCGGGTCGCAACGGAGATGCTGATGTTGCTTGACCATGTCTTGCAGCTCGGCGAAGAAGGACGACGACGCGGCTGTGGCAGACCTGGACGAGGCGCTCAAGTACGCCCCAGAGTAAGTCGTCGCGCGACCCTTCGAATCGTCTCTGCGCTGCCAAGCTCACTTCTCACCCCCACTCTCCCGCAGAGACGGCGGCGTCAAGAAGGAGAAGGCGGCCATTGCGCAGCGCAAGGCGGCGCGGCTGGCGGCGCAGAAGAAGGCGTACAGCAAGATGTTTGCCTAGAGGCGCGCTGCACCAAGAGTGGCGATGCCGGAGGGGGAGCATAGAAGAGCAAAGAAGGCTGCGTGCTAGCATCTAACCTCACGCATGCAGCGGGAGCGTTGAGAGGGCATGTTGTACAACATTGAGCGTGCGTGCGAGCGAGGGGGGGTGAGAGACAAGCGCGAGGGAGGAGGCAGGTAGAAGTACAGGGATGCGAGGCAGGGTCAGAGGCCAGTCGTGGCAGCGACGGGCGGCAGCCGAGGCCTGGGGGTGGTTGCTGCTTTTGCTCAGCGCTGGTGCTGCATCGGCGGCGAGTAGTGCGGCGAAAAGTGTGCCGAGGCAGGCGAAGGGCCGGAGGGCGCGCCGTGGCCATAGCTCGGCTGCGGCTGCTGCTGCTGCTGCTGTTGCGGCGCGCCGTGGCTCGAGCCGGGCGGACCGTGGCTGGAGCCAGGCGGGCCATGGCTCGAGCCAGGCGGTCCTTGATGCTGGCCGTGCTGCTGATGCTGTGCATGCTGCTGGTGCTGCGGATGCTGATGTTGGTGCTGGTGCTGCACATGTTGCGGCTGCGACGGCCCGCCCGCGCTTTGCGAGGAGACGGAGGAGGCAGACGAGACGCCGGCGGGCACAAAGGACTCGAGAGCCTTCTCCCAGTCGTTGATGCCCCACTCCGACGGCGCTTGGCTGCCGGGCTCCATGAAGATGCTGCGCGGGGTCAGAAGCAGGCAGCGATCAGCCGGACAGCGCAATTCAAGAAGGGAGGCCCGTCTCGACCACGCACCCAGAGAAGACATCCTCGTCGAGAAGCGACGTGAGGCCCTGGCCCGCCAGGTTGCCTGCCAGCGGCGGCGTCTGACCCGGCATGCTGCTGCCGCGCCCACCTCCCAGGCCCGGCGCGTACGACGCCCATCCGCCGGCGCTCGGTCCACGTCCGCCCGTGCTGCTGGCGTTGCTGCCTCCCCACGGCGAGTGCGGCTGCCCATTGCCGCCGCCGAGGTACGCCGGCCCGCCCGCCGACAGCGGCTCGTCGCCGCCGCCGGTGCTGCGCGCAAAGCTGGTGCTATGCCGCTTGTGCGGCGGCTCAAAGGAGAGGCCGCCGGCGCTGGGCTCGCGCTGCAGCGCAGACAGAGACGTGGCGTGGCTGGACGTCGTGGCGTCGACCAGGACGCGCGAGACCTGTGCGAAGGAAGCGTGAGCAAGGCAAGCAGTGCGCAGAGTCGACGGCTTTCACTCACGAGTCGCTCGAACGGTCCCACATCCTCTGCGCCCGCTGCACCGCGCTTGCGCTTGCCCTTTGCCTTTGTCCCCGGCGCGCGGCGCAGCTCCAGCTCGGCATCGAGGAGGCCGCGCAGCAAATTGCCAGTGCTTTGGAAAGCAAATGCGTCAGCCGATGATGTGCCGCCCTCTGCAGCTCAGACACGCACTTCTTGGCGCCAGCAGACAAGTGCGAGGCGGTGGAGCAGATGTCGGCCATCTCTCGCACCGCACTGCGCTTCTCCTCGGCGGAGCGACTGTGCTGGTCGGACTCGTAGCACAGCGCGAGGAAGACGACGACGGCGGCGCCGAAGCCGTAGTAGACGTTGATCCAGACCTTGAGCAGCATCGGGCAGCATACTGCGCGCGGGGGTGGCAAGGGTCAGCGAGGTGCGCTGGTGAGCAGCAAGCGGCTAGGGAGCGCACCTTTGGCGTGGCGCAGAATCGTCAGGATCGCCTGCGAGGCATCGATGCAGCGGCGCGCAGAGAGGTTCGTCTGATCCTTGTTGTTCGTCAAGCCGCGAATGAGATGCGGGCGATGCAGGCGCAGCAGGCGGTTGTGCGCCGTGAGTTGGATCGAGAGCAGCTCCAAGTCTCGGTTGCTGTCGCCGTGCGACCACGAGTCGGGGTCGTCGATCTTGAGGTGGTAGTACTGCGGCAGACTGCTGAGCAGGCACGAGAGCTTCTTGTCCATGTCGAGCACTTGGTTGTACGTCGGGCCGCGCGGCTGGTTGTGCAGGTCGATCGTCTCGCGATAGAGCGCCAAGAAGCGCAGGCGCCAGATGGTGAAGCTCATCGTCGTGTACTCGTTGATGGGCTGCGGCACGACTGGGCCGTCGCCGAGCAGCGTCAGCGCCTCGTCGTTGATGTTCGGCGGCTCGGCGGTGAGGTTGTGCGCGGGGTGGATGGAGTATGCTCCGCCGTGGGCCAGCGCGTGCGAGTAGTCGAGCCAGCAGAGATGCCACCAGACGCGGCGCCCAATCTCGCGGTCGAGCGTGGCCTTGCCAGTGCCGCTCGTGCCCAGCGCTCGCGCTCGGCCCGCCGCAGCTGTGCGCGCATCGTCGAGGCGGTTCAAGCGCAGGTTTTGCGCCTGTGAGATGTGGGATGAGGGGACGCAGCGCAAGGCAGTCCGGCGCGGCAACTCACGATCTTGATCGACGCGCCCACAAGGGCATAGGCGGCGTCCGAGTCGTCGAGATTGTACGCATAGACGGACATCAAGATGACTGGCGGATCGTCTCAGCCAGGTGCTGCGAGAAGCAAGAGCAGCGCACTGACCGGACTGCAGATGCTCCACCTGATGTGAGCCGATAAAGTCACTGGCCCACAGCAGCTGCTGGCTGCCCGCGAACATCGCATCGCACAGCTGAGCAGCCTGAGGACGGTCCATGCCCCAGCTCCTCACATCCTCGGGTCCGCAGAGATGCAGTGCCAGGCACTGCACCATGAAGAAGACACAGAGAAACGCGGGACGCACGTCGCGCGCAGCTTGTTCGGGCGAGAGCTTGAGGACGCGCTCGGCTTCTTCTTCGAATGCGTGGCGGTGCAGACAGCGAGTGTACCAGTCGAGATGGTCGAACTGCGGCGCCGTTGTGAGCGATCGTAGACCAGCGCCAGAGGCTGGGCGACTCACGTAGTACGTCCACATCAGGCGCACTACGCCCGCCTCCGGACACAGCTGCAAGAAGCGGTACGCCACGTCGATGGCCGGATCTGCAGAGCGCTGCGAGACGGCACCCTCTGCGGGTCCGGCATCGCCCAGCACGGCGTCGAGGCTGGAGCGTACACGCGCGCATCAGCTAGCCCATCGCAGCGCGTGCAGAGAGTAGCGCGCGGAACTCACCCGGGGTTCTTTGCGCCATTGGCGCCCAGTCGAGCAGCCGCGTGCGTGGTGTTGATGCGATTGCCCATTGCGTAGCTATGCTTCCTCATCAGCCTTGCTCTGCTTCTTCCACGCAGTCAGACTCACTCTTCGAGCATCATGACGGCATCGTCATCTGCGCCCTCCCTTCTCGGCGCCTGTCCCGCCTGTTGTGCAGCCTGCAGCGCCGCATTGGCCGAGACGGCACCGCCGGGCGGCGGCAAGGCCAATGGCGGCCCGGAGCGCTCATACGTGTCCATGCGCTGCTCCAGCTCCTTGACGCGCGTCTGCAGCGTCTGGAACTCGGAGAGCCTGGGAGTATGTGTTGCTGCTGCGTCAGCCGCGAGGCCTGCCCCCACCTCTGACATGTCCTGCCATCGCGAGATACGCACGAACAGCCAGCCTCCCAGCGAATCACCTGCTTGCACCTCGCCTCGTCGTTGCGCAAGATGCAGGGCCCACAAGGACACTCTCGATCGCCTGAGGAGACGCGCGAGCAGTGTGAATAAGGAGCAGCGCAACGCTCAAGCAGAGCAGCCTGCTGCCGCTGGAGAGGAGAAGCCGAACGATCACACCACTCACACTTGATCTTCCTCCGCTTGCCTGGCAAGCGCAGACGCAGTCAGCTCATGCATGTTCCCTCTCGCGCGTGCTAGGCAGCTCACATTCGGTACAGCTCAGCATGCGTCCCTTGGGCTCGTCCTTGCCGCCCGGCGCCGGCGTGCCCCCGCCCGTGTCTCTCCTCTCATTGCCCGGCCTTCGCCCATTCTCGCCCGGCCCTCCTGGCGGCGTCACGCCGCTGGGCGACGCATTGGGCGACTGCGAGCCTTCGGCGCGTGTCGTGCGCCCGACGTGCGGAGAAGCCGGACGCGCCGAGCCGCCGGCGGGTCCGAAGGCCGAGGCCAGCTCGCCGCCGCCGCCGCCGAGCGAGGGGCGCGAGGCGTTGCTGGAGATGCTGTAGCTGTGCGTGCGGCCCGGGCCCGCGGGCGAGGGCGGCGGCGGCGGCGCCATGGCTGCCGGGGTGCGGGTACAGGCTCTGCTGCTCGTCGAAGGGCGCAGAGAAGAGGCAAGCGACTGCGCAGACCAGGCGCTGCTCGGCCTTGCTCGCCTTGTGTCCGTGCCGCGCAGGCTTATCGCCGGGCGGATGCGAGCGCGGCGGAGGTGCGGCCGCGCACGCCCCAGCAGAAGCGCCTGGGTGCTGCGCCGTCGTTGGGGATAGAGCTCGTGCAGCGGAGCAGATGTGCGAGCTGACGGCCGAGGGTGGATATGATGGAGTGGTAAGGGCGTGGGAGGGAAGCAAGGCGCTCCGGCGGCGGCAAGTGCGGGGAGCGGCAGCTGCTGGAAGGTGCGAAGGCGGCGCCGGGCGCGGCGCGCGGCAGGCGGCCGGCGAGGCAGCCGAGATGGCGCGAGGCGCTGCCGGCGGGGCCGCGTGCCGCGAGGCACGGCAGCAGTCTAGTCTCCTCGCTTCCACCTGAGCGGCTGTCACGCGGCGCTCGGCCGCGGTGCCGCGGCGCGCCGGCCTTTGCTGCTTGGCTGCCTCGCTGCGGATGCCGCGCTAGAAGGAAGACGGCACGGCACACAGACGGCGACGGTCGGAGGCGAGCGCTTGGCTGTGGCTGCGGCTCGTCATGGCCGCGCTCAAGCGACGCTCCAGCACAGAGCGCCGCGCTTCGCGCCGGCAGGAAGCTCAGATAGCACCTCATCGAGCGTCAGGGCGGGCGATAGGGGGGCACGTCACCGGCACAGCCACGGCGCTCCGGTCCGGCCGCGGCCGGACCGGTGCGGGCGCACAGCATGGAGGTATGCTCTGCTCCCAGCAGCGGTAGAAGTAGTCCGGCGAGCAGGGAGCCTCTCGCTCGACCTGGAGAGGAAGCAGGAGCGCCACGTCAATTCAGAATCAGAGCTCAGAGGCGAGCTGTCCTGTGTGGAGAGAGCAGCGAGAGCATGTCTTCTGCTGGTGGGCGATGAGGAAGAGCGAGCGAGAGGATGCCGCGCCACCGGCTGCGATGCTCTGCTCCTCTCGCCCCTCCTTGTCGCACCCTCGGCGGCTGCAGCCTGCGCTCCCTTGCCAGCTCACCAAGCCTCGCCTCTCGTCCTCTGGCATCTGCATCTTTGCCTTCTCGTTCAGCAGCCGCGCCTCTTGCTCTAGTGTCATCTCGATTGCCTGCATGCCCTCTCCCGCCTCGTAGTCTCCGCCTCGTGGACTCTGCCCTTCGCACGTTGCAGGCCCCGCCAGCCTCCCACCTTCTCCGCCCCTATGCGCGCCTCTTCCGCCTCGCCGAGGTCTCCCTTCAAGACTGGCGGAGTGCCTCAGAAGAGGTTGTTCATCGCCTTGAGCGACACCTCCACGCCGAGCTGGAGAACGAGAGAAGGTGGTCAGCACACTGCTGAGCGAAACTCCGTGAAGCGCGCCGGCCGGAAGCCCGCCCGGCTTCAGGCGAGGCAGCAGCACAGGCAGAAACACTCACGAAAGTGGCAGCGTTGGCGGGGACTACAGCGGCGCGCAACAGAAGAAGCGAGTCAGCATTCTTTGCCTCTCGACTCCACGCATCGCTTGTGGCACATCGGCCCCTCTCTCGGCGTACTCACAAGCACGCAGCATGGCCGGTCCGGCACCCTTGAACAGCGCCTTTGCGCCGTCGGCGGCAATCGTCTTGCGCGCGCAGTCGATGAAGCTCGAGTACGTTCCGTGCGGCGCACCCTGGTAGCGCGACTTGACGACGTCTGGCGGAATGGCCACGAGCCACTGTGGTATGCACGGACCCGCGCACACGTCAGCACGGGGGCGGACTAGGGAGAGGCAGAAGGGCGGAAGGGCGAAAGAACAACGCACCATGGACATGCCGGCCAGACCGCCGGCAGTGAGCACGTTGAGCAGGTTCAGGTCCTTGGGGTCGGCACCGGCGGGCGTCAGGCCGCGCTTGATCGTCTCGTATGCGCAGAAGTAGCTGTTGCGCGGGAGTCAAGAGAAAGCGTGAGCGCTCTGCCTTCTAGGGTCACTGGCGCTTCTGTGTGCCGCTGCGGGCGTGGGCGCCAGCTGTGCCGATTCGCTGCCATCCCCCTGGGCTGCTGCTGCCGCTGCCGTATCTCCCTTCCCACCTGGGCAGGCCTGCATCCCGCTGAGCCCCGGTCGGATGCACTCACGCAGCAGAACCAGGACCGTCGCGCGCCAGCGTCGCCGCCGTGCCGCGGAAGACGGACTTGAGGCCGCCCTCCTTGTACAGCTGCTTCACGACGTCGACGGGGCCGTTGTACGTCGGGCCCGAGCCGCCTTGGCCTTGCAGCTGCGGGTGCGATGAGAGAGGATCAGCACTGGCAAGCAGAGTCTACAGAGCTAGCTCCACGTGCGCGTCCGCCCACTTACCTGCAGCAGCACCTTGACGCGCTCCGCCGGGCCGGCCACGAGCGTCGTGGGCACGGCGGAGAAGAAGCCGGCAAAGGCCAGCTCGGCGAGGCTGAGGTGCGGGTCGGTGCGGTTGGGCGTGGCCGAGTAGATGAGCTTCTTGCCGAGGTCGTAGCTCCAGAAGCTGATGGCAAAGATGGGCGTCACGCCCACGAGCGGCGGCCCCATGCCGCGGTACATGCCCTTGAGGCCGTCGGCCTTGATCGTCTTGCGCACGACATCGAGACCGCCGGTGTAGGTGCCTGCGGCGGCCGTCTGCAGACGCGTCTTGGTCAGGTCGAAGGGGTGGCCGACGAGCACGGCCGAGACGCCGCCAAAGCCGCCGGAGAGGAAGGACTTGACGGCCGACGTGCTGTCCTTCTTCTCCTCGAACTCTTGCGGCGCGGGCGCGGAGGAGGCGGGAGCTGCGGAGCCGCCGGCCATGGTTGGAGCAAGTAGAGGGGGGGATGTGGTGTGCGGGGAACAAGTGCGGGGAGCCAGCGCCAGGCGAGGCGCGCAGACGAAGCTCGGCGACCGCAGCGGGCGGAGGCGAGCCGGCGATGCGCCGGGCACCGGCCGCGCTCCAGCCACGCGCGCCGCGGCAGGGCAGGAGACGAGCCAAGACCCAGCTCGACGTCATGCGCCAGCCGCCGCGCTTTCTTCCCGCACCTCGCTCTGGCCAGCCTGCCCTTGCCGCGCCGACCAAGTCGAGCACAAACTGGCCGTTTGCGCTGCAGCAGACATCCGGCAACACAATGCTGCTCGCAGAGTCGACTTTGTTCTGTCGCTGCTGGCAGCCGCAGAGAGGACGCGGCCGCGGTCACCGCTGCACGCAGCCCTTCGCCAACTTGCGCGCGTGATCGCGCGAGGCGCGGCGGGTGTGCAGTAGATGCCGGCGCCTCGGCCCGGCACAAGCGGGCGCGCGGCCCGGGCGGCATTGCGAGGGGTGGCGTTCCCACGCTGCGCTTCTCGCAGCACATGGCGCTGCGCACACCTCTCCTTCCTTCCGACTCGACTGCCTCGCTGGGTGCTGTGTCGGCGCAAGGCAGCCTCGTGCGGCTGCCATCTCGCAGCAGGAGCCAGGGACAGAGTACACGCGTCGTTCGTGAGAGATGTATTGCGGCCATGGGAAAGAGGTCATCGTGGGTGAAGAGAGGGACAGGGTAGATTCGGAAAGAGGAAGCAAGAGGGTGACGCAGCGCGGGATCCAGGAAGAGGCACAGCAGCACCGAGGGGTGGCTCGGTGGATGATTTACCAAATCTGGTGCTGTGGGCGGAGCAAGATGTGAGCGAGGTGCGAGAGAGGAAGGAGTGGGGAGAAGCAACTCACGCCGCCCGAGACGATGACGTCGGAGCCGTTGCAGAAGCTCGACGCCGGGCTGGCGAGCCAGACGGCCACGCCACGCATCTCAGCCGAGCGGCCTGGGGGGCGAAGAGCAGGTCAGTACGGCGCGGGTCTAGGTGCGCAGAGAGGCGAGACAACGCACCGATGCGGCCGAGCGGGTTGCTGCCGCTCCACTTGGCGAGCAGGTGCGGGTTCTCGTCGAGGTACACCGAGGTCATGCGCGTGCGGATGTGGCCGGGCGAGATCTGCGCAGAGCACCGTGTCAGCTGCTGTGGTCTTCTCCCTCCACTGCTCGCCCGCGCTTCGCGCCTGTACTCACGCAGTTGACGCGAATGTCGTGCGGGCCCCACTCGGCCGCCAGGTTGCGGCCCATCTGCAGCACGGCGCTCTTCGACGCGTTGTACGCCACCCAGTGGTGGTCGCGGTTGACGATGGAGCCGGACATGGAGGCGATGAGGATGATGCTGCCCTTGACCTCCTTCTGCTTGTACATCTGGCGCGCCGCGGCACGGGCCGTCAGGAACACGCCGGTGGTGTTGACGTCGAAGATCTTCTTGAAGTCCTCGACGGGGTAGACGAGGGCGTCGTGCGTGCCGAGAATACCGGCGGCCTGAGGAGAGCAAGGAGTGAGCATGCTGCTGGAAGCGCTGCATGTGCCATCGCGCGCCTACTCACAGCCACGCAGATGTCAAGCGTGCCAGTGCCCGAGTCGCCCACGATGAACTCCATCACGTCGTTGATCTCCTTGTCGTCGGTGACGGAGGCTGAGATGTACTTGAGGTCGCGGCTCATGATGCGGCAGTGCTCGGCGACAATCTTGAACTCCTCTCCGGGCATCTCGGGCACGTCGATGGCGTACACGTGGGCACCGGCCTCGACCTAGTGGGGTGGAATGGTCAGCGGGATGCGTTTGTGAGGCGTGGGAGCTAGCACGAGCAGAGCAGCGTCGCACGGCTGATGAGCAGTGCGTGCGCACTGCACATCTGTGCCTCACTGCTGCGGGCAGATCCGACCACGCAGGCCCGTGCGCAATCCGAAGATTGGCCAGCGTCCCCTTGCGCTACGTCACGCGCGCGTCCGCTGATGCGAGGCGCGCGCGAGGAAGAAGGCGCGCCAACGCGCGAGATGCACAGATGCCGCGCCGCCGCCGGCACACGCGCGCGCGGCCATGATGCCGAGCACCGCGCGCGCGCTGCGCTGGCACAGCCATGCATCGTGCATGGCGGAGCTCCACACAGCGAACTCGGCTAGGACCAAGACACCGCGGCAGCTCGCCTGCGTGCTGCCAGCGCGGCAGCGGGCACAGCAGCGTGCACAGAACCCAGTCGTGCATGCGCCGCCTGCCCGCGCATGGACAAGCCGGTACAGCTCGCCGCGCGTGCGTCCGCGACAGGAGCCGCGAGAGAGAAGGGCGAAGGTACTCACGAAAGCAAGAGCCATCCTGTTGGGCACGAGAAGAGGGAGAAGATAAGAGGAATTCGTCAGTGCTCTGTGCGCGCAACCGCCGAGGACAGTGAGACGCACTCAAGGCCTGCGCGAAGGAGCGAGTCAGCTAGCTGCTCGTAGCCGAGAGCTTGTGCGCGCGCGCGCAAAAACTCACCAAGACCACCGTTGCCGCCCGTCACGACGGCCGTCTTGCCGGCGAGGGAGAACTCGGAGAAGATGGTGGTGGTGTGTGCCTCGGGGTCGTTGGGGTTCTGGCGCAGGCTGGCGGGAGAGGGGTGTGAGCTGCTGCACTTGCGCGCACGTATCCCCACGCGGCGCCCACTCACACGGCGTCGACACCGATGTTCTCCGGCGGCGGCGGCGGGCCGGGGTTCTGCTGCACGGCCGACACCTTGGGCTCGCTCGTGGGCGCCCAGGTGACGAACGAGTTGCTGGCCGTGGCGACGCGCGGCGCAGCCACGCGGGGCACAGCGGCGCGGGGGAGCGCCGTGCGCAGGGAGCGCGAGGCGGCGGTGCGGAGGAAGGACATGCTTGCAATGAGTGAGGTGGGTTGGGTCCGGAGAAGGGAAGAAGGGAGAAAGGGTGCGGTGGTTGTGGGGAAGAAGGAAGAGCGAGCGAAGAGCAGAGGGCTCAAGAGAGCGGTGCGCGCGGTGGCGAGTTCAGCGCGCGGCGTGAGTTGCCTCGCTGGCCGGCGCTGGCGCGAATCTTGCGCGCGGCGTCCTCTGCGCACGGACAGGGGCGCGCGGCAACAGGGGTGCGGTGCCCCGCCCTCTCCCCTCTCGCAGCGGCACAGATTGCGCACGCGCTGCAAAGCGCTCTGCGGCCATGCGCCCTTCCTCTGCCACTTTGCCCCGTGCCGCCTTGGTGCAGCAAAGGGGGCTGCCGCTGGAGCATCGCTCGTGAGGACGCCGCAGCCGCTCCTCTCAGCCGTCTCTTTCCGCGCTGCTCTGCGGCTGCACGCCGGCGCAGGCACCTCCTCGGCCTCTTGAGCACGGTCCGCGCGCCAACCTCTTGCCTCGCCTTCGCCTAAGCGTAAGGAGCATCCTCCTTCTCCTGAGCGTGCACTCTCCCCGCTCTGGCAGCGGTACCGAGAAGGAGCAAGTGCCCATTACGCCCTTGCAGTAACAGCACACAGCGAGATCAAGATCTTCTCCAAGTGCGCGCTGCGGTGGCAAATGAAGCGCACCGCTGCTCCATCCTTTCCTTCGCAAGGCTCGACGCCCACGACGGCTCGTTCGGCATGGCGTCGCCGAGTGTTGCTTGCAACCTTGGCACGCAGCGAGCGCCGGCGGCAGCGCACCAGCGCCGACGCTCCGCTCCCTGTCGGAGCGGGCGTTCTCTCAAGTGCGCGCGCTGCGTCTGCCGGCGTCTTGGCTTTTTTTTCTGCGCACGCGCCACCACGACGCCGCGCGCCGGTGCCTTGCCGCTCTGCGCCGGCGCCGCCATCACTTCGCTTCATGCGCTCCGGAGAGCTCAAGTCAGCGGGCAGCGCACGGAGCTTTCTTCTCAACATGCTGCGAGCCGCGGCGCATCTCTCCGCAGCGATAGAGTCAGCAACCGGCAGCTGCCCCGCGGGGACTCTTTGGCCCTCGGACGGTGGCCTTGCAGCGGGCGAAGGAGATGCATGCGCCTGCAGAGCAGCAAGCAGATGGCCTGCCGCCTGTCGCCTCTGCCGCTGCGTGCTGCAGCGTCGCTCGTGAGTCGAGAGCATCTGCGCCATCAGAGCAACGGGCAGGCAGCAGCATGCAGGTGCCCCCGGGGTTCGACGCCGGCGGGCGAGGGCGCCGCATGCACGTCGTTCGCCGCCGAGCTGCAGCCTGCAGCGCAGCTCGCCGTCCAGCTCGGAGCAGAAGACCCGGCAATCTGATGCTGATGCGTCTGCTGAGCACCGCTCCGGCGGGAGTGCCGAGCGCCGAGACGGCAGCTGCAAGGCGGCAGATGGTGTGGCGGATAGGCGCGCGCCGTCCCGAGGCGGGAAGAACGCTCGTGAGAAGCCGGCTCGCCTCTGTCGTGCACGGACCTCTCGACGAGGCCGAGCACGTGATGCGGGGTGGAGGCCGGGCAGGACGAGCCGCTTGCCGAGGCGCGAGCGGAGGTTCCGACGCAGCGAGCGACGTGCCTCTGTCCTGCACTCCATCACCACACAAGCACCATCATGGCCAGCGTCCTCCGCCGCTCCAGCCGGCCCGTGCTCGCGGCGAGCGCCAGTGTCTGGCGCAGCACTCGTCTCTCGCGCGCCGGCCTGCGCACCTCCGCCGCCGCGGCCGGGGCACATCGCAGCACCGGCCTCATCTACCACGAGCACGGCGCGCCCGGCGCTGTGCTGCGCTCGCACTCCTGGCAACTGCCGGCGGTGCAGAAGGATGAGGCCGTGGTGCGTATGGTGCTCAGCTCCGTCAATCCGGCAGACATCAATGTGTGAGTCTGCCCTCCTTCTGCCCCTCCGCACCTCTCTCGCTGACGGCAGAGAGGCAAAAGGCTGGAAGGCGTCTACCCCTCCGTGCCCAAGCCGCGAGAGCTGCCGGGCATCGACTCGCCCGTGCGTGTCGGCGGCAATGAGGGCGTCGGCGAGATCGTCGAGCTTGGCAGCGGAGACGCCGCGGGATTGAAAGTCGGCGACTGGGTCACTTTCGGGCGTCCGCAGATGGGCACGTGGTGCTCGCGCATGGTGGCACCCACGGCAGACCTCATTCCCGTGCCGGCGGATGCGAGGGCGAAGCTGGACGAAGTGATGGGTGAGTGTCGATGCGTGGACGTGTCAGGTGGGAGCTGACGGCGGCCCATCGAACAGCCTCGACTCTGATGATCAACCCTGCCACGGCGCTCTGCATGCTGCGCGACATTGAGAAGCTCGAGAAGGGCGACGTGGTGGTGCAGAATGCTGCCAACTGTACGTGCATACAAACCGTATTGCCCTGCAGGCGCTTGCTCATGCTCTCGCTGTAGCTGCGGTGGGCCAAGCAGTCGTGCAGATTGCCGCGCGCAAGCTCGGCGTCGAGACGATCAACTTCGTGCGGGACCGGTGCGTTCCCCTCTCTCTCTCGCCCTTTGCCTCTCCCCCTGCGCTCATGCCTGCGCCAAGCTTTCGCAGCAAGGACCTCGACGCGCTGCGCGCCGACTTTGCACAGTGGGGCGAGGGCGGACCAGGCACGCACGTCTTTACGTACGAGGAGCTGGCCGATCGCAACAGCGGGGCCAAGGAGGCCATCAAGAAGCTTCTCAACGGCCGCAAGATCAAGCTGGGCCTCAATGCGCTGTGCGGCAAGGACACGCGCAACATGGTCAAGCTGCTCGGGTCAGTTGTGCTGCTCTTCCACCGGGCCCTGCGCAAACACGGCTCACGTCTCCCCCCCTTGTGCCCCCCCCTCAGACCCTCGGCAAGCGTGGTGACGTACGGCGCCATGTCGCGCTCGCCGCTCGAGCTGCCCGCCAGCCTGCTCATCTTCAACGACCTGCGCGCCGTCGGCTTCTGGATGACGACGTGGTATGCGCGCCACTCGCGCGCGGAGCGCATGCGCCTCATGGCCGAGCTGGCACACTGGTATGCCGAGGGCGCACTGCGGCCGCCTGCCAGTCGCATCGTGCGGCTGGGCGAGGATCGGCCGCTCGAGGAGGCCGGCAAGGTCATCGATGAGACAATGGCGGGGAGCCAGGGCGTCAAGACGTTCCTCAAGTTCCCGCAGTGAACTGTGCTTTGTCGTTCGTCGTCGTGAAATACCATTCATTAGCTCTCCCCGCTCTGCTCCCTGTACCTGGCCCTCCGCCTGGCCCGGCCCACTACGACGATCCGCCGTTCGTCTTGTTGCGCAGCGTAGCCTGTGGGCGCGGCGGCGTCAGTGAATGCCGCTCTGCAGATCAGTGGAGATGCCGCACCAGGAACTGCTGGTACGAGTCGGTCTGCTCGTAGCGGTCGAGCACGAGCATGCTGAGTGCCCCTGATAGCAGCGTCGTGTCAGCACAAGCCGTTGCGCGATCCGGCACGAGGCAACTCACACAACCGCAGGGCCGGCTCGGCGTCCTCCTTCGCCAGCTGCACATGCTGCCGGTACGGGCCGCGGCGCATGGAGCGGATGCGCGCAATGATGGCGTTGACGCGCTTGTTCATGCTGTTGTCGAGCTCGGGCAGCGTAATCTTGCCGGCGCGCAGCTGCGCGTAGTTGGGCGCGCCAAAGACGTCGAGGCAGAGGCGGTCGACGGCGCCGCGGCCGAGGAAGAGGATGATCTCCATGCCGTTCTCGATGAGGAAGAGGCCGTGCGGTTCGAGATGCTCGGACGTGAGGTTGAGTTTGGGAGGCATGACGAAGCCGTGCTCGCCCTCGGTGCCGGCGTCGGCGGGCATGTTGTGCAGCGAGTAGAAGTTGGGGTGCAGGTACGGCACGAGGAGCTGCGCCGGCAGCGTCGTCAGCAGCGCCTGCGCATAGGCACGCATGTCCGACGGTATCGACGAGCTGGCGCGCAGGCCGACGTGCTTGAGCAGACAGAGGATGAGCAGCGGCAGCAGCGCCATGTTGGCGGCGATGCTCAGCTGCGGGCTGGCGCCCGAGCCCGAACTCGTCATCGTCGCCTTGTACGTCGTGAAGATGTCGGCCAGCTTGTTGGTGAGCGCATCGCGCGCATCCTCGAGACGGTGGTGCACGCTGCGCTCCACTGCCTTGTTGGCGAGCAGCACGGCGATGGCCGTCTGGTCTGCGCTGGCGTACACCTCCGAGAGCGACGTCGTCGTCGGCAGCGCCAGATTGACGACGCGGATGCGCCGCTCGCCGTAGCTGGTGCTGTGCAGCACGACGGACTGCAGCACGACAAACGGCGCCGCAATCGTCTCCTCGATCTCGAGCTCGATGGCGTAGCTCTGGTCCAGCGGCACGGCAGGCAGCGCCAGCAGGTCGGTCGAGCGCACAAAGAAGTTGCCGTGGAAGCCCACAGCGCGCAGGCCCTTGGTGCAGCGCAGACGCAGCACGGCCTCGTAGGAAATCGGGCTGGCAAGCACCTCGGCAAACTCGTGCGCAAACTTGGTCGCGTCTTCTGGCCGCGACGCGTGGAACGCCGGGTAGAAATACGTTTGGCCTCCCGTGTAGCGCGGCAGACACGAGAGCGTCGCGACGTCGGTGTAGGCCGCCGAGAAGAGGAACATGTCGACGGAGACCTGGCTGCGCGAGCAGTCGATGGGGAACGTCTTGTAGAACGTCGACGCGGCAGCCAGCAGCGTCGACTCCTTCGCCGTGCCGAGCAGCTTGGCATCCTCGCGGTTCTTGAGCGCGCCAGGCCCGACGCTGGGCAGCGAGGCGGTGAGCACCATGATCTTGCCGCCGATGGGCGAGATGAGCTTGTACGCCGCCTGCAGGCCGGCGCCCAGCGCCGAGCCCATCACCGTCGTGTCCTTGAACATGTCGCCCAGCCGGCCCAGCAGCGCCTCTATGCCCGCGCGCGACTCGGTCAGGTTCACGAGCAGGTCGTTGGGCTTCGGCAGGTACACGTCCTCGAGATCGCTGACGACGAGCATCTCTGGCTCCTCCTGCCCGGCCTGCGACGAGAGGTGATCAGCAATGCCGAGACGCCAAGTGCGCGCGCGCGACTCACAGGCAGGCAGAAGAAGTGCAGGGCCGTGTCGACGGCGATGAGGCAGACTTTTGTCCGGTTGTCGTCGTTGGGCAGGCGGTCGAGCGTCTCGAGAATCGTGCGCGAGGCCGTGGCGACCATGCCGCTGCTGACGGCCTGGTGCGAGACGTCGATGAGGAAGACGTACACTGGCGGCTGCGGCGGCCGGACCTGCGAGTGGGCGCGTCAGCGACCCTTGCTGCACCGCTCTGCCTCTCTCGGCCCACGCACCATGTACTCGCGCGGCGCGATGAACTCCACGACCGAGTGGTTGAGCTCGGGACGCTGCCAGCGGTCCGCCGGCTGGTTCTTCTCCTGGTCCCAGTCAAAGAGCTGCGGCACCTCGTTGCTGATGTTGCACATGCAGCACTTCCAGCGGTTGCCGCCCTCGATGAACTGCACGTAGGGGTTGATGTAGGTGCGGCAGCGCCGGCAGCGCGCAATGACCGTGTCGCTGACGACGGGCACCGGCTCGTCGCCGTCGGCCTCGCGCACGGTGCGGTAGGGCGAGAGGATGAGGCCGAGCGGAATCTTGGACTTGTTCAGCAGCGCATTCGTCGTCGGCACGGCGTTGAGCGTGCAGCGCTGGTACGACGGGTCGGCATTGGCCTTTGGGTTCTGCGAGATGCACGCATTTGCCGGCAGCTTGATCTCCGGCGGCGGCCGCTCGAGATCGTTGACGTTGGGCTGCGCACCGCTGACATTGACCGTGTAGAGCGGGTTCTGCGCGCGCCTTGTGAGTCGCTGCGGCCACAGGTATGCGGATGGCAGCCTCGCTCAGCACTCACACCCTTGGCGCCCATCTGCTGCTGCTGCTGTCCACCAATGCCCATGCCCTGGAACTGGCTCGTCACGCCCGCCATGCCGCCCTGCTGGTAGCCGCCCATCTGCGGCGCCTGCGGCTGGCCGTTGGCAAAGTTGCTCTGCGACGGCACGGAGGGCATGCCGCCGTACGGCGACGGCGCGCCCGGCTGCTGTGGCGGCGCGGGCGCGCCGGGCGTGAAGAGCTGAGCCTGCGCCGGCTCCTCTGCGATGTGGCCCGGGTAGCCTGCACCGCCGCCGGCGCCCGCGTCAAAGCCGCCGCTGAAGCTGACGCTGTTGGCGGCCATGTGTGCCGTCGGGTACGCACGCCGGCGACTCGAGATGACGGGCGGCGAGGTGGCGCCTGCGGCTGGCGGCGCGCCGGGAGCGCCGGCCATGGGCGGCCCGGCCAGCGGCGAGGCGCCGCGCATCGCTGGCGGCCCCTGCATGGGCGGCATCGACATGCGCGCCTGGCCCTGCGGGTGTGTGGGACGAGCACCGGGCGCGCCGGCATTGGGCGGCGTCCATGATGTGCGGCCCGTCGCGGTCTCTGCGGTCGTGCGTGAGCGTGGGGGAGAGGTCAGGCGGTGCAGAGCAGCGACGCACCGACGTAGACGTTGCGGCCGGCGCTCTGGTCCCTGGCAGCGTGATGCGATGAGCGAGGTGCGCTTGCGGCGTGGATGCCGGCGCCGACTCACCACTGGGCCGTCCAGCCCGGGGGCAGGACAGGCGCGGGCGCGGACATGAGGCTTCGTCAGGTGCGAAGACGGGTCGGCAGGCGGCGCAGGCGAGGTGTCGTCGGTGCGCAGACGGCTGTGGTGAGAGGATGCGGCGTGAAGGTGGTGAGGGTGCGCCGAACGGGAGAGCGTGATGGCTGGAAGGAAGCGTGCCGCGCGCCGCGGACGTTGGCTTGGCCGCTGGCGCAGCGGCGCCGCCGGCGACGTGGTGCGCGAGCGCGCGGCGCCAAGTGCCCCGTGCTCAGCAGACGCCGCGCAACACCACCGCCGCGGCCACGTGGCGCGCTCCTGTCCGCGCAGCCATGGGCATGGCCGACTTGGACGTCGTCCTGCTCTGCGCGACGCCTTACGAGGCGGCAGTTTGTAGCAGAATCGCGCTGCTTGAGATTTTGACGGCAAAGACCCAGACAGTGCTCCCTGCAACCGCGGCGAGGCTTGCGCTGCAAGCAGACGTTGCTCACGGTTCGCGCGTTCGGGCACCAGACCTCCGGAGGGCAACGCTGATCGTGGCAGCGCCTTGTGCACAGTCGAGACTGATGAGTCTTCGACACTCTGAGGTGCCGCCGACAGCTCAAATACGAGCCCATCCAGCTGCGGCCATTCAACAGGCCTCACACGGCCGACCTGGTCGACGTCCAGTCACGCGACAGTTTCTTGGCAAGCGAGCAGGTCCTTCGTCTGTGCGTTCTCGCAGGCGTCGTCCATGAAACGCCTCCCACTGATCACAGAGTGGACCTTGATGCTTCGTGAGGTATGTTCTGGCTTGGAGACGCTCGGACGACCGCTGTCTATCTGCGTTGCCAAGCAGGAGCCATCGACATCGACGAGGTTGGCGCACGCGAGGACGCCGGCGCCTGTAACGGCGGAGCGAGAGCGTGGGACCGCGGTCCCGCGCGGGGAACGGGCGAGCCTGCTGACGATCTGCTGGCCGAGGCTCCGGCTGCGGTCGTCCTTCCACGCCGCGGGCGCCGGAGCGGGTCTTGCGCCGGCGCGAGCTCGGGAGAGGCGCCACGGCGCTGCTGGCAGCTCCGCGTATGCTATACCGGGCCAGCCGCAGCAACGAGGCAGAGGAGCGCACCATACGCCATCCGGCGGCCGCTGACCGCTACGCCGCGCCGTCGACGTGGCCGAGCGCCGATGCGTCGCCCCGTGCTGCCGCTGCGGCCGCGCTTAGGCACGCGTGCAGAAAGGGCTCGACGGCGCCGAGAGGGGGCACTTCCGCCGCCGTTCAGGGCGCCGAGCTTCTGCGCCCGCGTGGCTGGCGCGCTCTGCACCATATGCAGCTCCGCCGCTGCTGCAGATGGATGCAGGAGAGCAGCGAGCGCGTGGCAGGGCACGCAAGCGGTGCGGCGCCAGCAGCGCCTCAGGCCGTCGGAGCGCGGTTGATGCGGCGGCGGGTGCGACGCCGCTTTGCTCCGCCCGCTGCTGGCGCTCTCGTCTGCAGCCTGCGCTGCCACACGCTGCTGAGCTGCCTGCATCTGCGCTTAGCGTGCCCGAGCGGCTGCCACGCCGCCCGTCGCCCGCACGCCGCCTCTCTCGGCGCACCCGACCCACGCTCGTGCTGCGCGCCGCGTCAACCGCGCCGTCGCTGCCGCCGCGCGCATCCTTCTGCCCGCCCCGGCGCGCGCGCCCATCTCACCATCGCACCACGACGATCTGCGAGCGCGTGTCTGCATCTCGGCACCGCACCTCGCCGCACCCCGCCTGCCTCCTCTCCTCCTCTGCGCCCACTCGCGCACGCACGCGACGCTCGTCACTCTGCGCGCGCACCCCTCGCTCGGCCTCGGCTCCGCCCGTTCTTCGCACATCTCGCGTTCCCACGCCTGCTCCCGGCGTCTGCTTGTCGTCGTCACGCGGTGCGCGCGCACAGCTCGCGTCTTCTCTCCCGCCTGCGTCTCGCTCCGCACGACTCTCTCTGCCATTGCGTAGCACCAGGCTCAGCCGACGCGCGTCCGGCTGGCCTCCTTCCTAGCCCATCATGTCGAACATCTACAACCACCGCTCCCTCGTGCCCTCGGCGGCGCCCGCGCCCGCGGCACCGCCGTCGGCGTCGACGGCACGCCTCAACGACCTGCTCGACTTTGTCAAGCACGAGTTTGACGTCATCGGCAGCGATGCCAGCCAGCTCAAGGGGCAGCGCGACGAGTTCGAGCACCGCAGTGAGCGCGCGCCCGAGAGCTCCCGTGCGGCTGCAGCTGACCCGTGCCACAGTCGGACAGCAGGTCAGCGAGGTGCAGATGATGCAGCAGCACATCATGGACCTCGAGTCGCGGCACACGTCGATGGCGCAGCAGTGAGTGCCGGCCGCCGCGCAGGACCATGCCTGCTGCTGACACGCGCGCAGGTACGAGGAGGAGATCAAGCGCCTGCGGCAACTACTCGACTCGCGCGGCGGCGCGCCCGACGGACCCATGACGGCCGGGCCATCCGGCGGCGGAGCGCCGCCGCACCTGCCGACGGCCGCACAGGGTGGGCCGCCGTCGATTGCACCGCCGCCGGGCAGCGGCTACGGCGGCAAGGCTCCGCCGTTCGGGCAGCCGCCGGGCGCGCCTGAGTCGTACCGCGGCCAGGGCGGCCCGGGCAGCAATGGCGGACAGCAGGGCGGCTACGAGCGGGATCAGCGCGAGCGCGAGCGCGAAATGATGATGGGCGAGCGTGGAGCGCGCGAGCGGGAGCGCGGCATGCCCAGCAACGGCAGCGAGGGCAGCCAGAAGCGCCTGCGCATGGACGAGCGGCAGCACCAGGGCGGCTACGAGGGCGGCCCGCCGTCGCCGGAGATGGAGCGGAAGATGAAGGACGAGCGTCACGGTGAGTGCAAAGCGCCAGCTGCTGCAGATGCGCGGCGCTCACTCGCTCCCAGCCGGCTCGAGCGCGCCGTCGCCGTACCACGGCCCGCAGGGCGCACACGTGCCGAGCGGCGCCTACTCGGGCGCGCCGCAGGCGCGCGACGTTGACCCCAGCCCGGGCCCGGGCCCGGCAGCGGGCAACGCCAGCCTGGCAAACCTCAGCGACATGGACCCGGATGAGATTCCCAAGGAGCTCAAGAAGGAGGGCAGCGACTGGATGGCCATCTTCAACCCCAAGGTCAAGCGCGTGCTCGACGTCAACCTCGTCCACACGCTGATGCACGAGAGGTGAGTCGCGTGCCGGCGCCGCCGCGCAGAGCCGTGCTGACTCTTTCACAGCGTCGTCTGCTGCGTGCGCTTCTCGCCCGACGGCCGCTTCCTCGCGACGGGCTGCAACCGCAGCGCGCAGATCTACGACACCAAGACGGGCGCCAAGACGTGCGTGCTCTCGGAGCCGACGAACAAGAAGGGCGACCTGTACATCCGCAGCGTGTGCTTCTCGCCCGACGGCCAGTACCTGGCGACGGGCGCCGAGGACCGGCAGATCCGGATATGGGACATTGCCAAGAAGAAGGTCAAGCACATGTTCACCGGCCACAAGCAGGAGATCTACTCGCTCGACTTTTCGCGCGACGGGCGCATCATCGCCAGCGGCTCGGGCGACAAGTCGGTGCGCATCTGGGACGTGGGCAGCGGCAAGTGCCTGCACGTGCTCTACACCAGCCCCAACCTCGAGCACGGGCCCAGCGAGGCGGGCGTGACGAGCGTCAGCATCTCGGCGGACAACCGTCTCGTCGCCGCCGGCGCGCTCGACACGCTCGTGCGCGTCTGGGACGCAAAGACGGGCCAGCAGCTCGAGAAGCTCAAGGGCCACAAGGACAGCATCTACAGCGTCAGCTTTGCGCCCGACGGCAAGAGCCTCATCTCGGGCAGTCTCGACAAGACGCTCAAGCTCTGGGACCTCACGGGCACGTCGCGCGCCATGGACCGGCACGCCGCCGACGACGAGGAGCGCACCTCGAACGCCACGTGCGCCTCGACGCTCGTGGGCCACAAGGTGAGCAGCGTGAATGAGAAGGGCACACCAGGGCGTGCTGACGCTCTCTCCCGCCAGGACTACGTCCTCTCCGTCTCGTGCTCGCCCGACGGCCAGTGGGTCGCCTCCGGCTCCAAGGACCGCGGCGTGCAGTTCTGGGACCCGCGCTCGGGCCAGGCGCAGTTCGTGCTCTCGGGCCACAAAAACTCAGGTGAGGAGCAAGAGAGGCGTGCTCGCGTGTGGCTGCGGCTGAACCCTTACCTGCGCGCGCCAGTCATTGCCATCAACCTCAGCCCGGCTGGCAACCTGCTCGCCACGGGCAGCGGCGACTTCAAGTGAGTGACGTCCTGGCCTGCTCGCCTGTGCAGCTGCTGACCCCACGCCTCTCTCGCAGCGCGCGCATCTGGGCATACGACCGCATCGCCGACTGAGCGGCACTCCCTTGAGACCCCCTGTACTTCTGTGCTGTGCCATGAAATCTGTCTTTCAAGTTTCGGCCGTGATGTGGTGCATTACGAGAGCGTTTGAGCGGCGAGAGCGGGGTAGATGGGAGCCGGATGTGCAGATCGGAGCAAAGGAAGCGGAGGTCGGCCTTCAGGCCTCTCGCGCGGGACGGCAGCGCCGCGCGTGGGAACTCGGCGCTGGCCATCGCCTGCGAACGGCTCGGGCCGACGCCTGATGTGCCCTTGCCGGCGTTTGCGAAGCAGCCCAAGGGGCTTCGTGGCCTTTGAGACGATCTTCCCAAATCTTCAGGAGGCGATCAAACACTGACCAGACTCTCGATGCCGCGCACGCTCGAGCGTCCCACTGCCGCGCACTGATGAGTTCGCGCGCGCACGCACGGCACGGCGGTCCCGTGCGCTGGCGTTGATGAGCCGAGCCGTAAAGTGCCCAGCAGCGTGCCGGCCGCACAGCTTCCGTCTCTCCACCACACCACATCCGTCGCACCCCACATCAGCAGCGGCGCTTCTGTCTCTGCACTCTTGCCGCTCTCTGGTCATCCTGCTCGGCTCTGCGCTGCAAGATGGATCTGGTTGCAGCTCGGCGCCAACTGCTTCTCTATCGCGTGTGGTGGCTGCAGACATCTTTGTCGCACCTGAGCAGTATCTCGCTCTAAGACTTCAAGCAGCTGTGGGACGGTGATCCAGACTTTCAGCAATCACGACTTGTGCAGAGGATCGTCGGCCACTGGTACCGCGGCGTCCACAGCCTCATGTTCAACAACCTCTGTTCACCACCTGAGGACAAGGCTCACTTCATCAACGTCATGGACGACTTCTTGCACGAGGACATGTTTGAATCATTTGACGACCGCAAGTCCGAGGCACACCGCGACATAGCGCACCTTGCGCTTGCGCATTGCGACAACCCAACGGCCATGTACGCTGCGGTGTGCGAAGCAAGATGGGACGACTTGGCATACATTGGAGAGCGGACCGATGGTGAAGAGCATCCACGCGGCCGCGACTATTGCGTCAGCTCAGCTCTCACCTCACTCTACTGCCACGGCCAAGAAGAGATCACTACGCTTCTGTCAACAAGTGAAGTGCAAGCCTGGAAGACTGAGCTTTGCAAAGCCTTGGCCCAGGAGCTTCTAGCCTACCAGCTCAACGACGAGGCAGCCGAGCTACGCGAGGATCTTCATTCAGCGCTGCGGGACCCCACGGTCAAGCATTGCCTGAACTGTGTATGGGAAAGGCTCCAAAAGCAGGTGCCATGTGTGCTTCCTGCAAGTCTGCAAGAGCTCGATGAGGGCAATGGAGCCCTAGCACCGCGCTTGCGTGTCAAGCGGGCTGTCTCAAGTTCTGTCTTAAGCTCTCCGGACTGCACATCTGGCCCGGTGCCAGATGCACCCAAGACCAAGGTCTCTCGGACCACGAAAACAGAAAGAGAGGGGGAGAGTGACAAAACGTGTGCGTGTATCCCCGCCTCCGCGCTCACTGAGGGGCGCCACTGACCACACAGTGCAGCTTGACAACGCGATCCCTTCTCCATTCTCGCTCCTCGACTTGCTTCGCTGCTATGTCTAGGCCGTCTGCTCTAATCTCGATCGCTCCTCGCCATGCGTCAAAGTTCTCTGCGGCCTCTTCTCTCCGTCTCACCTTGTCTTGCTTCCGTCACTCCATGCTCAGCGCCGGTCTCTCTTCTACGGCCTCTACCCGCCTCGAGTCCTCTCCGCCTTGCGTCTTCACCTTGTCCGGCTCTCCGTCTCGGTCCAACTCGCTCCAACATCTACGCTCCGTCTCCGTTGCGCCACTCGTTCGACTGGCTTCACGCGTCGCAGCACAGTCGACGGCAATGATGATGCTTCTCAGCGTACAAGAACAGATGTGAGAAGACAGCGTGATGGGACCCGGAAGACGTGCCGGCGTGCAGCGAGCGGCTCGTCTGGGCAAGTGAGGTGCAAGACTGTGTGTGCGCAAGTGCTATTGCTGCGTGCGGCGGCGAGATCAGACCACCTCAATGGCCTGACAGGAAGTCAATGAGCATGCGGGACTCCAGAACGTGCCGAGCCACTCACCTCCGAGTCATTGATGAACTCTGCCTGCTCCTCAATCCTCGCCTTCTTCACCTCTTCCTCGCCCTTGGCGTCTTCCTCGGCCTTGCGCTTCATGTACGCTTCCTGGAGCGCACGTTCCTCTCCCTCCTCACGCTCCTTCTCCTTTGCGTCCGCGCGATTCTCAGAGCTGTCGTCGCAGTCATACGTCTGCTCGATCTCCTGCTCCTCAATCAGACGCGCCTGCTGCGTGATGGTGCGTGCCTGCTCGGCGTTGGTCTTGAGCAGCTCGACAATGTTGTCGGTGAGCCGGTCGATGGAGCGCGCCTGCATGCTGATCGTCGCACTCTGGTCGCGCACCATCTGCGCAAACTGTGCTGCGTCCATGATGGTAGGCGAGAAGTGGTGCTCTGCAGCAACATGAGCGTCAGCGTCGGCAGAGACGAGGCAGCCTGCAGCGACATAGCGCGCCAGATTGAGGCGGCTCAGCAGTGCGACTCACTTGAAGAGGAGAAGTAGTGCGCCTTCAGCGCTGCGGCGGCTGACTCGAGGCAAGTCACCGGCTAGGCGCAGGCATCAGCGCGCAAGCGAGCGAGCAGGACGCGGCATGCTCACTGCGTCGTAGATCTGCGAGCTGCCTGGCGCCGCGTGCGACGTGACAGAGAGAACGGAGAGCAACGTGTAGCTGGCCGAGAAAAGGTGATGCGAACCTGAGGGCTGCGAGATGATGGAAGAGACGAGCTGGTGGTGAGTCGCGAGGGAGCGAGGCGCGAGCGCGCAGCAGGTGGAGCGGGTTGCGCGGCCGCGCGCCTGGCTACCCGGAATTCGGTGCAGCAGCTGCGCTTGACTACAGCTGCCTGCCAGCGAGTTGTAGCTCTCGCTCAGGAAGTGCTATCTGCGCTTTGGCGCTCTAAGCAAGTCGACAGTGCTGCGGCGTGCGTGCCTGGGGGATCGTCGTGCCTTGGACGCGTAGAGAGGAACGCGTCCCACGCCTCGTGCTTGCGCCGCAACGGTTGCAAGGCAACGCCGCGCTTCGCCTGGCTTGCCCGATGTGGCGTCCCTCGCGCCGCAGCAGCCCAAAGAGGCTCTCTGCCGTCTGCCTCGGAACGGCGCATCGCCTGTGACGCATCTGCGACGCTGCAGGTCAAAAGGCACGCACGAGCGCTCAGCTCTTCTCTCCTCTCCACCACCACCACCGCCCGCCCGCGCGCGCCTGCGCCATCCATACGCAGCAGCGACGTCGCCGTCTCTCCCTCACTGCATCGCTCTCCGCATCTGGTACGTCTGCATCTCATCGCTCCGCTCGTCTCGCCGGCACTCGCGCCGCTTGCGTGCTCTTCCTCGCTGTCGCTACTGGCCCTGCTGCCGCTGCTGTCGCTGACTCTTTCCTTGCAGTGACTGGCTCGGCGTCTTCTCCTGAGCCGTGCGACCGGGTCGCTCTACTGTCGTCGTAGCTGGTGCGTCTGCGTCCGTCGCCGCTCCCCGCTTTCGGAAGCCGATCGCCATCGCTGGTGCTGACCTCCGTCATCGCAGCGATTGCCTCAGCTTTGTGTGCGCAAGAGCGTAGCTTGTGGCTCCTGTCCACCGCATTTAGTGAGCCTGCCTCTCACCCGCGCTCTCGTGCTGCCTGCGTGCTCTTTGTCACTGCGGCTGACCCCTGTGCTCGTAGCGACTGCGTCGGACTTTGACTGCTGGGCCGCTCAACCAGTGGCTCCTCTTGCCTCGCACTGGTACGTCTACCTTTTCTTGCACGGCGTACCAACGAGCTCCATGTCTCGCTTATTCATCATGTGGCTGACACCTTTGCTTGCAGCAAGCACCGCCTCGTCTTCCCTGCGACGCCGCCTCGTCTGCACCTCAAGCGCCTCTTCCCAGACCTCGGCGGCTCGCCTCTTCTCCCGACTTCATTCCCTGGAACTGATGGAGGCGCAGAACCAGGCGGAGCTCGTGCGCGCGCAGAACGCGACGATCGCAGGGCTGTCTGCGGCAAACACGGCCCTGCACACCACAGCGACGCAGATGCAGACCCAGATGGATGCGCTCAAGGAGACGAACACTACACTTCAAGGACAAGTCCGCGCGTATGTCAGCATGCAGGCGCCGCTTGACGCGCCGCGCGAGACGGATGCCGAGCTTCAGGATCAAGTCCGTGCCCACGAGGCAACCATCAAGACGCAGGGCACGCGCATCGACGAGCTGTGCGAGACAAACATTGCGCTTCAGAAGCAAGTCGATGAGCGCAAAGCAGACGTACAGTCGTGGCAGGAAAGGAGCAGCTTCTGGCAGTCGTACTACTGCAAGTACAACGAGTGGTACACGGAATCGAGGACGGACCATCAGAAGGCCAAGGACCGATGCGACGAGAGCGAGAAGCGGAACGCGGCACAGCAGAAGCAGATCGGTGCGCTGCGCACCGAAATTTTCGGGCTCAAGAAGGCGCTGGACCAGCAGAGCGCGCACGTCAAGCACGCTGTCGCCGACATCAGCGGTAGCGGCAACGGCGCGTTGCCCGAGCAACATCTGTCCGAGCACAGCAACGCCCGTGCGCAGCGTGACGATGCCAGCATGGCACACGACGACGAGCACATCGACGACGATGATGAGAGGATGAGTGCGCGCGACTCTTCGGCAACTAGCAGCGCTCATCACGAGAAGCCGACTGCAAGCAGCAAGGACATTGCGCTGCGTGCGCAGAAGCGCAAGTACGGCGCGTTTGCCGACGATGCGTTCGGTGATGACAACTCGAGCAGCGACGAGGAGCGCCCGGCCCGTCGCATGACGCCCATGGACCGCGACCGCGGGCTGCCTCTGTCTTCTCCATCCGCCAATTCTGACGCGAGACCATCGGAGTCTGACTCGAGCCTTCGCAACCCTGACTACTCGTCGTCTAGCGAGGAGGACAGCGACGACCCAGCGTCGTGCTCTTCCACTCTCGACGCCGCCACGCTGCTGGCCGAGAACAACGTCTCCGACTCGGCGTCCGTCAGCAGTGACGATGAGCCTGCTCGCTCGCATGCGTGGAAGGCCGAGACGCGCAACCGCTTTATTCAGGCGTGAGTGATCAGACAGGCGCGTGACTCGGACGTCAGGCCAGTGCGCTGACCTAGATCCCTTTCAGTCTGGCGCACCCGCGCAGCAAGGACCTCAGCGACCACCAGCGCAACATCATGCGCGCCTTCATCAAGAAGCACGCGCGCGTGTAGGCGCTCGTCGGCGCCTCGTGCCACATCACGCTCTACATGAGCGCTCAAGAAGACTTTCTCGCTCGCGCTGCCTTCGTCCATCCTCGGGCTCATCTCACCACTTTCGCGTCACCTCTCTGTCCCGCATGTTGCCTCGCCCACGCGCGCGCCTCCTCCTGTCTCGCACTCGTTGAACGAATCGGTTTCCCGTGCCCACGCGTGCGACAATCGTCCGAATGAGTGCGAAGAATCGGCACTGGTGGAGCTTGGAGCGCTCGTGGTGCCGCAGACAAGGGAGAAGCCTGCTTGGGTGGAACTCGGCTCTGCGCTCGGGAGTCGAGGTCGACCAGGCAGTGCTGAGCCCTCGCGGCCAAGGACGTGAGCATTGCCTGAGCCCTGACGTATATCTGCGCCATCACATCGGCTGAAGGGGAATGTGATGTCTCCAGTGAAGCGTGCAAGTGCCCCACTGCAGGGCCGAGTCACGGCTCGCTGATCGCGGCCAGCGACGCGCTGAGCAGCACCGCGGCGAGGTGACGGCTCTGCTTCCAGCCCTCGTGTGGCGCACGGTGATGCTTCTAACATGACGTGGGAGGCTCCTCATGACTGCGTCGGGCCGATTCATGAGCTGCAGCACATCGCCACGCCGCGCTTCTGGCCTTGCGGATGCAAGCGCACAAGGCGCGCGCAGAGTTCGCGGCGATGCGGTGGCGTCCCGAGCGCGCGCGGCTGCTCTCACGCCAAAGTCTCGCCGGAGACACTCGCATACGCGCGCGCATCGACCTGCCATGCCGCACCGGCGGGAAGCCTGGCTTGTGCGGAGATCATCGAGAGCAAGCCGGCAGCAGATTGTAGCTGCGCTCTCCACATTGAGACGCTCGCGCACGTCCCTGACGCATCTGATCCCCTGCAGCAGGCAGAAGAGGCATGCCTTATCGTGGCCAATGCGGGGCAGGCGCATGGACGATGACGAGCAGATCTCGCACGCGCTCTTGGCGTCAGCCTAAAGCCGGCAGAGCAAGCGCGCTCTGTCGCTCCCCGGCGTCATCCGGACGCATCTCACGAGAGGGGGCCGCCGGAGTGAGAAGTAGCGCGAGAGCGCACGTGAAGGGTCAGGCAGGAGTGGGGCGAAGCGTGCTTCACGTCGCTCGTTGCTCTCTTGCGCCGTAAAATGAGAGACCGGCCTCTTGGCTTGGCGCAGAGCGTGGCGCGGGCGCGGGCAGCGACCAATGGGGTGGTGTGGAGTGGCGCGTAGCACAGCTGTGAGGTGTGATGGTCGGCTTTCAGCAGCCTTGCGCCCGATGATCGCTGCAGGTCCAACTGCAGGTCCGGAGGCGCAGCCAGAGGCGCTCGGTGGTGATCTCAGCGTCTAGGCCGCTGTTTCCCATGGCAACTTCTGACGCTTGCCGTCATGGCCGCAGAGTAGCGCGGCGGCAAGGCTGCGTTGAGCACGTGGAACGGTCGATCTCACGAGCAAGCCAGTGGCGAGAGTCCGATGGCCGAGCAGCAGCAAGCCGAGCCACGCCCACGCCGCCGACGGAGAGCAATGGCGATCGGCATCTCCACGAGCTCGGCGCGGGATGCTGCGGCGAGAAGGGTCGAGCTATGCGCCGGCGCCGGGATGCGGCTGAGTGGTCGCCGAGCAGCGTCGGCACAAGACGCAGGAACGTGCCCGAGGATGGCCGACGATAGAGGGAGCGGCTCCGGCGAGCCTCGCCGCTGCAGCACGCGTCGCGCTGTGTGTGTGAGGGCAGCCATTCAGCTGCGGCAATACCGAATACGCCTCGCTCTTCTCGCTGGGGCTCGCAGCGCCTCTCCCGCGCCTCTCTCCGCTGCCGAACGTCGAGCAGAGCCGACAGGAAGCACGATTGCGATATTGCAGCACTGCAGCATGCAGAATACGGCGGCCGCCAGCGTTGCCGGCGGTTCGGGCAAGCGGCTCTGTTGCGGCATGCGGCTGGCTGCGAGCGCGGCGAACGTGCGCATGCGAGGCGCGATGGGCGGCTGCGGTCGAGCTTTCCACACCCCGAGCCGCCGGTCCGCGGAGCGGCCTGAGCTTAGTGTACCGCACCTGCGGGTGCCGAGGAAGCCAGCAGAGCGAATGGGCGACTGAGGTCGGCCCCGCTGCGAGCTCTCGCGATGGAGGTAGAAGCGAGACGGCTTTAGCTCGCCGAAGTCCCACGCCTAGACCTCGTCGTCATCCCGTCCTTGCCGCGACAGGCGACTCGGCATGTCCCACAGAGGGACCGTGCGAGGCGAGACGATCCTGAAGTCTGACAGCTTCGCTCGGCCCTCCAGTCCTCGCTGAGAAGGTCTGCAAGCGCGCGGCAGCGCCGAGGGTCCACGCGCGAGCCCGCGGAGGCCCCAGGGACAGGCCCCGCGAACGCCCGCTGCTTGCCGCCCTCGCACACCCGGGATGTGAGCGCCTCTGCCGGGACGAGCGGCGCTGTGCCGGCGGCATCGGCAGCGAAAAAAAAGCGCCAGCTCGGCCGCGGCTTGGTCGGAAATGTCGCCGTGTGAGAGAGCGACGTGGTGGTTGGAGGCGTTCGCGTGCGGAGCAACTCGAGTTGATACCTCATGCATGAGCGAACGTGCCCTCGTGCGAGCGGAGATCTCGTCGGCTGCAGCTGCATGGCGTGTGGTGGTTGGCAGCAGAGGAGGGACACGCGTGAGACGGGTCCAGCAGCGCAGGGGTGTGGCGGAAGCGCCGTCTGTGCTGCTCTTGCGCCGGGGCCGAGTGGATGCGCCCGCTGCGGGCTGCTCATCAGCTGCCTCGAATTGCAGATTCATCCAGCTGCGGAGGTGCCGCCTGAGACGAGGGACGCGCGTGGTGGTGCGCCACAGCGGGATGGCGGCACGGCGCGCGTTTCAGCAGACGAGCAGAGCGGCGCATCCGGCGGACGACGGCCCAGGGGCCACATGCCTGCCTCGGTCCCTCGGGCCATACCCCGGGCTCGCCGGCGTCGGCGCCGTGTCCACGTTCGCTCGACGAGGCGCTTGCCCCGAGAGGCGAGTCTGGCCACCCGCCGCCACCGCAGCGCTGCCCGAAGAGCTCGTCTATCCTGCCGCGGCCGCTGTGCAGCCGCTGCGTAAGGCACCGGCGGCTCGTGTGCATCTTGCAGCGGCGGTGAGACCATCGAGGAGGGCAGCCGGCGGCTGCGCTGCCGCGGCCGCTGCATGGATGCAATTTGCGGGCGGCGAAGAAGCAGGCGGCGCCGCGCGACCCGGCGGCTCGGAGGCCGGCCTCCTACGCGCGCCAGCGCCAGAGCCCGAGGCCGCCCGCCGGCTTCTGTGGCGGCTGCTGCAGAGTGGCCACCTCCTGCCGCACTCGCCATCCCGGCTCTCCATCGCGGCAACCTGCAGCGACCGTGCGCGCCGCCGGGCGTCTGGACTGCGGGCAGCAGCGCAGCCGGCACTACACGTGCAGCCGTTGCAGCGCCGTCGCCGCGCCCGCACTCCGCCGTGAGCGCACGGCCAGGGCTGAAATTTGTGTGGCAGCAGAGGGGAGAGTGCGGGAGCGCTGCGAGAAGAAGCACTTTGCGAGCCTCCGGCACTGTACCTCCGCCGTGTTGCGCCCCTGGCCCCTGGGCGCTGCTATATAACCTGCTCGCCCTCTCGCAGCGCCTTTTCGTGTCTCCTCACCCTTTCTCACCCACCCCTTACCATCCACACGCCTGCAACCATGGCGTTCGGAAACGACCTCGATGCTGTGCGCACACAAAACTTGCGGCATGCTCTGCAGCGGCTGATCCCATCCTTCCCGCGCAGTACGCCGGCGCGTCGACGTCGCTCGCCCTCGTCGAGAAGGCGCGCGCGCGCAGCTTCCTCGGTGTCTCGTGGGGCGAGTGCAAGCTGCTCATCATTGCGGGTGTCGGCTTCCTCATGGAGTGAGTGCAGGACCAGATTTTGGCGCTTGCGGCGGGCGGCGCTGGGCATGTGCGGCGGCAGTGCGCGCACCTGCTCAGCTGCGATGCGCTCTGCGCGCGCACGGCCGCACCGCAACCCTCCGCCTTGGACCGCTCCTGACACGCCTGTGCACAGCGCCTACGACCTGTTCATCGTCAACATGATCTATGCCATCATCCTCGTCGCCTACCCCGCCTTCCACGGCAAGAAGAACATCACCTGGGGCCTCGAGGGCGGTGTGCTCAAGGCCTCGGCTAACATCGGCAACGTCGTCGGCCAGCTGCTCTTTGGCTTCTGCGGCGACGCCTTCGGCCGCTCGGCGGTCTACGGCAAGGAGCTCATCATCGTCATCGTCGCCGTCATCATGATCATCAGCGTGCCCGACTACCTCGGCGGCGTCGGTGTCACGGCGTGGATGACGGGCTTCCGCTTCCTCATGGGCATTGGTGAGTGCAGCAGCGAAGTGCGGCAGGGCGTTGGAGGCCTGCAGGCCCAGTGCGGCAGCGCAGTTGAGGCTCGGCTGCGGCGCGGCAGTGCAGCCTTTCACACCAGCATGTGCTGACTCTGCTCACCAGGCATTGGCGGCGACTACCCGATGTCGGCCTCGATCGTCTCAGACCGCGCGCACGTCAACAAGCGCGGCACGCTGCTCGCCATCATCTTCTCGAACCAGGGCTGGGGCAACCTTATCGGTGCCGTGGCCGCCGTGTGCGTCATTGCCGCCTACCGCGGCCCCGTCGACGCCAACGACACGCACAAGCTCTCGGGCGCGTGGCGCATCCTGCAGGGCATCGCCCTCATCCCCGCGTTCGCCGTGCTCTACTTCCGCCTCACCCTCGTCGAGTCGACTCGCTTCACGCAGGCGCGTCAGATCCAGGACGACCCGGAGCTGCTCGCCAAGGCCTCGGCCGCCGGCGTCGTTGTCAGCGAGACGGAGTCGGACGACGACCTCGCCAAGAAGGACGGCAGCTTCAAGGCTGCTGAGAACAAGACGGTCGGCCTCGCCTTCGGCACCATCGGCGAGAAGCCGCGCAACGAGTTCTTCAGCTACTTCAGCGAGTGGCGCAACCTCAAGGTGCTCCTCGGCTGCTCGCTCTCTTGGTTCCTCGTCGACATCACCTTCTACGGCATCAACCTCAACCAGTCGACCATCATCTCGGCGCTCGGTTTCACGAGCGGCAGCACCTGGCAGAAGCTCATGCATGTGGCGACCGGCAACCTGATCATCACGTGTGCCGGGTGAGTTTGAGTTTTCCGGGAGGTTTGGAGCAATCGGGATGGGTCGCGCGAGGAGGAGGACGCGTCACATCGCGTCGCGCGCGACAAGGTTGCTCACGCGCGCCTCCGCAGCTTCCTGCCCGGCTACTTCTTCACGATTGCACTCGTCGACGTCGTCGGCCGCAAGCCTATCCAGCTCTTCGGCTTCCTCCTCAACGCACTCATGTTCGGTGCGTCATCCGCGCGCGCATCGTCGCGTCCGTCGCGTCCGCGCACTTGCTCACGCGTCCCTTGACCCTCACCAGGCATCCTCGGCGGCAAGTTCAACGAGTACAAGCCCCACACCAACCAGATCTTCCCCGTCTTCGTCTTCCTGCAATTCGGCTTCAACTTCGGCGCCAACGCCACCACGTGAGTAGAAACGCGTCGCGCGCGCCTCCCAAACCTCCTGCTGACCCCCCTCCCTCCCCTCCTCCTTCGTCCCGTAGCTTCATAGTGCCCGCAGAAGCATTCCCGACGCGCGTCAGAGCATCTGCACACGGACTTTGCGCCGCAACCGGCAAGCTAGGAGCCATTCTCGCGAGTCTCGGGTTCTCCATCCTTGCCGACCCTGTGAAGGGTATCGGTCAGGAGAAGGTGTTCTGGATCTTCTTCGCGATTTCCATTGCCGGCGCGCTTGTCACGCTGCTTCTCGTGCCCGAGACCAAGGGCTACGACGCCGACGAGGTCGACCGCAAGCGTCTTGCAGAGGCCCGCGGCCTTGGCGCCGAGGCGAACCACGAGGTTCGTGAGCTCTAAGCTCGACGAGGTGCTCGCAACGCGCCCGTCTCTCCAACCCTCTCTCTTTCTCGCTGGCAAACCCAGCTTCCTTCGTGTAATCACCTTGTAACCCATACCTCGCCTCGGCTTCAATCATCGCCTTTCGTTGTTCTAAGACTCTGCGTCGCGAGGACGCGCACGTTCGGGGTGCTGCCCACCGCGCGGCGCGTGCAGGCGCGCGTCGCGTCGGTTTTCACCCCGCCCTTCGCCAGCCTCTGCACCGCAGAAGAGCTACGCGCAGGCATAATGTTCAGCGGCACGAATGTGCAGCTCACTGCGCCTCTGTCAACGAACAGTCTGCTTCAAAACGTCAGAGCAGACGTATGAACGGGATCTCCGGCGAAGCGCGATATGGCAGGCGGAGCGGCACGCGCCCAGTCCAATTTAGCGTGGGAACAGTCCCACGCCAAGCCCCCGCCCGACCACGGCGCCTCACCGTCAGCGCCCACTCAGCCATGCTGCATCTCTACAGACCCTGCAGCGGTGGCGGCGGCCAGAAATAAGAGACAATGCACCGCACCAGGAATGCCGGGGTCCGCCAGACCCCCGCGAGCGGCGCGCGGTGAGGTGTGGAGAGGAAAGTGCGGCACCAGATGCATACGCCGCGCCAGGCCAGGATGTGCCGTGGCAGATCGCTCAACGAGGGCGTCCTGCCGCTGCGCCGACACCGCGTCACATCGTGCTCCACGACAGGTCACGCTCGTCGCGGTTCTCATGCTTTAGACAAGCTCAAAAGTGAGGTACGTCAGGTGTCAGGTATTCCATTACGGCCGCGTCAGGAACACGCGACAGCGCTCCTCCGCGCCGCCCGTAGGTACCAGCAGCTCGAGCACGTTCTGTCCGCGCCGGAGCTGCAAGCGATACGAGCTGTCCTTGGCCTTCACGGCGGCGCGCGGCGCAAGGAGGATCTCCTCATCCGGGTCCGGCTCGCCCTCCGCGTCCGTCTCGCCATCAGCGTCCGCCTCATCGACGTCCATCGGCTCGACGTCGCTGTCCTCCTCCTCCGAGTCTGCACGCTCCTTGGCGCGCCGCGAGCGTTCCTGCACGACGCGCGCGTTGAGCAACACCGTTGGCGTGCGCGCGCTCGTCTCTCCGTTGGAGGCCTGTGGTGGGCTTGTGCGGAAGCGCAGACGCACCTGCGTGCAGCCGGCGGGCAGCAGCAGTGCGTGCGCGCACGTCTCGCGGTTGTCGAGGCGCCAGCGCCGTGTGCCAGCCTCGAGCGTCAGACTCGCCACGCTCGGTGCTGCGCGCTTGCCGTCGACGAGCGCCGGACGCAGAGGATTCGGCGGCGCACCGACGAGGCGGCGTGGGCCGGGTGGGCGCGCGGGGTGCTGCTGCATGCCGGCCGGCGTAGCGAAGCCTGCGCCGTTGAACGACGGCGGCCGAGCGCCGCCGGGGAGCGGGCTGGCTGATGGCGCTCGGCTGGGCTGCGCGCTGGCTTGTGGCTGCGGCGGCACGGGCGGTCGGGCAGACTGCAGCCGCGGCGAGGCGTATGCTGGATTGAACGGCGCCTGCTGCTGCGGCAGCTGCGCGTACGGCATCGACGGCGATGCGCCGGGCACGGGCGAGTGCGCGTACGGCATCTGCTGCGGAGGGGGCCGAGGGTACGCAGCATAGTTGCCCTGCGGCGCGCCTGCAGGCACCGGCTGTCGCGGCGCAGGCGTGACCGGTGCGCCGTTGGGGCGAAAGGGCGGAATCTGCATGCGGCTCTGCTCGCCTGCGAAGTAGCCCGCACCCTGCGAGGCCTGCCATGCCATCGCTGCATGCTGCTGCTGCGGGTGCTGCTGCTGGTGCTGCTGCTGTTGCTGCTGCTGCTGCGGCGACGGCATGGGATGCATCTGCTGCGCCTGCTGCGGCTGCATGGGTGCGCCTGCCATGTGGATCTGCGGCGGCGAAGCGGCGCCGGCGGAGGAGAGGCGGTGCTGCGGCTGCGCGCTCATGGGCGCGGGTGAGTGCGCCGGACTGGCAGAGGGCCGCATCGACATGCGTGGGCTGGCAGAGGGACGCAGCGAGGTGCTGGCCGGCGGCGGCATGCTGAGATGTGCCGCTGGGATTGGCGGCGACGAGGCAGGCGCCGCCGCCGGTGATGGCGCGGCGAGGTCCGGCACGGTGCTCTTGCGCGTCAGCCTGATTTTCATCTTGCTCGGCTCGGGCGCAGGACTGGCAGATGTCGCCGCAGCCGCCGCGCCCTCCTTGGCCGGCGCAGCGGCACGGTCCGGCGGGATGGCCGACTGCCGCACGTCGTTGGGATCCAGCGTGAAGCCGTCGCGCAGAAGTGCGGGCACGGCGCCCGTCTCGATGTATTTCTGCCGCACCTGCATGTTAGTACCTCCTTCCGGGGCGCGGCGCTGCACCACCCACCCTGAGGTTCACCGCGTCCGTGTGCACCGGACTGCCATCCTCATTGTACCGCAGCGCATTGTCGACCATGAGGCTGAGATCGCTGAACATGGCATGCGGGTTGCGGTACTTTTTGCTGTTGAGCTTCTGCTCAATCTCCTCGATGGAGATGGGCTGCTCGATGACCTTGTAGTAGTCCGGGTACTCGACGCGCGAGGGCAGCTCGAGGAAGAACTCGCAGAGCAGCGTGCCGCTGAGAGAGAGAGCGCGCGTCAGTGACTGCACTCGACTCTCTGCACTGCTGCCCCCCCCCTCTACACTTTGTGCACTCACTTCTCGTCCTTGACGGTCAGCAGCGTCTTGAGGATGCTCTTGAGCACATTCTTCAGCAGCTTGCCGCGCGGCGCATTGAAGTCAAACGGCTTCTTCTGGCTGCTGCTCGGATCCGACGCCGGCTGCTGCGCCGCGGCCGGGGATGACGGCGCCTTCTTCTGCGCCGCAGTGCTGATCTGCTGCTGCTGCTCGGCCTCCTCGTCATCCTCTCCCTCTGCGTCTGCATCTTCATCGCCCGACTCGTACACTGCATTGGCAGCGCGCACCGCCGCCAGGCCGCCCGGCGCCTTCTCGAGCACGCGGCGCGTCTGCGACGGCGACTCGGGCCCGCCGAGCGAGGGCGAGGCACGGCCAAACTTGACGAGGTCGACGTATGTGTCCTTCACCACCGCCTGTCCACACACACCACCTTGGTCAGCGCCTTGCTCTGCCAGGGGCTGTCACTCCGGCACTCCAAACTCACGTGCAAAGCCCTGGCCTTGAGCCAGATGGGACTGTCGCGCAGATTGAAGCGCTTCGCATTGCCACACACCGTCTCGCAGTCGGCGCGCACCTCGCCAAACGAGGCGTAGGCGCGCTTCTCCAGGCGGCGCTCAATGTCGTGCAGACACATGGGCCGCCGGATGGTGGTGTAGTAGTCCGGATAGAGCGTGCGGGAGGGCAACTCGAGAAAGGGCAGCGCCAGGAGCGTCTCGTCGCTGGCCACGGCGGTCAGGACGTGCAGCGCTGCATATGCTGCGCGCACACCAACTCACTCGGGATCAATGCGGTTCAGCACGACGTCGAGGAGCGCGTAGCCCAGCTGCGTCACCTCCTCGGCCGGGCGCGCCTTGTCGTCGCCCTCGCGGATCGCAATCACGCCGCCGCCGCCGCGGCTGCTGCTGCTGGCGGCTGCCTCACTGGCGCCGCCGGAGCTCAGCTCGTCGGGCCGCGCACGCTTGCGCGCACCGTCGACGCTGCCGCTCGCTGCATCGCTGCTGCTCGACGCAGCAGCGGCAGCGGCGGCCGCGGCGCGCGAGGAGCGCTGCATCGCTGGCGTACGCCAGGCAAGGCCTGAGAGAGGCGGCGCTGAGGGACGGTGACGAGTGCACGCGTGAGGTGCGATGAGCTGTGTGCAGGCACGCGGAGCTGCAGCGCTGGAAGGAGAGGCGGCGGCAGGGCACGGCAAAGGGGCTGGGAGCGGGTCGAGGGAGAGGGACGCGACGCGCGCTGGAGCGCGCGTTGAGCGGCGTGGGAGCAGCGTGCCTGGCGCTGGCCGCGCCGCCGCCGCGAGGCCCAGCGCGCCACGTGACAGACCCTTGCGGCGTGCTGAGACGAGCTCGTCGTGCAAGGGCTGCCGCTGCAACTGCGCCTTGGCCTGCCCCAGCTGACGGCAGCTCGGCTCGCCTGCCTGTCCTGACGGGTGCAGGTCGCTGCGCGTGCGCAGAGGACATGGGCCGCCGGCTGCGGCCTTGTGTGGCCGCTGCGACGCGCGCGAGAGGCCGATGATCGACGGCGCAGCGCACGCCCAAGAGGCGCTCTGGCACAGCCGCAGCGCTTTGCTTCACACCTTTGCGTGCTTTCTCTGCCCGAGCCGGCGAGTGCAGCGAATAAGCGCCTTGCTCTTGAGTGAGGCTATACATAGGCATTCCCCGCAGCCGCAAGAGCGTGAGAGCGTCGTCGTGATGAGCCGGCGAGCTGCGGCTGCTGTTCATGCGACGGCGGCGGGCCGCCAGCCGAGCGCGGCGGCGTCCGCGTGATGCCGTGGGCAGCGGGCATGCGAGGCAGCGCGCAGAGAAAGGGCGCCGGCCGCCGCCTCGCGCTGCCGCTGCCTGCGCTGCCTGCCCGCACGGCCGTGGCCTGGCCCTGGCTCTGCGCTGGCCCTGCGAGATGCGCACGCCGCCTCCGCCTCCGCCTCTCCTCGGCCAGTCCGCAGCAGCCGCAGCCCTTCCCTCATCTTGTCCGCCTGTGCTCCCTCGACTCTCTCCACCACCTCGCCCTTGCACCCGCACACACCCTCGGCAGCCCGCGCAAGCCTCTCCGTCGGCCCACCCTCGGCCGCCGCGCACCCAGCCGGCGCCACACGACATCCGCACCCTCGCTCCCTCGTGCGCGCCTCGCCGCCTCGTCCTGCCAAGCACTCGCCCCGCAGCCTCGGCACAGCGTCCTCGTCACACGCGCCCAGCCTCGCCACTCCACTCCCATACGCGCGCGAACTCTTTGCTGCTCATCGTTCACTGCGCCCCCCGCCGTCGTCTGCTGCGCCCGCGTCGCCTGCCTCTGCCGCCGCCGCGCCTCGTCTGCGCATCCTCGGGGCGCGCGAGAGAGAGGGCGAGAGTCTAGTGCACCACCAGCAGCGCACGTCTGCTGGGGCATCCGAGTCTCGTGCTCGCCAGCACTGCGCCACTGCCGCAGCGTAAGCGCCACTCGCTGCTGCGCACGCGCCTGCGCTCGTCGCGCTTGCGTCGTCCTCTTTCGTGTGCGGTGCGTCTTTGCCAGCGCTGTGCTCCCCGCGCTGCGCCTACGCCTCTCACACTGCCTTCGTTCTCTCTGCCACGCATGTCCTCAGTCGTTCGGTGACGTCTCTCCTCCCCTGACGACTGCGCGCCCGCGCACGGCCGTGCCCCGCCATGCCTTCTTCGCCACCCACCTCCTCTCCGCCCGCCGCCGCGGCGGGCGCCTCCTCGTCGAGCGTGCCGAGCTTTCCCGCCGACCTCGCCGCTCGCCGGCCATCCATCGATGCGCGGCTCAGCCAGGCGGCGTGCGAGCGCGACCTGCGTGCACGCGAGATGCTCTCCGACACGTCCGACACCGAGTCTGGCCTGTCGCGCCCGCCGTCGCCCGACGCCGCACAGTATCCCAAGCGGCGCCTCGGCGGCGCGCAGTCGCGCGATGGGCTGGTAGTGCGCCACGACTCGAGCGAGCCGCTGCAGCTGGTGCGCGAGGCGAGTCCGTACGACAAGCCCAGTGCCGCGGGCACCACGGGCGTGGCGAGCTCGCAAGGCACAGCGGCCAGCGTGCCCGGCTCCAAGCGTCCCGATCCGGCGCCGCGCTCGTCGACGTCCAACGCCAGCTCGCGCGCCGCGTCGCCGCCGCCAAGAGCCATGTCGCCGCAGCCCAAGGGCGCCGGCACTACCAAGGTCAACGGCCGCACTGACACGCTGCGCGATGTGCCGCACGCCTCTGGCCCGGACTCGACTGCCGCTGCGCCACCCGTGGCTGCCGCTGCTTCGTCGCCGCCGCCAGTTGCTGCACCAGTGCAGGACAAGGTAAAGGACAACCGCGGCATGCTGCGCCGCATGCTCTCCTCCGCCGCAGGCGGCGGCTCGAAGGACGACGAGCGCGCCTCACGCACAGGCGGGCCGTCGCCCACGCGTCCCGACGTCGCGCGGCGCTCGGCGTCCAGCCGCGGCTCGACGCCGCCGGGCTCGCCGCGCAACGAGACGACTGACTCGAGTCTGATGCACGCCGTGCAGGGCATGCATCTGCAGCACGGCGGCGCCAGTCCCAGCTCGAGCGCGCCGCCGAGCCGCAATGCCAGCGTCAAGAGCTCCTCGCGCGCCGCCCACGCTGCCGAACGCGAGGCCAAGGACCCTGCGTCGGCGGGCGGCTCGCGCCTCACGGCGGCGGCGCTGCGCGACTGGGAAGCCAAAGGAGCGAGCAGCAAGAGCAAGAAGCGTCCTGATGACGCCAAGAGCTCTGCCTCGTCGACGCTGCGCGACATGATCATGGGCGCGCCGCTGCTCTCGCGCCGCGGCAGCAACACGAGCCAGGCGGGCAAGAGCGACGGCGCCGGCGGCAGCAAGAAGGGCAGCGAGAGCGGCAAGGAGACGGCAAGCCTGCTGAAAAAGTATGGCGTGTGCGAAAAGGCGGCCATTGGAAAGGGCGCGACGGCCGTTGTGAGACTGGCGCACAAGTGGGACCGCAGCGAGGAGAAGCTCTATGCCGTCAAGGTGAGCTTGCCCGTCAAGGGGTTGATGGCGGCTTCTCGAGTGCTGACGCCACTCGCTCGCGCAGGAATTCCGCAAGCGCAGAAAGAACGAGACGGAAAAGGAGTACGTCAAGAAGCTGACGTCGGAGTTCTGCATCTCGTCGACGCTGCACCACATCAACATCGTGGAGACGGTCGACCTGGTGCAGGACGAGCAGCGCCACTGGTGCGAGGTGATGGAGTACTGTCCCGGCGGCGACCTGTACGCGGCCATCAAGCGCGGCGGCATGTCGCAGGGCGAAGTCGAGTGTTGTTTCCGCCAGATCCTGCACGGCATCCACTACCTGCACAGCATGGGCGTGGCGCATCGCGACATCAAGCCCGAGAATCTGCTCCTCGACGCCACGGGCCACATCAAGATCACCGACTTTGGCGTCAGCGATGTGTTCCGCATGTGCTGGGAGAAGAGCACGCACTACTCAAAGGGCCTCTGCGGCAGCGAGCCGTACATTGCGCCGGAGCAGTTTGAGCTCAAGGGTGAGTGAGATGTGCGAGATGCTCGGAGGAGAGCCAGGCGCTGACGTGTTACTCTGTCCTTTGCAGAGTACGATGCGCGCCTCGTCGATGTCTGGGCCGCCGCCGTCGTGTTCTACTGCATGCAGTTCCAGGAGTGTGCGTACGCTCGTCCCCGCCCCCCATCCCGCCCTCCCCTAAGGGCGCGGCTCTTTCCCCCCCCCTCTTCTGGCCCTCTGACTGAGTCGCTGTCGTGCAGTGCCCTGGCGCGTCGCCAAGATGAGCGACCCGACGTTCAAGGAGTTCGTGCACGGCTACCACGGCTCTTCGGCGCCCTCGCCGCTCTCCAACCTCTCGCCGCGCGAATGTCGACCTCGTGAGTGGCTCCGGCGTGACTCGCAAGCCTGACCGCCAATGGTCGCTAACGCATGTCCCCGCGCAGTGCTCAAGAAGATGCTCTGCCCCGACCCCAAGGGCCGCATGTTCACCGAGGACGTCCTCAAGGATCCCTGGTTCCTCTCGACGCCCGTCTGTGGTGCGTGTTTGCTGCGCGCCTTGACACTCCTCTCACCTGCTGACTCGCGCGTGTCGCCGCTCGCAGAGAATGGAAACGCAGCAGACGGACATCGACACCTCGTCGTGGCGCCGAGCGCTTCATGACCAGTGTCTGGCTGGCTCGCGCTGTGTGCACACGAGCCAAGCTCCTCCCGTCAGCTGGGCGATCCCTCTCGATCGACCTCGCACATGGCCCCTTTCTTGTCACACATCGACCCGTCTTCTTTCTCTCCTGCATCCTTCCATCTTCTAGTCTTCAACGCCTCCCGCTCCGTCTCTCACACGTTCTCACGCCCAATGAGCTACGCAAAACACCGAAACGAGATGCCATTCCATGCGCAGAGAAGTCCTTGGCCAGAGAGCCCTATGCTCAGGCGTAACGCGGCATGTTGCGAGGCAGGGAGAAGGAGCATCGTCGAATCATCTACACGCACGTAAGGCGCAGCGGCATCTGCGAGGGGGGCAGTGAGTGTCGTTCAGCCGCCGCTCCAAAGCACCTGCCGATGAGAGGGACACGTCGACGCACCTGCATGCCGAGCTCCTCCTGTCCCTTGATGCGGCCGCGCACCACGACGCCCTGCTTCTGCTCCACCTCCCAGCCCTCGATGTGCTCGAAGCGCAGCTTGAGCAGCAGGCTGGCCAGCAGTGCCTTGAACTCCGTGATGGCTGCGCAGCTGTGTGAGCATCATCGGCAGGCACGCGCCCACGGCAAGACGCACCAAATCGGTTGCCGACGCAGCCGCGAGGACCCTCGATGAACGTGAGGAGATGCAGCGGGAAGCCGGCCGCCTTGGCCTGCTCCGGCACGTTGCGCCAGCGCTCGGGGTCAAATTCGTCGGCCGTGGGGCCCCAGAGCTCCTTGCTGCGGTTCATGTACTGCAAGGGGGAGAGAGGCGGGGTCAGGAGCAGGACGTCAGGGGCCAGAGAACGAGAGGCTCCGCACCTGGATGGGGATGAAGCTACACAGCGCAGAGGCACGCAGTCAGCAGATGCACGAGGGGCATGCGCAGGGCGCAAGGCACGCACACGTCTTGGCCCTTCTTGAGCTCGACGTAGCTGAACGAGCCCTTGCCGTCGCTGCGCGGATACGGCTTGCTGAGCGGCACCACGTCGTCCTTGACGAGAGTGCGACGAGTCTGGAGAGCGCAGGCGATGTCAGTGGCCACGCGTCTGTGCGCGTCTTGCCGGCACGCACCGCCACGACGGGCGAGATGTAGCGCATGATCTCCTTTGTGACAAAGTCGAGGTACTCGAGGTTGTTGAGCGCATCAAAGTCGAGCTCGTCGCGCCCCGCAAAGTGCTCCACCAGCTCGTCGCGCAGCCGCTGCTGCATGGCCGGGCGCGACGAGAGCACCCAGAGACACCACGAGAGCTGCGTCTGCGTCGTCTCGTGGCCTGCGAGGATCAACGTCGTCAATCTGCGCAACAGGATCAGCTGGGCGCCAGTACGCGACGAGAGGCAGGCCGCTCTCACTGGCCAAGAAGCTCTGCATCAGAGAGGCGCTCGGAATCCTTGATGTCCGACGCCATGTCTGGGCATGCGTCATCAGCATCGCAGACGCGGCGCGCAGCACCCTTGGTGACCCACTGGAGCGCAGCATGAGATGCAGCAAGTCGCGGCCCGACGAGGAGCGAGCATCCTCAAAGGCGCCCTTGGTGAACGTCTTGCCGCTAGCCTGCTTCTCGCTCTCGCCTGCGGCCTCTCTCAGCTCCGCCGCAATGGCCTCGCGCTAGGGGCGGCTGCAGCGTCAGCAAGCGCACAGCGTGCTCACGCAGACGACTGAGGCGCACTTTCTCTGCAATGATGCGCTGCGAAGAGCGCTCCAGCACGGCGTATGTGGCGCGCATCAGGCGCTGGCGCTGCGTCGGCAGGTCGCGCACCCAGGCCATGCCCGGCAGCGTCTGCAGGTAGACTGCGAAGCGCATGGTGAGCACACGAGAGCGTGGCCGAGGCCCGTCGAAGGACGCACACTGCAAGATCTGCACCAGGCCAATGTCCACCGTCGCAGACATCATCGTGTCTGTCGCTCGGTCAGCGGATGCGGTGAACGCTCTCGTGCGCAAGCACACTGACTGAATGCAGCAGCGACATCGTCGCCCTTCGCGATGCCCTCGAACTCGTCGATCGCCTTGAAGTCGAAGCCAAAGCCAGCTTCGCCGATGATGCTGCGGGCCGGATCGTGTCAGCTTGCCAGTCCGACGTCAAGTTAGGCCCAGGCGCACGCACTCCAGCGTCGTCTTGCTCAGCCAGGCGCTGACATCCAGCACCAAGCTGCCCTTGCCGCACTTCTGTGCGCTCAGTGCGCTCTGGCCCGGCACGAAAGGCGCATCTTTCGCCTCGCTCGTCTCTGCCGTGAGGCGCGCCAGAATGGCAGAGGTGCGGTTGGCATGCTTGAAGAAGACGGGCGTGAGGTCGCGGATCGAAGAGAGGTTGAATGCCGGCTGGATGATGCGCCGCTGCCGACGATGCACGTCGCCTGGGTGACAGAGTCTGTCAGCTCACACAGGCATGTGTGCGGGGCTCTCGACAGGCGCTTCTCACCCTCAGCGACGAGCACGCCCTCGCCGAGCAGGTTCTTGAGGAAGCGCCGCACGTCGCCCGGCTTGGGGTATTCGTACGAGTGGGCCGCACCGAGGATGTGGTTCAGAGCGCCGGCGTCGCCGAGCCAGAGGCGCGGCGTGTAGAACATGGAGCTGCGCCAGGGGCGTCAGCAGCGGCGAGGCGGCTGACAGAGCCGGCTGCCGAGCACAGGCTGGCCAGAGGTGAGGACTGTCGCAGAGCAGAGCCGGCTGCCGAGCAGCGCACACGCTGGCCCGTCTGCTCCAGAGCGAAGCCAGTCCTACACCCGCAGATGTTCCGCCAGGAGGCGTACACAAGGGGCACTTGCGGCGGCAGAGCCCCTCTGGCGCAGCGGCCCTCCACATGTCGCTGCACGCCCTCGACCTGTCGCCGCCACGCCCTGCACTGACCGATAGACAAAGACATCGCCCAGCTCGCGGCCCCACGCCAGGTGCTGCTCGGCGGGCGGCGCGCGCTGCACGGCGCCGAGGTCGCCAAAGACGAGGGAGCGCAGCCAGGCGTCGGCGTGGCGCGGCTGCGGCAGGTGTGCGTACGTGTCGAGGCGCAGCGCCGCCAGCACGCGCCGATACACGGCCGCCAGCACAAAGGCCAGCGGCAGCAGCAGCAGCGGCGATGCGAGCACGCCGAGTGCGAGGAGCAGCATGTGTGCAGAGCGTGATGGGCGAGGATGAGGACGGGAAGGCAGCGCGCACCTGCCACGGCCGGCCAGAAGGTCAGCTCAGCATCAGGTGCGAGCCGGAGCGCCAGAGGCAGCGGAGCGGAAGCGCCGCGGCGCGCCTCGCCCTCACGCCTCCACAGCGCACACAGGCAGCAGCGCAGCATGCAGCTCTTGTGCTGCACCCCGCAAAGGCAAGCCGCCTCGCGCTTCGAAGGCGCTGCGCAAGCGCTGCAACACCGCTGCTGAATGCCGCTGCTCCGCGGCTTTGGCCTCAGCGCCGCGGCTCAGGGGGGACGCCTCGCCTCACTCGCAAATGCTGGCCACGCCTCAGCGCGCTCTGGCACGCAGCGCAGCGCAACCTGGCAGCATCGAGCGGTGAGGACCGGCGTCGCCAGCCGGAATGTGGCGTGACGAAAAGGTGTCAGCGCAAGGCTCTTGGTCTGCTGCTCCCCGCACCATCTGGTCGCCACGGGCGCACGCCCCAGACGCGCCTGCTGCTGACGCAGAGCGCGCCATGAGGAGAGCCGCTCGATCGCCTAGGGGTCGCGCTTATGCTCGATCTCGAGCTAAGCAAGGGCCCATCGTGACACACAGCAACCCTTTGCAAGCCTTCGCACGAGAACACGTCTCTTTCGCCCTCAGTCGCAATACACGTGTCCTATGCCCTGGGTCCCTTCGCCGCCGTGTCGTCGTCCTCGCTGCTGTGATCTATATCTGCGTGGTCAGTGTGTTCAGTGGAGACCGTGTCGTCGCTGCGGGTAGGGCAGTGCTGGTAAGCAAAGGCCAGCTCAAACTCGCCGGCAGACAGGAGACGTATCTTGACGGATGCTCCGGCAGCTCCTTGCCCTGATGGCTCAGCTCGGCGCGCGCTGATTCTATCACAGCGCGGATGAAGGCCAGGACAGACCGGTCGCGCTCCACCTTAGATGGACTCAGAGGCTGACTCGCCCTTCCGAGATCGATGAGACGTACGTCGAGCCGGATGGCTTGGAGCTGCGGCGACGAGCCGAAGACCGGCGACTTTCGCCGGGAGACAGGGCTGCCGTCACTGCCTGGCGAGTCGCGGCTGAACAGGCTCGTCTTGGGCTTGTGTAGACGGGGCGCCTCGAGGGTCACACAAACATTGTCGAGGTGGAGATCGCCATGTGACTACTCGAGCTGGTGCAGCTTGTTGACGTGCTAGCGGAAGCCTTGCTCAGCCGCAGAGCATTTACCGCACGCACTAGCATTCCCCATCTCAAGAGCGTCGAGAAGGAGAGTGCCGGACCCGCTGCGAGCCAAGTGCAGGAGAATGGCGCCATCCCCCTTGTCCAGCGGAGAGCCGACGTCTTCGAGTATCAGCGCAGATCCATGTTCGTCTCTGCCGTACACGCGCGGCAGCACGTCTCCCTGCCCGTGAGCACCATTGTCAGGTTGCCTGTGATGTTGGACGCTGTGTCAGTACAGCGAAAGGCGGGCAGACGCACGCATGCAGCTGAGCAGCGGCAAGCCTGCGCGGTAACGCAGCAGTCTGTTTGCCGAAGAACTGAAGCGTGTACTGCGGCCTCTCCGAGCGCATCGCTGCGACTCTTCTTCACCCAGGGTCGTGCACCGGTGAGAAGGCAGAAGGCTCGGATAGCGTGATATCATGTTCGGCCGAGTGGACAAACAGGATGCAATGAACGTGGACTGCGAGCGGTTCGTTCTGCATCTCATATACACGAGCTCCTCCCCCGTCATCACGAGCGCACACGTTGCGCCAGTCGCTGTCACCTCAGAGAGCACCTGGCTCTGCAGCGTAAGCTTCTTCTCGAGAGGTCTGCCTCTCGTTGAGAAGGGCGTGCTCGAGAAGGCGGCTCTGGATGAATGGCCTGGCCGCGACGACGCCGATGATGGTCCATGCTGCGGCTCGTCCCGCAGATGCGCGGCCTCGAGAATCGCGAGACACAAGGTAGAAATCGGCCTTGTCCTTGCGACATGGCTCCACGCTCAGTGTCAGACGCGGCAGTCGCCCACCGCGGACACAGAGTAGCTGTCCCTGCGTCGCATGAAGCAGCAGACAATTCGATGCGGCCAGGACGCCGTCCCTGCTGCTTTTGCAGGTCGTCCTCGCCTTGCTACACACTTTTGTCGTAGCTCTGCTCCGTCGGCTGCGGCGGCCCAGAGCTCCACGGGCCCGTCGGCTGCGGCCCCCTGCCGTGCGGCTGAAGCTGTCGTGTGGGGCGCTCGAGCACGGCCTGGTGCCTAGACTGCATTGAGCTCGCGGACGGCGATGCGGCAAAAGATAGGAGAGCAGACTCGGCAAACTGAACAATCGGCGCCCCTACGTCGCTGAGCAATGTCGCGATGCCCGTGGCGGGCAGCGCTAGCCTACAGTCCCGGCGAGAAGAGCAGCGAAAGTTGTGGCCAGGAGCTCGTCGAGGCGCCGCTCGAGGACGCTCTCAGCGGCGAGACGCGGCCGCGGCGAGCCATCGGAGGCTTCGATCGCGAAGCGCGGCAAGAGCAGCTTGTCGAGCCCGCTGTCTGGAAAGGGGTCGGCGTCAAGGAGCTTGACGTAGATTTTCGACGTCTCGGGCGTCGTCACCTTGTTCTGGCAACGCTTTGCCCGGTACACGGTACAGCTGGCCTCGCTGAATACCAACTCCCTCACGTCCAGCCCGGATTCAACACCTTTGAAGGTGAGCGCAGGATGGAGCGGCTCTAGGTCCGGCGTCGTGGCGAGCAGACGACTTGTGGTGGGCAAGTGCAGGTGCAGCGCATGGTATTTGGCGTGTGCGATCACAGCGGGGGGTTGTGGCGGCATGATGAGACGCCGACACGGGCGGCTGAGAGTAGGCGCACAGAGCGGGAGCCAGAGGCGAGTGGCGGGCCGGCGCAGCACGCAGCAGATGCAGGATGGCGGTGGGTCAGATCGGCGCTGCACGGCATCTAGATCGCAGCTCCTCTTGAAGGGCAAACGGCTCGGTGCTGAGCCGCACTCGGCTCATACTTGCCTCTGGGCCATCGAGCGTGTCATCGGCGTGTGCAGGTGGCGCCGCGTGCGGCGCGGGGCGAAGCGGCGAGGCGCATCGTGCTGCTCCCTGGCGCAGAGAAGGAAGCCCAGCGGTCTCTCCGATTCTGGTTCTTATTGCGCCGTACTGCTGCACTGCATCCGGTCGGCAGTCTGCCACCCCTCAGCGGCAGCAGATTGCCCTTGCGTGCTGCATGTGGCCTGACGCGTGAGCGGCACGGTGAGCGCTGGCGCTGGCTGAGCGCTGGGCCTGGCGGGTAACGGGCGCAGCGGCCCAGGCGTGGGAACAGTAGCGCCGAGCACCGCCGCGCGCACGCACCTCGCCGCTCCGTCGCTTCTCACCACCACATCCAGCTCAAGCGCAGCGCTCTGCATCACAAGACAGTCCGACGCTCCTCGCACGCCTCGCTGCAGACCCTGCACTGCGTCACTCCTCAACGTCAACGTCCAGCAGCAGCAGCAGCAGCAGCAGCAGCAGCAGCAGCAGCAGCAGCAGCAGCAGCAGCAGCAGCAAGACCCTCGCACGCCCGCACCTCGTCCGCGCCGCTCTCTCCCATCTGCACCGCGCACACGAAGCACGCTGTAGTAACCGCTGGCAGCGTCGGCATCCGGGCCCAAACCTTGCCTCCTCTGCATCGGGTCGCGCGAACCAGCTCTCGCTCAACGAAGCAGCTGCCTCGTCGCTGCATTTGCCGGTCCGTCGTGCCGAGCGTGCGGCATAAGAAGCAGCCAGCTCGCCACTCGACCGCCGCCGCCGACGTTCGCTGTTTTGCGTCTCCTCTTAGCTGCCGCCGTACTTCGCTGTCTCGCCAGCTTACCGACGACGGCTAGCTTGCTGTTCAGATCCGGCTTTCCACTCGCACATCAAGCCTGCTGTCATGCCGCACGCCTTTGTTGCCTTCGTCGAGGACGACGAGCTGCACGTGCGCGTGCCAACAACAAGCCTCGCTCTCGCAACCTCTGAAGACCTCGAATCGTTGCACCCTGCGCTCACCTTTGGGGCACTTAGGGTCGCCGGCTCATCGAACATCAAGAAGTCGTCTGCCGCCTCATCGAAGAGCAAGAGATCGCCCGCCGGATCATCCGCCGGACCATCCTCCGCCGGGCGATCATTTGTCCAGCTACCCGAACCATTCACTGTCGCAGGCATGCAGGCGTACCGCAAGAAGCGGAACAATAAGATCAGCGAACAAACGGACTCCATCGAGCTCGTCACCCTCTCCGCGAAGCTCGATCTGTCGCTGCTGCCGAACATGCTGCGAGTCGCGTCTGACACTGGGGAAGCAGCCACGTCACTCCGGGCAGCCTCGCCACGGGCTGCAAGCGAGACGCTTCTCGGGCGTCGCATCGATGAGCTTCTGGCGTCGGCCCTCAACCACTTGCTTGCCGCGCGTGACGTGCCTGGCGATGCCCACGGAGAATCCTGGCTCTGCTTGTCGTATCTACCTATCGTAGCGGAGCTCGGATCGAGCACTTCGTTGGCGCCGTTCGCCATGTCTGCGCCGCTCAACTTCATGGTGCAGCAGCAAGCAGACCTGGCTTGCCGGCGCCAAGACGCGCTCGAGGCAGCGCAAGAGCGCAGCATCAGGCAGCTCAAATCTAACTCTCGTCCGTCGGCCTCGTCTTCGCTCATCACAGACGCCGCACCGCGCAAGACGCTTCACACACACCAGCATTGGGCGGAAGAGGGCGACCTGCAAGCGAGACTGCAGCAAGGCGTGCTCGCAGCCTCGAACGTCATTCTACGCTACGCTGCGACAGGCGATGCCGGCGAGCAGATCGCGCCGCTCCTTTTCTGGACGCGCGAAAAGACGCTCGGCAGATATGTGCTCTCTGAGCAGCCGGACATGAAGGGGGAGCCCGACTTCTATCTCCTGCGTCGCATGCCGGATGGAGAGACGTGGACGATCATCATGGTCGTGGAGATCAAGCCGTGGGTAACGCGTGAGTTCCTCGTGCAGACCTTCTCGAGCAGCAGCAACGCAAAGCGCGCCGAGAAGCGTGCAAGGCGTTCACGTACGGGCGAGGAGGCCGCCGGGACCGGGACGCCTACCAGCGTCAGCGGCCAGCAGCAACTGCGCACCCAGGTCCTCAAGTATATTGCCGGGACCGCAGCGACCTCTGCGCTGGTATTGACTGGTGAGCCATTTTGAGGCTTCGCACTGCGTACCTCCTTCTGACCCTGCTCCACCACAGGCGAAGAGATACTGTTCATGGAGGTCAAGACCAGCACAGCGGAAGGCCGCGACTCGCGCTTCCAGTTCGACGTTGCTGCGCACGAGACGATCTTTGCCCACTCGGCTGCAGAGTACGAAGAGCCGTCAGGTGAAACCTGCGTCGTGGTGCAGGACCGTGAGTTGCTGTTGTTGCTGTCTCTGGCACCGACAAGCGCTGACCCGGCTCCAGGCAACATGACGATGGCTCTCACAGGGCTCGCCCTCGAGGCCAGTCACGTCTTCTCAAGCTCTCCACCGCGCAAGCCGTTTCGACTCAGCACTGCGGTGGCAGAGCTGCTCGCAGCGCTCGCAGCGATCGAGGCCATGAAGCAGCAACAACGACAGGGCGCTGAGAGAGAGAGTGGCGAGCAAGGCGACGGCACCGAGGGAGAGAGGGAAGAGCAAGGTGAAGACAACGAGGGAGGGAGCGAAGAGAAAGGCGCCGGCACCTCGAACGCAGGGCAGGGAGAAGAGCCGCCTGCGCCGCCCGGTCTCGGCATCAGCGGTGCCGCATTTGGCGCGCAGGCCATCGAGCGCACCATGGTCTCGCACCGCGCCATGGTCTCGTACTGCGACGACCCTTTTGCGGAAGGACGCACGGGCACCGCGCACCAAGGATGCGTCTCCGTCGGGCCTCGGCCCCAGCCCGGCCAGATCTTCTGCGTGGACATGATCCAGCGGCGCAACGCGCTGCCGGGCTGTGCAGCGCGCACCTGCTCGACTCCCGGCCACACCCCGATCGTCGCCAAGCAGGGTCGCCGCCACAAGTTGCTCGAGGAAGAAGAGAAGCTCTACCAGGAGCTCAAGGCGCTGCAAGGCAGCGTGCTGCCGAAGCTCCTCGGTGTCCACGGCGACACGGGCGCACTGATCTTCGAAGACGTCGGCAGATCACTCGACTCCGAGCTGCTCTCCGAGTTCCTCGAACTCGGGTTCGCCTCGCAACTCAAAGATCAGCTCACAAGCCATGTCGCTGCTCTTCACTCTCGTGGCTACGCTCACCACGACATACGTCTCGACAATGTGTGTGTGAGGCTGAGCATGAAGAGCGAGCTGAAGTCTCGGTCCGCTGCATCTCCTCCGGTCAGCGTCGAATTTGCCTCGCCGTCCTCGTTTTTGTCATCGCCCTCGCTGCAGTCACGCACGGCTTGGAGGATGAGTATGCTTCTTCACGTGCGCCTTATCGACCTTAGTCACGCCGGCAAGCTCAACGAGGTCGCCATCCAGCTGGGCAGGACCGAAGATGACATCAAGAAGGGCGAGCTCCGGAAGTGCAAGGCACTCATCGACGATGCCCTCGAGAAAGTATGCGCGGTGCGGGCACAGGAGGGCAGATCACCGCCGCCGTCGCATCCGTCGAGGTGCGTGACAGGCGCGGGTGCTGGCGCCACTGATCTTTGCTGACGCTACTCGCAGCGACGACACGGTCTACACCGCAGACACGGAGCACGAAGGCGTGGACGACACTGAGGAGGCCGGCACTAAGGGACAGCGCGCGCCCGAGGCGCCCGAGGATATGGCGGCTGAGGGAGGCGAGGCATAGAGCGGGGGGGGGCAGTCTCATGGCATTTGAGCGGGCGCTGCGTGATGTCTGTCTCGCTCTTCTCCTGTCTCTCTCGCCGCGCATCTGATGATCGAAGCGGAAAGGCGGCACGCTCACGTCTCCGTCTGCAGCGCCTCGTGCCCCTGCGATGCCTGCGCCACCGTCGGCGGCGGCGGCGGTGCGGGACCGGGCGGTGGCGGCAACGATGACGGTGCCTCGAGGTGTGGCTCTGCCTTCTCCACTGCCGCCGCCGCCGCCTCCGTCGTCGCTGCAGCAGGTGTCGGTGCAGCGTCGTTCTGCACGTTTGACGACGGCGGCGGCGGCGCAGATGCAGCTGCCGCACTTGCCGGCGATGCAGCAGCAGCAGCCGAAGGCGCCGTCGTCGAGGGAGAGTCTTGCATCTGCTCGTCTGCCTTGCCTGCCTCACCATTCGTCTGCTCCAGCGGCGGTGCGTGCGGCTCCTTCTGCTCCTCCTCTCGCGGCACGCGTCTGGCCGAGCCTCGCAGCGCCAGGGCGCCGCCGCGGCCTCGCGGCGCACGGCCGCCCCTCAGCAGCGCGCCCACGGCGGCGCCCAGGCTTCTCGTGGCCGCTCGCACCGCCGGCGGAGGCGTGGCGCGTCTCGCCACTGCAGGTGCAGTTGGTGGAGGAGGCGGCGCCTTCGTCGCTGCCGCATCGGCCATCTCGGCATCGCCGTCTGCCGGCGAGCCAGCCTCTTTGCTTGCTGGTGCAGCAGAAGCAGAGACAGGCCTGGCAGTGCCTCGAATGCTCACGTCGGCGCGCTTCGGGAACGGCTTGTCGGGCCCGTAGATGCGGCCATTGGGCCCGCGCTGCTCCGGCGGCACCTCAGGCGTCGGCCTTCGTTCGCGACGCGCAGGCATGGAGGGCACAGCACGTGAGGCATCGCGTGTCGGACCCCAGCCGCGCTCTCGTGGCGGCGGCAGGGGCTCATCACGACGCCGAGAGGAGGAGGAGGAGGAAGGATACTCGGGCCGATAGCTGTCGACTCCTGTGCTTCCTCCCAGACCAGCGGCACGCGCATGGTGCGGCGGCAAGTCGCGCGCGCCACGCTCGTGGCGCGAGGAAGCGTAGCGTCGATCGTCGTCTTCGTATCGTCGACGCTCGTCGGGCAATGCGGTACGCCGCTCGCGCTCCTCGCCATAGTTGCGGCGCGGCGGCACCTCTGCGTATCCGCGCTCCGCGCCGCGAGCCGTACGTGGGGGTGCACCTCGCTCGTCGCGGAAGGGAAGAGGCGCACGCCGCTCGTCGCGATGGTGAGGCGCAGGAGGCGCACGAAGAGGCGGCGCGCGATTGCGAGGAGGCGCAACGGCGCGCACGTAGATCGTGCTGCCGCCAATGTGGCCCTTGTGCATGGCGGTGGCGGCACGCCGCGCCTCAGAGGCGCGAGTGTAGACGACGTGGGCAATGCCGACGTCGGAACGGCCTGTGGAGGAGCGATGTGAGCACCTTGCGCTTTCGAGCGCAGCAAGATGTCGCTCGATGCCTGGCGCATACATGCATCGGCTGGCCAACTGCTGCCTCTTCATGCTCCCAGCTTCTGTCTGCTGCCTCTGCCCCACGACCCGCTCCCTCTCAGTGGCAGCACCAACTCACCATCAAAGCGCGGCATGACGACCTCATCGACCTGTCCGTACGCGCGAAAGATGTAGTGCATCTGCCCCTCCCGCACGCCCCGCTCGATGCCCTCCACCTCCACCGCCGTGCGCTCGTCTTCCTCCTCATCTCGCCGTCGCCCGCTGCGCACTGGCAAAGGCGAGCGCGAACGACGCGGACTCCTAGATCGGCTGCGGCTTCGAGAAGAGCGGCTGCGAGAACGGCTGCGAGAGAGAGAGCGAGTGTAGCTGCGCGTGTAGGAGCGCGTGTAGCTGCGTGAGCGCGAGCGCGAGCCGCGGGGCGAACGACGTGGCCGAGGCGAGTAGGAGCGGGAGCGGGAGCGAGTGTAGCTGCGGCTGCGACTCCTGCTTCTGCTCATGCTGTCGGCGCTGCGGCTGGCCTGGCGGCCGCGCGGCACGGGTGCCGGCGAGACGGAGCGCATCTCGGCGTCGTCTGCGCGGGCGCTGCGGGCGCGGCCGCGCGAGGCGGACATGGCGCGAGGCTGCAGCGCAGAGGAAGGAGGTGCGGCGGTTTGTCAAGCGAGAAGGGAGGCAGAGAGAGAAGCGGAGGAATGGATGGAGGAGGGGAGGAGGAGGAGGCGGTGATGGGTGGGAAGAAGCGCGGCGCTGTCTTTGTGCCGGCTGGAAGACTCGCTGGAGGCCGTGCGCCGCCATCGCACGTGACGCGGCGCGCGCGGCGGCTCGGCTGCAGCAGCGGCACAGACAAAGGGGAGGGCGCCGTCGCGCCGCAAGCGCCTTGCGCCCTCTTCCCGTCCACCACACTCGCCCTCTTCCCGTCCGGCCACGCCCTCTCGTCCATCGCGCAGTCCGCCTTCCGCACCTCCTCCCTCCTCCGGCAGCGAGGCGCGCGCGCTGGCGGACCGACGACGCGTGGCGCCCACTCAGCTCGCTCAGCTTGCTCAGCTCGCGCAGTCACGCTCGGCCGCCGGCCCAAGCGCAGCTGCCGCCCTCTCGGTCGCGCCTCGCATCTCTCTCTTCCTGTCCTCCGGCACGCTCCACTCGAGCACACCGCAGTGCGGCGCTCGAGCATCGACACCGTGCACGCGCAGCACGGCACATCAGCAGCACGGCGCGCCCGCAGCACGGCGCATCCGCAGCACGAAGACGGCACACCAGCAGCACAGCGCACCCGCATCGACACTGCGCCCCTGCAGTCGCACCGTAGGTGTCCTCCACGCCCTCGCACCTGCCCGTTTGCCAGCATCGCCTCGTCTCGACGCACGCCATTCGCACTCGGCAGCGCTCGTGATATCGTCTACGCACGCACGCCTGCTCTGCTCGTCGCAGTTCTGACCTCGCAGCTGCACGAGCGTAGCGCTCTCGCTCGCAGCGAGCTCGCTGTCCCGCCATGTCGTACCGTTCGCCGTACGACGGCACCGATGCGCGGCGCGATGGCAGCTTGCGCCGCGACGTCAGCGGCAGCTACAGCCGCGAAGGCAGCAGCAGCAGCTACGGCAACTACGGCGCTCGCCGCGACGACAGCTGGGGCCGTCCGCCGTCGCGCACGGCAGACGAGCGCGAGCGCGGCCGCGACGACGTGCGGCACGAGCGCGAGCGCAGCGAGTCGTGGCGCAGCAGCAGCACCAGCGCCCGTCCGGCGCCGCTTCCGCCCTACGACCCGCCGCCGCCTCGTCCGTCTGCCGCGCCGCGCACCGCTAGCACCGACGCTCGCCCTCGCACTGTCAGCACCGATGCTCGTCCTCCTCCTCCGCGCGCCACCATCGACAGGAGCAGCGACGCTCGCAGCAGCGAGGCGCATGTCAGGACGAACAGCAGCAGCGACGCCCGCAGCGGCGAACCGCACGTCAGGAGCATCAGCAGCAGCAGCGCCGGCGCCGGCGGCAGCGGCACGAGCAGCAGCAGCTTGACGACGCTCGTGCAGCAGCTGGTGGAGGCGGGAGATAGGCACGCAGACGCGCGCGTCAGGGACAATGAGGTGAGTGCTGCTGCTGCTGCTGTCGCGTGGCCTCGCTTCTCTAACACTGTCTGCAGGCGCGCGCCGCTCTGCGTGCTGCTCGTACGGAGCGCGGCAGCCTCAGCGACGCCGAGTACGCCGTGCAGATGGCGAACCATGGTCTCTTCAAGGACCGCGCCGAGAAGGCGCAGCAGGATGCGGCAGCGACCAAGGAGGCGTACCACGCCGCCTTCCGTCGCCTGCTGGAGTCCGCTCGCGCGTCTGCGCCGCCGCCGCCGTCCGGACCTCCGCCTGCAGCACTCTCGACTGCGCCCTCTTCGTCCGCCGCGCCCTCTACGTCCGCTGCGCCCTCCACGTCTGCCGCGCCCTCCACGTCCGCTGCGTCGACTGCGACAGTTCCAGCCGCGCCGAGGTCGATGGCTGCTGCGCTTGCAGCTGTCACAGGCGTACCGACTGGGCCGAGGGCAGATGCGACGGCGGCGTCGTCGACAGCAACGCCGGCAGTGACGGAGAAGACGCACGAGAAGCTCCTCGAGAAGATCAAGGAGCTCAAAGTCGAGGTGGACTCGTACCGCAGCGACACGGACTCGCAGATCAACTCGCTGCACGGCGACCTCGAGGAGATCGTGCGCGTCGCCATCGAGAATGCGCAGGAGCAGGCGCGCGAGCGACAGCAGCAGCGCGCGGCCAAGCGCCGCGCCATGGGCACCAGCACTCCGACGCTCTCCTCGACGCACTCTCCAGCGCCCATGGCTCCGCCGGCCGCGCCTGCAGCTGGGCCCGTCGTCGACCAGGCAGAGATGATTTCGCGCATCTGCGGACGCCTCGACCAGACCGTCAACTCGCGCATGTCCGAGCTCATCCGGCGCGTCGACGGCGATGTCGCCCAGCTGCGCGCCACGCTGACTGCGCTCGAGACGCGCGTCGAGAGCCAGGCGGCGCCACACTCGAACGGCGTCGTCGCTGCGCCTGCGCCGGCGCCGGCCAACGGCGACGCCGCGCGTCTGACGCAGGAGAATGCGGCTCTCCACATGCGCGTGCAGACGCTCGAGCAGAACATGGCCGGCATGAGCAACCTCGTCGCCTCGTCGGTGCAGACGGCGCACCAGGCGCGCGAAGAGATCCAGCTCGTGTACAAGTGGCTCGCAAACGTGCCCGACCCAAGCACCGGCCGTGCCTTCGACTAAGCTGCGCGCCGCTGCCCTGGTCCTCAAGTGACGCTGCGGCCCGCCTTCGCAAGATCGCAGCTGGCCGCGTACGCTCCCCCCTCCGCCACCCCCTCCACACGCGCCGCCATTCCCGTCCACATCATGTATACCTCCTCACATCATGCCAAGTCACCTCCGTCATGCGCGACTCACCCGTCCTCGGAAGCCCCACATCCCGCTCGCTCTAGCTAATGCTCTCTATTAGCGCGCGCCGATGCTACAGGAAGGGCTCGAGGTCGAACTCCATGGCGCTGCACGGGTAGTCGATCTCGAACGCCTTGAGCACCTCGGGGTGCACGACGCCGAGCGTGCCGATCTCGACGGCGCCGCTCGGGTGCGACGCGGAGTGCAGGCGGCGCTTGAGGCCCGACGAGGCCTCTGACGCGGCCGAAGTGACGTCGGCGAGTGCACGGCCGAGCGTGTCGGCGACGGAGGCCAACGGGCCCTTGTCGCTGTCGCTGCTCTTTGCTTTTGACGCCTCGGCGGCGGCGCCAGACGCTTGTTGTGGCAGCGGCACCGAGGCAGACTCGGACGCCGGCGGCAGCTCGGACGGCAGCTCGACGGCCTTGGCGGCAGAGCTGCTCGCGGCGGCAGAGGCGCCAGGCCCTGGCCGGAAGAAGATCTTGGCGGCGCGGCCGGGGAAGAACGTGGGGTCTGTGCGCGCGATGAGCTGTCTGCCAGCGTCTGCATGCCGTGCGCGCGACTCACTCTCTGCCTCCTCGATCCAGTAGCCCTTCTGCTTGCCCGCATCGCCCATCGCGAGGCGCGGCACGTCGAGGGCGCGCATCAGCTTGTCCAGCAGGCCGTGCACCACCTCGAAGCTGGCGCTCTTGTCGCAGTACACGGCTGCGACACGGCGCTCGTTGGAGGCACAGCGCTCCGGCTCGTTCTCGTCCTTGAACGCCACGTCCGACACCTCGAATGTCCGCAGCGGCAGCGAGTGCGAGCGGTTCTCGCGGATCGTCTTGAGCAGGCCGGGCAGCAAGGACGTGCGCACCACCTGGTACTCTGCCGTCTTGGGGTTCTCAAGCACAATGGCAGTCGTGCCGTCGTCCTTGCGCCGCAGTGATGCGAAGTTCTCATCGTGCGAGCACTTGCGCAGCAGATGAGCAGCGTTTCGGGCGCTAACAGGCGGTCAGACTCACCAGAATCAGCGGCAGCACCTCCGTCCAGCCCGAGTAGGCACATTCCCGGCGCACAAGATCGCCGAGCTTGTTAATGGGCAGCGGCTGCGCCACCGTGTTGGTGCTGGGAAAGCGGCGCGGCAGGTTGTCGAAGCCGTAGGCCACTGCCACATCCTCCATCAGGTCGCACTCGTGCATCACGTCTGGCCGTGTCGCCGGCACATCGACGACCAGCTCGTCGGCGTTCTCGCTCGACACCGAGGCGCCGTGGCCCATGCGCTCCAGCAGCTTCGCCATGGCTGGCCCGTCGAGGCCCAGGCCGGTGCACGAGTTGATGTAGGAGATGCGCGCCGTCGTGCGCCGCGGCGAGAGGTCGGGCGTGAGATGTGAGCTGCCGTCGGGAAGCACGACCTTGACAGGCTCGATGCTGCGAGGGAATATGAGCATCTCTCGGGCGCAGGCATGCCTTAAATCGACTCACGTGAAGGGCTCGGCGCAGTGCTCAGCGAACATGGCCACGAGAATGACGAGGGCGTACGCCATCTTCGTGCGATCAGTGGCCGTCATGTCGATGAACACGTTGGTCGTGTTGAGCGTGATCTTCGAGTGCTCCGAGTTGATGATGGGCGGCAGCGAGCAGACGGTGCGCTGCGCGTCGAGGATGACCGGGTAGAGCGGCTTGTCGCGGATGATGGGCAGGTAGGCCTTGAGGTTGCGGTCGCCCTCCAGCACCGTCATGAGCTTGTTGCCGTCCATGACCTCGCCGGGCCGGTTCAAGGGCGCGAACACAATCTCTGGCGGCGGCAGTGCCTCGTATGTGAAGGGCCCAGCGATCGTGTCGAGGTCGTGCGTGCCCATGGAGAGCAGCGTGCGGCGCCGCCCGAGATTCTGGTGCAGCTTGTCCTGCAGGTCGATGAAGGACGCGTACGACTCGGGCGTGAATTTGATGTTGCGCAGCACGGCGCACGAGACAAACGGCCGCACATCGGCAACCTGCGGCCAGCGTGTCAGTGCCCGGCGAAGACTCACACGTGCCCGGCGTCCAGGGCCCCGGCATGAACAGCAACCACAGCCAGCTGCACCCTCTGATGCATCACAGACGCAGCTTGTCGCCACAGCCCGCAGCTTGCCACTCGTCCATGCTCGCGTGCGCCCTCTGCATACCCCTCTGCTGCACGCCCGCTGCTGCGCCGCGCTACTCACGCTCTCGCGCACGTTGCACTCGATGAGCTTGCCGTCGGCGGGCTGCACGAGGCGCAGTTGCGGCTGCGGAATCTGCCCCAGGAAGACACGCAGGGCGCGCGAGATGCCCTCGTGGCAGAGCAGGTCGTAGCTGTGTGGCACACCTGCATCAGCTGCGCGCCTCTCGCGGCACTTGCGGCGCAGCGCACCGGTTGGCGGGAATGTCAATCTTGAGCGTGGGGCGCTCGGCCGTGCCCTTGACGGCCTCTGTAGTCTGTGTGAGAGGCGATGCGTGAGCGGCGTAGCTCAGAGATGTCCGCAGCTGCACCACAGCAACGCACATCGTCGTCGAGCTCGATGCCGAACTGGAAGCACAGCTCGTCGAACTCGTCGCGCGCTGCAGGCGCGGGGGTCAGCATGCGCGCCGGGCGGCAGCGACAGCCTGGCGCCACGCACTGTACTGGCGCCCGAGCGAGGCGTAGAAGCGCTCCTTGTCGACGCTGACAGTCGGCATGGCGGCGGCAGTGCGGTGGTGGAGGAGCGGGTGGGAGATGCCAGAAGGTCGCAGCCGAGAGTCGGGGTTGCGCCGCGCTAAGGCCAGCCCAGGGCCAGCTGCCAGGCGCGCGCGTGCGACTCCCGCGGCTGCCTGGGCGGGCAGAAGAGCGCCGCACGTGCGAGCGCGTCGCGGGGGCCGGCCAGGGTGCTGCGCCGCGCCGCCGTGCATCTCGCCCTCGTCTCTTCCACATCCATCCCTCACCCACACGCACACTCCGCACCATGTCGTGGCGCAGCAACGCGCAGCGCACCGGCGAGAATGCCGCGCCGCTCGCAAAGGTCCGCCGCTGGGGCGGCGCAGAGGTCGAGTCGGCGCCCGCGCCCGGCGCCGGCGGCGGCGGCGGCTACGGCGGCAGCAGTGGTGGCTATGGCGGCAGCAGCGGCGGCGGCAGCTATGGCGGCGGCGGCAGCTACGGCGCCAGCCGCGATGCTGGCGGCTACGGTGCGCCGCCCGGCTTCGGCACCGGCGGCCAGCCGGCGTACGACCAGGTGAAGCGCGAGCGCGAGGAGCCGCAGGCGGCCGCAGATGGTGAGTGCCAGAGGCGTGACAACCTGCTGTGCTGCTGTTGGCGACAGACAGACGACTCTCTGCTGTTCGCCACTCGCAATCGTGCGCCTGGCGTTGTGGCCACTCGCTCACCTCACCTACCACTCGCAGCACCGCGCAAGCGTCGCTCACGATGGGGCGACGCGCCGGCTGATGCGCCCATCGGCGTGCCCACTGCGCTCTCTGCCAACGTCTCCGCCGCCGAGCTCGACCGGTATGCGCTCAACGTGCGCATCGACGAGATCCAGCGTCGCCTGGCCACGGGCAACGTCATCCCGCCGGAGCGCGAGCGCAGCCCGTCGCCGCCGCCGACGTACGACGGCGCCGGCCGGCGTACCAACACGCGCGAAGTGCGCTACCGCAAGAAGCTCGAGACGGAGCGCGTGACGCTCATGGACCGCGCCATCAAGCTCGACCCCAACTACCGCCCGCCGGCCGACTACCACCAGATGAAGCGCAACATGAAGCCCACCGAGAAGGTCTACCTGCCGCTCAAGGAGTTCCCCGACATCAACTTCTTCGGCCTGCTCGTCGGCCCGCGTGGCAACACGCTCAAGAAGATGGAGCGCGAGAGCGGCGCCAAGATCAGCATCCGCGGCCGCGGCAGTGTCAAGGAGGGCAAGGGACGGCCGGGCGACGAGGACGACGAGGAGATGCACTGTGTCGTGCAGGCCGACGACGTCGAGAAGGTGCGGCGCTGCATCAAGGCGATCAACCTCGTCATTGAGACGGTGAGTGCAGGCGAGCGCGTGCGCCAGCGAGCTGTGCTGACAGCTTGCCAGGCTGCGTCGACGCCCGAGGCGCAGAACGACCACAAGCGCAACCAGCTGCGCGAGCTGGCCGCGCTGAACGGCACGCTGCGTGACGATGAGGGACAGGTGTGCCAGAACTGCGGTCAGAAGGGCCACCGGCGCTTCGCGTGCCCCGAGGAGCGCAACATGACGGCGCACATCATCTGCCACCGCTGCGGCGGGCAGGGCCACTTGGCGCGCGACTGCACGCAGATTCCAGGCATGATGCAGAACGGCGGACCTGGCGGGCCAGGCGGACCCGGCGCGCCCGGCGGCGGCCAGTTCGACTCGGAGTACGCCAATCTCATGGCCGAGCTCGGCGAGGGAGGCCCGCGGCCAGGCGGCGCACCAGGACCGGGCGGCCCAGGCCCGCAGGGCGGCCAGCCGGGCCAGCCGGGCCAGCTGTACGGGCCCGACGGCAAGAAGATTCCGCCGTGGCGCGACCCCAACATGTGGAACCCGCCGGGCGGCCGCATGATGGGCGGCGGCGGCATGGGTATGGGCATGGGCATGGGAGGCGGCATGGGCATGGGCATGGGCGGGCCGATGCGCTTCGCCGGCACTGGTGCCAACGGCGCTGCTGGGTGAGTTGCTGTATGTGCGATGCGCTGCGTGAACGTCTGGCTCACTCTCTATCCGCAGCGGCGACCAAGGCTGGGGCGCTCGCGCTGGACAGCCGCAGCAGCAGGGCTGGGGCGCACCGCAGATGCAGCAGGGCTTCGGCCAGCCCATGGCGGGGCAGCAAGACTACAGCAAGGAGTGGGAGGAGTACTACCGCCAGCAGGCGCTCGCCGCACAGGGCGGCGCCGCCGGCTCGCCCGCACAAGGCGCGGCTGCTGCCCAGCCCGCGGCGCCGGGCCAGGAGCAGGACTACGCCAAGCAGTGGGAGGAGTACAACCGCCAGCAGGCGCTCGCCATGCAGCAACAGCAGCAGGGCGCGGCTCCGGGTGCTGCCGCTGCCGCTGCTCCGGGCGCGGCAGCGGGCGGCGAAAAGGACTACTCGAAGGAGTGGGCTGAGTGAGTGTGCTGTGCACACGTGTCTTTCTCAGCTTCAGCTCATCGCGTCGCCTCCCAGGTACTACCGCCAACAAGCGGCACAGGGCCTGCCAGTCCCACCAGGCTTCTAAGCGAAAGAGGAAACCTCATCCTCTCGCTTCGTCTCCCGACCCACGACTACGACTCCGACTCTCATTCTCATCCCTCACGCTCGTTTCTCCTCGTCAAGTACACAGGTGTGCAGCGCCTTCGCTCATCATGACGTCCAGGGCGCAGCATTGCAGCATCCGTGCACATCGCATGCGCAACCACGGCGGCTCACCCCATCTGACAAGCGCTGGCCGACTCTTACCCTATCCCTCCTAACTTTGCTTGCTCTGCTCCTGCTCAGCTCTCGGCTAGGCAAGACAAGGTACAACGGCGCTTCTGCGCCCTTGACGTGCCTTGTCTATCTCCCCCCTTCCTCACCCTGCTCTGCTCTGTTCGACACCCAATGGACTGACGACTGACGTCGACTGACGACGAGGTGGACTGACGACTGACGACTGACCTGCGGCTTGTCGGCACCGATATCACGGTCCGCGACTCTTCAGCGAGCATGAGGCAAGTGACGTGAGATGTGCTGCACCCAAGGGCGGCGACTGTGGTCGCCGCGTCGTTCGCAGCACCACCGTCCCTTGTCACACGCGCATGATGAGAGGTATGGTGGAATGCCAAAGCCGCCTGCCCTGAGAAGCACTCGCGTGATCAAAGGCCGCGGCAGAGCACGTAGTATACAGGACGAGGATATGAGGTCGCGTGACGTGGACTGAGATGGGAGCAGCGAGGTCTGAGGCGAGGAGTGGGTGAAGGGGAAAAGCGTACGCACAGAGCGCTTAGCAGCAGCCGCCGAGCCGCTCCTTGAGGCCGCGCGGACCACCACGGCCGCTCTCGGCAAACGAGAAACGGCTGATGCCCGTGCCGCCGCTGTTCGTCCGCCGCAGCGCCGCACTCTCGCCGTACGACACGCCCGAGCCGGGCGTGGAAGGATCAAGCGAGCCAGAGGCGATCGAAAGGAGAATGGAGCGCGAGGCGAGCATGAAGGGCGTCTCGACGTTCGAGCCTGTAAGGGAGGACGTCTCGAGGAAAAGGGCGCCTGATGCGACGGCAAAATGAGCCACGCAACTGCAGGCGCGGTCCACAGCAGTACTGACCATGCTCTCTCGCCCATTCGCTCGCCTCCTCGTAGCCCACCTCACGCTCCTCTTCCCGGTCCAGCTTGTTGCCCACAAGCACGACGACGAGGTTCGGCGACGCCAGTGCCCGCGCATCGGACAGCCAGCGCTCCAGCGAGACGAATGTCGACCGACTGGCCGCGCAGCAGGTAAGTGACTGCAGAGTCTAGCCACAAGCCGCCAGAGTGCTCTCACCGAGTGATGTCGTACACCAGCAGACATGCGCACGCGCCGCGGTAGTACGACCGCGTGACACTGCGGAAGCGCTCCTGCCCTGCCGTGTCCCACAGCTGAGCGAGGGTAGCCGTCAGCCGCCGCTCGCCAACATGGCATCGCACAGCGCGCACGCACCTGCAGCTTGACACTCTTGCCGCCCACCGACACGACCCGGCTGCTGAACTCGACGCCAATGGTGTGCTGCGCGCCCTCGCGGAAGCGGTTGGCGACGAAGTGGTGCAGCAGGCAGGACTTGCCCGTGCCCGACTCGCCGATAAGGATCATCTGGCGCGCGCCTACCCGTCAGTCGGCCGCAAGAAAGAAGGAACGCCTCTCTGCGCCGCCGACGACAGCGTCACCCACCTTGAGCAGGAAATCGTACGACGTCAGCTCCATGTCTGGCCGCGATGCCATGGCGAGGTGTGCTGTGCGGCGAGGTGCGAGGGGCGCGGCGTGCGTGCGTGCGTGTGCAGAACGGAGGCGCTGTGCTTGAGCACGATACGGAGCGGAGCGGCAGCGACGAGGGAGTCAGTCAGAGGCGACACGGCAGGCGGGAGTGGTGGTGGAGAGGAGCGAGCCTCGATGCCGGCGCGGCGTGGGCGTGGCGTGGAGCCGTGCGCACGGCCAGCGGATTAGCCGGCCAGCCAGGAGCGTGTGGAGAGCTTTAAAGTGAGACACGCCAGGCCAGGGGTAATGCTCACTTTCAGCCGCCCTGACGCTGAATACAAAGCGCAGCCTCAATTCTGAGGCTCCTCTGCGAAGCGCATCTCGAGCCTGTTGCGCTGCATCACCGCCATCTTCTCCACCTCTCACACCTCCATCGCTGCTCCTTCACCACAGCAGCCGGCCACGCCATGTCGACGCTCTGCTCGCCGCCGCGGCCCGCCTCGCCCGGCCTCATCCACTCGCTGTGAGTCTGCGCTTCGTCTCCTCTCGCGCCTTCTCGGCTCACACCGCACGCAGCACCCTCTCCCTGCCGCTCCCAACGCCGGTGCACGCCGAACGTCTGCAGCGCATTCTCGCCGTCGACCTGCCCCAACGGTCGCGCGACGTGCATCTCACCTACACCGTGCCCTCTGCGCCGGTGACTGGGGCGCCCGCAGCGCCCGCCGCGCCGGCGGAGCTGCTCGTGCACCTGCGCACCCGCTCGCTGCGCCATCTGCGGCTGGCCGCCGGCACGCTGTGCGAGGATGCGCGCCTCATCATCGACACCATGGCGTCGTGCGAGCCGGAGGTGCAGGGCACGCAGGGAGATGCTGGAGCTGCAAATGGCGGGCAGGGCGCAGCTGCGGACAAGGACGGCGAGGTCGAGCTGGGCAGCATCGGGCGCGCAGGATGAGGGATCCAGCGAACGCGCGAGGCGGGCAACCGACAGGATCGCTGCCGCAGCGGTCGCTCGCACTGGTCGTGCTCGTCACTCTCTCGACCTGGCGCACCTCTCGATGCGGCCAGGCCAAGCGACTGCGCATTCGATCGCCGCGCAGCTTGCGACAAGCGCGCGCCTCTCTCCGACTGCTCTGCTCGCTCGGCGAGCACTTTGCTTCGCAAAGCTGAGCGAGTGGACCGAACAACGCCTGAGTGAAGCAAGCCTCGCCAGAAACCTGCGCCGTTCGTCTCGCATCGAAGCGGCCCAGGCGCTTGCACCGCACCATGCAAACGCCAGCGACACCCTGCTCCTCCTGCACGGCGCGGTGGTCTGCGCTGCACTCGCCGAGCTCTGCCTGCACAGTGCCGGCAAGCGAGGTGGGCCACACACGTCTGTGCTGCGGAAGCGCAGCTAGACCTCAAGCCGCACCCTTTGTCTGCGCACGGCTCGTCTCAGCGGCATGGCAATGACAGACCATGCTGCGAAGGATTACGGCGTGCAGCAGCGTGAGACGGCTGCACTCTGGAAAGGGTGCGGAGAGCAGGATGTGGAGAAGAGGTGTGAAAGAGAGGGCGGAAGGCTCGCCGCGGCGCTGGCAAGACGGCGTCCGGCGGCTAGCGCAAAGGCGCGTCTCCGCACCGCGCCGCGCACTTGACTGCAGCCACGCGCAGCCGCACCCCCGCAACGTCCGTTCCGCCATCTCGCATCTTGCTGCACCCCGGACAACGCTGCGCTCCAACAGCGATGCAGCAGCAAGGCGGTGCTCTCTCCATTCGCCGCAGCGCCTGCCGGCGGCCGCTACGCGCACAGGTGCGCGGCAGCAGACAAGGCCATGTCTCGCGCAAGCTCAGCGCGGGTCCGTGCAGCATCGACGTTGCTTGGCGCCGCCGCCGGCCGGAGCCCGCGTGCGGCGACGCTAGCGTTGGAGGACCTGCTCGACCATACCCAGCAGAGGCTCCTGAGCATCGCACGTCGCTGAGCATCGCCAGCACCAGCATCCCTCACCCGCTGCCCGCAGGAGAGCTGCGCTGGTCTTCCTCAGCGCTAGTCGAGTCGACGCCGCGAGCGTGCGCGGAGCACTCATGCATCATCTTGCACCACTCGTCTGTCGTCACTTCCCGCTGCTCTTCGCCGACTCCGCAGGTACAGTGCAGAAGGGCGAGAATGTCGGTCGGAGCCCGTTGGCCAAGCGCCACAGCAAGCGGCATTGCGGCGGCGCACTAACCTGATGGAGAGGGGCGCCGCGCTCGTGCCGCACATGCAGGCGCTGGCCGTCGACTCGTCGTCCTCGTCGTCCTCATCGGCCCGTCCCGCTGGACACACCATGCTCGCAGACTCATCGACACGATATTGCAGCCGTCGGCATTGCACGCAAAAGGTGCCACACGTCTTGCTGTTGCTGCTGCTCTCGGCAGAGGCCATCGTGCTCCCGCGCAGGAGCGAGCAGCCACCACAAGACCACTTGCAAAGGACATAGTCTTGCGCCAAAATCTGAAGCACAGTAGTGAATGAAGCATGGCCGCCGTCCTCGAGCTACGCCTGACACTGTCGCCGTCCACAACGGCGCCGTATGCCGCCGCAGCATGCGGAGCGTACCAACCTCGTCGCGCCTAGCAGCAGTAGCGGCCTCCGCGGCCGCAGCTGCACGAAAGCAATTTGTTCCTCACGAGGAACGCCTAGGCCGCTCCTTGCTCACATTGCGCTTTCAGCAGCGAGAACAAAGAGCCCGGCGGGCTGCTCAGCATGCGCAGGTTGCGCAAGCGGTTGTTCTCGAAACGGCCGGGACGGCGCTGTCAGCAGCCACGACAACGCAGTCCCTCTCGAGTCAGCGCCGAGAAGCCACTGCGGCATGTCGTGCCATCCATACAGTCCAAAGACGCTGTGAAAGATGCGTCCAGACCCTTCGGCGCCGCAGGCTGCTGTGCAAGGTGCGGCACAGAAGGTCCGTACACGCGGTCTCCCAGACGCCTGGCTCAACCCTGCGGCGTCGCCGAGGGTCGACGCAGCATCTGCCAAGGACGGGAGGCGGAAAGGAATTGCAGACCATGCGGACGACCTTCGAGCTCGCACTCCCGCCTGTTTGCTGCTCCACAGCGTGCTCTCGCGCGCAGCTCCGTCGAGGTTGGACGCGCGCGGAGGCGACGCCGCGCGGCGCACTGCAAGCACGCTGCGCCAGCCCGTCTAGGCAAGTCACGTCGAGCCCCTCTGCGGGCCCGCCAGCTGCATGGCTGCGCCGAACTGTGCGGCTAGAGCATGCATCTTGATGCAGCATGCAGCAGCGGCATCTCGAGATGCGCTGCGACGGCGAGCAGGCGCAGCAGCAGCAGCAGCAGCCATCGGAGGGAGCGTCTCGAGGAGCCGCGGATGTTCTCTCCGCGCGCCGCCGATGATCGGCGCGGCTGCGCTGCCGAGCGCTGCCCTTCGCCGTGAGGCTTGCGGGGGCGTGTCTGCGCTAGCCAGAACACGCTAACTTTAGGCTGCCACCTCTTCGCCCGCGTCTTTCAGGATGCAGACGCTCGACGCTTCTGATGGTGCTGCTGCGATCTGGCAGGCCCTCTTTCATAGGCTGCCTCTCGAGAGAGCAGCGTTGAGAATTGCAAATCGAATGGCCGTGAGGGGTGCCAAGGCAGAGGGCAGAGTTGCTGCTGCCCGTCAAGCAATTAGTTCCAGAGTGACGTGCCATTTCGCACGCCGCCTCTGCGTCTGCGTCTCGTCCTCCTGCTTGTCGTCGGCACGGTCTCTCCCTGAGCGCACCCTGCTGCAAGACGGCGGCGTCGCCATGCATGCATCTCTCGGCGCAATATTCACCCTCGACGTCGGAGGCGCACGACGCGGGGCAGGAGAGCTGGCCGCTCCTCGAGGCCTGCATGTGGTTTCCGAGGCGGCGTCGATGGCCGTCACATGCTGCCGGATGCTGCGTGGTGCGTTTGGCCGCGACCACGCCGTGACCCTCCGATGCCGTGCGGAGCCGTGAACACTGATCGGGCCCGCTCACGAAGCACCGTTCACGAGGCAGCGGCAGCTCGACGACGTAGGCCCGCTCGTCAGGAGCTCTCTTTGGCGTGCAGCTGGCTGCCAAGGCAAGATGTCCCGAGCTTTGTTTGGCCGCGCCAGATCTAGCGCCATTGCGGGAGGCAGCGATGCCGTGCCGCCTGGCGCAGACGGCATCGGCATGCGGAGGTGCGGCCGCAGCAGCGCAGAGCCTTGCCTGCTCGCTGCGCTGCGACTCCACATCTCGGCCGTCTTAGCAGCTCACGGAGTGCGAAGCTCGCCTTCCGACGGCACCGGACCGGCGAGCTGTGCTGCGTGCACTGGTCATGCATGGACGATGGCGTTAGGCCTATCACGACGCGACCCAGCTGTGCGGCTCGGCAGATGGCGGAGGCGTCATGCCTTGACGTCGCGACTAGCGTGGGCACGCATTCGAGTGTACGCTGGACGCGCACGGCTTCTGGCGGCCAGATCCCTCAGGGTGCAGGAGGGCCGTCAGCTTATGGCCTGCACTTGCGATGCGAGTACGGGATGGCAGAGCGGATGAGGGCCGTGCACGGAGGTGCAGCGGGCCCCCCTCGCTGGTGACCGACGAGGCGAGGCCGCCTTGATGTCGGCGCAGGCACCGAGCAATATGTACCTGGCCCTCGCGAGAGTATGTTCCGTGCTTGCGCCTGCATCAGCCGGAGCGGCGCAACGGGTACAACGACGAGCGTGCCGATATTGGCCAGCCTTACGTTCGTGGGCGGAGAGTCGTCGAGCACACGCGCCCGCGAGGCGGCAGCGGCAGCGGCAGGAGAGCAGACGCCACGCTCGGGCCGCCGTCGAACTGTCCTGCGTGCCCGGAGGCAATCTGCTCACGGCGCAAGCAGCGGCGATGCTGGCGTGCTTGACGGCCCCCTGCCGCGGCCGCGATGCGCAGCCACGAGCAGCCAGTCGAGTGCACGGCGGAGATCGTGGGAGCGCAGCGCGGGCCGGCGAGGTGCGACGGCGCTGCGCAAGGTGTGGCTCGCGCGGCTATACGTGAGCCGGGCTAAGGCGGACGAGACAGCAAGGCGGTTTCAGAGGCGCAGGCGCCCGGCGGCAGGAGGAGGAGGAGGAGGCTGCGGCGCGGCGCGGCGCGGCGCGGGGAAGGCGTGTGCACGCTAAGCATGCGCGAGCGCGTGGGCGCCGCGTGCCGCGCCAGGGTGCAGCGCAGCGGCAGCGGCCAGACGGCACCGCTCGCAGCCCCAATTCCGCCCGTGCAGCGACCGACGACGAGCAGCAGCGTCAGCGCCCGCCCGCCCATGGCCGTTGCTGTTGCCGCGGCCGTGCGCCAGAGCACCGCAGGCGCACTCCGACGCCCGGCCGCCGTCTTTGCCCGCCGGCGCCGTGCCGATGGCGGCGGCGCGCCGCTGCTCCGCCCCTCCAGAAGGCGGCCAAGATCCTTCCGCCGCCAGGCGCTCAGAGATCTCGCCGCCGCCGCCGCCGTCGAGATGCGATGAACGCCGCGCCATGCCGTCCGTGTGCGGGCGCCCGCGGATCTTGCGCAGCATCGGAGCGCACCAAAAGCGCGCCAGCTCGCCGAGACACGGGACACACAAACGGAGGCGTGCTCGACGCTGCAGCCATGCAAGCGGCCGCGGAAGCGCGCACGACGCAGCATCAGGATGGGCTGCGATGGCAGAGCAAGGATGCGCGATGGTGGAGGCGGGACCGTGCGGCCGCGGCCGCCTTCTCTCCGCCGTCTTCTGGCTCTGGGCGCCCATGATGACGAAAGACGCAAGAGACGTTCCGCCGGCGGCGGCCCCTCTCGTGCACACCGCAGAGGCTTGCGTCTGGGCCGCCTCTCGATGCTGCGCATGTGCTGGCCGTCGCCCGCTCGGGATCGGCCCGAGCGGCGCACCCCTCATGGGGACCACTATATGCACCAGATGCAGCTGCGCCGCAGCGCCACGCCGGCGCCGGACGTGCAGCGGCGTGCGTGTGCATGCTGCAAGGCTGCATCGTTCTGCTTGTCGTCTCGTGAGAGCTCGAGGAGGGCCCATCATCTGTGTCGCTGTGCTGCGACGGCGGCGGCGGCGACCCCGCAGTGCGAGAGGCGCCTGCTGGACGCTGCGGAGTGTCCCGTTTGCTCCTAGCCCTCGAACGTCCAGCGCTAGCTGTCACACCGCAGCTGTCCGCCGCTGTCCCGCGGCCGCCACAGCGGCAGTGCTCTCCGGACCCTCCGACTCTTCGCTGAGCCGTCCACGGCAGGCTGGCCCCTCTCTCGGCCCGCCCTTCGGCACTAGGCCCGCAGGAACACTGCCATGGAGCAAAGGGATCTGCAAATTGAAAGCCTTTCACCCCTCTCTCGCCGTCGCGCGAGCGTCGCCATTGCAGCCTCGTCGACACTGCCAGAGGGCTATAGCTGCGCTCCCGATCTGCTCTCCTAGGCGCTGTGGCCTGCTCGCCGCTAGTCGATAGGGCGTCAGTTCGCAGGCTTGCTCCGCACGGCCGCTGCTCATCTATAAACCGAGCGTGCGGCACCTCGCTGTCCCCACTCCATCCGCACCACACCCTCCTCACACTCTCTTGACCCACTCTCGCTCACCTCAGTCACCACCGCAGCCTTTCTCTGCTCAGCACCGCCCTGTCGCAACAACCCTCGTGGCGTCCTCCGTTCGGCCAAGCTCCATCGCGCCTCCGCCGCGCATCCATCGCTTGCCGTCGTCGGTCCTCGAGTCCGCACCATCAGTAGGTAGCGCTATCTTTCCTTTCCCTGCGAGAGCAATTAGAATGCGTGCTCACACGCTCGGCGCACAGGTTCCTGAGCGTCTGCGCCGCGGGCCCAACGGTCGATTGCGAGCCGCCTCAGCACGCGCGCACCTGCCGCACGCGCTTCGCTACCCGTCCGCCAACGGTCGCCATCGTCGCACCCTGAGCCCGCGCCCGCTCTCGACGGTCATTCCGCTGCCGCTCTGCCCCAGGTAGAGTCGCCTTCAACCAACTGCCTCGCACGGACATTGCTTCGGCGCCACACGGTCAATCGTCTCGCAGCAGGCACGTCACCCGACGTCCTCCACTTTCTCAACCTTTGCCAGCTCCCAGCGTCTCTTCGTCCCGTCTCCACCTCTCCTTCTCGTCTCTACCCTCCGCTCTTCATCCACTCTCTTTTTCTGGCAGCCGTCTCGACTAAGCTTCATCGCTTCGTCTACCGCGCGCCACACGCACCGTCTTTTCTTCGTCCGTCCATCCGCGTCAGGCCTGGTGCCTGTCCACCCTATCGCTACATTCTTTGGCCCAGGCTTCTCGTCTCGTTCGTTTCCATTCGATATCAACCCTCAAAGTACACTCTCTCTCCGCCCAAGCATCGCCTCGATGTCTGCCGCGCCCTTCCTCCTCGGCCACGACGACGACACGGGTGTCTCTCTCTTCGACTCGCTGCGCAATCCCGACCTCTCGGCCTTTGGCTACGACGCCACGCAGGACTGGAGCTTCCTCTCTCAGCCCAAGCACCCTGGTGAGCAGCGCGCCTACACGTGCATGAGCGCTACTCATCATCGCCTACGTCCACTGCAGTCCTGAGGCACAAGCCGAGCCTGCTCACCATCTCGTCGCCGTCGCCGCCGTCGAGTGCGTCGAGCTCCGACGTCTTCGCGTTCAACGTGTCGCCTCGCACGTCCAACGACACCTGTGCCGCCGAGATGACGGGCACGTTCCCGCAGTGGCAGACGGACGCCATCGCTCCGGCCGTCGAGATCATCTCGGCCTCGGACATCGTCGCACCAGCCACCGACGTCGCTGGACCGTCGAGCGCATACAGCTTCCCGGCGCGCAGCAAGAGCGTCGGCGTCGCTGCGTTCCCGGGAGACCAACAGCAGGCCTCGGTCCTCTACCAGCTCTGCCCGCCGCCGTCGACGAGCCACGGCTACCCGCAGCGCCTCGAGTCCTTTGCCAACGTCGAGCAATACGAGGCGGCGACGGCTCACCGTCGGCACTCCGTCTACGAGGCCGCCGAGGCTGCGTCGCTCTTCTTCGAGCCCGCGACCTCTGCGCCCCTTGCCACGGAGGCCTCCGCCTTCAACGTCCTGCCCGCCATGGTGCCGATCCTCGACGTCTCTGCCGTCGATGTCATGCAGCTGGGTGTGCCGGTCGACTTTGCCGACAATGCTGTCACCACGGTGTCTGGCCCCGTGCATTTCAACACGGGCTTCGACGCCACCTTCGGAGCACGCGAGCGCGCCGCGACGACGAGCCTGCTGGCGCCGCAGCCCATGCCGCAGCAGCTGCGCTCGCGCTCCGAGACGGCGTCTGGTGTCCTGTCCACCAACAGCGGCCTGCCCTTCACTCCCGAGCCAGCTTTCCTGCTCGACAACGGCGCCATGCCGTCGGTGCTGATGCGCCACATGTCGCTGCCTGACGCCGGCATCTCGCACAACCTCGCCACCTCGCCGGTCGCCAGCAGCAGCCGCAGCCCCATGTCGCCGCCGATGCCGACGTTTGTGCCGGCATCGTACCGTCCGCAGACGGCACCCGCCTACGCCGCACCGCCCACGGAGTGGTGCAGCGACTACCCGACGGGCAGCTTCGGTGTGATGCGCGTGAGCAACATGGGCTACACGTCGCAGATGCCGCTCGAGCGTGCCTCGCACCAAGCCTCGGTGCTCGCGCCCGCCGAGTCGTGCAACGGCATGAGCGGCACCATGCCGTACGCACAGCAGCATGCGCACAAGCACCTCAACTTTACGTTCCACGCGTACAGCATGCCGTCGGGCAGTCCGTTCGACGGCAGCGAGCAGCTCTTTGCGCCCAACGGCCGCATCCTGCTGGCGTGCGCCTTCTGCAAGGCGCGCAAGCTGCGCTGCGACGGCGCGGGCCCCAAGTGCTCGCAGTGCAAGAAGCGCGGCATGGACTGCCAGTATCCGACGACGGTGCGCCGCCGCGGCAAGGCCAAGAAGACGAAGCTGCGCGAGGCCCAGGAGGCCGCTGCCAAGCTCCAGGCCGAGCAGAAGGCGGCGCAGGGCCTCTCCTCGACGACGTCGTCGCGCAAGCGCTTGCGCTCCGACGACGAGCCTGCCGCCCGCGGCACTCTCGATGAAGAGAGCGGCAGCGAGAGCGACAGCGACGAGCTGCCACCGCGCCGCGCCAGCATGGCCTGCGTGCAGGGCGTCAACCTGCTCGAGGAGGCGTCGCAGTCGCGCAAGCGCAGACGCACAGACTCGGTCTGAGCAGTCATCGTGGGCCGGCCAGCTGCGTCTCATCAGTCTGCCCGTCTGCGATCTCTCTCTCTCCCCGTCATGAGCCATCTCGAGTCTGCGAACTCGAGCAACGGCTTGTCCGCTCCTTTCCGCCGCGATGCTACCCTCGTCACACATACCCCTGTCTTTCTTCCCTCGTGTCCCTCTTCCTGCCTCGGCTGTCGCCGTAACCCCCTAGCCTGTGTATCTTGCTGCCGTTCCTTGCCGCAATCGATGCTTGCTCCTCACCTACTTCGTCGGCGCTAAAGGCGGCTCATCGTGTGATCTCACACCGGAGCCAAGGTGACGCTCTCCCACTCTCCTTGACTGATCGCTGCGCCTGGGCTACGAGTAGTTCAACTGCGCTCAGCATGCCTGCTGGCATCCAGTCTCGACAGTCAGGCGCTTCGCGCGACGAGATAGCGCAATCATATGGCCATTACGAGGCGGACGAGATAGAGACGCAGTCGCCAGTGTGGTGTGTGGGGTATGCCAGCACGGGACTCGAGCGCGGCGAGGCAATCACTTGTCCTTGATCGGGACATCCTTGCCGGTGGCCTGTGCGCAGGTGTTGGTCAGCGTCACAGCGCTTCGCTGAGACGGCCTCGACGCAAGGCGAGGCAGAGCTCAAGATTGTGGCCAGCTCTCATGGCACAAGGCAGCCGTTCGCAATCACCCTGCAGTCCACGCCCGACGCCGCGCACTCACCTTCTTGAAGACGGAGCGGAAGCCGTCCGAGATCTTCTCGGTCTGGCGTAGGGACAAGAGTCAGTGTCGGCGACCGAATGCCGCTTGCCAAGCAGCACTGCCACTCACCGTGCTCTCGCTCTGGCCGTGGCCAGTCTTCTTCAGCACGGCGTCGATGCCCTGACGGTGCGCAGCGAGGCGTCAGCAGGGTGCAGAGACGCAAAGCACACGCGACGCACCTTGTCGAGACCGTCCTGCTGGTAGGCGCCGCCCTGGGCGGGGTTGGGGTTGTTCTGCTGGTCGGCCATGGTGGAGTGTGTTGGCTGGTAGATTGTGGTGGTGGGAAGGAGAGGGGCTGCTGCGCTGCTGGCATGAGTTGATATGCGCACGGGCGACACTAACCCGCGCGGCCCAGCATCTCCCCCTCGCGGCACCTCAGCGGTCTGTCCTGCCGCGCGGAGGTGATATCTGCTGCCTTCGCTTCTCGCTTCGCTTCGCCGCTGCGTGCGTGCCGCTGCTTGCTGCGTGCCTCCTCCTTCGCATGTTCCTATTTTAGTCTGGCGCGCTGACGTCGGTGCGGCACCGCATGACGCGTGCAGCCGCAAGCGCTGGCAGGCAGCCCAACGGCGTGCTGGCACCTCGAGACGGGAAAGGAGCGCACGGACGGGCTTGCAGCGAGGACGAGGCTGTGCCGCACATGCCGGTGGCCCGCGCGAGCAGCCCCAGGAGGTACCGCTCTTTCGGAGCTTGAGCCGCTGCGGCTGCTCGTGTGCTGCTCGGCCCGAGCTCGTCTCTTGATGTCGCCATCGAAAGCGATGCGCCGAGCGGGCATCGAAGCATGCCGGCGGCCGAGAACGCGCGTTCGTCGAGCGAGCCGCCGGTCGCGGGCCGCTGCTCTCAGTCTCCTATCAAGTCGCCGCAGAGCTCCACCTTGACAGCGTCTTTAGCGGCACCGCGAGTCCACGCACACAGCTTCACACAAAAGCACGAGGGAGCACATTCCGGTATCTTACAGAGTGAGGGCGCAGCCAGACGAGAAGGCGGAATACAAGGGGGCGCGGGAAAAGAGAGAGGAACGAGCCGTGGATGCGTTGAAGTGGGGTAGGTAGAATGCACAGAGAGGTGAAGAAGCGTACGAGATGCGAGGCGAGAAGAGAGACGTCAGTGTATAGAGGGACAGGGCCGGGAGCTAGTAAGTAGGTGGGGTGCCGCTGAAGTCAGGGCGAGAAGAAAGGGCTCGTGGAGCGATCAGGCGCCGTTGCGAGTGCCGCGGCGCGGGCGCTTGGCTGCCGGTGCGCCGTCGTCCGTCTCGGACTTGGCGGGCAGCGAGCCCGATGCCTGCACGAGCAGCTGTGCCTGGTCGAGCGGGATGCCGAGCTCGGCGAGGTCGCGCGCCGAGGAGCTGTGAAGCGCGGCATTGTCGGTGTGCGCAGAGAGCGCGGCCAGGGCGGCGCCGGCGCTCTCGGCGCTCGCAGCAGCGGCAGCGGCTGATGCCAGAGCAGCAGCTTCGCTGAGGCCGCCGAGACCGCCAGGCATGGACGAGGTGGCATGCTGCTGAGAAGCAGCGCCAGCAAGGCCAGAGAGGCTCATGGCGGCTGCCTGCTCCTGGTCCTGCGCCACCGGGTGAGGCGGAGCCATGGCCATGCCGGCTAGCACTGCGGCCTGATTCTCCATCTCCAGACGACTCGCGGTACGACCGTGACGGCCACGCACCGTGGGCTGCGGCGGCGCAGCGGACGCTTGGCTGCCTCCGCCGCTCTGCGCAAAGAGCGCCGCCGACGCCAGCGTCATGGCTGCCTCAGCATCCGACTTGCTGCGGTTACGCGTCGCGGGATCGTCGATGGCGCTTGCGTCGACGGCATCGGGGTCGACGGCCTTGGGAGCGGCTTTGGCGCGCGAATTGCGGCCGCGGTTCGGCTTGGGCTTCAGGTCGCGGATGGCGCCCTTGGGAGGCGTAGGCAGCGTGATGGGCGCTGGAACGTCAGACGAAGAGCCGCCGAGTGCTGCGTCCGCCTCGGCCTCCTCGGACCAGACGGACGAGCCCTCGTCGTCCTCGTCCTCGTCATCGTCCTCGGTCTCGAAGCCGTCCGAGGCGGAGCCGGCGCTGACGCTGCGGCCATCGATGCGGCGCTTGCTGCTGTAAGTGAGGTCTGTCAGCGACAAGTGCATGCTTGCACAACAGCGGCTTGCTCACCTCTTGCCCTTAGGCTTGACATAGCCAGGTTGATGGCAGCGTGCGTGGCGGTTGAGCGTGGTGCGGCGCGTGAACATCTTGCCGCACTTGGGGTGCTGGCATTCGTAGGGCCGGCGGCCCGTGTGCGTGCGGCGATGGCGCGCGAGCGAGCTCGAGTCCGAGAAGCTCTTGCCGCACGAGCCGACCTCGCAGCGGTGCGGACGTTCGCCGGAGTGGACACGGGAGTGTACCGTCAGAGCAGAGCGCTGGGTGGTGAAGAGTGGTCAGCTTGTGATGCAGCATCAGGCGCACAGAGCCGGCGCTCACCTGGATGAAGCTCTTGCCGCACCCGGGGTGCTCGCACGGATACGGGCGCTCGCCGGTATGGATGCGCTTGTGGCGCGCCAGGTCCGAGCGTCTGCTGAAGTTCTTGTCGCAGTTCTCGCAGCGGTGCGTCTTGGGGCCGCCGGCATCGCTCTCGGTGTTGTTGCTGGCCGCAGGAGCAGCAGTGCTGCTGGAAGCAGCGGCGGCCTTCGGCGCAGCCGTGCGCTTGCGCGAGGATCGTGGAGGCGCCTCTGCGCTGGCGGCCGGTGGCGAGGAGTCGCGGAGCGCCGATGCCGCCGGCTTCGGCTCCTCGTCTTCCTGCTCCTTGATGCCAGGCGGCGGACCGGACGGGCCGAACGTCGTCGCCTGTGCAAAGTGCGAGCTCTCGCCGAAGCCATCGAAGTGGCCGGGCACCCGATCGAATGCGGGAGGAGCGGAGGCGCCAAGCAGGTCACCCGGCGTGCCCGTGCTGTACGAGTACGCGGGATAGCCCGCCATGGCCTTGATCGCGGCTGAAGAGGGCTCCGGCGCGCCTGCTGGCCAGGGCGCAGCTCGAGCGATCGACTGCTCGGGCGAGGTCGTGCCGGGAGCACTTGAGCCGGAAGAGGCCGCCGGTCCAGACAGCGCCGAAAGGTCGCCAGCATCGCCGCCGCGGAATGCAGTGCGCGGGTACTGCAAAGGCGAGAAGGGCAGGCCAGCTGCCGAACGGTACGGCGAGTTGCCAAAGCCAGGCGCGTCGCGAGGATCGGTGCTCGAGCCTGCAGCACGTCCGGTCGAGCCTGGACCGCCCGGGAAGGCAAAGGTCGACGCCGGCGAGTGGAAGGCAGACGGCGAAGGGTAGCGCTCCGGCGGCGGCAGCGTGCGCGAGCTGCGTCCCGGACTGTCGGCTCGGCCGGCCTTGAAGGCCTCGAGCGGGTCGTCCAGGTAGCTGCCGCGTGCAGAACTGCTCGACGGGCCGTCCAGGTCCAGGTGGACGTCGCGAGTCGCGCTCGATGCGAACGGAGAGCTTCTGTGCGCGTCAGGGTACCACGGCGAGCCCTCGCGTCCGCCAGGACCGCCGTGTCGCCAGGGCGAAGCGCGGTACGAGTCACGCAGGCCGCCTTCGTGGCGGCGAGGGCTGGCAGCATACACGTCTCCAAGGCGAGGCGAGCCGGAGCGCGGCGCGTCGTCGCCGTGCGTGCGCATCGACAGTGTCGGGAAGAAGCCTGCAGCAGAGCGTCAGCATCAGCATCACTAAACGGCGAGGGGTATTAGGACGCGTCGCACTCGCACGAGCGCTGCAGCATCGCGAGGCGAGCAACAAGGTTTGCGGTGCGCAAACCTACAGCAGGTCGATGCCAGACATGCCGCAGCGCCGTGGCGATCGACAGCTGTGCTGAATGTAGACGCATACATAAGGCGGCGAGGTGACTCGACGGCGCGAAACGCGGCTCCGAGCTCCGCCAGGCGCCCGGGCCACGCTGCGCGCGCGCGCACCGCACGGTCCTCCGCGCCGCGGCGCGTCCAAAAAATGGGAGCCGCGACGAGCGGCGATGGCGACCCGCTCGACACCCTGCTCGAGACTGGACCGGCAAACTCACCTCTGCCAACGGCATCAGCGCCCGAGTCGTGATCGCGTGCACGCAGTGCCCAGTCGTCGGCCGCCAGGCCCTCGTGCGACGCGTGGTGGTGGTGGTCGCCGCCGCCCACGGCCGCGGCCACAGCGGCTGCTGCAGCGTCAGCCGCAGCGTCGAGCTTGCTACCGTGCAGCGGCGAGTCGTCGCGCGCCGACGAGACGTTGTGCGTGCCACGAGCGTCGGAGAGCACGCCGTGCTCGCCAGCAGGTGAGGGCGACGACGGGCGCGACGCGCTGGTCGGGTACGCCAGCGACGAGGCGGCGTCGCGCGCCAGGGCACTGCTGCTGCGCGGACTGTTCGTCACGGCCGCATGGTGCGCCGCCGAGAAGCGTGCCGCCGAGTCGCTGCGGTACGGCGACATGTGTCCAGGCAGCGCATGCGAGAGCGACGTGCGCGGACTGCCGAGCGGCGACGAGATGCCGGTGCTGCTGCTGCCAGCGCCACCGGCGGGGCCCGTGGCCGCGCTGAAAGCGGCGACCGAGGAGAGCTTCGGCGAGCCGAAGGCGGGCGACATGATGGAGGAGGAAGAGGAGGACGAGGACGGGATGTGGATGGGCGGCAGGCCGAGCATGCTCTAGCAGCGGGCGCCTCGCGAGACGACGAGTCGCAGGCAATCAGCGTGCAGACGCACGCGCGGCGCACGTCCCAGCAGGCGGCGCCACAGCCGGACGGGGTGTCGTGCGCGCGCACCGGGCAGGCGCCACGGCCGCGAGACGGGACGAAGAGGGGAGAGGAAGAGGCTGCCTCTGCAGCTCGAGGTGACGGCCGCGCGATGGGACGTGATCTGAGAGAGAAGGGGATGGAGGTGTGTGAAGAGGAGAGAGAGAGGGGTGAGCAGGGGGAGGGGCTGGGCACGCGCGCCACAAGCTGGTGCTGGCTGCGCAGGGGCCTCGCCCGCGTAGTGCGCGCCACGCCCGCCCTGGCGCGCCCTGCCGCCGCGGCCTGCCCCTCTTTCCTCTCCCCTTCCCTGTCCTCTGCCGCCTGCGCCCGCGCCCTCATTTTTTGCTCGCCTGGCCTGTGCCCGCCGCCGCCTGCGCAGCGCACAGACGGTGTGGCCAGCACTGCTGAGGCGCCCGAGCCGGCACCGGCTGCATCTGGACGGCCAGACGCGGCGCGTGTGCTGGCGTGATGCCTGGCGCTCGGCGCGCCGCGCCCGCAAGCAGCCAGACGCCGGCGCAGCGCGGCCGCCTTGAGCCAAGCCGCGGCGGGCCGCCTCGGCTCGGCCGGCGTCGCGAGGTCTCAGCGCGCGCGTGCAGCAGAGGAACAGAGGGTGGCGCAGAGTGCTCCGGCGCTCGCCGCCCTCGCGCACGCCGACACTGCTCTGGTGCCCGCATCTCGCCTGCGCCCGGCTCGACCGGCCTCTCTCCCCTGTCGGCGGCGCGCCCGCAGCCCGTGCGCACGCAGCGCGCAGCATAACTTTTTTTTGAGCTGCAGATGGCAGGAAAAAAGTTGGCCTGCCAAAGTTCGGATGCGCCGGCGCTCCTCGGTCTGGATGCTGTGTGAGAGGCCCTGTCGGATGCAGCGGGCGGGACCGAGAACATCTGCAGCCAGCAGCAGCCAGGTCGAGGAGCCAACGACAGCGCTCCCCTTGGACGGCCGCTTGCTCGGCGCCGGACTGCTTGCGGCGCGGTGCGTGAGCTGCGCACGCGTCGCGCACTGGCACCGCTGCGGAGGCATCGCGCACGGTGCGCACCCGTCAGCCGTCGTGGAACGGCCGTTGGGTCTGGGAGAGCAAGCGTTGGGTCTGGGAGAGCAAGCTCGGGACCGGGCAAGATGCGAGTGCGTCGCATCGGCGACAGACTGCGCAGAATGCAGTCCGGGGATCGCTGCGGCGCGAGCACGGAGAAGGACGCAGCCTTGCTCGCATCGGGCATGCGCGGAGGTCGAACGTCTCCTGCGAGGCTCCGAGACACGCCCTGCCTCTCCGTCGATCTCGCTCTGACTTTGGCTCGACAAGATAGTATTAGGCTCACGCACAGAGGGCGCGCGGATGCAGGAATGAGGAGTGGGAAGAGGAGTGGAGTGCAGCATACAGCATCGAGGAGGACATATGGACCTGAAGAACGAAGCGCGCGCACGCGCACGGCATGGCAGCCTGGTATGAGGCGAGAGGCGGATGCAGGACGAGAGCGTCGGGAAGGAGAGGATGCAGGAGGTGCAGCAGGATGGAATCTGCGCGGTGGAGGAGGGCCTAGAGGTGGGAGACGATGAGAGGTGAAGAGGAGAACAGCGTGACCAGGTGACGTGTCAGAGTGTCTAGCCTTGCAGGCCAGCGACGCGCGAGCGCTTGTGGGCGTCCGAGGCGTCCGACGGCTCGGCGGAGCGCTTGCGCACGCCGAGGTTGACGGGCGTGCTCTCCTTGGAGCGCGTGCCTCCGCCGGCACCTTCGCCGCGAGCCACGCCCAGCGCCGACGCCACGCTGTCCGACATCTCGCCGCGTTGGCTGTCCGAGACGGAGCCGGCGGCGATGAGGTTCTGCAGCATCGAGATGTACCTGAAGGGCAGGATGTCAGACAGCGGCTCAGTCACGCCACGGCCGCTTCACTCACTCGTCGTCGCTGAAGCCCATGCCGGCAAGCGGGTTGTCGACACCCTCGTCGTCGTCGCTGTTCTTCTCCTCAGGCGAGTCGGCGTTGGTGAAGCGTGCCGGGCCGTTGCCCATCATCGCCGCGAAAGGCGAGGCGCCAGCTGCGGAGTTGCCGAGCATGCTGCCGAGGCCTCGCGGCGACGGCGCTCCGTTCTGCAGGTGTGCAGCGCTGGCCGCCGTGGCCGAGAGGACGGACTGCAGCGCATCGTCGCTGAGCGGCGGCAGGCCAAACGACTTCGGGATCTCGTCCATCTTCTGCACCGTCTTGAGGTGGATGAGGTGCTTCTCGAGCATGTTGAGCAGGCCCTCCTTGGTGAAGGGCTTGGGCAGAATGTCGTTCATGCCGGAGCTCATGTAGTTGAGCAGCTCCTTGGGCCCGCTGTTGCTCGTCATCGAGATGATGGGCGTGCGCGGGTCGAACTCGCGGATTAGCGACGTTGCCGAGACGCCGTCGAGGTTTGGCATGACGATGTCCATGAGGACGAGGTCATACTTCTCGAGGTTCATCTTGTTGACGGCATTGACACCGTCCACCGCCACGTCGATGGCGCAGCCGAAGACCTGCAGGAACTTGCTGCTCATCTTGCGGCACACGTCGTTGTCGTCGACGACGAGCACGCGCGGCGGCACGGCCCAGCCGGGCACGTACGTCGAGCGCCGGATGCGCAGCATGTTCTGCCCGCCGTCGGACGGCGTCGCGAGGCCGTCGGAGACATTCGCCTGCGTCTGAGGGCCGGCACCGGGCAGCGGCGTCACAGCCGCGGTGGAGAAGCGCCGGTCGACGCGCGGCATGTCCGCCGGCAGCTCCTCGAGCGACGGCACGTTGATGCCGAATGGCCGCGACTCGGTGCCTGCACCCACGCTTGGCGCGCGACCGTTGAGAGCAGAGGCAACCGCATCGCCTGGGCTGCCCGAGCCGTCAGACGGCAGCGTGCCAAAGTCGCTGCGTGGCTGCAGCGTGCCGACCGTGTAGACGCGCAGGCCGGCATGCTCGAGGGCCTGGCTGCCCGGCGCCTGCAGCGCCGAGCTGAACACGTCGCCGGCGCTCGCGTCCTCGGCGTTGAGGTGCGGCGGGTGGAAGTACATGCGGTCGCCCGCCGTGCTTGCCTTGCCCTTGCCGTTCGGCGCGTAGTCGCTCGCCGGCGAGCCAGAGCTCTTTGGCGAAGGCGGGCCTCCATCTGAGTCGCGGTGATTCGGAGCGCCATTCATCGATGGTCCGGCGGACGACGAGCCCGCACGGCCCTGCATCTGGTCGCGGCCGCTCTGAGCAGCGGCCATGCGCTCCGACACCTGGCTCATGGTGGCGAACGAGTCGCGCGCCAGCGTCGAGTAGTTGCCGATGAGCGACTGTGCCGTCTCGGGCGCCACGAAGGGGCTGTCTGACGCGCCCGTGTCGAGCAGGCCTTGCATCGACGAGCCGCCGGGCGTGTTGCCGTCGCCAATCGCCGGCTTGCGCGACTCTTGCATGAGATACTGGATGAGCTGCTGCATGAGCTGGTCCTGCAGGAGCGAAGGGCAGTCAGCGGCAGCGCATCGGCAGCGCAGCGAGACACGCACCTGCTGCACCATGTTGCGCTGGAACGTGAGCATCTCGCCGATGACGCCCTGGTACTGCTTGGTGAGGTTGTTGATGTGCGACGACATCTGGTCCTGCGACGCGGTGAGCGCCGCGACCTGGTTCTTCAGCTCGCCGTAGCCAGCAGCGCCCTTGTCGGCCGCGTCGGCCGCGCTCGGCATCGTTGGGCTGTCCGAGCGGTCCTTGGTGACCTTCTTGCCGGTCGGCATCTTGCGCTGCGAGCAACGAGCTGTCAGCGGCAGCATGGGCAACATCGCTGGAGACGACGCACCTTGACATTCTCCAGCAGGTCTTCCCGCCCGCGCAGGAACTCGGGGTGCTTGAACTCCCATGCCTGGTCGGCGCCCTGCGCCTGCTCCTCGGGGTTCTTCACCTTGTGGAAGTCGTACTTGTTCAGCTGGCGCACGAAGCTGGCAAAGTTCGAGTGCCGGAAGTGACGGGGCAGGACGTGCTTGGTGAAGTCGTTCATGGTCTGCGAGAGCGCAATCAGAAGGCAGCCAGGCGTCAGCGGCCCGACCCGATACTCACCTTGACGACGAAACTCTCGCCGCTGGCAGACCAGGAGACGATGGAGGAGTACGACGTGTCGCTGAGCATCTTGAAGAGCTTCTTGACAAAGTCGCTCGTGCCCTTCTGCGCCGCACCGCGACCCTTGCGCGCACCGTCCTCCTCATCGCCATCCTCGCCGCCGTCATCGCCATCGTCGTCGTCGCCCTTCTGTGCCATCTGCTGCTGTTGCTGCTGCATCTGCAGCTGCTGCTGGTGCTGCAGGTGCTGCTGCTGCTGCGCCAGCATGCGCATCTGGCGCTGCTTCTGTGCCAGGTGCTGCGCGTAGCCCTCGGCACGCTGCTGCTCCGTCGGCTCGGCGCGCTGCTGCGCGTACGACGGTGCCAGCTGCTGCGGAGGTGCCTGGCCCGGACCGCCGTACGGTGCGAGGACAGATGGGCCCCGTCCCCACTGACCGTCTTGCGGCGGCGCGTAGCCTGGACCTGCACCCTGTGGTGGTGGCGCGAACTGCTGCTGCTGCTGGTGCGGCGGCAGCGGCTGAGGTGGCCGCGGCGGGCCTTGGCCGTAGCCGCCGGGAAAGTTGTTGAAGGAGCCGTCCGGCTGTGGTCCGGCCTGCGGCGGTGCCTGCGAGCGCGACGCCTGGCCGTTCTGGCCGTAGTCGGGCGCGCCAGGGAAGTACCCGCCGGGCCGGGGCGCCGACTGGCCAGGAGTGGTGGCGTAGGCGCCGGCGCCTGGGCCTCCACTCGACGGACTCAGCGTGCCAGGCCACTTGGATGCGGCGCCGGCACTGGGCTGGCCCGGCGGCGGCATCATGGGCTGGTAGTTGCCGAACTGCGGGCCGCCCTGCTGCTGCTGGACGTACTGCTCGGACGGCATAGGCGGGTCGTACGGCGACGTCATGCTCGTGCTTGCCGTGCTGGCGCCGCCCATTGAGGACATGCGGCTGCCGGGCCCAGCCATGCCGCCGACGTTGGAGTCAATGCTGCTACTGCTCCCGCCGCGTGGCGGCTGCCAGCCCGAAGACTGGCCGCCGTGTTCTTGCCGCGACATGAGAGAGGCGCGCGCGGGGATGCGCAGCTAGCTGCGAGGAGGAGAGGTTGAGTCGTCGGCTAGCGAGACTGGACAGTCGAGAGGAGATGGCAGAGAATGCCGCCAGCGCCAGGATCCTGCCTGGCAGTGGACGCGGCCGAGAAACGGGAGAAGGGCAAAGGGAGGAGGAGGAGATGGCTACGCACAGCGTGGTGGAGAGAAAGGTGCCCAGGCCCGAGGCGACCTCGTTCCTTTTCTGGGCTGCGCGGGTGGGCAGAGCACAGGCTGCGGGAGCCGACTCAGGAGCCAGGTGGCTCGCTGCGCTGGCGTTCGGCGTCGGCGCAGTGATTCAGGCACGTGCGGCTCCTGAGTGCCTAGGAGAGAAAGCGGCGCGCACGCAGGCAGTCGGCGGCGCGACGACGGCGGCGGCGGGCGCGAAAGTGGAGAGCGGGCGCCCGTGTCGCGTGAGGAGGCGCGGGCTGAGCGAGTGCGGCAGCCAAGTGCGGCGTCGAACACGCTCTCGGACGCCGACGAATGCGGAGAGGGCGAGCGGAGAGGGGCTCGCGGCGGTGCTAGGAGCGGCTGGGAGGCGCGCCGGGTGAGGATGCGATGCGCAGCCAAGGTGCGCCAAGCGATGCGCGGCGCTGCGGTGACGTGGAGGGTGCGCGAGCTCGAGCGAGACGAGCGACCGGAGAGACGATGCACGGAGCGGACGGTGCGGACGAGCTGCTAGCGAGACGACGGAAACGAGGTGGTGGGCAGCGGCGGGTGGTGCGGCGAGGGCGCTGAGATGGTGAAGCAGCGGGCAGCGAGGACACGCAAAAGTCGAGGATGGCGTGGCGCCGTCGTTGCGCGGTGCGCGGCTCGCTGCGCTCCTCGGCTCGTCGCGCGCGGCCGGACGTGACGTGAGAGCCTGCAGCAGGCGGCACAAGCACGGCGGGCACGGCAGCAGCGGCCTCGCCGCCCGTCGGTCGTCGGTCACGTAAACCCAGCGGCCGCCGAGCCGCTGCAGCTGGGCCAAGCTGGCGCAGCAGCGCGCATCGCAGCACGGCAGCCGCAGCGCGCAGCGTCTGACGCTGCAGAGATGCGAACAGCAGCGGCAGCTGCCGCCTGCCTGCACGCTCAGCGTCGGTGCCTGCGTGTGCGCTGGCCGCTTCTTGCCCTGCACCCGGGTGCTGCTGCGCTGCTGCGGTGCTGCGCTGGGTGCTGCTGCATCTGTGCTCCTGCTGGGCCCATGTGGGAACGAGCCGCCCACGCTATTCTCCGGCACCTCGTCTGTCGACGCGCGCCGCGGGCGTGGAGGGCGTTCCATCGGCGCATCATGGCGCGGCGCCTAGCTCGCTCCACCTCGTCGTCGCTCCTTCCTCCTCAGCGCCCCTTCTGCGCCACCACGCCGGCCTCTTCTCCTCGCACGCTGCCAGCAGGAGGCCAAGAATTACCTGCTGCGCTCAGATGAGTGGCGCGCCGAGGGTCGCTGGAATCCAAGCCCTGCAGCGAACCCGCAGCTGCAGCGCCCTGCGTCTGGGCTGCAGCGCCCAGGCAGGCAGCTCGCACGAGAGAAGCGTAAGCAGCCACCGCGACTGTGTGGGCGAGCGGCTGCGGGCTGGCCAAGCCGTGCTCAGCCGGCTCAACGTCCGCCCTCTGTGACGCTGCAGCTGCGCCTGCTCTGACTGCAGCATGCCAGACGGCCGCAGCGCTGTCGAACGCGAGTGCAGGCAGCAGCGCAGGAGGTGTGCAGAAAGAGACGCAGCATGCAGGACGCCGTCGCTGTCGAGGTGCTGCATCTCGCCCTCGTGGTGCACACCCGCGCTCGTCGGAGCCGGAGTGCCCCCTTCCTCTGGTTTCGCGTGCAGCTCTCCTGTCCTGCGGTTTGTGCTGCGATGCGTCTCCTGCGCTGCTGCCTCGCGCGCCGAGGCAGAGGGCGACATCCCAGCAGCAGGCTCCGCCCGCGTCGCGCCGATCGCCAGTCCGAGACGCGGGCGGGGCACAGAGCAGCACAGCAGCACGGCGCAGCGACAGCGGCATGTGAGGCAGCAGCGTCGAGCGTCGCGTGCGTTGCAGCATCAGACGTGCCAGAGGTTTCAGGAGCCCCTTGGCTGGCGTGCGAACGGAGGAGCGCATCCACGCGAAGCGACGCAGCGCCGAGCCTCCGGTGCAGGCTCGACGAGCCTTCGGCGAGAAGAAGGCGCCGTCGAGCTGCCTTGGAGGTGTCGTCTCCTCGCTCTCGACTTCGCCGCCAAGCTAGCATGCACCACCGTGCGCTCCTGCCGCCCACGCCCGCTCCCATGCAGATGCAGGGGAGCTCGCCGGCTGCTGTGCCGCTCGTCCCGAGCGCCGATGCGCCCGTGGGAGCCGAATAGGCCATTCATGCCTTCCCGCTCGGCCAAGGCGGCACGAGCTTCTCTCAGCAGCGGCCATCAGGTTTACCCAGGGCAACGGCAGCGGCAGCACGAAGCGATCTCACGGGCACGAGGCCGTTGCCAGCGCAGCAGGCCGTTGGACGTCGCTGGCAACGCCAGAATGCAGTTGCTCCCATGCACGCCGCACGCTCGCCTTCTCGAGCGCCGTGCTCATCGCAGCCCAGGCTGCGGTCTGATTCGAGTGCGCACAGGCAGCCGGCTCAATGCTAGAACGCGCTGCTTGATCAGTCAAATGTGGTCTGCTGAGTTTGCCGGAAGCTCAGCAGCGCTCAGCGCAGGTTGCCCCGCGAGGCGTCGCGTCTCGCATGGCGCCGTCTGGCGTGCGGCGCGACATCGACGACGGAGGTTCACATCAGGAGATCTCGGGCCGCGAAGGGAGTCAGCCTGCAGGGCTGCGAGCTCGTCGTTGGGAGCCGCGGCAGACTTCATGTGCATCGAGAGCGCAGCTGGGCAGACACGACTCGGCAGCGGCAGCCAGCGCACCATTGATGATTCTGCTCGAGGGCGGCTTGAGCGCTACGGCAGCTCGTCTGCGACTCATCAGGGCTTGCTGTGACTCATCAGGGCATGGCTCGCTGCCAACACAAGAGGCCACGCTGTTCTGATTCGCGGAGGCTGTGTCTGTTGCTGGCCTCGCCCCACCCAGCACCCAAGCCACGCCGCGCGAGTCAGCGCGAGTCACTGTCTCGGCGGCGCTGTTCGGCGGAGCCCCACTGCCGGCCGGGGCCGCTCCACCTGCAGAACTGCGAAGAACGACCCTTGCTCTCTCTCTGAGGCCGCGTAAGCGCTTTGCGGCACAGCTGATGCGAGCGGCGTTGCGAGCGAGGCGAGGCGGGGTGGAGCTGAGGCGCCGCGGGGTAGGGAGGGCGGCTTGCGGCCGGAGCAGCGCTCGGACTTAAGGGGCGGCGCGCGGGCGTTGCTGCGGCGCCGCAGCAGGCGCCTCCGCGGCGGCCGCCGCGCGCGGCGAGTCACGCCACGTGGCAAAAGCTGAAGCGCGCGGCTTCACCTTCGCGCGCCCGAATACAACTGCGCAGTTGTATTGCGCGCGCCGACAGCTTCGCCTCAAGACCACCGCTGCGCGCGTCGCCATCCCGTGCCACCACCACCCCCTTTACCCCCCCGCAAGTCGTAAAAGTGAGCATGCCACGCATGCCCGCACCGCTCGCCGCCACGCTCGCCGCACAGAGATGCTGCTCGCATACACGTCATGCCGCCGGGTGGTCTTGAGGGCCGGTCGAGGCTGGCCAGCGAGAAGGACTGCTCTCGCGGCATGCACCTCGCACCCGGCACCCCGTTAGATAGCGCAGAGCAGCGCTCGGCGTCGGCGCAGCGGCGGTGGAGCGATATGCTGTCGACAGTCTGGTCAGTCGCTGACGCACGGCGCTTGTTCTCGCTCTTGCAGATGGGTCGCCGTCCCGCTCGTTGCTACCGCTGTGAGTTGCCCTGTAGCTGTCTGGCGTGAAGACGCAGCGCTCACACGTGCGCGTTCAGACTGCAAGAACAAGCCGTTCCCCAAGTCGCGCTACAACCGTGGTGTGCCGGACCCGAAGGTGAGCAGCAGGACCGGGTCAGGTGGGCAGCGTGGCAGAAGAGAAGGCGTGACATGGCAGAGGGCGCAAGATCGATAGCGAGGCAGCCGAGGGTGGCGAAGAACCAGGCGCAGACAGGGCCAAAGAGAGTGCTGGCTCGTGCGCCGAGCAGGCCCGGCTGGACAGATGAAGTGGCCGCACGTCAAGCCCGGCGTCGCGAACAGGGTCTCAGCCGATGCTGACGCTGTCGCCGCTTCCAGATCCGCATCTACGATCTCGGCCGCAAGAAGGCCTCGGTCGACGACTTCCCCTTCTGCGCGCACATGGTGTGCGACGAGCACCAGCAGATCACGTCTGAGGCGCTCGAGGCTGCCCGTATTTGCGCCAACAAGTACATCACCAAGACGTCGGGCAAGGACTCGTTCCACCTGCGCGTCCGCGTCCACCCCTTCCACGTCATCCGCATCAACAAGATGCTGTCCTGCGCCGGTGCTGATAGGTGAGCATTGAGGGCATGCGAGAAGGGCGAAGCACAGGCATCAGGGGGAGGGAAGGCTCGCGGACTGCGTGTCCAGTGGCGCAGCACGGACAGTAGCGTCGTGAGAGGAGAGGCCTCGAGACAGAGACGTCAGGAGAGAGCGCGCGATGGCGGGACTGGCAGAGATTCGTGCGTAGACTGTCGACCTGGTGCTGACCGCACTCCGCTTGCAGACTTCAGACCGGTATGCGTGGCGCCTACGGCAAGCCGTACGACACGGTCGCCCGTGTCGACATCGGCCAGGTCCTCCTGTCGGTGCGCACGCGTGACTCGAACCGCGCCGTCGTCATCGAGGCGCTGCGCCGCTCGCGCTACAAGTTCGCCGGCCGCCAGAAGATCATCATCTCGAAGCGCCACGGCTTCACCAACATGATGCGCTCCGAGTACCAGCAGGCCAAGGCCGACAACCGCATCCTCAAGGACGGCTGCTACCTGCAGTACATCAACAACCACGGCCCCCTCGAGAAGAACCTGCGCCTGCAGGCCCGCATTGCCGCGCAGAAGTAAAACGCACGCACGCTCTCCCGTGTGCGCGGTCCATCCCACTTCTCGTTCTCTAGCTCGGCATCACATGTACACTTTCTTGGCCATCACCCTCACCCGGGACTGCCGTGCGCGTCGACCGCAATGCAGCTCCTAACAGCAGATGGCGTCTGACGTCCGTGCGAGGCAGCTATAGCATTAGAGCAGCAGAAGCAGGGGCGAGTGGCAGCACCGAGAGAGAAAGACACTGGCAAGGCGAGTGCGCGCGCTACGGCCGCTCGACGACGAGGCTGGCCGGCACGCTGTGCACCAGGCCGCCGTCCTCCTCGAACTGCAGCTCGTACGTCTTGGCGAGCATCTCCTGGGTGCGGCTCTTGAGCTGTGCGCCAGCAGTGTCAGCGATGGTGCGGCGGCGTGCAGCAGGGCAAGCGCACCTTGGCAGAAATTTGCCGGCCATTCAGGCCTGGCCCGCCGCGGATGACTTTGGCCTTGTAGAAGCACGACGTGTCGGGGTAGAGGCCGAGCACAATCGAGCCGGGCCGGTAGTCCTCCGTCGGCAGCGTTGAGAGGCTCTCGGGCAGCGGCACGATGGCCTTGAGCGTCGTGTTGTACTTGCTGTCAGGCCGGCGACAGGGTCAGCAGCCGAGTCTGCCTCGCGATGCGCACGCAACTCACGGGCCATCCACGTCCTCGGCATCGACGACGACGTAGCTGCGCGGCAGAGCAAGTGAGCAAGCAGCACAAAAGACTCTGGCCGCCGAGACACACCGGTTGCGGTCGTTGTTGATGCACTCCTTGACGATGGCCATGATCCACGTCTCGCCCTCCTCGTCCGGCGCGGGCGCCTGCGTCGGACCACTGCTGCTGACGGCCGTGCCGCCCGTCGTGGTCTTCGCCTTGCTCGGCTGACGAAAGGCCACCTTGCGCCCAGGCGTCAGCGGCAGCTGGCCTTGCAGCACTTCGCGCCGCGCCTTGGCTGGGTCCATGTAGCTCGTGCCGCTGCTGCGGCCGCCGGGTGTGGCGGCGCCTCGTGCCTTGTTGGGCGTGGCGTCCACGACGGCATTTGTCGCTTTCAGCGCAGCTCGTGGAGCAGGTGATGGCGCGGGTGCAGGCGTGAGGGACGGCGAGGTGCGAGGCGAAGCACTGCCGCCGTCAATGCGCCGCTTCTTGCGCTGCACGCTGCGCCCGTCTTTGGCATCTGTCGAGCACACAGGTCAGCAGATGCCACACAAACAGAAGCAGAGCAGCGCACCATCGTCGGCGCCTCCTCGCAAGGCTGTGAGCACAGATATGTTCTCGAGTGTCTGATCGAGGTTCCTGCGTGAAGAGACACGAGGTCAGCTGCGTGGCCTTACACGTGGCCTGCGTGCCTGTCACTGACTTCTCCTCCTCCTCAGCTCTCCTCTTCAGGTCGTTGTACAGGCTGCGCATCTCCTGCTTGGCCTTGCTGGCCTGGGCATCGCGCTGGCTCGTCGAGGCGCCATTGTGTGCCTCGGCCGCGACAGCCGCAGCCAGGCGTGATCGCACAGCGACAAGCTCGGTCTGCGTCGCGATGTTGTCGGTGCGCAGCGTCTCGAGCACTCGTAGTGAGGCGCGGATCTTGTGCCACAGCTGTATCTCTGCGGCAAAGAAGCGAAGCAGCGGATGTCAACAAGCGCAGAGCTGGTAGGGCAACAAGCATGGCTCACCGTCCTGGCTGGGCGCCACGAAGCGGTCCTTGCGTGGCCGTCCTTGCATTTGCGGCCGGTGCGCAGCTCAGCAGGCGACAAGTTTGCAGCAGAGAGCTTGGAGAGGGGAAGCAAGGGCGACTAAAAGCGCCCGAGAACAAGAGAGGCGATGCGAAAGCAGCGTGCGGGATGTTTTCTCGCAATCGCGCTGGCGCAGGCGCCGGGCTTGGCAATGGGCCGCCGCAGAGGCGAGTGCGCAGCCGTGGGAGCGTCTGAAGTGATGCAGCTGTGCTGCTAGGTGTCCTTGCGGCTTGAGGATGACAGGCGATGACCTTTGCTTGATGGGATGGCGGCTTGGGCGTAACGCGTCGGGCGGGAGGCGCAGGCGGTGCGCGAGCCGCAGCGGTCGCACGGCGCGCCCACGCGACGCGGCCCGCACCGAGGCGGCGCCGCGGCGGCACAGGAGCACGGCCAAGCCAAGCCGTGGCGGCGCACGGCGCGGCGGCGCCGGATGCCGAGCTGCAGCGCTCGTCGCGGGCGCGGGCGTGAGGGGTGCGGCCGTTGCAGCCCAGCGCCGAAAGCGACATCCGAGCTGCCTGCGCTTCAGGCACGGCAGCACGCAAGCGGTGTCGGGCCGCCTTGACGGCTCGTCCTGAAATTTAGCGCGGCCGCACGTGCCAAGAAGCCTCGGGGGTCCATGGCGAGGAGGAGGCAGATCCTCGCTGCAGCATGGCACTGCGAGGCGAGTCACTGAGAAGAAGCGACTGGTGTGCTCGCTGCTGGATCTGAGGTGCTGGCGGTGCTGCGCGTGCGAAGCGTCAAGTGGACGGCCGAGGAGGTGCGGGCGGGCAGGCGGTCCGGTGCCCGCGGTGTGCGTGCCGCCGGAGCGGAAGGTTGCGAGAGCGAGGCGAGAGAGCGGCGCGGCCGGCTGTGTCTCGCTTCTTCCTGCCGGCACCGGGCCTGCCCACTCACCCTCACACCTCCCGCACCCGCTCCAGCATGACCGAGTTCAACCCCAACGAGGCCAGCTTCCTGGCGCAGCTGGCGCAGTGGAACATCCGCGTGGGCATCATTGGTGGCTCGGGCATCTACAAGCTCGAGGGCTTCGAGATCATCGGCAGCGTCAACCCCGAGACGGTGGGTGCAGCACGTGCGCCTTGGCGGCAGCAACACCCGGCTCACTCCATTCGCAGCCCTGGGGCTTCCCCTCGTCGCCGCTCACCATCGCGCGCAACGCGCAGGGCGTGCACGTCGCCTTCCTCGCGCGCCACGGCCTGACGCACAGCATCACGCCGTCGGGCGTGCCCGTGTGCGCCAACATTGCGGCGCTCAAGTGGATCGGCGCGCGTGCCATCCTGGCCTTCAGCGCCGTCGGCTCGCTGCGCGAGGAGATTGCGCCGCGTGACTTTGTCGTGCCCAGCCAGATCATCGACCGCACCAAGGGCGTGCGTCGCGCTACCTTCTTTGGCGAGGGCAAGGACGCTGGCGTCGTGGCGCACGCCATGTTCGGCGACCCTTTCGATGAGATCCTGCGCCCGCAGGTGGAGAAGATGTGAGTTGCCGCTGCTGCTGCTGCTGTTGGCCGAGCATGGCGCTCATGCGAGCTTGCAGCGTGCGCGAGACGCTGGCAAAGGAGGAGCCCAACGTCAAGGTGCACGGCGACAAGACGGCCGTGTGCATGGAGGGCCCGGCGTTCAGCACGCGTGCCGAGAGCCTCATGTACCGCGCATGGGGCGGCGACCTCATCAACATGAGTGCGCTGCCCGAGGCCAAGCTGGCGCGCGAGGCCGAGATCAGCTACGTGCTCATTGCGACGGGTGAGTCTGCCTGCCTGTGTGCTGTGTATAGCGGGCGGAGCTCTGACAGCGCCGCGCTGCAGCGACCGACTACGATGCCTGGCGGCCTGCCGAGGGCTCGGTGCATGTTGCCGAGGTCGTCGCCTGCCTCGTGGCCAATGTCGCCGCCTCGCAGAAGGTCACGGCCGCGCTCGTGAACCCGATCAACGAGCTCGTCAAGAACGACGACTGCGAGGCCGTCAAGGCGATCCGCGGCTCGATGCGCTTCAGCATCATGACGCGGCCAGAGGCCATCCCGGAGAGCGTCAAGCCGCGCATCCGCTACATCCTCGACTGGTACAAGTAGCGCGTGTGCAGCGAGAGGGGATGAATGGAGATCAATGACTAGAGCAGATACAATACAGAGCAGAGCGTGACGGAGAGCGAGCGGGCAGGACAGAGGAGAAGGCGCTACTTGAAGAAGTAGATGATGAGGATGAGGCTGACGATGAGCATGCCGATGACGTAGGACGAGGCTGGCGGGCGGCGGGCGTAAGGAGCCAGCGCATGGGGCGCATTCGAGGCGACACTCACTGTTCTGCTTGAGGCTGCGCTCGAGCGTGTCCATGCGCCCTTGTGCGCGGCCGAGGCGGTTGGCCGTGCTATCGACAGCGGTGTCCATCTCCTCGAGCAGCTGCCCATGCAGCTCGAGCTCGTCGCCCATCTGGATGCCCAGCTCGCGCTGCCGCGCAATGCTCAGACTCAATGCGTCGAGCTGCCCGTCTTGCGCTGCCATCTCGCTCTGCTGCGACTGGTACAGCGCCGTGCGTGCTGACGCGCTCACGTCTGGCGGCGGAGAGGGCTCATCCCGATAGGGCTCATCGCCGTAGGGCGAGGACTCGAGAGGATTTGACGAGGCAAGCGGCGGCTCGTCGTCGGATGCTTCGTATCTGTCGAGCGCAGGCAGGTGTCAGAGGGGATCCGCCGGGGCACAGCACGAGTCCGGCGCTCCTGCAAACGTGGCCCAGCTATCGCTCGAAGCCATGCGCAGAGACGTGGCCGGACTAGCACCCAATATGCATATGCGCGCAGCCGCACCTCACTCTCCTGCTCAGGTGTCACGTCCAGCTTACTCACATGGCCATAGCATCAAGCGCAATCTGTCTGCCCTCCTCGTCCTCTTCCAGCAGTGTCCTCACGCGCTCCCAGCCAGCCATGAGGCTCTGCCTCTCATCATCGCGCGGCAGTGCATGCAGGCCCGCCAGGAAAGCCGGCAGTGCCCTTGTGATGGGTCGTGTGAGGGATGGTGCCGAGGGCGCAAGCCGCAGCGCGACGCTGCGCTCGTGCGCCTGCGAGAGGAGCGTGGAGAGCGTGGAGCGCAGACGCGTCCGGTCGGGCGCCGACATGGCGGGCCGAGGGATGTCCGGGACTGGGTGCGCTGAATGAACGGAGAGGATGGTGGCGCTCCGCTGCGCTGTGGGTCGCTGGCCGGCGTGGTGGTGCGGAAGGTACTTGTAGCAGCGCAGTGGTCCGAGCAGCCTGCTCCACTTGGCGCCGCTGGCCGCTTGCGGCGGAGCTGCCGGTCCAGGCGCGCACGTGACGGTCGCGTCGCGTCACTCTCCCCCGCAAAACGCTCGAGCTGCGGCCGCGCTGCGCAAGGGGTTCGCGCAACCACATACACACGGCTCGATGAGGCAAGCCTGTCCGCCGCAGCAACTCAGCGGGATGCCGCCTTGGACGAGATGAGCAGGAGAGCAAGCGGCGGCTCCTCGGCCCGACGTGACAAGCACCACGATGCCGCAAGCGCGGCGGCAGCGTAAGGTGTCCTTCTCGCCCGGCCCGGCCGCAGCGTTAAGCTTGCGCTGCCGCTCGTCTACAGCGCAGCGCCCGTCGCGGCAGTCAGCTATGAGGCAGCAGCACCATGCGCTATGCGATGAGGAGCAGCGACGTCTCGCCGGCTGCGCAGCCACGAGGGAGATGGCCAGCATCAGGCGGCAGCGCCATCGCCGGCGCAGGCGACACGCCGCGCAGCACGGCTCCTTTGGGCAGGTCGCGCAGTCCGGGTGCCGAGAGAGGGTGCTGCCCGCCCAGCTGCGGCTGGTTCCGCGGCTTCGTCCGGCTCTCTCGCGCTGCGCCTCGCCGTCGAGCAGCGCCCCTCTCGCCGCAGCCGCTCGTGTCGCTCCGCTGCCTCCTTGGGCGACCATCTGCTTCGGGCGAGCACGAGCCGCTTCGGCGCCGAGCAAGGAGGTCAGCACGCTGCGCACGCCACGTATCAGGCATGCCCAATCGGGCGTGTGCGAGCTGCGCACCGCTTCTTTGGGCGGCGAGCAGCGGGTGCGCGGCGGCGCGGCGCTCGTGCTCGTCGTCGGCCTGCCAGCGAGCCACCTCTCCTGCGCCGCCGGCAAGGCTGGGCGAAGCCGAGGTGCCGGCGCTTGTGCTGCCTTCGCACGCTTGTGATCGCTGCCAGCTTACGGCAGGCCAGCAAGAGCAGCGGGATGTGAGTGGCGGCGCAGGATGAGTGAGCGTCGTCGACGACAGCGGTGGCGTGCGCCGTCGCTGCGCAGCGCTCGCACCCCTATAAGAGCGCCGCCTCTCGCTCTCGCTCCTCTGCTCCGCTCCTCGTCCAGCTCTCTAAGCGTAAGCCGCACTCCGGCGCTCCTCCTCTTGGGCCTTTCTCCTTCAGCTCTCCTCCTCTCCTCCTCCTTTGCGTGCCTTTCCACCCTCGGGCGCGCCCTTCTCCCTTCCTCTTCGTCTCGTGGCGGACTCATTCTCCAGGCGGATCATCTCAGGCTCTTTCCTCGTCGCTTCCCTCTTCCTCTCGCTTCGACTCGCTGCTCTACGGCAGTGGCCGACTCTCCTCCTTCACTCCTCACCTTCGCTGGGCCCTGCGGCCTAGCACCTCTCCATTTCACGCCTGCCTCAGGCTCTCCCCTCGCCTCTCCCTTCCTTTCACACGCGTGCGGATCCTCTCGAGACCTGTGGTGAGTCTCGTCTGCCGCCATGATCTTCGACCGCGACGTCTAAATGTTCGTCCCGCAGTGTCAGTCTCGCCGCCTCGCAACACGTTCACGATGGCGCCCGCTCCTCTGCGCCTGGAGCGCTCGGCACTGTCGCCTCCCACCCTCGAGGTGCCTGCTCGCGACGACGGCTCGGCTGATCCCACGACGCCCGTCAACCGCACCTTCACGCTCGACACGCTCGAGAAGCCCGTCTACGCCACTGCCGTGCTCTCGGCGGGCTCAGACGCCGTGCTGCTCGCTCGCCGAGCTCGCGCTCGCGCAGCCAGCGATGCGCGCATCCGTCTCGAGGCCTCCATGCAGCCGGCGCCCATGAAGCCGACGGTGGCAAGTCCCGGCTCGCCGCAGATCGACCTCGAGTCGTCGAGCGACGACGAGGTGGAGCGCGCGTGGATCGCAGCCACCGGCAGCGAGAGCAGCTTTGGTGAGTGCATACGCGCGGTGCTGCGCCTCTCATGACCGAATGCTGACGCTGAGCTCTGACAGAGTCGCCGTCCGTCGCACGTCGCTTCCGCATGGACTCGAACTCTGCTTGGCAGGGCGTGCCCACCTCGCCGGCACACGACTACGTCGACCTCGGCAAGCTGACACCGAGCGAGCTGGACGGCCTGCAGTCGCCGGTCTCAACGGGCAAGGGCAAGCAGCGCCAGCTCTCGCCGCAGCACGCTCCGCTCTCCAAGAGCCGCAGCGGCTCGGCGCTGTCCAAGGTGTCGCTTCTGGACGGCATCCAGCCGCAGCTCGACCTCAACCGCCCGCGCAGCACCACGCTCTCGATCCCGTCTGGCCGCGGCTCAATGTCGCGCGCCCGCTCCGGCAGCATCCTCGGCCAGTTCAACCGCACCTCGCACGACTCGCCTGCGGCCTTCTCGCCCCGCACGCCGACGCTCGAGCTGCCCAGCTCGCCGCGTCCCACGCAGCTGCCCTGGCTCTCGCGCGCCAGCTCGAACACGTCGCTCAGCAACCTCTACGAGTCGTCGCCAGTCTCGTTCCCGCAGCAGCCGCGCCGCTCCGCGCTCAGCAAGCTCGCGATGAAGAGCAACGTCGGCGATGACTCGGAGCACGACAATTCGATGGCCACGACCAACTCGCGCTCGACGGCGGACACGCCGGACCACTCCTTCGCCTCGACGCACGACTCGTCGCTCGGCGCGACGCCCGACACGTCGGCCGGCAGCATCATGCACGACGACAAGGCCGGCCACGGCAGCCGCCGCAGCAACAACACGGCGGACCTGAGCATCAGCGACATGAGCGCCGCCGACTCGAGCGCCGAGCTCAGCCGCGATTCGTACGGCAGCAACTACAGCAACGTCAAGTCGGCCGGCCGCGTCCACGTGCTGCACCCTCTTGTGCAAGCACCGTCGTCGAGCCCTCCGCCGTCGCCCGAGGGCCTCGGCATCTTCGGCGGCGGCCGCGTGAGCGCCAGCGGCCTCCGTCCCAAGTCGCACACCGTGACGTCGAGCGAGACGCCGATGCTGCGTCGCGCGCGCACCAACACGGCGGCCGACCCCGACGTCTTTACCTCGTCCACCGTCAAGTCGTCCGACATGAACCCCGAGCGCTGGACCAGTCAGCGTGTGCTTCGCTCGCAGGCCGGCGGCTCCGGTGGCGAGGCCATGTCGGCCTACGCTGCGGCGATGAGCCGTGGCTCGGACAGCAAGGCCGACTACTCCAGCGCAAGTACGCGCCGCATGACGGTCGGCCACCCGGCCGTTGACGCCCTCGGCAACCTGATCTCGCAGACCAGCCTCTCGGGCCCAAGCCCGCGCCGCGGACCGAACATCAACCTCCTGCGCCGCACTAGCCGTCTCAGCACGGACTCTGCCGAGGCCAGCCCGGGCGAGGAAGGCAGTCTGCTGGCGTTCCAGGAGCTCGTCGACCAGATCGTCCGCTCGCCCACGACCGGCACGGAGGCCGTGGCCGTTGCTGCCGCCGTTGGTGCGGGCGAGTTCCGCCGTCTCTCCCCGTCGCTGTCGAGCCCCAAGACGACGATGAAGAGCTCGTGCGACCTGTGCGGCTCGCTGTGTCTCGTGCTCACGACGCTCGAGCCATGCGGCCACCGCGCGTGCCCGACGTGCACCTCGAGCGGCATCAACCAGGTCTCGACGTCGCCGCCGCGCAAACACACGTGCGCCTCGTGCCACACGCCCGTCGAGGGCATCTCGCTCGGCATGCGCGAGCGCAGCGGCTCGACGGCGTCAGACATGACCAACACCTCCGACGCCACCAGCCTCGGCCGTCCTCTTACGCCGCAGTTCGAGCTCGGCGAGAACGCCAGCGGGCTGGCGGCTCGCAAGATCGTCGGAGGCACGCTCGCTGCGCTCGAGCTCAGCCGTGCAGCGCGCAGCAACAACAAGTACTCGGCTCTGGCCGAGGCGCGCGACAGCGAGACTCAGCCTAGTCTGTCGCCGGCCGATGCTAGCCCGGACTCTCGGCCCTCGACCGCCAAGCCTGAAGAGACTCGCAAGACAGGCTCGCTGGCCGCCGGCGCCCGCTCGTTCTTCGTGTCGTACGGCGACGGCGCCTCGACCAAGAGCCTCTCCTCCGGCCAGCGCCTCGACGCCGGTGCAGCGCAGCCCGCACCGCTCGGCAAACACGGTATTTCGAGCGATGTGTTCAGCATCAACGACGATCGCGCACAGCGCGCTGCGGGACCCAAGACGGCCGTCACCGCGCTCATGAGCGACAGCGCCATGACGAGCTCGAGCCATCAGACGAGGTGAGAGACCCGCTGCCCCGGCTGTGCCAGCTCGCTAACACATGCACAGCTTCTCTCGCACGCCGTTCGCCTTCTCCGCGAGCGAGTTCGAGAACGAGGACGACTGGCAGGGCATCAACGGCACGGTCGTCGTGCGCGTCGACAACATCCCTTGGACGGCGTCGTACAACGACATTCTCGAGTGGGTGCCCGACTTCGAGGAGCTGCTGCCCGACGCCGCGCAGATCCCGCACGCCATCCACGTGCCCATCGAGCTGCCGACGGGCAAGACGGCCAACTCGTGCTTCATCGAGTGCCGCGACAAGCAGGCAGCCATGAAGCTGATCCGCAAGCGCAACAACCACCGCCTCTGTGGCCGCCCGGTCAGCCTCATCCAGGCCAGCGACGACGAGCTGCTCGACGAGATCTTTCCGACGCGTGCATGCCGCCTGTACAACGCGATCGACGGCACGTTCGTGTACTTTACGCCGTGGGAGGTGAGTGCTAGCGTGCGTGTCTGCCCCGCTCCATCGTCCTGACCTCTCGTCTGCAGCTACACGAGGTGCTCAAGCTCCTGCGCGACGGCTCGCCGCAGCTCAAGGGCCCGCTCAAAGTCGTCGAGTACTTCACGTCGATGATGCGTCTCGTGCCGGTCACGCTGGCGCCCGACATGCGCAGCTTGCGTGAGTGTTGGCAGGGTGCGCGCTCGTGACACATTTGCTGACGACTCGCACGCAGTCTTTGAACGTGCCAGCGGTCAGTCTGCGCCGCGAGAGGCACGAAGCACTGCCGGAGCTGACCTTCTTTCTCGCAGAATTCGTCACGACGTGCGTCGGCGCAGTCACCGCCGTCAAGGGCCTCCGCGAGGCGCTGGACCGCCTGCTCTTCCAGATCTGCCAGTGCGCGGCCCTGTCGATCCCGCAGAAGATCCGTCTGCTCGACTGCGCCAAGGACTCGCTGGCCGTCGCCACGAGCGCAGTGCCCAAGCAGCAGCGGCCGGACACCGCGATGTCTGCCGCTGCCGGCACGGGCGGCCGCCAGCACGGCATGGGCCGGGCTACTGCTCAGACGGCTCCTCCCGCTCCGACCTCCTTCGACGCTGGCCGCCTTCAAGTCTCGCCGCACCTCGCCTCAGCTGCACACACGACGCCTTCGCCGCGCCTCGCCGGCGGCATGCCGATGCCGATGCCCAACGCCGGCTCGCCTTACTTTGGAGGCGCAGAGTGGGCGCACACCGGCCCGCTCCCTCCGCACGGCATGATGCCGTTCCCGCAGCAGATGCACGCTTCGCTGGCGCTTCCGCCGATGCCCTTCGGCGGCAGCCCGGACATGTACGCAACGCCCGCTGGCTGGGTGGCGCCCATGCACGGAGCGCCTCAGCAGATGCTCAACGGCTCCGGCCTCGGCGCAGCTCAGCAGCAGCAGCGCCAGGCTCTCGAGCAGTCGCTTCTCTACCATCAGCGCGCCCTCGCCGAGCAGCAGCACATGCTGCGCCAGCTGCAGTTCGCCAGCATGTCTGGCGGCGGCGCTGGCCTGCCTCAGGGCCAGGCGCAGGGAGCGTCCGACGCCCACGTCGGTTCTGGCGCGCCGCCCGGCCCGTACGGCTACGCTCCGGCCCAGCAGCAGCAGGGCTTCCACGAGCTCGTCGCGCGCGTCGCCGGCCAGATCGCCCTCTCGCACAGCCCTCAGTAACATCCTATTCTGGCATGCGGCGCCCGGCTTCCCGACGGCCCGCGCCCTGCCTCCCTACTAACGAACCACACAGCCTCTCTCTCGTCTCCTCCTGTCTTCACACACGTCTCTCACTCTGTTTCCGCATCCGTGACTCGCTTCTTGTATCCAGCCTCCGAGCCCAGGCCCAGCACCGCCCTTGACGGGCGCAGGCACCGCGCGGCGCCTCCGGTGCATGTCTCCGGGCAATAACGATGACCATTCCGCGCTCACGAGCGAGTGCCACGCCTGAGCTAGCGCTTGCGGCCGCTCTTGCCCTTGCTCCTGGCGCCGCCCTTGCCTGGCTTGCCCCCGAGCGGGCCGCCGCCAGCCTTCTTGCGAGCGCCTCCGCCGCCCCCGCCTCCGCCACCGCTGCGTGCCTCGCCGCTCCGCTCGCCGAGGTCGCGCGCAAAGCCGCCGCCCTGCTTGCCGACCTTGAGTGCGCTCGTCGACGAGCGCTTCTTCTTGGTCTTGGTCTTGTCCGCCCGCTTCGGCGGCTCCGGCTCGCCCATCGCGCGCGGCCGGTGCGCCTTCTTGGCGGCGCGCACCGAGGCGTCGACCATGGGCTGGAGGTTCTCCTCGGCAATCTCCTCGCGCAGCATCTTGCTGCGCTTCTGCTTGCGCGAGAGGCCGTCGAACTTGCCGCGCTTCGGCGCCTCGTCGGCCTTGCGCTTCTTCTGCGCCTCCTTTGGGTCGACTTTGGCGGCGTAGTCGGCAGCAGAGACGTCTGATGTGATCGCGCGTCAGCACAGATACGGCGACTAGCGCTCCGTCACGACTCACTCTTCGCCTCGAGCTTGTCCTTCTCGCTCTGGAACCAGGTGCGCTTGGGCCGGCTCATGATCTCGTCGCGGTGCTCGATCATGTTGCTGCCCTTGGTGAGCTCCATCTCGGCCGTGCGCATCGCCTTCTCCTCGCGCTCCTCCTTCATCACCTCCTCGACCTCTCCCTTGAGCTCGTCGAGCTGCGTGATCATGCTGCTCACGACCTCCGGCGGGATGAGGCGGTGCTTCACCTGCGACGCCGGCGAGCGCTTGAGCGCCGTCTTGAGCAGCCTTCGGTCTGCCTCGCCCACGAGCGTGACGGCACTGTGGGAGCGCAGCACGCCGTCAGTGTCCGCACAGAGTTGACCTGCCTATCTTCACTCACCGTCCGTTGCGGCCTGCACGTGCCGTACGACCGACGCGATGCAGGTACTGCTCGAACTGCGCCGGCATGTCGTAGTTGATGACCGTCTGCACGCCGCGAATGTCGAGACCACGCGAGGCAAGGTCCGTGGCGATCAGGAAGTCGACCTTGCCGTCACGGAAGTTCTGCAGCGCCAGCAGACGCTGCTCCTGCGACAGGTCACCGTGCAGCTCCGCGGCCGAGAGGCCGACGAGGCCAAAGACGATCTTGAGCTGGTGCGCAAGCTTCTTGGAGCGGACGAAGATGATGACCTGGTGGCGGAAGGTGCGTGTGCAGAGGCTGAGCAGCAGCGCAGGCCGCGCCTCGTCCTCTGTCCGCCGGCCGCCAGCGCTCGAGCTGCTGCCTGCCGTCAACTCGGCAGCCGAGCCGGCCGAGCCCGAGCCTCGCACGCGCACGAACTCCTGGATGAGCTTGGCGGCAGTGGTGCGCTTCGGGTCGACGAAGAGGCGCACGGGCCGCCGCAGGCTGAGGCGCACGAGCTCGTCGACGTCGTCCGTCATCGTGGCGGAGAAGAGCATCGTCTGGCGGCCCTTGGGCGTGGCCTGGACGATCTCGTTGAGCTCCGCGGCGAAGCCCTCCTCGAGCATGCGGTCCGCCTCGTCCATGATGAGGATCTCCACGTCGTCGATGCCGAACGACGCGCTGTTGCGGATGTGGTCGATCAGACGACCCGGCGTGGCGATGATGACCTCGGGCCGGAGCTTGAGTTCCGCCTCCTGCGCCTTGACAGAGAGACCACCTGGAAGCGCGTCTCAGCACCCTGCGCGTGCGTGTGTCTCCGCAGCCTGACTCACCGACTGCGAGACAGAAGCGAATGTCCATGAACTGGCCGAGCGCCTTGCCGACGGCGTGACACTGCACCGCCAGCTCACGTGTCGGCGTGAGCACGACGACGCGCGTCTTGGCCTCGTCGCGGCCCTTTGCGCGGTGCGCGAGACGCTCCAGCACCGGGATCATGAAGGCAGCCGTCTTACCGGAGCCAGTCACGGCGCCGGCGACGATGTCCTTGCCGGCAAGCGACAGCGGGATCGAGCGGGCCTGGATGGGCGTCGGCGCGTGGAAACCCATGGCGCCGAGAGCGCGCAACAGCGGCCGCGAGAGGCCCAGAGCGGCGAAGCTCGGCGCCTCGTCATCCGCCGCGCCGCCAGACTTTGCAGCAGCCTCGGGCTCCTGGGCGAAGTAGGCGGCCTTGCGCGCCTTCTGCACCTCAGTCTCTTGGTCGCTCTCATCCTCGCCCGAGTCTTCGTCCGCCGAGTCGGCGGACGCAGACTCGTCCTCGCTGCCTGCGCTCTCGTCTTCGTCGTCCTCATCCTCCTCATCCTCCTCATCTGACTTGTCATCCTCGGCCTCGGCGGCGGGCGCTGTTCGGGCCTTGCGCAAGCCGGCGCCGAAGCCCTCTTCATCGCTCTCGTCGTCCTCGTCGCCGAACCCAGCGAACTCCAGGTCCTCCTCTGCACTCTCGAGCTCCTCGCCGCTGGCGCTGCCGGCGGCGTCTGCCTCGTCCTCAGACTCTGGAGCGGGCAGCAGGACTTCCGGCAGCCTCTTGCGCCGCCGCTCGATGATGTCGTCCACGCTCAGCTTCGCCTGCGCAGACAGTTGTCAGCTCTCACGCTGTCGGGCGGTCGCTTGGGTGGTACTCACACCAAGCTCGCGGCTGCCCTTGACGCCGTTCACCGCCAGGTCCCAGCCGGCGCCAGTGCCGTATCCCGCATCCTCCGTGTCGAACTCAAAGTCGCGGCTCACGGCAAGGCCGCTGCCGTCGGGCGCGTCGGCCTTGCCCTTGCCCTTTGCGCCGGCACGCGACGAGCCAGCGACAGACTCGCGGATCTTCTCGCGCTTCGAGAGCTGGGCCGTGAGGCGCTTCTTGCCCTTGATGGCCGCCAGGTCCTCCTCTTCGGCCGAGTCGGGCTCGTCAGCGGCAGCGCCCGCGAGAGCGAGCTCCTCGTCGTCGGAGCCGGGCCCGACGTCGTCGTCCGAGTCGATCGTCATGACGAGGTCGCCGGCGGCCGCAGCGCTGCGCGCGGGCTTGGCCGACGAGCCGGACGCCGCACGTGCGGGTGCCGCCTTGGTGGCGGTGCGTGCGGGCATGGCGTGGGTGCGGGTGGGTGTGGTGAGGCAAGAGCGGCAAGTTGGCGAGTAAGCGAAGCACATTCGCGCGGCGCCGCGGCCGGTCACTTTTTTCTCCGTGCACTCCGCGGAGCTGGGCCAAGGCGCGTGGGAGCAGGCGCGGGACTCGGCGGCCGAGGACAGCACAGCCAAGGCCGACAGGGGCAACGCGCGCGCGGCGCGGTGAGCCGTGTTTGTTGCGCCCCTGACGCGTGCGCGCGGGGCAAGGCAGGGCAAGGCCGGAGCTGCGTGCTGCGCTCTGGCGCCACCTGCCGCTGGAGATCTGCTGCTGCTGCACAACGGCGCATGTGCCGGAAGGCTGCAGCTGCAGCGCTGCATGCTGCTCGAGAAGCGCGGGCGGCGCCGCAGAGAGCTCGCGCGCCGCGCATGGGAGGCGGAGGAGGCGTGATGCGGCGCTCGGCCGGCCCGGGCGCGGCTGGGCCCACGCATCATCACCGGCGCGCTCACCGTCTCGCGCGCTCCACCCGTCCACCACAGCTGCCGTCAAAGTCCGGCGCGACACCCTCTCTCGCCTCTGTCGCATCGTCGAGACCGCCAGCACCGACTCTTCGCAACTGCTCACGCACGACGCCGCACGCCTGCGCTGCGAGAGCCCGCCTCTCTGGCCCCTGTCGCACTGCTCCACTTGCGTGCGCACGGCCCGTCACAGCACTCCGACCTCGCGCACACCTCGCCGGCGCATCGATCCGCCATGGCTAGCACCTCGGCGCTCTCGCGCCGCGCTGTGGACAGCATGGCCGCTTCGGGTGCCGCCGGCGAGGCCGCAGCCGCTGCCGAGTTCGCAGAGAAGAAGTACGTCTGGCTGCCGGACAAGACGGCCGGCTACCTCTCCGCATGGGTCGTGCGGGAAGAGGACGGCGGCGAGACGAGCGTGTGCAGCTTGGCTGATGGCTCGGTGAGTCGAGCAGCTGGTCCGATGAGAGCGCCGCGGCTGACTCGCGCCGGGCAGATCCGCAACGTGCCCACCTTCGAGCTCTCGAAGATGAACCCGCCCAAGTTCGAGAAGGCCGAGGACATAGCAGACCTGACCTTTCTGAATGAGGCATCCGTGGTGCACAACCTGCGGCAGCGCTACTTCTCCGGCCTCATCTATGTGAGTGCCTCGCTGCGCCTGCGGCCGTGCGCCCTGTGATCTCACCCGCTCTGGCAGACCTACTCCGGCCTGTTCCTGGTCGCGGTGAACCCCTACCACGCGCTGCCGATCTACACAGACGCGATCATCCAGTCGTACAAGGGCCGGCGGCGGGAGGAGAACGCGCCGCACGTGTTCGCGCTGGCAGACGTGGCCATGCGGAACATGCTCGATGCGCGTGAGAATCAGAGCTTACTCGTGACGTGAGTATGAGCCGCGGGAGGGTGACGGGACTGCCGACTCACACCGCCGCGCGCAGGGGCGAGTCCGGCGCAGGCAAGACTGAGAACACAAAGAAGGTCATCCAGTACCTCGCCGCCATCGCGGCCGATCCCTCCGCGACCGGCGCTGGCGTCGTGGCCTCGCCGCCGAATGGAGCCGGCGCGCCCGGCGGCATCCTCACGCGCAGCCACAGCTCGCGCCACGTGCTCGACCAGCTGCGCGGCCTCGAGGCGGTGGGCTCGAAGCGGCTGGGCCTGCTCGAGCGGCAGATCCTGCAGGCGAACCCGATTCTCGAGGCATTCGGCAACGCGCAGACGATCCGCAACAACAACTCGTCGCGCTTCGTACGTGCCGCGCTCCAGCTCACTGACGCGCTGGCAGCTAACGCGTCTCTCCTGCTCAGGGAAAGTTCGTGCGCATCGAGTTCACGAGCCTGGGCGCGATTGCGGGTGCCAATGTGGACTGGTACCTGCTGGAGAAGAGCAGAGTGACGAACCGCAGCGACAAGGAGCGCTCCTTCCACGTCTTCTACCAGCTGCTGCGGAGCGGAGACGACGCGCTGCGGAGTGAGTGGCTGGCGTGCTGCGCTAGGTTGCGCCACGTCTGACGCCTCACGCCGCCTTGCAGAAAAGCTGCTCCTGAGCGACAAGCCGGAGCACTATGGCTACCTCAAGTCCTCGCGGCAGCATGTCGAGGGCATCGACGACACGTCCGAGTGGCAGGTGCTGCTCGAGGCGCTGGCGATGGTCGGCTTCACGCCCGAGGAGCAGGGCAACCTGTTCCGCGTCATTGCTGCGATCCTGCACGTGGGCAACATCGAGCTTGCCGACGACCGCTCGGAGCAGGCGCGCATCACCAACTCGCCGCAGGTCGAGAAGGTGTGCCACCTGCTCGGGCTGCCCGAGCAGGAGCTCACCAAGGCGCTGCTGCGCCCGCGCATCAAGGCGGGCCGTGAGTGGGTGGCGCAGGCGCGCACCAAGAAGCAGGTCACCGACGAGATGGCCGCGCTGTGCAAGACGCTGTACGAGAAGATGTTTGCCACCATCGTCGACCGCATCAACCAGGCGCTCGACCGGCCGACGTCCAAGAGCACCTTCATCGGCGTGCTCGACATTGCAGGCTTCGAGATCTTCGAGATCAACTCGTTCGAGCAGCTGCTGATCAACTTTACGAACGAGAAGCTGTGAGCCTTGCCGCAACCCGGCACCTGCGCAGCACTGACGCTCTTCCCACCCTCAGGCAGCAGTTCTTCAACCACCACATGTTCGTGCTCGAGCAGGAGGAGTATGCACGCGAGGACATCGAGTGGGACTTTGTCAACTTCGGCCTGGACCTGCAGCCGACGATCGATCTGATCGAGTCGACGAGCCCGATCGGCATCCTGTCGTGCCTCGACGAGGAGTGCATCATGCCCAAGGCGTCGGACCTGACCTTCACCGAGAAGCTCAACCGGCTGTGGTCGACAAACAAGGACGGCACGCCGCGCGACACGGCCGGGCTGGCGCTCGCCACTGAGCGGGGCGTTGCGCACGGCTCGACGAAGTACGCGCCCGCGCGCTTCGCACAGGGCTTCACGGTGAAGCACTACGCCGGAGACGTCGAGTACCGCACCGACGGCTGGCTCGACCGCAACAAGGACCCGCTCAACGACAACCTGACGCGCGTCATGAGCGAGTCGACGGACCGCTTCGTCGCAAGCCTCTTTGCGGAATTCGCTGTCGACGACGAGGCCGTCGCCGCGGCCGCGCTGGCCGCCTCGCAGCCTGGCGCCGTTCCGACAGGGCCCAAGCGGCGCGTGCGCCGCGGCGCATTCCGCACTGTCGCGCAGCGGCACAAGGAGCAGCTCACTTCGCTCATGACGCAGCTCGGTTCGACGCAGCCGCACTTCGTGCGCTGCATTGTGCCGAACAGCGAGAAGCGGCCCGGCAAGATGGACGTGCCCATCGTGCTGGACCAGCTGCGCTGCAACGGTGTGCTTGAGGGCATCCGCATTGCGCGTCTCGGCTACCCGAACCGGCTGCTCTTCACCGAGTTCCGGAATCGCTACGAGGTGCTGACGCCGGGCATCATCCCGCGCGGCTACATGGACGGGCGCAAGGCGTGCCAGCGCATGGTCGAGGCGCTCGAGCTCGACCGCGCCGCGTTCAAGGTCGGCCTCACGAAGATCTTCTTCAAGGCTGGTGTGCTCGCCGAGATGGAGGAGCGTCGTGACTCGCACCTCTTCGACATCTTCTCGCGCTTCCAGGGCGCGTGCCGCATGTTCACGGCGCGCCGCCAGATGAAGAAGATCCTGAACCGCGCCGCCGCGGTGCGCACGATCCAGCGCAACGCGCGCCTGTATGTGCAGCTGCGCGAGTGGCCCTGGTGGCAGCTCTACACCAAGGTGCGGCCGCTGCTGACGGGCACGCGGCACGAGGAGGAGCTCAAGCGCAAGGCCACTGAGCTGGCGCTTATCACGGAGCGTGCCGAGCGAGACCAGCGCGAGCGCGAGGCCCTCGAGGCCCTCAAGTTCAGCCTCGAGGCGGAGAAGAAGCGCGTCGAGGATGCCCTCGAGGCCGAGCGCTCGCTGTTGGCCGACAAGGATCAGCTGTTGGCGCGCTCGAAGGAGCGAGAGTCGCAGCTTGAGGAGGATCTTGCAGCTATGCAGGTCGACGTCGACCAGCTCGACAGCCAGCTCGAGCGCGCACTCGTGGCTCAGCGGACATCCGAGACGAGCCGCGCAGAGCTCAAGACCGCCTTCGATGCTGCGGCAGAACACCTTCTACGCCTCGAGCAAGAGCAGAAGGCGTGGCAGCAGCGCGAAGCTGGCCTCGTGGCCGACCTCGAGCAGCGCTCGAGCGAGCTCGTTACGCTCGGCAACCAGCGCTCCTCGCACGCTGCAGAGCGCGCCGAGCTTGATCGCAAGCTTGCAGAGAAGGAGCAGGACGTCCAGCGCGCTGAGCAGCGCATGGCCGCAGCCGTTGCAGAGCTGGAGGCAAAGCTCGCGAGCGAGTCGCGCGCACGCGAGACGGAGCGGCTGAAGGCCACCAAGCTCGAGGAGTCTTCCCGGCAGTCCTCGCACCAGCTCGCGGAGCTGGCGCGCAGCTCGGCTGACTTCGAGGCACAGCTGCAGAAGCGCGAGGCTGAGAAGTCGGAGCTCTCGTCCCAGATCGCTGCGATCACGCGCGAACGCGACAGCCTCGCCCGGCAGATCAGCGAGCTGCAAGTTCGCGTCGAGACGCTGACGCAGGATGTCAAGTCTGCGCAGGGCGAGACGCGGCGCGCTCAAGACTCGTCGGCGCAGCTCCAGCGCGAGCTCGACGAGACGCGCAGCCTCATGGACGCCAAGACGTCGGAGGACTCGAAGCAGAAGGAGCTGCAGCGCCTCAAGGAGCAGGAGCTGCAGGGCCTGCGCTCCGACATCGCCGCGCTGCAGAAGCAGAAGGCCGAGCAGGAGCACTCGACTGCCGAGCGCGTCACCTCGCTGCGGGCCGAGGTCGACGCAGCGCGGCGAGAACACGCCGAGCTCACGCGGTCACACCAGGACCTCACCTCGAGTTCATCGGCCACAGACCGCCAGCTTGCCGAGGCGACCGCTGCTGTCGCTGCCGCCGAGCAGGCCAAGCGTGCTGCGCAGGACCAGCTCGACGATGTGCGGACCCGTGCGCACACTGCGGAGCAGGGCCTGCAGGAGGCACGCAGCGCGCACGAAGCCAGCGAGCGTCAGCTCGCGGCATCTGCGACAAAGCAGCGCGACTTCGAGGACGCCATCCTCGCACTCGAGCGGGGCCAGGGCGCCTGGAAGGCCAAGGCGGACCAGGCTGCTCTGGAGCTGTCTGCGGAGAGCAAGCGGAGAGAGCTGCTTGAGAGCGGCGCGCGCCAGCACGAGCGCAACCTGACGACGCTGCAGCAGCAGCACACGATGAAGGACGCCGAGCTGGCGCGTCTGCGCGAGGTTCTGGCCGCCACGCAGGCCGAGCTCAAGACGGCGCAGTCGATGACCAACAAGACGATCGTCGAGCACGTGCACGTGCTGGAAGAGGCCAAGAAGTACACGGACCGCCAGCTCGCCGACGCACAGAGCAAGCTGCAGGAGCTCGCGCACTACACTAAGACGCTGGAGAAGTCCAAGGCACGCCTGATCTCGGACAACGAGGACCTGACGCGCGAGGTCTCGCGCCTCTCGCAGGCTGACCGCACGGTGCTGAAGAATGTCGCGAGCAGCAGTGCGGCGAACTCGTCTGCGGGCACAGGCAGCGAGAGCCGAGCTGTGCGCACGCTCGAGAACAAGCTGGCGGAGGCCAACCGCGAGCTGCAGTCTGCGCGACGCGACCGGGACAGCGCCCAGTCGGATGCGCGCCGCAAGGATCTGCAGCATTCGGAGGCTCTGAGCCGCTCGCAGCAGGCGTATGAGAAGCGCATTGCCGAGCTTGAGCGGTGAGTCAGTCGTCTTCTGTGGAGCGCCAGCTTGACTGACATCACCTTCACAGCACGCTGAACGGCTCGCACAACACCTTCTCGAACCTGTCGGAGCTTGTCAAGGCAGGCTCGGGCGACGATCGCGACCTGCGCAAGCGGCTGCTCGAGCAGCTCAAGGCCGGCAACGATCAGCTTGAGCAGGACATGTCGAGCGCGCTCAGCCGGACACGCAACGGCGCGAGTGCCGCACACGTCGTGCCGCCGCCGCTGCTTGGCGCAGCATCCGCAAGCCCGGGCGTGTCGAATGCGCGCGCGTTTTACGAGTACGGCAACGTCGCACCCAGTGCTCGCAACGGCACTGCGCCTGCTGCTCTCAAGCGCGGCTCGGTCGACTTTGCCGGTGCCTCGCGCGCCAACGACGAAGCACGCCGGGCGCAGATCGCGGCCGAGGCACAGCTCGCCGATGCCCGGCAGCGCCTGGAGCGCGAGACACAGGCGCGCCGGGAGGACAGCACTGAGCGCGCGCGGCTGGAGAACTCGATGCAGGAGGTGAGTGTGCGAGTGTCCTTGCCCCCAGACAACGGCTGACGTCCTCTCGCAGATGCAAATCAACCACGCCTCGCTCTCTGCGGCTGTGGCGGAGGCGCGCGACTCGGCAGTCAAGGCGCAGAAGGCGCACAGCGCCGCGAACCTGCAGCTCAACGACGCCGAGCGGGGCATGCGCGAGCAGAACGAGATGCTGCAGCAGCGCGACGAGCACATTGCCTACCTCGAGCAGGAGCTGCAGGCCCTCGAGACGCGCCTGCTGAGCGGCGACTCGCGCGCCGAGTCGCTGCTGCAGGCCAGCCGCGAGCGCTTCAAGGTCGAGCTCGAGAGCGTCGAGGCCGAGGTGGAGGCCCACCGCCGCTCGCTGCAGTCCGTGCGCGACGAGAACCTGAACCTGCGTCTTGTCCACGAGGAGGTGCGTGGCCGCGAGTGGCCACTGTCAAGAGTGCGACTGCTGATCTTGGTCATCCTCACAGCTTGCACGGACACGGGCCGAGCTGGCCGAGACGCAGGCGGCCTACGAGTCGCTGTGTGACGAGGCGGGCGTGGACAGCGACATCATCATGTCGCTGCAGCGCGCCGTGTCGAAGTACAAGCAGGTCGCCGACGACCACATGAGTGTGAGTGCTGCGGCGACTCGATGACAGCGGCACGCGAGCTGACACGCTCTGATGTGCCCCTTCGCAGCGCTGGCAGGCGGCCTCGCGCGAGCTCGAGACGCAGACCGCCACGCTGCGGCGCAGCAACACGGTGCGCGCCGGCAGCGTGCCGCCCGTGTCGCCGAACCGCTCGGCGATGCCGATGGCGATGCATCGCTGAGCGACGCTCGCCGCGCCCTCTGACGCAAACCCCGGACCCGTTTCTATCCGCTCCTCGACGCCAGCCCATCGTACCCCGCTGCTGCCCATGTATTTTCCTCTGCTCCGCCATGCATGATTGGAGACCCGAGGAGCAGCATGTCGCACGGCAGTCCGGCCCATCTCGCGCTCTCAGACAGGCGGGTCAGTTGAGATGAGTCTATTCTTCGACGATGCAGGGGAACAGGAGGCAGATGGTTGTACAGAGAGGCAGGAGGCGGATGCAGCGCAGCAGGGTATCGCAACGGGACGGCAGCAGCACGCCGCCGGCCCTCATGCCTTCTCGGCGAAAGTCGTGAGGCGCTCGCTCAGGCGCCGCGGCAGGTCGTCCTCCATCGGGCGGCCCATGCGGGCGTTGCCATTGGCGACCTCGAGCGTCTGGCTGCGCGAGCCCATGGGCGTGTTCTTGGCGCGCGTGGCCGCCGGCGTCTTGTCGAGCGCGGCCTCCTCGTCGGCGGCGCGCACCGTGTCGACCTCGTGGCGGCGGAAGTAGACGCGCTTGCCCCACTTCCACGCCTCGATGCCCATGACAAAGAGCACGACGCAGACGATGACGATGGCCCACTCCCAGCTGATGCCCTGGTGCAGGAAGATGTAGCGGTTGAGGCCCGGAATGTAGAGGATCGGGAAGACGGTGACGAGCGCAAAGACGACCGAGTAGAAGAGCGCCTTGTTGCGGTACACGTCGACGGCCCACTGCTGCCAGATGGGGTGCGTGTTGCGCATGCGGAAGAAGGAGCGGCGCATGCTCACCACCTCCCACGCCAGCAGCACCGAGGCCCAGGTGAGGAAGGTGAAGCAGGCGCCACGCGCGCGGTACACGTTCTCGCAGCCGTCGCCGGGCGCCAGCGAGCGGTTGCAGTTCATGCCGAGCTCCGAGGGGCCGAAGCCGAAGAGCGAGAGCGTGAAGGTGGCGAGCACGAGCGCGGCCATCCAGAAGCCGTACACGACCGTGTCGACCATGACCTCGGGCGCGAAGAGGCCCCACTTGAGGTCGTCCGGCGGGCGGCGCATCACGTCCTCCTCGGCCGGCTGCAGGCCGAGACCCATGGCGGGCAGGCCGGACGTGATCATGATGATCCAGATGACCTCGATGGGCGACAGCGGGAACACGGAGAAGCCCGGGTCCTCGTCCTTGAACGCGAGACCGATGAGCAGCACGCAGGCCTGCGCGATGTTCTGCGCGAGCAGGTGCAGCACGAAGCGCTTGATGTTGTCGGCCATGCGGCGGCCCTCCTCGATCGCGTTGGGAATGCTGGCGAAGTTGTCGTCGGTGAGCACAATGTCCGAGGCGTCCTTGGCGACGTCCGAGCCGGCCTGGCCCATGGCAATGCCGACGTCGGCCTGCTTGAGCGATGGCGAGTCGTTGACTCCGTCGCCGGTCATGGCGGCGTAGAGGCCGCGACGGTGGAGGGCTTCGATGAGACGGACCTTGGTCTGCGGCGAGCAGCGGGCGATCACGAGCGGCAGCTGCGGCAGGTCGTCGATCTCCTCCTCGCTCATCTTGTCGAATTGCGACGCCGTCATGACGAGAGCGTCGGCCTCGCGCTTCGACAGGTGGGCGGTGTGGCGCGGCACGATGCCGACATCGACAGCAATGGCGCGGGCAGTCGAGATGTGGTCGCCAGTGGCCATGTGAACCTGTGAGGAAGTCAGCGACCGTGTCTGGCAGGCAGCGCGCGGAGAGGCTCACCTTGATGCCAGCAGTCTTGCACATCTGAACCGCACCGGCGGTCTCGGGGCGCGGCGGGTCGTAGATGCCGACGAGGCCGAGGAAGATCATGTCCTTCTCGACGTCCTCGCGCTTGAGCTCGGTGCCCTGGCTGGCCTCGGACGAGGAGAGCTCGCGCTGAGCGAGGGCCAGCACGCGCAGGCCGGTCGAGGCGAGCGCCTCGGCGTTGTCCATGATGCGCTCCTTGTACTCCTCGGTCATCTCCTCCTGCGAGTCGGCGTGCTGCGAGACGCGGCACATCTCAATGACGCGCTCGGTGGCGCCCTTCATCATGGCCCAGTCGCTGTTCGTCTCGTTGTGGTGGTAGGTGACGGCCATGCGCTTGATGCTGCTGTCGAACGGGTACTCGGCAATCTGGCGCCACGGCGCGTCGCCCTTGGCCTTCTCGAGCTCCTTCTCCTTGTCGTCGGGCACCTCGGCGTCCTCGTCGGCGGCCTTGTTGCCAATGTGCGTCAGGTTCGAGCGCGCCCAGCCGAAGCGGCAGGCCCAGGTCTGGATGGCACACTCCGTCGGGTCGCCGTGCGCGGTCCACTCGCCCGACTCCTTCTCGCGGAAGACCTTGGCCAGGTTGCAGAGCGTCGAGACGTTGAGGAAGTTGACAAAGTGCTTGTTGTCGCGAATCTTCGACGGGCCGGCCTGGCCGTCGGTCACCGTCTCGTCGTTGTCGTCCTCGTCCTCGATCGGGCGGCCGTCCTTGCCCTTCGGGAGCGAGCGGGGCTCGGCCTTGCCGCGCGTGATCTCGCCGAGGGTCGGGTTGAAGGGCTCGTTCGTGGCGCTGACCGTGTACACGCCCGTGGCGGGCACCCAGGCCTTGCGCACGACCATCTTGCCCTGCGTCAGCGTGCCGGTCTTGTCCGAGCAAATGTCCGTCACACCGCCGAGGGCCTCGAGCGACTCGAGCTTGCGCACGATGACGTGGCGCTTCACCATGGCGCGCGAGCCCATGCTCATCGTGATCGTCAGGACGGCGGTAAGAGAGGCGGGAATCATGGAAGTGCCCGTGGCGACGGCGTAGATAGCGACCTCCTGCGACGACCACGGCGAGGCGTTGGCGTCAAGGTTTCCCAGGAACACGATGATGGCAAAGATGACGGCGATGAAGAAGAGCGCCACGGCGAGCAGCGAGAGCTTGCGCTGCAGCGGCGTGCCCTTGGTAAGGCCGAGGAAGCGGGCGATCTTGTCCCAGGCGGTGAGCGCGCCCGCCTGCACGTAGCGGTGCGGGCCGGCCTTGCCGTGCGCGTTGCGCTTGACGTCGCGCACCTTCTGCGCGCGGTCGGCGCCACGCAGCGCCTCAGCAATAAGGCCGATCTGCGTCTTCATGCCCGTGCCCACGACGACACCCGTCGCGCGGCCCTTGGTCACGTTGGCGGACGAATAGGCCATGTTGATGCGGTCTCCGACGCCCACGTCGACCTCGCCGCCGTCGGCGCGGCCGAAGGCCAGCGAGGCGTCCTTGGCCACGGGCATCGACTCGCCGGTCAGGAGGGCTGAGTGCAGAAGTCAGCAGCTGCTCCGTCATATGTGTGGTCTTCGCTGCTCACCCTCGTCAGACTCGAAGTTCATGGCCTCGACGAGACGCACGTCGGCGGGGATCGTGTCGCCGACGTTGAGCTCGATGACGTCGCCGGGCACAAGCTCGCCGGCGGGAATCAGGCTAGAGTGACCGTCGCGGATGACGCGCGCAGTGGGCGAGGCGAGCGAGCGGAGGGCGTTCATCGTCTTCTCGGCGCTGAGCTCCTGGAAGTAGCCCACAAGCACGTTGCTGCAGGCAGCGCGCGCGTCAGAAAGGGTGTGCCACAGGCGTGGGAGCAGCTCGCGCGCGGCAAACTCACATGGCCACGACACCGGCAAGCACACCGCCCTCGATCCACGACTGGATGCCGAAGGCGACGGCCATGGCGAGGATGAGCACCTGCGAGCGGGAGAAGCGGTCAGCGCAGGCGGTGGAATGAGGTCATCGCGAGCGTGCGCGGCAGCCGTAGCGTGGCGGAGCCGCCGCGTGTGCGCGTGGCTTGCGCGCGCCGCTGCACGGCGAGATCGTCGCGCAGCTGCAGCCGCCGCTGAACGCCGCGCGCTGCGCTGCCGCCGCTGCGCTGCCAGGCCTGGCGCGCGCCTCCGGCCCTGTCCGGCTCATGCTCAAAGCACGTTGGGCCGCAGCGAGATCGCGGGCGCCAAGCAATTCGGCAGCTTCTCCGCTTCGGAGGCCTCACTCGCCGCCGCACACTCACGAGCGTCATGGCGTTTGCGACCTGGTGGATGAGAATCTGGATCTTGCTGATCTCGTCGCCGCCCTCGAGCTGGTTGGGGCCGTACTCCTCGGGGCGGCGCTTGGCCTCGGCGTCGCTGAGGCCCTGCGTCTCGTCGCTGCCGAGCGCCTCGACGACGGCGGCAGAGGGGAACTGGTAGGCGCGCTCGAGCGCATCCTCCTTCTCGATGGGGCCCTGCGGCGCCTTGCTCGGGTCGCCGTCGGCGTTGCCGCCGCCGCTGGACGGCGAGGGCTTCTCGTTCGACGGCGTGCGCTCCGGCGAGCTGCCGCGCCCGTCGACGGTCGTTGCCTGCGTCATCGTCTCGGATCGCTCAGGAAGCGCCGACATGGGGTGTGGTGGTGGGCGCTGCGTGCGCGCGTGCGGCTCGAGTGAACTCGCAGGGGTGGTAGTGGTGAGCGCGGAGGGGTGCTCGCGCGTGGAGAGAAGAGCGCGCGCAAGGGAGCGCGGGTGGGAGAGAGGGGAGAGCAGGGAGACTTGCGAGGTCGATGTGGGGAGAGAGGACGGGCCCGGGGCGGCGGCGAGGGCTTATGAGTGTCCGCAAGATGCCGGCGGCGACGGCGACGAGAGGCGGAGGCGGGCCGGACGGGGCAGGAGCACAGCCGTGGACGACGCGGCGCCGACGATGGGTGCGGCTCTTGGCATGCAGCCGAAACCGCGGACGGCGGCCGCACCACGGCGCCGGCACCGGGAGCGTGCCCGAGAGGCAGCGCAGCGGCGGCACGCTGACGGCGCGCGGGCCGAACTCCGCCCTACGGCGCTGAGCGCACGAGGAGGCGCACCCTCGGCGGCGGCTGATGAGATGTGTGCTCATGTGCCGCGCCCGCCAGGGCTGCCGTGCGGCAGGAGCGCGTCACCGGTGGGCCACCCGCACACTGCTGCAGTGCCCCGCCGCCGCTGTGCCCACGCTTAGAGGCCGGCGCGCCGCCCGCGTCACTCCTCTCCTCGCGTGCCGCTGTCGTGCGCTTCGATAAGACGCGCACACTGGCGCCGTGCCTGCTCCACAGGGCCGAGCATCCATCCGGCGGCTGCGGCCTTGGCATCCGCGTGCCTGCCGCTTGCGCTCCTCCTGTGCCTCACCCTCCTCCTCGCCCCTGTGCTGCCTGCTTGTGCCGGCCCGCCTGCCTCGCTGGGAATGCTCCCTTTGCCGCTGCCGCTCCTCGAGCTGCTTACGTTGACGTGCCCTCGCGGCTCTGTTGTGCAAGCGCGGACCGACGCCCGATGGTGCGGACGTCGTCCGTCCCTCGGAGGCCTCTCGCGGCGCATCGATGCATCTCACAGTCAGCGCATCGGCGTGGTCTCACGTCTCGCGCACGCTGCAGCGAGATCCGATGCGGTCGTGCGGAGTCCAAGCACCAGAGGGACGGAGAAGGGCGAGGGCAGGCGGGCCGCAGGCGTTCATCGGCCGGCTATCTCGCACACTCGCAGCGAGGAGACGGCACTCCGCTGTGCGAACGGCAAGAGCAAGGCACGAAGGCCGCGCTGCAGCACCCTCGCCGCACGTCATCGGTCTCGCAGCGGCGCAAGGCACATTCTCCTGTCGCAGCCGCAGAGGAGAGCCCCCGTGGGCAGGCGCTGCAGGAAGAGCGAGCTTAGCGTCGCGGCGCGAAGCCACACGCCGCGTCGTCGCCGAACGCCAAGGCTGGGCAGGGCGCGCGCATCACCGGGCCTCAGCACCACGCGCCCGCCGTGCCGTGGAAGCTCCGAACGGCGGACCGGCTCTTGGCCGCCATCTGTACCGCACTCGCGCATCAGGTGAGCGCCGCTGCCGAGCAGCTTCGGCGCGGAGGAGGCAGAGTCGCTGTCGTGCGGCGAAAGCAGCGGGAACATCCTACATCCGCAGCGCCGCACGTCCTCGGCGCGCTGCACACGCGGCCAAGGCAGTCAGCGTTCGGAGCGGCGAACACACCCACGCGGCCGCAGCAGCTGCAAGCTGGGGCTCGGCGTCCTGGCTGGCCGGCTGCATGCTGGGGTACATGCATGAGCATCGTGGGCGTATCGCTGCACGTCCATGTGCTTCGGGGTGCAGCCCGCGGGAGGAGGGCGCGGCACTGGCAGTGGCGAACTCGAGCTCGCCTCTCGGAGCGAGCTCTAAGGCTGGTACATGTGCTGCGGCAGCGCGATGCGTGATGCTGCTTGGTCTGTCAGGGCGGCTGGGAGGCAAAGACCTCGGAGCGGTACCAGCGCCGCTGCGCAGAGGAGCCGACTTCTCGAAGCGCCCCATGCGCGCTTCTAGCCGCACCCGACCTCCACATCGCCGCCTTCAAAGGCAAGCCGCCGGCTCGTCCCGGAAGCGCTCGGCGTCGGAGCGGGCAGCGCCGAACGTCGCAGGTCGGTGCAAGGCACGCAAAGATCGCCTGATGAGCGGCATGATCGACGAAGCCCGCAGCTCCATTCTGCGAGGCGAGAACGCGGCCGCGAGCTCGAGCTTGCAGAGAGAGGGTGGAGACAGCTGCCGCGGCGCGCCCTTGGCCGTGCCGCGCAGTCGCGCGCTTGGCCGGCTCACGCGCAGCCTTGGGAGAGGCCTGCAGCCAAGCAGCCAAAGCGTGTGCACGAGCGTTTGACGCCAAAATGTCACACTGACGGCTGTTCGGACTGGGGTGGCCTCAAGTGTGGTGATGCACGCCTGAGAAGAGAGAAGAGGCCAAGAGCGACTGCGCGCGCGACACGCGCTGTGGCGCGCCTGCAGCCGGGTCCGCAACTTGCCTGACATCCGCATTGGTGTGCTTCACGGCGGCTGGAGTCGAGGGAGTTTCGCTAGGGAACGAGAACCCTCTCCAGTGAAGGCCCCAGCAGCTACTCGAGCTGCAGTTGGCATCGTCAGAACGCAGAAAGACGGCGACCTCGTCCGGAGGGGCACAGCCGAGGGCACGTCACGTGATCGCAGCGCTGCCCGTGCCACAGGGGCTGCGTCGAGGAGCTCTCCAGCCTCCTCTGCCGCCGCACTGTACTGGGGTTGATTGCCAGGGCTGCGGCGAGACGGCTCCGCACCCCGAAGCCCGCCCAGCCCATCGGAGAAGCGCAGGCAGCCCGATCTTCGCGATTGCGCTCGTCGTCGTCGGCGGCGGACTTGCTTGCTGGAGGCGCGAAAAGGCCGAGCGTGTGAGGAGAGCAGCGGCGCGCCCCCGGCGGGTCCATCAGCTTAGCGCCGTCTCGCAGCACAGAGGGCGCGCCGCACGCGTGTTGCTCGCGCGGCGGCCGCTGCCATCCCTTGCGTGCGCGAGAGGGGGCCTCTCAACGGCTCGCCCAGAGGATGCATCTGCCGGCTTCCATGCCGCAGCAGTCGATGCAGCAGGCCCCTTCCGAGAGGCTTGGGCGCAGAGTGCGCATGAGGCGCGCGGTGGTTTGTTCGAGGCGGCGTTCAGAGGAATAGCGAGAGGGGACAAAGGACACACGGCCGCGGAATGTGTGGGAGGCGCAGGCGCGGCGTGCGTGCGCTGCCGAAGTGCCCGCAAGGCGGCGGCGGCAAGGCAAGGCGCGCGCCGCCGCGGCCATTCGAGGTCGCGACGCGCCCTCAGCGCCGCGCATCTCTCCTCCCATCACCATCCCTCGGATCTCTCGCTGCCGCTCTCGGTCCACCCTCTCGCGCAGCGGTGCCGAGTCTCATCTCGCTGCGCTTACGCCCTCGAGCAGGCTCGACACACACCCTCCGCAGCGCTTGTGCCGCTTGAAGCTGCCCCACGCGCCGCGCACCCACGCAGCCTACGCTCGGGCCTCTCCTTCTCGCCCTAGCGCACGCGCAGCAGCAGCAGCAGCAGCCGGGCTCTGCCGCCGCTTTGCCATCGCACGTCCCACACCGCGCTGCTCTCGTCTCCGCGACCCTCACGACCCTGCCACGACTGCACTTCCATCGCGCGCCTCATCTCGCGCGTCTAGCTCGTGTCTGCGCCGCGCACCGCTCTCTCTGCTAGACAGCGCCGGGCACACGCCTGCACATCGCCGTCGTTATGTCATCGACGCCGCGCAGCCGGCTCTCCGTCGGCGGCGCCATTCTGGGCGGCGGCGAGAGCTCGTCGTCGGGCGCCACGCAGACGTCCGTGCAAGTCGGTGAGTCGTGTCGCAGGTTTGAGACGCTCAGCCGCAACGCGCGGCACCCCACACTTGTGCTCATCACGAGTCTTCGCAGCTGTGCGCATTCGCCCAGTGACTGAGCAGGACCTGCAGTCCATTCCCTCGCGGTGGCGCCGCAGCATCCTCAACCCACTCTCCGCCACGTCGCTCGCCGTCGAGCCGGGAGGCCCGCCGGGCGAGGGCGCCACGGCCGCCTCGGGGCCCTCGAAGCGCCAGGCATTCAGCTTCGACCGCGTCCTCTCGCCCGAGGACGGCCAGGCGCAGGTGTATGCCACTGTGCAGACGCTGATTCCGCGCTTTCTGGAGGGCTACAACGCCACGATCCTCGCGTACGGCCAGACGTCGAGCGGCAAGTCGTACACGATGGGCACGGCGTCGGGCGACGTCGACTTTGAGTCGCTCGTGGCCGGCCAGGCGCCGGACCCGCAGATGGGCATCATCCCGCGCGCCGTGGCGCAGATCTTTGCGCACATCAAGCAGACGCAGGCGCGCAGCGGCGCCGTGCAGTTCAGCGCGCGCGCCAGCTTCATCGAGATCTACAACGAAGAGCTGATCGACCTGCTCGCCGACACAGTCGACGGCAGCCGGCCGCACGTGCAGATCCGCGAGGACAAGGCGGGGCACATCATCTGGTCGGGCCTGCGCGAGGTGCCCGTCAAGACGGTGGCCGACGTGATGAACCACCTGCTGCAGGGCTCGAGCGTGCGCCGCACCCACGAGACGGAGATGAATGCGCAGAGCTCGCGCTCCCACGCCATCTTCTCCCTAACCCTTACGCAGCGCAAGTATGTCGGCGGCAGCACGCCGCCGCCGCCGAGCGCCATGCGGCCGATGAGCACCGTCTATGGCGGGCGCACCACGCCGACGGGCCGCACGACGCCCAGCGGGCGCTCCTCGTCCTCAGGCCTGCCGCGCCCTGCATCTGGCATCCCGACGCCGGGCCGCCAGAGCATGGCAAGCCCGACGCCTGGCTCGCGCGCCAGTACGCCGAGCATGTATGCTTCGGGCGGCCTGCGTCCGGCCTCGGTCGCGGGCCACCTGCGCGTAGCAAGTCCGCTGCCGGACGAGGCTGGCAAGGACGGCGAGTGGGTGACAATCACGAGCAAGTTCCACTTTGTGGACCTGGCTGGCTCTGAAAGAGTGAGTAGCTCGCAAAGCGGCGCACGACTGGCAGGGCTGACGCAGCTCTCCTCCAGCTCAAGCGCACAGCTGCGATGGGCGACCGTGCGAAGGAAGGCATCTCCATCAACGCCGGTCTGCACGCGCTCGGCAACGTCATCTCGGCGCTCGGCGACCCGGCCAAGGCCAAGCGCACGACGCACATTCCTTACCGCGACTCGAAGCTCACGCGCCTGCTGCAAGACAGCCTGGGCGGCAATGCACACACGCTCATGATTGCGTGCGTGTCGCCGACGGAGTACAACGTCAGCGAGACGGTCAACACGCTGCAGTACGCCAATCGCGCACGCAACATCAAGAACAAGGCCGAGCTGAACGAGGTCGAGGTGGGCTGGGACGACGTGGAGCACCTGCAGGCCGTCGTGCTCAAGCTGCGCAAGGAGCTCGCGGCGCTCAAGGCGGCGAGCAAGGGCGCGCCGGGCGGCGCCGCGGCGCTGCGTGCCATCGAGCAGAAGGACGAGCTTGAGTGGCGCGAGAAGTACACGACGCTCTCGCAGAGGCACTCGCAGCTCACTGCCGAGCTCACGAAGCTGCAGCAGCTGACCAAGGGCCAGACGTCAAACGAGATGAGCGACGACTTCCTCGCCGCCGCTGAGCCGATCATCGTCGAGTACGAGAAGACGGTCGACTCGCTCGAGGGCCAGATCAACCTGATGAAGGCGGCGCTCGCGCACTCGGAGGATCTGATCACCGAGCAGGAGGCCAGCCTGGCTGAGCAAGAGGCACGCGCTGCTGCTGCCGAGCAGGCGCTCGAGGCACGCGAAGCCACGCTGCTCGAGCTGCAGGCGCGCCTGGCCAAGCTGCACGACCGCGAGTCGTCCAACGACGGCTACGTGCGCGAGCTCGAGACGCAGCTGCAGACCATCACGACGCAGGGCGACAGCGACTCGCAGGTGCTGGCCGAGCTGCGCAAGGAGCTCGTGCGCCTGCGCCAGGGCGAGGGCCAGACGGAGCAGTACGTCAAGGAGCTCGAGGCGCGCCTGGCCAAGGCAGATGAGAGCGCGACTTCGCTCTCGGCGCAGGTCGAGCGGCTCGAGGCGGACCTGACTCGCCGGGAGGAGGCCTTTGTCGAGCTGAGCCAGCGGCAGGACACGGCGGACATGACGAAGCAGACGAAGGAGCTGTTCGAGGAGCTCGACGGGCGTGACCTCAAGCTGCTGGACCTCGAAAAGCGCCTCGATGAGCTGCGCGACGAGCGCGACGAGGCCGTGCGCGAGCGCGGCCGCCTCAACGAGTCGATGGCGGCGCACGAGCTGGAGCGTGGCGAGCTGGAGGACCGCATCCGAGAGCTGCAGACCGCCGCAGCTGCGGCAGGCGCGCTCGCACTCGGCGCGGGCGCTGGCGCTGCTGTTGCTGTTGCGCTCGACGACGACCACCCCGCCGCTTCTCGCGACGTCGACCCGGTCGCACAGGCAAGCGCAGACGCCAGCGAGGCCAAGCTTGTCGCGCTTCAGCAGGACGTCGAGGCACTGCGCGAGGCTGAGACCAAGGCGCGTGCCGAGGGCGAGGCGCTCAATGCCAAGTACCGCGAGTCGCTGGCGGAAATCCACTACCTCAACCAGCAGGTCACCGAGCTCAAGCTCTCGAACGGTGCGCCGCGCACTCCCAAGCCGAACGGCGTGGGCGAGGATGACCTCGAGGTGCTTGCGAGCTCCAGCGACGTGGGCGCCGATGACGTGCCGTCTGCGATGTCGCGCCGCGAGTCGACACAGTTCTCGCCGAGCAGCTCGCGCGCCGCACGCATGAACGGCAGCAAGCGGCCCGAGAGCTTGCTGCTGGACCGCGTCTCGCTCTCGCGGCGCTCGTCGGGCAGCTTCGTAGGCTACAACCCGCGTGACCGCACGCCGCGAGAGAACTCGGCGCTCTCGCCGCTGCATGCACCCGCTGGGGCAGATGCGTTGCCCGTGAGTGCGGCCGCAGAGTCGTCGCCCGCCTCCGGACATGTGCGCACACGCTCGCTCTCCCAGCACGACGCATTCACGGGCGGGCGCCGGCCGCTCTCGCTGGCAAGCTCCATCCTGCCCTCCGGCCTCAAGATCGCCGGCGCCAATGGCGACCTGTCCTCTCCCTCGCCACTATCGAGCGGCTACGAGCGGCAGATTGCCAGCCTCGAGAAGGAGACGATGCGCCTGCAAGAAGTGCTGCGCGAGCGCGACGAGGAGATCGCAGCGCTCGAGGCGGCAAGCAAGGCGCGCAACAACTCCGTGCCGGAGATCCGCACGATGCACACCTCCGAGTCGCACTCGACGCTTGCCTCGGACGGGACAGGGACGGATGGCGCCTCGGACTCCGATGCGCTCTATGTCCAGGCCCTTTCGCGGCAGGAGTCGCAGCAGTCGACTGCCAGCGCACCGCTCACGCCCATCACCGAGCGCGAGATCGCCAGCATCAAGCAGCTTATTGCCGAGACGCGCGAGGAGCAGACCGACGGCAGCGAAGGCATCACGCGCTTCGACGACCTGATGCGGTGAGTTGAGGTCTTGGCGTCTGCATTGCTGCACCTACTCACCACTGCCGCGCAGCTCGATGGCGCGCAAGGAGACGACGCATCGCGAGCGCATCGAGGAGCTGACGCAAGAGCTGGGCACGCAGAAGCGCGACTACGAGGCGCTGCAGCAGCTCTCGCGCGACCAGGCCGCCAACATGGCGCAGGAGATCGAGAACCTGCGCGCGCGCCTGAGCGAGAGCGACGGTCTGCTGGGCACGCCAAGAGCGGCAGGAGTAGCGCTCGGCACGGCCGGGCTCGGCGCTGCTGTCGGTGCCGCCGGCGCGATGGCTCTGCAGCAGGACAAGCCGCAGGTCCCCAACGAGGTCGATGAGCCAGTCTCCGAGGCGACCCGCGCGGCGCCTTCGAATGACGAAGCGTTCAAGGCAGAGGCGAGCCGGCTCGCTGCCGACCTCGAGCAGGCCAAGGAGCAGCTTTCTGCACGCGAGAAGGCCTTCGAGGAGCAATTGCAAGCAGCACGAGACGACCACGCCAGCATGCTCTCCGGCCGCGCCACTGAGCACGAGCAGGCTCAGGCAGAGCTTGCGCGCGCCCACACCGAAGCCGTTGCGCGTCAGGCCGCCGAGCATCAGGAGCTCGCACGCCAGACCATCGCTCAGCACGAGCAGGCCATTGCGTCGCTGCAAGAGGAACATGCCCTGGCTCTTGCATCCGCACAAGAACGCGAGGCAGCTGCGGTGGCCGCAGCGCGTGAGGCTGCCCTGCAAGATGCGCAGCGCGAGCATGCCGTTGCGCTCGAGCAGCTGCAAGGAAGTCATGCCGAAGAGCTCCAGCGCGTGCAAGCTCAAGCCGCAGAAGGGGCTCAGCAGCTGGTGTCCGATCATTCTCGCGGTCTGGACGCGCTGCGCGATGAGCACCGCTCGGCAACCGAGGCCAGCTCCTCCGCACACGCGGCAGCCCTTGCAGCGACCGTCGCGGCTGTCCACGAGGAGCACGCGCGTTCGCTCAACGAGTCTGACGCGGAGACGCGGCAACGGCACGTCGAGGCGCTTGAGGAGCACAAGCTTGCTGCCGACGAGCGTCTGGCGAAGGACCTCGCTGCGGCCAAGCTGGCGCACGACGCTGAGCTCAGCAGCTTGCAAGGCGAGCACGGCACGATCTCGGCGCACCTCGACGAGCTCAAGGCAGCGCATGCCGCTCAGCAAGAGCAGCACGCCGCTAACCTTGCAGCAGCTGTGGCTCAGCGCGAGTCTGACGTCAGCAAGCTGGCCAGCGAGCACGAGCTCGCCGTCCTCGGCCTTCAGGCACAGCACGAGCAGGCGCTGGGTGCCCAGGCCGAAGCACACGACGCGGCCCTTCGATCGCTGCGCAGCGAGCACGAGCAAATCGTTGCCGCGCTCCGCGAGGGTCACGAGAGTGCCGCTCAGGAGCAGATTGCTGCTCACGAGGCACAGCTCCAGGCTCTCCGCACGGAGCATGAGGCCAACGTGGCTCAGCTCAACGCCGACAATGACGCCGCGACTGCGTCTTTGCTGAACGTGCACGGCCTCGCGCTGACGGGCCTGCGCGAGCAGCTGGAGGCGTCGTCTGCCGCTAAGCTCTCGGACCGCTCGGACCGCAACGCGCTCCTTGCCAGCCACTCGGAAGCTCTGCGCAGCTCCGAGGAGCAGCTCTCACAAGCACGGCTCGCTCACGAGCAGGCGATCGAGTCGCTCAAGTCGGAGCACGCTACGGTTCTCGTCGCAGCGCAGTCTGCGGCGGCCGCCTCGGCTCAGGCCGACCACATTGCCGCGCTCGACGGTTTGCGTGCCGAGCATGCCACCGCCCTCGATGCCCTGCAGACCCAGCACGGCGAAGCGCTGGCAAGCGCTGAGCGGGAGGCAAGCGAGGCTCGGCAAGCCCTTGCCAGCCTGCAGGACGAGCACGCAGCACAGCTTGCGCAGGTGCGCAGCGACCATGCAGCAGCGTCGGACAGCTACATGCGCGAGCGCGCCGCGCTGCAGGAGGAGCACGCCAGTGCACAGCAGCAGGTCAAGGAGCTTATGACGGCCCACTCGCGTCGTCTGAACGCCCTGACCGAGGAGCACAGCAGCAAGCTCAAGGAGCTCGAGGACTCGCATCGCCAGCAGCACGACGAGTTGCAGCACGCGCACGCCGAGCTCGAGGATCGCCACCGCGACCTGCTCGAGCAGAACCCGCACGAGGTCGAGGTGCTGCGCACCGAGCTGGCCGAAACGAGTGATGCGCTCGTCACGCTCGAGGCTGCACTGACCGAGGCGCAGGAGGAGCGCGACCGGTTCGCCGAGGAGCTCGAGATGCTGCGTGGCCCGGATGCCGAGGGCAACGTGCACCAGGAACTCGCGGCGCTGCGCAAGAATCTCGACCAGCAGCAGGCGATCCTGGCTAATGCGCGCTCCGACCTGCTGCGCACGAAGAGCGACATCCAGGGCCTGCTGGAGGAGCGCGCTCGCCAAGACTCGCTGCTGTGCGAGGCGCAGATCAAGCTGACCATCGCCGAGACGCGCAACAATCGCTCGCGCGACAGCGGCAGCACCAACAACACGCCGCCGTCGGAGGGCTATGCCAGCGCCACGGGCGAGTTCACGCCGGCCAACGGCCGCTCGCGCTCGCCCATGCCGCGGCGAGGCTCCGACGACCAGGTCGCCTCGTCGTCTGACCACCGCGGCAGCGGCTCGCGCAACCTCAGCGTCTCGACCAACAAGCCTCCGCCGCTCACGCCGCCCCCGAACATGCCGCCGCCGCCGACGCCCGTCGCCGCAGGTGGCACGACACCGACGCAGCGGCAGACCTCGGGCGCGCGCACATCGACGTCGTCGATCCTCTCGCGGCCCGACTCGCCCGAGGGCCTGACGCGCTCTTCGTCCGTCACGTCGATCACGGCCTCGAACCCAAGCCTCAGCGGCCTGGCGCAGAGCGACATCAAGACGGCCAAGCTGCTCAGCGACCAGGCCGAGGAGATCAAGAGCCTCGCCAAGCAGCTCAACCACTGCGAGCAGGACCTGCAGGCCAACATCGACCTCGTCGCCACGCTCGAGGCGGCGCTGAACGACAGCGAGCGCAACGTGAGTCCAGCGTGCGGTGGCAGGCTCGAGCCGAAACTGACTCTCTCTGTCCCCAGCTGCGCAAGTCGCGCGTGCAGCTCTCCGAGGTGACGCGCGAGCGCGACCGCTACTCGGCACAGGCCGACGAGCTGCGCGCGCAGGTCTCCGCGGCGCAGCAGGAGGCCGACTCGGCGCGCAACAGCGTGCTGGCCGAGAAGCAGAGCTACGAGAGCCGCCTGCAGGCGGAGCGCGAGGCCAAGGAGAAGGCCCGCCGCGCCCTCGAGGCGCGCCTGGAGGAGGTGCAGAAGAAGAAGGTGCGCTTGCTCGCTGCTCTGCCCTGCGAGCTCCCTCGCTGACGCCTTCCTGTCTCAGAACTCCAAGCTCTTCTGCATGTAGTCGCCGCCGCCGTCCGATGCGCCTCTCATGTCCGGTCCCGCCTAACGCCCTTCGCATACCTACCCAAGCCTGCTGCCCCTCACACCTTTCGTCTGTGCCACGCCGTCACCTATCAATGAACTGTGCCTGATCTCCTGGGCGCGAACGACGAACGAGAGTGGGCAAGTGCATGGCATTAGGCCTGAGGCGTGCGTCGCCGGGCTGCGATAAATAAGAGGGAGGTCCGGGGGATGAGGAGTGCAAATTGAGCAGCGGAGGCGGGACCACGAGAGCTTGCGTGCGATGGCGGGGGAGAAATTGTGCCGGGCAGTGGCTAGTCATCGCGCGCCACCTGCGCCACGGCGCCCATGACCTTTGCGTTGCGTCTGAGCCACTCTCTGCCCGCCTCGCTGGTCGGATCCGGCGGCATGTCCACCGCTTCTCCTCCCGCGGACGCTTCCGCTTCGAAGCTGCCGTGCGTGAGCCAGGCGTCGTCCCAGACCTCCCAGGCGCCCGAGCGCTTCGCCGCATCGCGACGCAGCAGACGAGCGGCGATATGCCGGGCGCGCGGCGTGATGAGTCGCTGGCTGGCTGGCACGCCGGTACGCTCGGAGTCGTCGAGAGAGGCGTCGTTGGCGTTGACGGGCCAGCGCAAGTCGCCCTTTGCAATGCGCAGAAGATGCGCCTTCCTCGCGCGTGCATCACGTTCGCCGCCTTCTCGCGCCTGCACGCCAGCGACGCCGCCGCCAGCCGCGTCGTCGAGGAAGGGCAGAGCGCCAGTAAGGAGTGCATAGAGCACGACGCCAAGAGCCCACACGTCCGTCTTGCGCCCGTCGTAGCGCTTGCCGATGATGAGTTCCGGCGCCGCATACTCCTCGGAGCCGCAGCGCGTCTCGAGCTGTGGCGAGGAGGGGTCGATGAAGCGCGAAAGACCAAAGTCGGAGATCTTCAGCAGCGGTGACGCGCCCAGCATGGAGGGCCGCAGTGGAGAGGCGTTCGCGAAGAGGTCGCGCGTGAGGATGATGTCTGTGCCGGGGCCATGTCAGCGACATCCTGGCTGGCGCGCGCCTCGTCAGCCACTCACTCTCCAGCTTGATGTCTCGATGCACCAGATTGATGTTATGCATCCATCCCACCGCGCCGGCCAGCTCAGCGAACAAGCGGCGCACAAGCCATTCGCGCTCGGCCAGCTGGCGCGTGTGGTGGCGTGCCAGCAGGTCGAAGAGCTCGCCGCCGCCGACGCGCTCGAGGACGAGGTTGTGGTGCTTTGCCGTGGAGAAGGAGGCGAGAAAGCGGACGATGTTCGGATGCGAAATGTGCTGGGTGGGAGGCACGTACGCCGATCAGCTCTCCCCGCCACCTGCCTCGCGGAACAACAGCACTCACCTTGAGCACCTCGACTTCGCGCACCCAGCTGACTCGCATGCGTTCATTCGTCGCACACGGCTCTCTCTCGAGCATCTTGAGCGCCACCTCCTCTTCCTGTCCGCCTTCATTCCTCCTGCGCCTGGCCAGCACCACCTTGCTGAACGCGCCGACGCCCAGCGTGCGTTCAATCGCATACGCGCCGACCACGCCGCGCGCCAGATCCTCCTCTTCCTCGCGCTCCGCCTCGGCGCGCACAGAGGGCGCAAAGACGACGGCGTTGGAGTCTCTGCGCGCCGAGCTCGCTATCCGCTCCGCCTCGGCTTCCTGCTGCAGCTCGCGTTCGCGCGTCGAGACGGCAGCAGGTAAGAAGGAAGAGCCACTGGCGTTCTCCGAGGGGCCTTGCGCATGTCGAGACGCGCCTGCACCGGCTGTGCCGCGCCGCGTCGGCGGCGAAGAAGGCAGAAGGAAACTGTCGGAGGTACTGGGCGTGCTGCTGCTCGTCGTGCCCGCCGTGCTCTCCGTCGCAGTGCGTTGTCGCGCCGGCGCCGGCGCCGGCGTGGGCGTCGGGACGACGAGTCTCGGTCTATCCCCATCGTCGCTGCGGGGAAGCGGAAGCGCCAACGATGCGCCATCTGCGCCAGCCGAGGGCAAAGAGCTGAGCGCTTGCACCTGTTCCACCGACAACTCGCGCGTCCGACTGCTTGCGCGCGACGCCGACGCCGAGGCCGAAGGTGCAGGCGCGGGTGCGGGCGACGAGCCAAAGAAGAAGTTGCGCGTCGAGCGGCCTGCGGATGGCGCGGGCGCAGGAGTAGAAGCGAGGGAAGAAGCGGCGTCGAGTGCCTCGCGCACCGACCCGGTGCTGCTACTGGGCAGGCCATTGCGTGCGGGCGGCGGAGCAGGCGCAGGGGCCGGGCTTGGAGTCTTGCCGCTGCCGTCCGCTGCAGGAGTGCGGCGAGACCACCAGCCGCCTGTGCCTGCATTGCCCGTGCTGGACGCGAGCCAGCTGCCGCTGCTCTGGCGCGCATGCCCTGCCGCAGCAGGCGCAGGTGCCGGAGCTGGCGCTGGCGCAGGTGCGGGCGTGGGGTTGGAGGCGCCGAAGAAGAAGGCGCCGCTCGACGAGCGCGATGCACTGGCCGGCACGGGCGAACGAGGATTGCTGTCGAAGAAGGCACTCGTCTTGCTGGCGCTCTGCGGCTCGCCATCCTTGGTGGCAGCGGGTGGTTGGTTGAGCGAGTTCGTAGACGCACCACTGCTGGCGCGAGCGCGCGCCGCGAGCTGCTGCGAGGGAAGGAGGTACTTTGTCTCTTGTGCAAAAGACTCGTCGAATGGCCCAAGGCCGCCTTCGCGCCCGGTGTAGGGACTCGGCAAGGGCGTGATCGGCAGGCCTTCGAACTCATCCCAGTTTCTCCGGCTGCGCGTAGACGACGCAGAGGAGAGATCTCCCGTCGCGCACGGCGCCAAGGAGGAGCCAAAGCCGCCTGCCCAGCGAGCATAGCCGGACGTCCGACCTATGGAGCCTTGCCGCGACACCTCGACGCTGCGGCGCGGCTCCGGGTAGCCGGCGCCGACGTAGGAAGAGTCAATCGAGCCGATGGAGAGCGTCGAGCTGGAATGCCCGAGGCCTACGTGCACCGGCGAACGGCCGTAGGAGGAGCTGCCGGACGACTGGCGCGCGTGGCCATGCCCACTGCTGCTGCTGCTCGACGCAGGCATGACGATGGGCGACGACGAGCTGCCGCCGGCGCTGTTGCGCTCGAAGAAGGCGCCCGTCTTGGACGCCACGCGCGGCGTCGAGGCCAGGGCGCCCGCCGCGCCGCCGCGCTGCGTGTCGAGCGACGTGGGCGAGCCGGAGCCTGAGCCGGCGGCGGCGCGGGGCGGCAGACCGCGGCCCAGCGTGACGGGATCGGTAGCGACCTGTGGGCGCGGCCGCGTGGCAGCGGACGAGGCACCGCCCTGCGCTGCTTCATCATGCCCCTCCGGCGCGCCCATGCGCGCGCCCGCGGCGATGCGCGGCGTGACGGTGGCGGAGCTGGCGGCTGAGAGGGAGCGCGGCGAGTGTGGCTGCGACGCCAGGCCCTCTGCTGCTGCTGCGGCTCCAGATGCCGCTGTGATGGTGGCCTCCCGCCCGCGTGGACTGCCGCGCGCACTGTCTGCTGGCCCCGCGCCGGCGGAGCCAGGCGAGGGCATGGCTGGGCCAGGCAGCTAAGAGCGGCAGCGTATGCGATAGGGCAGGCAGAGCGCGAGCTGCTCCAGGCGCGGCACACACAGGCGGCGGATGCGGCGCCTGCTGCGGTGCGGCGACGAGGCACGAGCGGAGCGCGAGCTGCGCTATCTCGCCGCTCTCTCGCAGCGCAAGGGCGGCGCAGCCGAGAGCGCAGCACGGCGGCTCGCGCAAGAGAGCGCGCTGAGTCGGAGGCGCGCAAAGGATGCCGCGCTGTGTGAAGAAAAAGGGAGGCAGAGGAGGAGGTGCACGGCGGATGTGGAGATGGGAGTCGCGAGGGAGATGCGGAGCGCGAGAGCGAGAGATGCACGCGCCGCTGCGAGAGACACACGCACACAGCCCCGCGACAGGCGGCGCCTCGCTCCGCGCTCCGCGTGGCGCGTCTCACGGGAGCAGCGGCGCGGGAGCGGCCCCAGCACCAGCGCCGCCGTCCCCGCACCCGTCCACGCCTACTTGCTGCGCCGCGCACGCCGGACACTGCGCTGCGCCAGCCGGAGCCATGGCTTCGCAACACACCTCTCAGCGAGCCGAGGCGTCGGCATGCGGCGCTGCAGCGCAGCAAAACGCCTGCCGAGCGCCTCGAGCACGCGTGGCACCGCCACGCACCGCGCGCGCGCGGCAGCCGAGGCGCTCTTAGGCAGCCAGCTCGCTTCTTCCTCCTCTCGCTTGCTCCAGCCCCTGAGCAGTGCCGACCTGCTGTCCACTGTTGAAACGCAGCAGTCGGCGTCTAGATACGCACGCAGCAGAGGATTGTGAGCGTATGAGCAAGCATGGGCGAGTCGGGCGTGGGCGCAGCTCGCTGAAGGCGCGCGTCGTGGGCGGACTCTCGGGCGTGTGCCATCTCGAGTCTCGGCGTCGCCCGACTCTGAGCCACATGAGCCACCATTCTGGAGCAAGAGGACTCGGCGCTGATTGTACAGACATTGTGCGCCGAAAGCCACCAAGCTTGCGGTACGGCCCTCGTGTCCTCCCTCCGCTGCCAACGTGGCGGCGACGGCTGCCTCTGCGCCCCTCTCTCGCCTTCTCGGCTCCGCACCGCCCGCGCACCAGTAGTAACTCCCATCGGTCCGAGCACATCCTCGTCGGCGCCGCTCGGCGCCGAGCTCGCCGATCTGTTAATCCGGGGCACGTTGGTCCTTGCTAGGCATCATGCTTGCCCGTGAACGACGCGGGAACGCCAGAAAGGTGCGCGTTGGCGCGCTGGCGCGCGTAGCCAAGGCGAGCGCGCGAGGGTCCAGGCCCCTGAGAGGCCAGCTCAGGACGCCGCACCTCCGGCGGGAGCCGCGGTCGCCGCGGCGCTGCGCTGATTTTTCCGGCGCGCGGCATGGGAGCAGCCTCAGAGCCGTCGGAGCGCGAGAGAGAGACGGCGGCGTTCAGCGCCGAGATGCGCGCCTCGAGCCTCGCGTTCATGCACGGCGCGGCACGCTGCGGCGAGAAGCGAGGACGCAGCACAGCGCTCGCAGCGGCGGCGCAGCGGCGCGGGCAGCGGCAGCTCAGGCGCAGGAAAGCACAGCCGCGGCTCGCGCTCGGCTCCGCGCAGCCGCGACGAAGGCGGTCAGCAGCATGCAGCGCGCGCTCCTTCCTTTCCTTCCTCTTGCCGTCCGCGGCTTGCCTCGACGTGCCTCGACCCTCCAGCGGCGCATCTCGCTCCTCCTGCTCGGCCCGCGCACCTCGGCGTTCCACCTCTCGTCCTCATATACACACGCCTCGCCCATCTCTCTCTCTCTCTCGTCTCTCGCTTCGTCACGTCCCCTCACGCCGCACAAGTCACCCTTCTCCCTTCTCGCCTATGGCATAGCTCCCGCCCTCACGACCACCACATACCCTCAACACACACACACGCCATGGCCACCTCCTCCTCGAGCGCCTCGAGCGCCTCGCCGCTCGCCTCCTCCTCCCAAGGCCCGCTCGACTCGGCGCGCGGCCGCGCCTCGGCGTCGCTGGGCTTCGAGGCGCCGCCTGCGCATCTGGCACTCGCTCAGTACGTCTTTGCCGCTTCCTGCTTGGCTCGCTGCACCTACTGACGGCCTTTGCCCGCAGAGTGCACTACCTCGTCCGGCACGGCGAGCGCACGCCCGTGCGCACGCGCCTCACCAACTCCAACCCCGCGATCCCAGCGCGCTGGAACTTCTGCCACGCCGGTCGGCAATTCGCCACGGCCGTCTCCGACCTCACTCCGACCGAGGGCGCCCATCGACTGCCGGCTGGCCCATGGCAGAAGAAGGGCGAAGAGCAGTGGAGCGGCACGATGCGCGTGGCCAAGGGCACGGAGTCGACGAAGCGGGACACGCCGGTGCCGGGCGAGGAGGGCGAATGGTGCGTGTTGCCCTGTCCCAAGAGCCTACGACCTGGCACTGACCTTGCTTCTTTCTGCAGTCTCCTCGGCGAGCTGACCGACCTCGGCCGAGCCTCAACCTTTCAGCTCGGCGCCGCCTTGCGGGCACTCTACATTGACCAGCTCCAGCTCTTGCCCTCCAGGCTGTCGCCGCAAGATGCAGAGGCAGTCTACTTCCGCAGCACCAACATGTCGCGCACCATTGAGTCATGCCAGAGCCTGATCCGCGGCCTGCTGCCGCAGACGCGCGAAAAGGAGGATGCCTTTACGCCGACGATTCTCGTCCGGTGCGTCTGCCCTGCTCCTCTCCTGGCGTTTGCTTTCACCTCTCACGCCGCCATGCTCGCAACAGCAACGGCACCGACGAGAACCTGCTGCCCAACACGTTTGGCTGTGCCCGTCTGCGCGTGCTCGACGGGCAGTTCGCCGCGTTTGCCGCCTCCCAGCACGCCTCTCATCTCGCCACGTTTGACGCCGCAGTGGCGCCGCACTGCGACGGCACGTTGCCTCGCGTCGATGGCCACCCGCGTCTCAACGGCATCGTCGACACGATCCGCGCTGCTCAAGCACACGCGTTGCCCGTGCCGAAGGTATTCGAGAGGCCGGATGTGGTCGAGGCGTTCGAGACGGCCGTGGTGGATGAGTGGTTCACGGGATACAAGGCGCAGGATGAGGCACTGCGGAAACAGTATCGCCGCCTGGCCATGGGCAGACTGCTTGGCGACTTGCAGGGGCGCATGCAGAGCAAGGCGGAGAAGGGAGAGCAGGAGAAGCTCAAGCTGGCTCTTTACTCTGCACGTGAGTTCGCCCGTTGCCCTCTTGCAAGCGTCGGGCTGCACTGACGTGTCGCTGCTCCCCCAGACGACACAAGTCTAGCGGGTCTCCTCTCCACGCTCGATGTCTTCGAGCAGCGCTGGCCCAGCTTCACCGCCAGCGTGGGCATCGAGCTGTGGCGCGACACGCGTGCCTCTGCGCAGCCCTCGCTGCTCTCCTTCCTCGGCCTTGGCCGCTCGACGACGCAGCACTGTAAGTCTCCAGGTCCCTCTCTTTCTTGCTTCGGGCCTTGCTCACTCCATCACTTGTGCCAGACGTGCGTATGCGCTACGGCGACTCGACGCTCCGGCTGCCCGCGTGCGCAGGCAAGGGCCAGCACCTGGACGGCAAGCCGGAGTTCTGCACGCTCGAGGCGTTCGGCGAGGCGGTGGAGGCACTGCGACATGAGGGCGGCAAGACGTGGGAGGAGGAATGCGAGGAGGGCAGAGGAGCCAAGAGCTCCAAGTAGAATGCGATGTCGTCGAGCTGGTGTGTGAGGCGTGCGGTGAGATCGTTCCGGTGCTTCTGCTCGCTTGCTCTCCCCTTCTCTCTCTCTCTTTCTCCCCCCCTCCCCCCCCAATCAGCCCATTAATCACTGCTCCGCCCGCCACCGAGCACGGAAGCAGCTTCATGCCGGGCATACATCCATCTGTCTAGAAGACCTCACTTCACTTTGCTCCGTGTCTGCACTGCGTTCCTTCCGTGGCGCACGGGGCCATTCGTGTTGCCTACATCTCCTTCCTCCTCCTTCATCTTCTCGCTTCTTTGTGCATCTCTTCGCCTGCCCTCTCGCAATGCCAAACATCTCGATGAACAAGCAGCCGGGCGCTCGTGACCTGCCAGCGCTCTCAGCGCCATAGAGCGATGTTCGAGGGGGCCGTGGAGGAGGGGGAAGCGCTGCGCCATCGAGAGCGGGACCTTGCTGCGTGCGGCGTACGCCGGCCATGTGCGTGGTCGGCTGCTGCCCCTGAAGCAGAGCCGCTCCTTTCTCCCAGCGCAGCCGAGCCTTCTCTGCGTTTGCGACATGCGTGGAGCGCTGCCTGGAGCCACGCCTGCCAGCACGACGACGCCTCGAGCGACAGGGAACGACGGAAGCCAGGCTCGATGCAGCGGCGCGAAGCTCATGCACAGAAATCACATTTCCCCCTCCTCGGCCGCCTCGCCTTCCTCCGCCGAGCTCTCTCTCCCTCGCTTGCCCCTTGCGCCTCGTTCTCTTGCAGCGCCAGGCGCAGTGCGTCCCCTCACCGCCGCAATCGCCGCCGCCACGCCCGCCGCGCGTTCCGGCGGGCCTGCACGCTTGCGCTTCTCGCCTGCCGAGGTCGCGCCTGTCGCTGCGCTTGCGGCTGCCTGAGACGAGGCAGTGGGCGTGGCGGCGCCATCGAGACGCGTAGAGGCGGTGCGTGAGAGACTTGGACGGAAAGAAGGAGCCTTGGGGTCCAGATGTCTCTCCGTCCGTTCCCGTTCCCGCTCTCGATCCGCTCTGCGTCCAGACGAAGAAGCCGCAGCGGAAGCCCCGCCCTTGGCGTTGCTGCCCGACGCACTCTCCCGTTCCTCCTCCTCCTCTTCGCCAGCTTCGGACGCAGAGTCGGGCTCGGACTCTTCCTCCTCTGCCTCTGCTGCGCAGTTGGCGCCGAGCGAATCGGAGATCGTGGAGAGCGAGGAGATGAGGGCGCTGAAGTCGACGCGAGAGGAAGTGCCGAGCTCGGAGGTTGCTGCGACTTGGGCTTCGAGCGCGGCAATCTGGGCACGGAGCGTGTCTAGTTGTCTGTGTGGGATGGCGAGGGAAGAATCAGTCTTACGGACTGCGGCGCAACAAGTTGTGCACAGACAGAGCGCAACTCCGGCTGTGCACCTCACCACTCACGCAAGCGTCTCGTCGCGCGCGCCCATGCTGCCCATCTCGCTCACCACCGCATCGTACACGAGCTTGTTCTCGCGGTCCTTCTTTGCCTCCTGCAGCTCCTGCTTGAGCTCCTCTATCCGCACCTCGTTGGCCCGCTCTTCCTCCTCTGCACGACGGGGACGCGCGCGTCAGCGCTGCCGCAGCAAAGAGAAGGGCAAGGGGACACGCACCGATGGCGAGCAGTTCGGCCTCGTACGCCGCCATCTCCTGCGCGGCCGTGCTCTCGGCCACGCGGCTGGCGCGTGCCAGCGTGCCGAGGAACTGCTGCGTATCGATGGCGAGGCGCGTGCGCTGCAGCGCTCGGCGCTCCTCGGCGTCCTCGGCCGGCGCCTGCTCGTCGCCCGCCGCCGGCAGCGGCGCTGCGAGCGTGGCGGCGCGCCGCGCCAGCGCCTTGAGTGCGCGCTCGCTGACGGCGAGGCGCGCACGCAGCGCGGCATCCTGCTCGGCGGGCGTGAGAGGCGCGATGGACATGGCGACGCCGGGCGGAGCGAGGGGGCGAGGTGGGTGTGGAGAGCCAGGCCGCTGCGACGCCGTCGCGGCCGCCGATCTCCACGCCGCCGGCGCCACGTGACGCCTACGCGTATGCCGCGGAAGTCGCGTCACGCCGCGGCGGCAGGCAACCAACACTCGCTGCGCCCGCTCTCGACTGCACCATCACATCCCTCCAGCGCCGGCCACCTCGTCGCAGCACATCCGTGCCGCCATGCCGGCCCCGCGCGCCACTCGCTCTCGCGCGCCGCCGCCGGCCGAGGCCGCAGACGCTCCGGCCGCACCCACTGCGGCCGTCAAGCCAGCGGCGACGTCGCGCTCGGCGGCAGCAGCAGCAGCCAAGCCGGCTGCCGCCAGCGTCCGCCGCACAGCCAGCGCGTCCAAGACGGCCGACGCTGCAGCGAGCTCGGGCACTGCAGCGCGGCCTCGAGCTCGCGCGGCCCCAGTCACCAGCGCCGCGGCGTCCACGTCTGCCCCGGCGCGCAAGCCGGCGACGAAGGCATCCTCCACGTCTGCCGAGGCAGCGCCACGAGCTGCGCCTCGGCTCACGCGCGAAGAGCTCGTCGCTGCACTGCGGAAAGCTCCGTCGTGCGATGCCGCACTGCTGCGCGAGGCGCTCGCACACCTGTCCTGCGCACACACCGACCTCCTCACGCCGGGCGTGAGCAGCTCCGCCGCGTCGAGCTCCGACCCATCAGCGTCGCAAGTGCACACGGCAAAGCACCTCGTCAATGCGGTGCTCATCTCGCTCAACGACCTGCTCGTGGCAGGCTGGAAGGCGCCTCGTGCGCCGTCAGCTGCTGCCGCACCTCCAGCACGTCCAACGGCAGCCACAGCCCGCTCTGCCAGCGGGGCTCGTGCCGCCTCGCGCACTGACAGCACGTCGCGCTCTTCGAGCAAGAGCGCCGCGCCCACCACCTCCACCAGCGCACGGAGCACGCCGCCATCGAGCGGCACTGAAGCCGAGAGCAGCGCCGTGGCGTCACTGCCCAACGTGCACGTCCTCGTCGATGTGTGCCGCGTGGCACTCAGCGTGCTGAGCCGGGCGGGCGCAGCGAGCAAGGCGAAGCCGCTCGAGGTGGAGGGTGTGCGCGTGTCACTGGCGCGGCGGCTCGTCGGCATCGATCTGGTGAGTGCACTAACAGCACGAGGGTGAGTAGGCGCTCATTCAGTGTGCGTCCTTCACAGCCGGAGCTGGCGATCCCAGAGCTGTGCGAGTTACGCGCCGGCGTCATCGCCGCGTACGAGCGAGTGCCCGTCGACGCACACGCCGAGCGTTCGGCACGCACGCGCATCCTGCTCTTTCCCTCGCCCGGCAACGTGCAGAGCACACTGCAGCCCATGCTCCTCGATGCACTGGCGCTCGGCGCCACTTGCGCGCTGCAGCTGGCGTCGCGCGCTAGTCTGCCAGCAGTGCTCTCGGCGATGCGCGAGCCCGAGGGTGCGCTTGCTTGGCTGCGCGCCGTCTCTGAAGCCGCAGAGCGCTCCGGCGTCGACCGCACGGCATACGCAGTCGAGCGCGCCATCAGTCGTGCACTTGCGCGGCTCAGCGAGGGCGAAGCAAGCTCGTTCCTGGCAACCGCGACGGCGCTAGACGCCCGTGCCATCTCGCTCGAGGTGCTGCTGCGCGTGTCCGACGTCGACGTCGATGCGGCATGGGACCGTGCCGCACGCGTGGCCGCCGCGCATGTCCGCGGCGCGCCAGAGGCCGAACGCAACGGGGCCTTCAAGCGTGCCGACAACGCGCTGCGCCAGGTGCTCGCAGTGACGGATCCGCTCAAGCGCCGCGGCGCAGGCTGGATGCGCTTTGCTGAGATCTGGATGCAGCTGGCGCGCCGCACTGGTGCCGCAGAGGCCGTCGAACGCATTGCGGCACTGCTCATCTCGCCAAGTCTCGCCGAAGGGCCAGGCAGCAAGACGGATGCCGTCGGCCAGGAGGCTGCAGATCTGCAGCTGGCACAATCTGGCGTGGCGCTCACACAAGCCATCGTGGCGCTGGATGCTGCTGGCGGTGAGCGCGCCCCCGCAGCCGCCCTCAATGCGGCGAGCGGCAGCCTGGCACAGCTTGGCGATCTCGGCGCGCAAGCCTCTGACGCTGGGCGCGAGCGCTTCTTGCGCGCCATTGAGAGCCTGCGTCGTCGCGCTCTCACATCATTCGAGAAGCACTCGACCGACGAGAGTCTGCTCACCTTGCTGCGCTCGCTCGCGAAGGTGCTCTGCGCCCATCTGTGGAGCGGCGCGCCCGCGTCCGGCGCCGTCAAGCCGGCAGAGGTGCTCGTCGACGCGGTGCAGGTGCTGCGCGTCCTCGCTTCTTCGATCATGGATGCCGCATCGTCGCCCACACACGCGGATGCCAGCGCGCTGCTGTCCCAAGCGCAAGCGCTTTGCGCCATCGCGTCGCTGGACTCCTACGAGAGGGCGCAGCAGGCCTACTTCCTGGCCAGCAGCTGGGGAGCGCTGGCCACGCGGCTGTATCATGCGCGCAACGCCGGGCAGGCCGTTGTCTTTCTGGAGCACGGCTGTTCAGCGTCCGAGCTCGCAGAGTCGCTTTTCGCAGCAGACGAGCGCGACACGACAGAAGCGGCAGAGAAGCGACAGGATGCCTCGACGCGGCGGCTCGACCTGCTCGGCGCGTGTCTGCGCCTTGCGAGCCGACATCAAGAGGCGCTTGATGCTTGCCGGCGTGCTCTGCTGTCGGTGCGGGCGCAGAGATGGACGGAGCTGGACCGCGACGCGGCCTCGAAGGGCTGCTCCACCCTCTTCCAGGCCGACTCGCCGCACGACAAGCTAGGCCACCTGGCAGCGGCGGCGCATCAAGTGGCAGTCACGCATCTGCTCATTGCGCAGAGCGAAGACGAGCCGCGCAGTCTGCATGCAATGCTCGCAGAGGCTAAGGTGCCAGCTGGCGCGATGGGTGCGCTGCTCGAGCACTGCATTGCCGCGCTCGAGGCCAACGCGCATCGCGAGGAGGTGCCACTGGCCGTGCAACAGACGACGGCGGCGTGTCTCACCGTCTATACCTCCGCACGCTTTCCGCTGCGAAGAGCGCGGGTCTTGCTGCGAGACCTGGAGCTCAAGCTGCTCGCTGGCTCGCATGAGCACGCAGCTTTGCAGGAGATCGCTGGCGAAGCTGAGTCTCTGTTTCAGGTGTCCTCGCTGGACGATGACGCCGGCCTCGCGCGTTTCCGCGGCCAGTACGGCGCATCGCTGCATCTTCTGCAGCTGCTCCTCGCGCAACGAGGACCACACGGCAGCAGCGGGCAAGACGTCGCGAAGCATGCCGCCGAGGCTGCAGCACGCTTCCGAGCACTGCTATCGCGCGCCGGGGCGGGCGACAAAGCCTCGACGTCGAGCGACAGCTCAGCACGAGCGTTGCAGCCAGTCGCCAAGGCACCGCGGCAGGGAGCGCCGCCTAGCACGCCGCCGACACGTAAGAAGCTCAGCGTGGGACCCGCCGGCTCTTCGGCTAGCAGGACCGCGAGCTCGTCGGCTGCCGTGCAATGGGACGATCTGGAGCGCGTGCAGCTCCTGTTGACAGTCGGCATCGAGGCCTCTGCCGCGTTTGGGCACTCGCTTGCGACCATCGAGCTGCTCAAAGTGCTGCGGCGTCTCGTCTCTACGTCCGATGCCGGCACCTCCAAGGATCTCGAGGCTCGCATCTGCGCCGATCTTGCGCGTGCATATCTCGCCCTCGGCCGCCCTGCCCGTGCCGCCAGCGTCCTTGCATCTGCGCCTTCGACGGAGGTGGGACCCGAGGCACGCTTTCGCCTCTTGCTCGCGCGTGCCGAGGAGAGGTGCCATGCTGGCGCGCTTGACATTGCGGTTCTGCGCTACGAGGACGCCATCGCGGCGGCGCGCGACATCGACCCGCCCGCAGCACGGGCGAGCAGCTGGTCCAAGGCGCTCGAGCGTGCCGCTTCTAGCGAGCGGCTCGCACTGGCTGCCGAAGCGTACGGCAGCATCCGATTCGCGCAGGGCGGCCTGGCTGGCGCCGTCAACGCCGCCGTCGAGGCGGTGCGGTGCGCTTTGCGAGGCGCGAATACCGTCGGCCGCCTCTCGGCGCCGCCCAAGTCGGAGGACAGCGCTGAGGATGCAACGGGAGGGCTGTTGGAAGCCCCTGCTGTCTCTGATCCTGCCCACGCTCCATCCGCCGACGACGTCGCTCGCGCTGCAACGCCCGCGGCTGCGCTCAAGCCTCAGCCTCGACTTGGCAGCCTCCGGCTCGCCGTCATGTACTGGCGCCTCACTCGCGTAAGTTGCGGTGGCGCACCTACGTGCCGCTTTGCTGACCTGGTCCCCACAGGCTGTCCTCTCGGGATATTTGAGAGCCAGCCGCATGTATGCTGCTCGTGGCAGTGCGCGTGATGCCGAGGCGTTTGCCTCCGAGGCGGTCAGCTTCAGCGCACCGCTGCCGATCGCGCTGGCTGCGTCACGCGCGCTGATCGTGCGCGCCGAGCTGCGCAACCAGCTGGGCCCCACCGACAAGGGCCTCGCCGATCTCATGGACGGCATGCGTCTGCAGGGCCAAGAGTGGGTGCCCGAAGCATGCGCTATCTCATGCGTCGAGGGCGATGCCATCAGCCGCTCAAGCTGCGATGCCGAGTCGCTCAACCGCGCGCTGGAGAGCTACAAGTCTGGCCAGGCAACACTGCAGGCGCTCAGCGAGTCTTTCGCGACGCTTGATGCGCTCCTGCCCTCACCGCCGCCGAAGGGCCGGAGCCTGCCGGCGAGCAGCAGCAGCAGCCATCTGTCGCGCCTGTCTGCCGCCGCTGCGACTCCGGCATCGCTGCTGCCGAGCATTCTTGCGCGCCTCATCCGGCGGCAAGCATGGCTGATGCACCGCATGGACCGCCGCAGTGAGAGCAAGGAGCTGCTGGAGCAGGCCGACGAGATGTCGGATCAAGACCCGACCGGCTTCATCGAGAATCTGCTCCTTCGTGGACGCATCGGTCTGCGCCGCTGTCTCAAGCAGCTGCAGACCGACCCGGTGCTCAGCCTCGTGCCTGAGGCAGCGCTTTCGATCTCGCTCGCTAGCTCTCGCGCGACCGTCAAGGGCATCGGAGGCGCCACTGCCAAGTCGGTGCTCAAGCGCCTTGCAAGCGCCGAGCAGGCATTGGGCACCGCCCTGGTGCCGGAGCATCGCGCTCAGGCAGATGCTCGACAGCTCCGCGACATCATGGTCTGTCTTGCGGTCGCGCAAACACTTCGTTTCACGATCGCCACAAACGGCACGCCGTCGATGTTCAGCGCGGCGCTGATTGATGCCAGCGCGGCTGTCACGCTTGAGCGCGAGCTGCTCGATGCCATCGAGCAGAAGCTCAGCAAGGACGAGGCGGCTTCGGGCGCGACCGCGTCCTGGCTCCAGTTTGCGGCTGCCCCAGCGGCCAAGGTCTTGCCCGCACGCAAGGCCATTACCTCGCGATCGCCGCGCCGGCGCACACGTGGGCAAGCGATGGTAGACGAGGACGAGGCTGCCGCCTCGAGCGACGAAGAAATGCTCACCAGCGGGCCCGTCAACACGGTGGAGCGCTTCTGGCACGGCGTCCGAGACCGCCAGACCGCCAGTCACGCTGCGCTTCAAGCAGAAGAAGCACAGGCACTCGATCTGCCGCCGCACTGGACTGTCGTCACGCTGGCTCTCTCGCGCGAGCGCAACAGTCTGCTCGTCTCGCGGCGCAGTGGCGCGCGGGCCGGCCAGGGCGACTTGCTCTTCAGCCTGCCGATCGACCGGCAGAGCCGCCGCGAAGGCGAGGAGGAGGAGCTGCACATCGACGCAGCGCTGGGCGAGCTGCGTGACATCGTCGAGACGAGCAACACGGCCACGCACAACGCAAAGGACCTGCAGGGCCTTGACGCACGCAAGGAGTGGTGGACGCACCGGCGGTCGCTTGACGAGCGGCTGCGTCTCTTGCTCGAGTCAATCGAGCAGCGATGGCTTGGCGCGTTCAAGGTGAGTTGTGCTAGTCCAAGAGAGAGTGCCATTGCTGACTCCACGTGCAGAGCGTATTTCTCGAGCCGCCCGCCGCCTCCGAGAGCGAGCTGGCCTCGTTGCGCGCCGCATTCGACACGATCATCAGCCGAGCCTGCTTCGGCAGCGGCACCAAGGGCAGCTCGCCCGTCAAGCTCGACGCCGCCGTGTTTGAGTGCTTCGCGGCGCTGCCGCCGTCGAGCACCGACGAGGAGCTGGAGGACCTGCTGCACTTCGTCATGGACAGCTTCCAGTTCAACGGCGTGCCCGTCGCCGTCGACGAGGTGGACTTCGACCAGAGCGTTGTGGAGCTGCGCTCGGCGCTCGAGGCGTTCCGTTCCAAGGCCTCTGCGAATGCGGCGCAAGGCACGCCGGCGCCGCCGGAGCGCGACCCGCACCTCTTCCTCGTGCTGGACAAGGACACGTGTGCGCTGCCGTGGGAGTCCATTCCCGTGCTGCGCAAGTCGGCCGTGAGCCGCATCCCCTCGCTCGCCTTTCTGCGCGACCGCATCGAGCTGTCGCGCCTTGCGGCGAGCGAGCAGGCGGCCAAGCGCGACGCGGCGGCGGCCCAGCGCCACACGCTGCGCAAGGGCCCCGCCGTGTCGCAGCACGACGGCAGCTTCCACCTCGGCGCCAAGCCGAACACCTTCTTCCTCATCAATCCCAGCGGCGACCTCACCGCCACGCAGTCGCGCTTCGAGCCGTGGCTGGCGGACAGCGCGCGCGGCTGGCGCGGCATCGCCGGGCGGGCGCCCGTCGCCGACGAGTTCCCTGCGGCGCTCGAGAGCGCCGAGCTGGTGCTCTACTTTGGCCACAGCGGCGCCGAGCAGTATGCGCGCCAGCACCGGCTGCGCGCGCTCAAGCGCTGCGCCGTCACGATGCTCTGGGGCTGCTCGTCGGGCGTGCTCAAGGAGCAGGGCGACTTTGACCGCACCGGCACGCCGCACAACTACATGATCGCCGGCTGTCCGGCCCTCGTGGGCAACCTCTGGGACGCGACGGACCGCGAGCTCGACGGCGTGGCCAAGAGCGTGTTCACCAAGATCGGCCTCATGCCCGCCGAGGCCGCCGAGCCGGCGCCGGCAGCTGCATTTGCTGCTGCGGCGGCCAAGGCGCCCTCGAGCCGGCCCATGTCGCTGACGCGCGCCGTCAACGAGTCGCGCGACGCCTGCAAGCTGCCCTACCTCACCGGCGCCAGTCTCGTGGCGTACGGCGTGCCTGTGTATTTCTAGCCGCCCCTCTCTCCTGCCTGTGCCCTGCTGCGCGATGCTATGCCCGCGCGAGACGCAATGCATCTTAGTGTCATGCTGAGCCAGGCGCTTGCATTCAGCAGTAGCGGTCGCTCTTGGTCTTGCTGCGCCGATTGAGCAGCTCCTCGGCCAGACGGCCCTCCTCCTTGCTCTTCTTCAGCGCCCTCCGGTCCTCCGAGCTCGAGCCCAGCGTGAAGAGCTTGTCCTTGCCCGGACCCCATCCTTGCCGCGTGTGCCTATAGAGAAGAGTCAGCGTCAGGAGCAGAGCAATCTAGAGCTACCTAGCGCGCGAGTTCCACTCACACAAGCTTGGCCTCGTCGAGCTCCGGCTCGGCCATGGCGTAGCGCTTGCCCGTGCGTTCGCGCGCCGTCATGGGCAGCGCACTGATCTCCTTGAGGCGAGCCTCATGCCGGAACTTCCACTGCACGCGCGCCTCCCACTCGGTGCTGCCGCACCATGCTGCCGTCAGCTCGCGTTGCCTCTGTGCGCCGAACAGCCGAGAGACACTCACCCAGCGCCATCGGTGCTGTCGGCGCGCACCACGACCTTGCCGCCGGCTACCTCGTCGAGGCCGAGCAGGTTGCCGCTGGGCGCGCGCAGCTGCACGCCGGTGCCCGACGGCGCCGGCAGCACGGTCCACTGTTCGAGCGGGCCGCGCGCCTCGGCGCTGGCCGTGACGGTGCCGCTGGGCGCTGCGCCGACGAAGCGCGAGTCGGCGCTGCGCAGCGTATACACGGGCGCCGAGGCGGGCGTGTCGAGCATGCGGCTCGCCACCCACACTTGGTTCACCGACGACGGCGCCGGGTCGATGCTTGCGACATCGACGCTGGCGCCATCAAGGTCGAGCGAAGGATCAAGCGATGCCTCGGCACGCATGGCCTGCGCATCGACGCGCTGCAGCGGCGCGTTGAGCGTGAGCACGTAGGGCGCCCGGGCGCCGTCGTCGGCCGTCGAGGCGGCGAAGCGCTGGAAGAAGAACGTCGGGCCGGCCAGGTCGGTGGGGCGCGCCACGGGCACCCAGGCTGTCGAGATGTGGTCAGCACACAGCGAGTGGGCAGCGGCGGCGTGCGCGCGGCCACTCACTCTGCTCGTTGCCGCCGTAGTCGTCGACGTCGCTGGCGTCGTCGTCGGCGTGCTTGCGCTTGCTGCTGCGTGCGGCGCCGCTGCTGCTGCCCTCGCCCGCATCGTCGTCGTGGTGGCGGCGCGACGAGTGCTTCTTCTTCTTCTTGGGCGCCTTGTCGCCCTTGAAGACGAGGCGCGAGGACATGGCGTGCGGTGGAGGCGGATGTGGAGGAGAGGCAAGCGGCGCCACGTGCAGCGCACGCGTCAAAGGTCAGTCAGTAGAGTGCGCGCGCCGCGCTGCTGCTCCCTGGCGTGCCATGGCCGCCTCGACCTGCCTCCAGCCACCACTCCTCAAGCAAAGCGGCACTCTGACTCTGCGATCAGCATGGCGTCGTCCTCAAGCGATACGCCGCGCGCCACGCTGGCAGCTGATCCGCTGGTGGGCACGCTGGGCATGTTCATCATCGACACGTGAGCCGGCCACGGCGGGCCCTAGTCTTGGACAGGAGCGCGCCACTCATCGCCATGCCTCGCCGCCAGCTTCCGCGTGCTCGACGAGGCCAGCGGCGCGGAGATGCGCGACCCGCTGCAGCGCGGCGAGCAGATCGGCGGCGGCGGCGTGTACTTTGCCGTCGGTGCGTGGCCAGCACGGCGCATGGCTCAGTCCTGCTCAGACGCTCGGCTGACGCTCGGCACACGCCCTCAGGCGCTCGAGTCTGGTGCGCCGCTTGGGCGTACACCTCGCACGGTGCGCATCGCTGACGTGCCTGTGCTGCTGCGGCACGCAGGCTGCGCCCAGAGCGCATCCTGGGCGTCATCGATGCCGGGCCCGACTTTCCCGCCGCGCTGCGAAACACGCTCGAGGCCTTCAATGCCGCTGCCGGCGCATCGTCGCCCAGCCGAGGAGGCATGTGGGCCTGGCGCTCGCGCCCCGACGGCACGACGCGCGCCGTGAATGTGTATCGCGGCCAACACCGCGGGTGCGTGGCCTCATCGGCCCTTGACGCTCCTTGTTTGGGACACTGACGAGGAGACAGCTTCGAGTACCTCTCGCCGCGCCTGCGTCTCGAGCCGAGCGACATCGCCGCCTGCTCGCCGTGCGGCAGGCTGCCGCGCTGGCTGCATTGCATCTGTGCCCCAGACCGCCTGCTGGCCATTGTGGCGCAGCTGCGCCAGCTGCGGTCCGACGACATGGACGCGCAGCGCATCGTCTGGGAGCCCATTCCCGACAGCGCCACGGCGCAGAACCTGCCGGCGCTGCTCGAGGCAATGCGGCATGTGCACGTCGTCAGGTACGTGCCCAACCCTCTCGCCGGCACTCATGGTCATGCTCATGCGGCTGCCACGCAGTCCGAATCATGACGAAGCCGCGGCCTTTCTCTCGCACCCGCCCGACACGCTCACGTCGCGCGAGGCCTGCACGGCGCTCGTCGAACGGCTGGGCGCCGCGTTTGCACACGCCTCGCCCGAGGCAAAGGCGCCGCTGATCTGCGTGCGCTGCGGCGCGTTGGGCGCCGTGGCGCTGGGCGCACAGGGCGTGCAGGCCGTCCAGGCGTGGCACCGGCCGGAGCAGGCGGCGAGCGTCGTGGATGTGACGGGCGCAGGTGAGCTTGACTCTATCTGGGTCACTGGCTCCATGTTCCCCCTCTAACGTTGGCGAGCTCCGTTCAGGCAACGCCTTCCTCGGAGGCCTCACTGCCGCCCTCTCCGAGACGGCACCCGACATGCTGCCCGTCGATCTCCCACAAGGCGCGATCCGGCACGCACTCAGCTGCGCTGCCGTCTCGGCCTGTACGTTTGCCCTCTCTGCCTTCTTGGCTCGTGCTGCTGGACAATCACATTGACGCAGCCCCCGCACCTTGCAGCTTATGCGCTCGAGCAGCTCGGCCTGCCCTCGCTCTCCTCGGGCTCCGCCGAACGGTGGAACGGCGACGAGCCTTCGGCGCGGCTGCGCGAGCTGGAGGGGCGACGGTAGAGAGCAGGCAGCAAGTGTTACTTTTCTCATGACGTAGCAGGTCGTAGCGGCACACGGAACAGCGGCAGGGCCCGAGAGAGCGAGAGGGAGAGAAGAGAGAGCGCAGAGTATGCTGCGCGTCTCCTCTCTGCTACGCGCGGACGCGGGGCGTGGGGTGAAGTTCAAGCAAGAGCGAGAAGAAGGCGCGCAAAGGTGGATGTGTATACAGAGGCCGAGCGCACGCGCTCCTAGTCGTCTAGGGAAGAAGAGCGAGCGCCTGCGCATCGTGCCTCTGGAGGGGGCAGTGGGCATGTGAGGAAGAGCAGCAGGATGGGCATGGGAGGTGACGGGGTGGAAAAGGAAGGTGGAAAGGTGGACGGCGAAGGGGCCGGCAGCGACGAAGGCAGAGCAGCGCGAGGAATGCTTTCACTCCTCGGCGTCCTTCGACGGCACCTCGGGCGCCTCCTTGTCGTCGCCAGGCGTCTTGATGCCGTACTTTGCGCGCACCAGTTCAAACGTCTTGAGCAGCTTGCGTCTTGCACCGAGCGCCGCCACGCCCTTTGCCTCGAGGGCCGCGTCGTCCATGAGCACCATGTCGCGCCACTTGCTGCCCTCAAAGTTGGGCGTGTACTTGTGCAGGCGCAGGTAGCGCAGCCACGCCGCCGTGTCCTCGAGCACGTTGAGCGGCGGCACCTCCTCCTCCTCCTTGCCGCCGCCCGGCGCGCCCGCGCTCGGCGGCGCGCCGCTGCGAGACGAGGCCATCGGCGTGCGTGCCGGCAGGCCGGGCGAGCGACGGCCCGAAGAGTTGAGGCCGACGCCGGGAGAGAGGCCGCCGCCAAAGCCGCCGAGGCCGCCCGAGTTCTGCCGCATCGGCATCGGCTGGTTCATCTGCTGCTGCTGTTGCTGGTGCAGCTGGTGCTGGCTGCGATACGTGCCGGCGTTGCCCGCCGCGGCCATGGCGGCAATCTGCTGCTGGCTCTGCAGAATCTGCTGCTGCATGGCGAGGAACTGCGCGGCACTCATGTTGCCCAGGCCGCCCATGGCCGCCATGGCGTTCATCATTTGCATGTTGACCGGGTTGCCGAGGCCGCCCGAGGGGCTCTGCAGGCCGGCCAGCGCGTTGGGCGACATGGCCATGTTGAAGCCGCCGTTGCTGGCGCCGCCGGGCGACGAGACGTTGGCCATGGCGTGCCGCAGGAAGTCCTGCTGCGTGGCGTTCCACGGGCCGGGCGAAGAGCCGCCCATGTTGGGACTGGCGCCGGGACTCGTGGCGCCATCGTACATGCCGCTCAGCACGCCCTGCACGCCCGGCGCGCCGCTCGTCTGCTGCTGCTGGCCGCCCTGGCCCGGCATGCCCTGCTGGCTCTTGCGGCGGTACTTGGCCACGTCCTGCTCGAGCAGGATGCGCGAGTTGGCCGCGCCGTTGCCGACGGCCGCCAGCTGCGCCGAGGCGGCGTCGAGGTCGGCGTTGGCGGCGCCGTGGCCGCCCTGCGCCTTCTCGTCGAACATGGGCAGCAGCGGCGTGTTGACCATCGACGACCAGTTGCCCGACTGGATCGGGCTCAGCTGGTCGTCGAGCGGCCCGCTGGCACGCGGGCTCTTGGCCGCCTGGCTCAGGCCGTCGGTGCTCTTCGGGCGAGCGGCGCCGTTGCCGCTGCCGTCGGCGCCCATGCCTCCAAGGCTGCGGTGCGGCTGTGCGCCAGGGCTACGACCACCCTCGGCGACCTGGTCGAGGCTGCCGCCGTTGAAGTTGCGCGCACTGCTGTCGCCTGCCAGCGTGCCCGGCGCGCTGATGCGGTTCGCCTTGAGCTTGGCACGCTGCGCCGCCAGCATGCTGGCCGCATCGCCGCTCATGGCGCCCGCGCCGTACATGCTCGCCAGGTTGGGCGAGAGGAAGCCGGCGGCGTCCGACGACTGCCGCGCGCCGCGCCCGCCGGGCGACGCCGGGCTCTTCATCGCGCTGGGCGACTTGAGGCCGAGCGACGCCAGCTTGGCCTCCATCTGGTCGGCCATCGGGTCTGCGGCTCGGCGCGGCGCATCAGCAAGCTGGCAGTGCGGCACTCCTCCGACTGGGGGGCCACACTCACTGCTCGAGTGGCTCGGGCTCAGCAGCGCGCTCATCGGGTCCGAGCGCGCCATCTGCTGCAGCACGGTGATGAAGAAGCGGATCTGCACCTGCGTCGACTCCTGCAGCAGCGAGTAGAGCGCGGCGGTGCGCTCGGCCTCGGAGAGCACGCGGAACCCTGGACGGGAGGGTTGTGAGTGGCCGCACTTGCGAAGCGGCTGCGCGTCTGGCCCACTCACACTGCTCGATGGCCGAGAGCTCCTCCTTGAAGTTCTGGTCCAGCGACGCGGCGGCCATCTCCTCTGCACAGGCGGGGCTTGGGTGAGCAGCGCGTCCGCGGCATGGCCCACGCGCGGGCGATGCGTACCAAGAGTGGCCTCGTAGTGGCGCAGATCCTCGAACCACTTGTCGATGGCGTCGGCTGTGGCGCGCGTGTCAGTATGGATGCGGCGGCACAAGGCTGCGGACTGGTGCGGCCCTTGTGCTCCGTGCAGACGCGCCATGCGTGTGCTGTGCTGTGCAGCTCATAGCCGCCTGTGCTGCTGCATCCTCGCGCCGCTCCGCGCCACGCGGCTCCCTGTGGCCCCATGCACTCCAGCGCCGCGCCGCCGCTGCATCTCTGCGCCATCCATCCTCACTGGCCCACTCACACTCGGCACTGCCGCCCTGCATGGCCGCGGCCATGCCGAGCATCTCGGAGCTGGGGCGCACGCTGTGCTGCTGCTGCTGCGGCGTGCCCATGCCCAGGCGCGCGCTGGCCGGCATCTGGTTGCTGCTCTGCTGCTGGCCCATGCCGGGCGACTTTGCCAGCGCGGCCGCGCCGGCCGCCTTGCCCAGCGAGTAGCGCGCCTGCCCGCCGCCGGGCTGCGGCGACGAGGAGCGGTGGCCGCCGGGCGAGTGCGGCGGGCGGAGCGAGTAGTCGGACATGGCGCGGTGCGAGGGAGTGTGAGGCTGCAGGGCAAGAGTCAGCGGCGGCGCGGCGATGAGTGGCCACGTGCGGCGACGCACGTATGGAGGCACAGCCAGAGTCGTCGCCCAGGAGCCGGCTGGGGGTGAGGAGCGCGCAGCACTGGAGAGAGAGGGAGCGAGAGGAAGCCACCCGGGCTAGGCGGAGCGGGGACGGGAAGCGGCGAGAGGGACGAAGAGGGGGCGTCGTGGAGAGGAGGCAAGGCGGCGCGACAACAAGGAGCATCGCATGCCGATGCCTCTCGCCCTCATTTGCTGCGCCAGCGAGGCCGAGGAGCAGCACCGCACCGCGCACGCGTGTTGGCGTGCCTCGCGCGCCCGCCGCCGCTGTTCCCACACGCTCCTGCAGGCCGCCGGCCGGGCGAGCAGGCGCCGTTGCGTTGGCGCGAGACGGACGTGCGCGGCGCGCGCCCCCACCAGGCACGCAGGCGCGACACTCGTCTCGTGCCTGGCCTTCCCCCTGTGCTGGGCGCAGTGAGACAGGCACGTGCATCACGTGCTGCCACGAAGCAGGCCCTGGCCACGGCCTCGCCTCCTCCACTCCACGCTGACGCACCCCACCACCACCCACCACCACCCACGCTCGCCCATGTCCGCCGCCGCGCCGCCCGCCGCGCTCGAGGCGCGTCTGCGCGCCGCCAGCCAGGCCTTCCAGCGCATCCAGGCCGGTCAGTGCGGCGTGCGCCCGGAGGTGTAGACGTCGCTCCCTGTGCTCACACCTCATGCGCGCCAGAGATGCAGCAGGCCGTCGACTCGCGCCAGACGCTCGCCAGCCAGCTGAGCGAAAATGTCGCCGTGCGCAAGGTGCGTGTGTGGCAGAGAGGGCGCGTGGCAGGGGAGAGACAAGGAGCGGCGCGAGAGAGAGAGCGGCAAGAAGCGGCAGAAACGGCAGAAGCGAGGCATCCAGCGCCGGACGTGTGCCGTGCACGCCCGCCAGCAGGTGGGCACGGCAAGACGGCGACTGTGAGAGAGAGCCGGGCGCTGCGCATCAGGGCAGAGAAGGTGGGACATGCGCGGCACGCGACGAGCACTGAGCGGCCAAGTCCCACCGCGGTGGTGGAGTGTGCACGACTGTGGCTGCGTGGGCGGCCCGACTGTGTGTGAGAGAGAGAGCTGGGCGCGCGCATCAGGGCAGAGAGAGGGGCACCGCGGTGGTGCAGTGTGCACGACTGTGGCTGCGTGGGCGCGGCCCTCCTCGGCAGGTCACAGCCGGCCTCTGACGCCCGAGCACGGCTCTTTCTGTCATGCCCGCCGTCGTCCGCCCGCTCACCGCCCACACACACCCGCCAGGAGTTCGCCGCACTGGCGCCCGACGCGCACGTGTACAAGCAGATGGGGCCCGGGCTCATGAAGCAGGACCAGGCCGAGGCACGCTCCAACGTCGAGAAGCGCATCGAGTTCATCGAGGCGGAGATGTGCGTGCTGCGCGCCGCTGTGTGCTGCGTGCTTGCTGATACAGGGGTGCGGCATTCTGCTGCAGCAAGCGCGCAGAGACGCGGTTACGCGAGCTGGCGGACAAGGGAGAGAAGCAGAAGAACGAGGTGCGTCGTCGCAGCGCCACGTGCTGGCGCGTGCTGTGCGAGCCCGCTAATGATGCTCCCCCTTTCGCTGGCGCACAGCTCGTCGAGCTGCAGACCACGCTGCAGGCACGCGAGCAGGAGGCAGCAGCGGCAGAGGCGGGCGCATGAGAGAGAGACACACACACAATGCAACACGCGAACCGGGGCACTGGCAAGATGTTGGATTGGGTAGCGAGGCGGTGCGGCGAGGAGGATGCAGAGAGATGTACAGGTGGAAGGAAGCACATGGGCGGGACGCAAGACGTGAGTGGCGCACAGACAGATCAGGGGCGCGAGCTGCCGGGCGCTGCGGCGCCGCGCGAGGGGCCCTGCTGCTGCGAGGCGCGCGCCTGTGCCGCAGCGTCAAGGGCGAGCGTGCTCGGACGAGGTGGGGCACGCGGCGAGGGGCGCGCCGAGGAGCGCGGCAGGCGGATGCCCGCGGGCACGATGCCCATCTGCACGTTGTAGCGGTCGATCTCGGCCTGGCCGAGGGCGTCGCCGCGCGTCCAGGTGCCGCTGCTGCTGCGCGGGCGGTTGAGGCGCTGCTGCGTCTGCTCCATCTCGCGCCGCGAGCCGTGGTTGGCGAACCATTCGTGCGCCGGCACGCTGCCGTGCGGGATGCCAAAGATGGCGTCCGGGTCGCGCGTGGCCTGCGCCAGCAGCGCCGCCTGCAGCTCCTCGCGCTCCCACGGCCGCTCCTTGGCGCGCCGCTCCTCGACGTCCGACGCGTCCGAGTCCGAGTACTCGCTGTTCGGGTCGCTCAGCACAATCTCCGGCGTCGCTTCGCGCGCCACGACGGGCGGCGCCGGACGCGCGGCCGCGCTGCTGCTGCTGCCGGCGCTGGCGGCAGGCGGCATTGGGCGTGGCGCTCCGGGCCGCTGGATGCTTGCGGCAGCAGCAGCAGCGGCGGCGGCAGAGGCCTGCTGCGCCGCACGAGCAGCCTGTGCCTGCTGCAGCTGCTGCTGTTGCGCGTGCTGCTGCTGGTACTGCTGCGACGCAAAGCCGGCGCCGCGCGGGATGCCCGAGGCACTGGCCTGCAGCTGCTGCGGCGGTCGTGCAGTGGCGCTCGTCGTCGTCGTGCTCGGCGCTCCGGGTCGCGCCGGCTTGAACGCAGCGGTGCCGGCAGGCGGAGGCGCTGCTGCTGTGGAGCGCGCCAGTGCCGATGCTCCCTCGCCGGGCACCGACGCGCCGTCGTCCGAGACACGGCGCTTCTTGCCGCCGGCCTCATTGTCGTCCTTGCGCACCTGCGACTTGCCCACTGCAATCGACACGGGCGCTTTGTTCTTGCTCTGCGCCATCTCGGGCACACGCGCCAGCGGCAGGCGGTTGGCCTCGGGCTCGCGCGCACGCTTGCGCCGCTCCGCCTCGCGCTCGGCGTCGGCCTTGCTCTTGGCGTCCTTCTCGGCCTGCGCAGCGGTGCGCCGCTCGTCCTTCTCGCGCCGGCGCCGCTCTGCCTCCTCGGCCTCGCGCCGGCGCGCTGCCTCGGCACGCGCCAGACTGGCAGGCTTGCCCTGGCTCGCCGTCGATGCGGCTAAGTTGCCTCCGGGGCCGGCGGTGGAGTTCTTGCGTGGGCTCTTGCCGGGCGATGAGGGCGCAACGGGCACCTTGCTGCCCGAGGCAGCGGCGCCCGGACGTGTGGGCATGAAGCCCGAGGCGCTGGACGGCATGCCGCCGTTGAAACCGAGGAAGCCCTTGGCCTTGTCGAGAATGCCCCAGCCGCCGCGTCCCGGCGCAGGCGCAGCGGCGTGTGCCGCAGCGCTGTCAGTCGCCTGCACCGCCGCGTGTGCCGTCTCCTCGCGCTGCTTCTCGCGTGCTGCCTCGTCGCGGCGCTGCTGCTGCTGCTGCGCCTGTGCAGCCGAAGGCGCCTGCTGAGAGCGATGCAGCGACTTGTTCACCGCCGCCGACTTGCCAGTCAGGTTGACGCTGACCTTTGGCATCGACGCCAGCGGCCGTGCAGCCGTGCTGCCGCTCGTGGCGCCGAGGTTGTTGCGCGCCTGCTGCGCCGCGTAGGCCGACGACGGGCCGACACTGGCGCTGACCGAGGCTGCGGGCGCAGGTCGCGCAGCAGCAGCGGCCTTGCCCTTGTCGCTGGCTGCCGGAGCTGCCTTGGCAGAGCCGGCGACCAGCTCATCCAGCGTCATCTCGTCGTCGGCGCGCCGTGCGGCGGGAGCGGCCCGCGGCTGCAGCACCACCTCGTCTGTGCCGGCCTCGCCCTCCGACTCGCTGTCTGTTGCCACCGCACACTCGTCGTTGGCAGCGTTGAGCAGAGCGCTCATAGGCGGGAGCGCGGCGGGCGCTGCAGCAGTCGGCGAGTGGACCGGCGTCGTTGAGCCTGTCGGCGCGGGCGCAGGTGCGGCCTTGGTGCTGGTTGCAGCGGCCGGCGCAGATGCAGCGGCTTTGACGTCGTCCTTCGCAGGCAGCGCCGGTGCTGCCTTGCTCGCCGCGACTTCAGCCTGGAACTGCTCGGCCTTGGCCTTGATTGCCGCGACGAAGTCGTCGTTGGCCGACTCGAGCGACGGCTCGCCAGTCGAGTCCTGCCACTCAGCAGCCTCGTCGCTGTCGCGCACACGTATGCCTGCGGCGACGACTGCGGTCGGTGCAGCTGCAGCGGCAGTCAATGCAGGAGCAGGAGCCGCCGCAGTGACAGCGCCTGGAGCGCGGGCAGCGAAGATCGAAGAGGCCAGCGAGGCGCCGAGGCCCACGTGGGTGCTGCCAGCGGCGCTGGAGCTGCTGGGCAGGGCGGCAGCGGCATTGCCACGATGAGCGCCGCTGATGCGGCGCACGTTCTCGAGGCGACTGCGGATCGCATCAAAGCCGCTCTGTGTAGTCGTTGGCGGTGCTGCCGCGGTGCTTGGTGCAGCAGCCGTGCCGAGAGTGCGCGGCGGGTCGGAGGACTGCATCGATGCAGCCAGCTTGGCGCTCTTCTGCGGCCGTGCGATCGGAGCTGCCGCCTCTTCGACCTCAGACGGAGCCTCCATCTCGTCGCTCTTGCGCTTCGCGGCAGCGCGCGTGCGAGAGCTGGCGGCCGTAGCGTTGGCGCGCGTGTTCGCGCTCGTGGCTGCCTTGGCAGCGCGCTTGCCCGCACGCAGCGGCGGCTTGTCTGACTCGTCCGACTCCGAGTCTGCCTCTTCGTCGGCCTCCTGCGCCGACGTCACGGCCTTGCGCAGCGACTTGTTGAGGAAGCTACTGCGGAATGCGGGCGCCGCGGGTGTCGAAGAGTTGTGGGTTGAGCTACTGGACGTAGAGGAGGAAGAGGCCGCCGTTGCAGCACTGGCTGCGGCAGCGGCGGCAGCAGGTGCGTTCTTCTTACTGGTGCCGTAGTCGCCGAGTGTCCGCTTCGGCGCCGCAACGAGCGGCTCTGCGGGTGTGGGCTTGGCTGCCGGCTTCTCAGCAACTGGCAGTTTGGCGGCGGCAGGCTCTTCAGCCGCCAGCACCGGCGAGCCAGACGTCTCGCTGAGCTTCTCGCGCGCCGAAACGAGCTCCTGCGCATCGTCATCGTCGTCTGAGTCAGAGACGTGGCTCGGCGCGATGAGCTCAAGGCTCTCCTCGCGCGAGCGGGTAGTCGGCACAACCTTTTTGGCGCCGGCCGGCAGGGGCGTCGAGGCACGCACGGCCTCGGACTCGTGCGCCATCGTCGCGTCGAGGTCGTGGCTGTTGTCGTCGTCGACGTCGAAGAACTGACTGGCGGCGCGCGGCATCGAAGCGGCAGACGCAGCTGGCGGTGTGGGCGCTTTGCTGCTGGCGGCAGCGGGCGCTGGCTTCGTACTCTCGACATCGCTCGCGGCAGCGGCCTTGCCCTTGGCCGTCTTGCGCTTCGTCGGCTTCGGCTCTGCAGCAGCCTCTTCTGCGCGTGCAGCCTTGGCGGCTGCCTTTGCTGCCGCTGCCGCGCTGGCCTTGGTGCCCTTCTTCGTCTTCTTCGCCGGCGCCGGCGGCTCCTCCGCCGATGAGGGGCCGGCGTCTGCGCTCGAGCTGCTGCTGGCAACGGGCTGAGGCACTGCTGCGTCTTTCAGCGCCTTCTTCGGAGCCTTGGCGGGCTTGTCCGACAGAGGCACGTCCTTATCGCTCGAGCTCTTCTCGGGCGCGCTCTTCTTGGCCGCAAAGGGATTGGGCATCTTGACCATCTCGCTCTTGTCGGCGCGGCTGCGCGTGCTGCGCGCGCCGATGCCGAGGCCAGTGCTGCCGCTGCTGCTCGACGCCGACTCGACGGCAGCGAGCACCACGGGCGCATTCTCCTTGTCGGCACTGTCCGACGACGCAGCCGGCGCGGCACGCCGGCGGCTCGCGGCCGCGGCACCACCAGGGAAGAGGGCGGCGTTGGCGCGGCGGCGCGAGGGCGTCTTGAGCATCTCGGACGCCAGGGTGATGGCGGCGGCCTGCGTGCCGAGCGTGATGTCGTCGGACGGCGGGTTGCTTTCGGTGAGGCTGGGCACGAGGCGTGAGTAAGCAGCGCTCCGGAGTGGAGCTGCAGCACCAAGCAGCTCGCTGCAAAGAGCAAGGACTGTGCTGCCAGTCGCAGCCGCTCACGCTGCCTCACCAACAGCCACCGTCTACATCGTGTAGCCACCGCCCATCCCCCTGCCAGGCATCTCACCACTCACCAGTACTTCTCGAACGTGCTGCGCGCATGCAGCAGCATCGTCTCGATCCACTCGAAGCCGACGTCGTCGATGCGCGTCTCGAAGTTGGCGACGTGGGCGAGGGCGCGCACCTCGTTGGCATGGCCCAGCAGCACGGCGTGCGCGGCCTGCATGCTGGCGGAGAGCGGCGCGGACATGGCGAGCCGGGGTCAGTAGGGTGTGGTGTGGAGGGTGAGGACGGGGCCAGCTGGTGTTGGACTTTGGCGGCGCGTCGCTGGCCAAACAACACAGCCGCGCCGGCGCGACGCAGCACGTGCGCGCTCCCACGCCGGGCATCACAATCACGCCGGCGGCATGGCAGCGCGAAGAACGCGCGCGCGGCGCCGCCTTCGTATTTCCTCCTCTCTGCCTGCCTGCGCATCCGCTCCGCTGGCAGAGCACCATCAGCTGATCTTGACGGAGCCGACGAGCCAGCGCAGCGGCATCCGTATCAGCCCCTCAGCGCCTGCCGCGGCAGTGTGCAATGAAGCGAGATTCGGGCGACGGCAGAGGGCAGAAATAGACGATTTGCTCAGCCCACGCGCAGAAAGAGGCGGAGGCAGGCGGGCGGTGTGCAGAGCGCAGACGAAGCCCCTGCAGCGGCGTGCAGCCGAAGATGTCGTGTGCCGCGCAGCAGGCCGGCAGCACACGACAGCGAAGAGGCCCGCCTCGGCTGCAGCGCAGCGCCGAAGCGAGCGGCGCTGGCGCATCTTCTTGCCCCGCGCCGCGCCACCGCCGCTCCTGCCTCTCAACCACAACCTCTTTCCCACCTTCCCACCCAACCCACCTCAAGTCGATCATCATGGCTGTGAGGCGCTGAGACGAATGCACACCTTGCACTGCATACATGCACGATGCACAAGAGAGAGAGCGGCGTGGCTGATGTAGCATGATGTCGCGCAGTACCAGGGCGGCGCACAGCAGTCGTACGGCGGCGGCGGACGCGGATGCTACAACTGCGGAGCTCAGTGCGTATGAGGTGACGGTGTGTGCCGTGGCGATGCGTGGCGGATGGTGCGAGATGTGCAGGGCACCGTGCTCGAGGTGCTGCCGCAGGTGGCGTGGCGTGGCGGGCATGCTCCCCTTGTGAAGCCCGGCTGCAGGCAGTCGTCCACCGTCCTGCGTCATTGGCTCGCGCGCTGCTGTACGCAGGGCGCTGTGTTGCTGCTGCTCAGTCTGGCTTGGCGCGAACGCCTGTCCGTGTGTTCTCTCCGTGGACGTCACGCTCTGTCGGGTGACTTCTGCGCTCTTCACTTCACCATGCCGGCCTTACTCGCCGTCTAAGCGCTGCTGCTACATCTGAAGAATGACAGAGAGAGATGGTCAGCTGACCACCTGTCTGTCCCTTCCACTCCCTTCACCCTGCCTCTCCTCTGTCGCCTCTCCCTCTTGCCTGCCTGTGCTTCCCGCGTCAACAGGGGCCACATCGCCTCGGCCTGCCCCACGGCCGGTGCCGGACCCGCCTGGTCAGTGCTGCTGCTGCTGGACGAGCCGCGTGGCGCTCGTGGCTGATGCCTCGACATGTGCGCGCAGCTACAACTGCGGCGGCCAGGGCCACATCAGCTCGCAGTGCACGCAGGCTGCCGCGCCCAAGGTGTGCTACAAGTGCAACCAGCCCGGCGTGAGTCTGCGCTCGTACATGTCAAGTAAGCGCCGTTGCTGACCTGCGCTTTCCGTGGACAGCACATCGTGAGACAGACGACACGGACCTTGCGACTGAGCGCATGACTGACGCCCAGCGCAGAGCCGCGAGTGCCCTAGCCAGCAGTTCGGCAACGGCGCCTTCTCCTCGGGCGGCGGCGGCGGCGGCGGTGCCTGCTACAGTGAGCTGCAGTGTCGTGGCACGAGAAGGACGGCGGCGCTGACATGCGCTCCCTCTCCCTCTCTCCTCTCTCCAGCCTGCGGCCAGCCCGGTGCGTCTCTCGCCCTCGCGCGCCTACACCCACCATGCTCACGCTTGACTCGCAGGCCACATCAGCCGCATGTGCCCGCAGCAGGGCGGCCAGGGCGGCCAGGGCGGCTACGGCGCCTTTGGCGGCGGCGCGCAGAAGACGTGCTACGGCTGCGGCGGCGTCGGCCACATCAGCCGCGAGTGCCCGCAGGGCGGCGGCGGCGGCGGCTACGGCGGCCAGGGCGGCTACGGCGGCGGCGCCGGCGGGCAGAAGTGCTACAACTGCGGCGAGCAGGGCCACATCAGCCGCGAGTGCCCCACGCCCCAGCAGCGCGCCTGCTACACGTGCGGCGGTGAGTCGAGCGGGCGAGCACGGTGTGAGCAGCGACTGACGACGTCTGGCGCAGAGAACGGCCACATCAGCGCCCAGTGCCCGCAGAGCCAGAGCTAAGCGGCTCGACGTGGTGCTGCTGCTCTCTCTGCCCATGCCCGCTGCTTGCTGCGCTTCTTCTCCCGTCTCCACTCCATGCAAGCGGCGCTTCTCCCACGAGACTCCCACACATGCCCCTCTACCCTGAATCTCTCGACTCATGCGCCCTGTCTGGCCCACTTCCCTCAGCGTAGTGTACGATAAACGATGAGCATTCTCCCTCTGTGCCGGCGTGTGATGCTGGAGCGAGCCGGTGCTCCGGCTCGGAGTGTGTGCGGTGCCGCGGCTGTGCCTGGCTGTGTGCCTGGGGCCGAGGTGGGCCGCGCCCGGGTGACTCGCGTGCCGCGGCTCGCCTTCGGCCTCGGCATCTTCCGAGCTCGGCGCGGCGCGGCTCGACTCGACTCGGCCATGGCGCCGCGCGGCGCGAGTGAGTCGGGGCATGACTCCCGCCGCAAGATCGCCTCGCTGCTCCGCACCACCACCATCCCTCGTCTCCTCCTGCCCGCATCGCCCGCACTGCGCCGCGCCGCTGCGCCGCTGCTGCTGCGATGTTCTCCAGCCTCATCTCGCCGTGCGAGGTCAAGGTGAGCGCGGCGGCGCGGGTGCTGCCAATCTCTGCCTCTGACGCTCCCGCAGCTGCACTTGCTGGCCAACGTGCCCATCCTGCGCCCGCCGCCGGCCACGGCACACGCCGAGGATGCGCCGCCGACGAGCGTCGACGAAGTCGTGCGTGGCCTCGTCGAGCTGAGCGTGCCGCACGCACGCCACATTGCCGGCATCCGCGTGCGCCTGCGCGGCGTGCAGACCATCGGCCTGCTGCCCGACGCGCGTGACGCCGGCAACCCGCTCATCGGCTTCCAGCCCATTGCGTGGGAGGACACGGTGTTCATGGAGAAGGTCGTCGACATTGGCTTCAGCGCGCCGGCGGCGGCGTCGGGCTCGGGCAGCGGCAGCGGTGCACGAGAGGAGCGCGGCCGAGCCCGCTCGCGCCGCACCAGCCCCGTCGCCTCGCGCCGCAGCAGCCCGGCGCCGGGCGGGCAGAGCACGCCGCCGGGCACGGCCAACGGCGACGCCCACCACGGGCCCAGCGGCATTGCAGCCTTCAGCGCCGCCTTTGCGCGCGCCGTGTCGCGCAGCCGGCCCGGCAGCCGGCCGCCGTCGGCGCCCAGCTCGCGCTCGCAGTCGCGCACCAGCTCGCCGACGCGCGGCTCCTCGGCGCACCCGGCGCCGCCGGCGCGCGAGAACTCGGCCGCCTCGGCCTTCTCCGTGTCGCCGCTGCCCAGTCCGGGCGAGTCGCCCGTTCAGCCCGACGCGCGCCTGGCGTCGCACCGCACCGCCTCGCGCCCGCCGCCGCTGCCGTCGCCGGCGTACGAGGAGGAGGAGGGCGCGGCGCCGGCGGCGGCGGGCGCCTCGACGCTCAGCGCACGCACGGCACGACTCAGTCTCGACCGGCACACGAGCAATGCGTCGAGCGGCGAGACGCACGCACGCGGCCGCGCCATGCTCGGCTCGAGCGTGCGCACCGCGTCGCCCGGCCGCGTCGCCTCGCAGCCGCCGGTGCCGCTCGAGGAGCGTGGGCCACGCGGCTCGGGCGGGCGCGGCGGTGTCGCAGCTGCGGCACCACGCAGCGTCAGCGTCGGCTGGCCCTTCTCGCGCGGCGCACGCAGTGCCAGTCGAGGTGCGGCCGCGCGCAATGGCCGCAGCGGCACGCCGGGCCCGTCGGCAGGCGGGCGGAGAGCGCCGAGCGTCGACATTGCCGCGCTGCCGGAGGACGAGGACGAGCAGGGCGAGGGCATTGAGCTGGCCAAGGGCGTGCATGGGTGAGTTGCAGGTGCTGACAAGGGGCACACTCCTTGGCGGTAAGCAACGCTGACCCTTGGTACGCTCCTGTCGCAGCTTTGAGTTCGCATTCATCCTGCCAGCCGACTCGCCGTCGTACGAGCGCAGCCCGTACGGGCGCGTGCGCTACGTCATCAAGGCCACAGCGTACGGCGCCGGGCGAGCGCGCAGCAACGTTGAGGCGTGGCGCGATGTGTTCCCCGTCGGTGAGTGTGTCGCATGTCTGCGCTGTCCGGCACCCGCTGAGCTGCGCGCCTACAGTCAACCCCTCGCCAGACGGCGGGCCCACGCCGCTCACGGTGCTGTACAACGACATTCACCCCACGCTCGGCCTCGTCTCGATCGCATGCACCTCCAACAACATCTCCATCGGCGGCGTCTTCAACATCGACATCCACTCGCCCACGCCGCCTGCCGATCTCGTCGTGTGTCTGGTGCGCGTGAGCCTCGAGACGCAGATTGAGCTGCGCTCGCGCCGCAAGGGCAAGCAGCAGGTGCCGGTGCAAAAGATCAAGATGTGGGAAAAGGGATGGGTCCCCCCCAGGCCAAAGGACCCGCACGGCCCCGGTGATGGCAAGAAGAGCGAGGGTGCGGTGCGCGATCCCAGCCGGGTGAGTGCGACGCTTAGAGGACCGACGCGGCGGACGCCTTGTGCTCATCATGCCGTGTCGCTAGCCCGGTGCCAGCGCCGAAGATGCCTGGAGTGTGCAGGGCATCGCGCGCATGCCGCACGACAACCAGACGCGTGCCTCGACAGTTGCGTGAGTCACGAGTGCTCTTCCTGCCCTATTCCTTCTCAGGCTCACGTCTTCTGCAGCGGAAGCAAGTCGGCCATGCGCTTCTCGCACCAGCTGCTCATCGAGATCGTGCACTCGCGCGCGCCCGAGGCGGGCGAGACGGAGCGCAAGCTCAAGGTGTTTGCGCTCAGGCAGCCCGTGCTGATGTGAGTGGAGTGTCCCGGCTCTTGCGGCGCAGAGCGCAATGCTGACCTGCAGCTTTGACCTCGCAGCCCCAGCTGCTGTGTCGCCTTTGATGCGGTCACGCTGCCAGTGTACACGTCAGTGGGCCCCTTGCCGCATCGCGATGTGGCCGTCGGGCTCACGCGCTCTCTCCTGCAGACCCGAGGACACTGGCCGCTCCGCCTCGATGCCATACGACGTCTCCTCTTCCACGCCCGGCGTGCCTTCGCTTCCAGGCTGGATCAATACCGGCACCGCCGTGCACGGCGCCACGCAGGAGGGCTGCGTGTGCGGCGAGAGCATGCAGGACCTGCAGGAGCGCGAGCAGGCCATGATTCCGTATGCGCGGCACGATGCGCCGCTCGACGGCCTGCGCAACCACGGCAAGATTGGCGAGTACGAGCCGGTGGGCAACGGGCTGGCACGCACGACGAGCCGCAGCAGCACGCGCTCGGCACGCTCGGTCAGCACGACGCGCCGCTCCGTCTCGCGCAGCCTCAGCCGCGCAGCGACGGGCGCCGGCTTTGCGCGCAGCCCCAGTGTGGTGCGCGAGCCGACGAGCGAGGGCGTCATTCGCACCATGTCGCGCGGCTCGCGCGCCCAGGAGGTGCCCGGCGGCGAGGACCTCTCTGGCGCGCCACCCGCGTACGGCGTTGCCGTGCTCGAGGAGGAAGAGGCACGCGGGCGTGCCGCCGGCCGCGCCGCATGAGGCAAGGCAGTCCCTCATGCAAGCATTAGACTGCTCCAACTGCGCTTAGACAGACCATACATCACATCATGCAATCCTAGTCATCGGCTCATGGCTTCATTCTAGTGTGGGTGACCGCGCCGCGCAACGTCTAGACGGCCTGCTCGCCGCTGTACTCCTGCAACCGCTCGCAGGCGCCGGCCCACTCGAGGCTGCCGTCGCAGAGCTCCTTCATCACCGCAATGACATCGTCGATGCTGCCGATGCGCTGCGCCGTCGAGTCGCGCTCGCGGATCGTCATGGTGCCCTTGCTGAGACTGGCAAAGTCGAGCGTGCAGGCGAAGGGCGTGCCCAGCTCGTCGTTGCGCGCATAGCGCCGGCCAATCGTGGCGCTCGAGTCGTCGACGCGGCTCGAGACGCCCGCGGCACGCAGGCGCCGTCCGACGCTCTTGACGAGCGGCGCCAGCTCCTTGTTCGAGCTGATCGGCACGACGAGACACTTGATCGGCGCCACGAGCGGCGCAAGGCTCAGCACGCCGCGGTCCTTGTCGTCGGGCCGCGACCAGAACGAGTGCTCGAGCAGCGCGTAGAAGATGCGGCCGATGCCAAACGACGGCTCAATCACGTTGGGCGTGAACTCGCGCACCGACTCGCGGATCGTCTTGAGCTCGACGCTCACGAGGTCCGGCGTCAGCTCGTACGGGCCGACCTTGGCCGGGCCGTTCTTGAGCTCGCTCTGCAGCTTCTCGAGGCCCGCGGCATCGAGCGCAAGGATGGCCTCCTCGGCCTGCTTGGCCTCCTTCTTGAACTTGGGGCCGAGCGCCTTGCGGTTGATCGACGGCACGAGCTTGTCGTACACCTTTGCCTCCTTGAGCGCCTTCTGCACGACGAGGGCGCGGCCCGTCTTCTTGCTGTGCACCGTCAGGTCGTAGGCGCTGCGGTCTGCGCAGCCGACACACTCGATCCAGCCGTAGCTGGTGTGGATCTCGGCGTCCCAGCAGTCCGAGGCGTAGTGTGCCATCTCGTTGCCCATGTGCTGGCGGAAGCGCAGGCGCGCCGGGTTGATGCCGATCTTGAGCAGGAAGAGGTGGATGCGGCCGAGGAAGTAGCCGAGCGTCTCGTTGTCCACCATGCCGCTCTTGACGGCCTCGCCAATCGAGAGCGTCTTGATGTCCGACTTGCCCGCCTGCTGCACGTCCTTGGGCAGGAACGGCAGCTCGAGGTGCGCCACCTCCTCGAAGCGCTCGTGCGTCTTCTCGAGCGGGTCGACGTAGTGCTCAATCTCGGCCATCGTGAATTCCCTGCAGCGCTGGCGTCAGCGGGTGCTTATCGGCGCTCGGGCCAGCACGGACTCACCGCACGCGCAGCAGACCCGCCCGCGGGCTGATCTCGTTGCGGAAGCTCTTGCCGATGTGCGCACTGGCAAACGGCACGCGGCCATTGTTGAACTCGAGCAGGCGCGAGAAGTTGACAAAGTGGCCCTGCGCCGTCTCGGGCCGCAGGTAGCTGAGAGGCGCGGTCAGCGGCGTGCGTGGGGGCCACAGCGGTGCGCTGCGGCTCACCCCTTGATCTGGCCGGTGGGGCCGATCTGCGTGTCGAACATGAGGTTGAACTCGACGGGGTCCGAGACGTCGTTGCCGCTCTCGGGCGCCTTGATGCCGAACTTCTTGATCAGGCCGCCGAGCTCGGGGCCGGTGTAGTTGTCGATCTGCGGCGCGTCAGCGCGTGCGCCTCGCAGGGCGTGCAGCGCTGCGACTCACCTGCGCCAGCGTGCTCTCGTACTCGGCCACGACGGCATCGTCGAGGCGCTGTGCGACGCTCTTGATCTTCTTCTTCTTGCTCTTGGCCGGCTCCTCGCCGCCCTCGGCGGGCGCACTGGCCGCCGCGGCGGGCGCACCTGCAGCGCCGGCACGCGCCTCCTTGTCGCCGGCGAGGCGCGCCTCGAGCACGCCCTCGACGAGGTGGTCGGCGCGGTAGATCTCGCCGTTCTTCATGTCCTTGCACATCCAGTCGGCAAACTTGTCGACGTGGCCGCTGGTCTTGAGCACCTCGGCGGGCGTCATGATCGTCGTGTCGAGCTCGAGCATCTCCTCCTCGAGGATGAAGTGGTTGCGCCAGACGCTGATGATGTTGCTCTGCAGCGCCGCGCCCGTGGGGCCGTAGTCGAAGAGGCCGGCGACGCCGCCGTAGATCTCAAACGCCTGCGTGTAGAAGAAGCGCTTCGTCGCCAGGCCCTCGAGCTGGGCGCGCTGGAAGGCGTGGGCGTCGCGCTGCACGGCGGGCATGTTGAGGAAGGCCGACGCCTTCTTGGCGTCGACGGGCGCCGGAGCAGCAAGGGCGGCGCTCGTCATGGCGTGCAGCGGCGTGGAGCGGGCGCGGTCGGCGGCGCGGGTGAGGCAGCGGGCGTGCGGCGGCGAGAGACGCGGGCAGGCGGGGCGGGGCAGGCGGACAGCGGCGGCGCAGCTTCGGAGCATCAACTGGCGCAGCAGCGGCAGTGAAGAGGGCGTGGCTGGGAGCGACGGCCGTGGTGGGGTGTGGTGGAGGGGAGAGCAGCGCTGGCGTGCCATGTGCATGGGCGCAGCTCGGGCGAGCTCCTTCTGACTCGCAGCGGAGCGCGCATCACGTGCCGCTCCCACGCCACGCGGCTGGTAGGAAGATTTGGCCGTGCGGCTCGACGTCTGCGGCGCCGCTTCTCGCGCTTCCTTCACCTCACCATCACCACACACCATGTCCGCACCGCAACAGCTGCCCTTCGCCCTCGGCGCCGCGCCGTCCGGCTTCAAGGCCGCCGCGCCCAGCGCTCTCTCGGCGCCCGGCTCGTCGACGCTGCTGCCCGCCGGCGCCGCGTACGCCGCCCACCTGCGCCGCAGCCTCAACCAGCTCAGCTTCGCCGCCGACGACGAGGCCGAGCATGCGCGCCTCGACGCCGAGGCCGCGCTCGGCGACGACGAGGAGATCGTCGACGACATTGGCGACGAGCAGGAGAGCGCGCAGCTGCTCAAGAGCGACCCCAAGGAGTGGAAGGTGCGTGGCGCCAACGGAGAGCAGAGAGCGAAGTGCGGCCACGGACGGAGAAGAAGTGTCTGGAAGGCAAGGCGCAGAAGCAGCTGTGTGTGGGGGAAAGAGATAGATTGCAGCCAGAGAGGCCGTATTGCGAGCAGCGTAGTCATGTGCCAGCCAGCGAGCCCATGCTGCAAGCTCGTAGCACAGCCTGGCCGCGCTGCCAATGGTGTCGCCTAGCACTGCGCAACACCTCGCACACTGCCGTAGGACTGCTTGTGTGGCACTTCTCTGATACCTGCATGCCGCCGTGCTGACGCGCAACGCCCGCGTCTGCAGTCGCAGGACCACTACGCCGTGCTCGGCCTCTCGGCGCTGCGCTGGAAGGCGACGCCGGCGCAGATCAAGCTGGCGCACCGCAAGAAGGTGCTCAAGCACCACCCCGACAAGAAGGCCGGCTCCTCGGGCCTCGCCAACGACGACAGCTTCTTCAAGTGTGTGGCCAAGGCGCACGACGTGCTGAGCAACCCGGAGCGCCGCCGCCAGTTCGACTCCGTCGACGAGGCCATCGACGACGAGAAGGTGCCGAGCGGCAAGGAGCCCGAGAGCAAGTTCTTCGACCTCTGGGCGCCCGTCTTTGCGCGCGAGGCACGCTTCAGCGAGCCCAAGAACGGGCCCGTGCCCGAGCTCGGCGACGTCAACAGCCCGCGCGAGCACGTCGACCGCTTCTACGACTTCTTCTACGGCTTCGACTCGTGGCGCAGCTTCGAGTACCTCGACAAGGACACGAGCGAGGGCGACGAGAAGTAAGTGTGGCGCTGCGATGACTGGTGAGAGACATGGGCTGACTCCTGCTGTAGCCGCGACCACAAGCGCTACATTGAGAAGAAGAACAAGACGGAGCGTGCCCGCAGGAAGAAGGAGGACAACGCCCGCCTGCGCCAGCTCGTCGACAAGGCCCTGAGCCTCGACCCGCGCATCAAGATGTTCAAGCAGCAGGAGAAGGCGGCGCGCGACGCCAAGAAGAACAAGGGCAAGCCCAACGGCGCCGCTGCGGGCCCGTCCGAGGCGGAGAAGAAGGCCAAGGCGGAGGCGGAGGCCAAGGCCAAGGCCGACGCGGCCAAGCAGGAGGAGGACGACAAGGTGCGTCTGCAGAGTGTGCAGGGCAATGCGCATGTGCTGACACGTCTTGCGCTCCGCAGGCTGCTCGCGCCGACGCCAAGAAGGCGCGCGAGGCGGCCAAGAAGAACCTCAAGAAGCACAAGAAGACGATCCGCGACCTCATCACGACGCACAACTACTTCCAGCCGGCCGGCACGGCGGCCTCGGCGTCCGTCATCGAGGCGCAGCTCAATGCCCTCGACGCCATCACCGCCGCCATGGCCGAGGAGCCGGAGAAGGTCGCGGCGCTGCGCCACGCCGCCGAGAAGGCTGGCTCTGCCGACGGCGTCAAGGCGGCGCTGCACGCTGCTGCCTCGGAGAAGGGCGTCGGCGGCGACGCCTTCGCTTAGATGCATCTGCCACGCATGCTCCCTCGTCTACACGGATAATGATATATAGATGAGCTGCAGCTCGTGCGTGGCACGTTTTGGTAGATCGACAGGGGAGGGGCAAAGCGGAGAACGGGCTCAGTCGTGGTTGTGGCCCTCGTGGTCGTTGTCGTCCTGCCGCAGCGCATGGCATCGTCAGCTCCGCGTCGCGTGCTGCCAAGCCGCGCTTCACTCACCACCCACTCCTCGAAGCCGTCGTCGAACAGAGCTTCGAGCGCCTTTTGCTGCGCACACGAGCGTGAGTCGGCGTAGCGAAGGGGGGGGGGCAGTCGACGGCTGGCTGGCTCCTCACCTTCTTCTCCATGGTCTTGAGCTTCTTGCTGTTCATGACCTTCTCCCACTGCGCCCACTCGGCGTCGGTGAGCAGACACTCGTCGAGCGCCTTCCTGATGGCCTTCTCATAGCCGCCGCCCATGCCCGAGCCGATAAAGACGAGCTGCGAAGGGCGTATGAGCATGCGGTGAGAAGAACGGTCTCGCTGCGGTCTGGCTCACCTCTTGCCGGCGGTCCTTCCATGGGCCGGAGAAGTCGCGCTTGATGGCGGCGATGATCTCCTCGTCCTCGGGCCAGTCCTCGTACGGCACCTCGCAGTGCCATCGGCCGCCACCGGTGAGCGTGAGCATGACGCCGGCTGGAGCGTGTCGGCCGTCAGCAGCTAGACGAGGGCGACGGCTGGGCTCTGCTCACCTTGCGACCATTCGCCGTACATCACCGGCCGCGTGGCGAGCCAGACAAAGCCCTTGGAGCGGAGGAGGCCGCCGAAGATCGGCGACACCTTCTTCGAGGCCAGGCGTGCGGCAGGGTTGAGCTGCGGCTGTGCTTCCTCCTTCTCGTCGCTGTCCGCCGCCTCGTCGTCCTCGGCCTCGGCGTCCTTCATCTGCTCGTCATCGCTCTCGTCGTCCTGAGAAAAGTGTCAGCGTACCATGGCAAGGTCAGCAAGCGCTGCACTCACCTCCTTGTCATTAACATCCTCGCCATCGTCCACATACTCGGCCTGGACCACGACAAAATCCTTGCGGATGAGCTGCCAGAGCCGCAGCGGCGCAAATGGTCGGCGAGCGCGGTACACGAACGAGCCGATGCCGTACTCTTCAGTCTCGGGCAGGACTTCCTCGTTGAGAGACCGAAGCCAGCCGGCGCTGGTCACGAGGCGTCAGAGACGGCCTAATGTTTGCAGGCAAGGCGCTCACCCCATCGCGGCCTTGGCGTAGTCGAAGCGGCCGGTGTTGAGGATCTGCTTGAGGTCGACATCGCCGTGCTGCGGCAGAGCGCAGCATCAGCCTCCGAGCTTAGCACCGGCGCCACCTCGGCTTACCTTGGCCGTGAGGCAGATGGCCTCGGGGTTGAGCTTGGCAACCAGGCCTCTGATCCGCTCGACTTCAGCCTCCGAGACGAGGTCCACCTTGCTGATAATGACGACGTTTGCGAATTCGATCTGGTCGACCATCAGGTCACTGCAGAGGGCAAGCGTTAGAAACAGGCGAGCCAAAGGCCAGCCGCTCAATACCACGGACCTGATGCATCTGTCGTCTGGAGCGAGGAGGTCAGCAGGCGGACTGCACTGACACGCAGCGGGACTCACCTTCTTCGGGCACGGTGCCGTCGACGTTGCGGTCGATCAGCTGAGGCCTGTTTCAGCAAGAGGACACCAGACGATCTCCTGGTGCAGCTCACGAAGTCGGCAGTCTCGAAGTCCGCGAAGACATTGACCGCATCGACAAGCGACACCGCGCAGTCGAGACGGCTGACGGTGCTCAGGCCGCCGTCTGCGAGAATCTGGGCCACCTTGGCGTTCAGCTTCGCCGACTCGGGGTCGTTGCGCATCTCCTCCTCCAGGTCGTCTGCTGCTTGGGCATGCATGGCTGCGAATTCGGGGCTGAAGGCCTCGGCCACTTGCTGCGGCTCCGAGATACCGGTCGACTCTGAGTATGCGAAAGGCATCAACGGACGTTCACTTAGCTCAGACAGGCTGCGCACCGATCACAAGGTAGTCAATGTTGTCGCTGTAGCGGCGAGATGTGAGCCAGTGCTCTGCCACATGCTCGCTAGCAGCTCGCTCACTTTTGCGCCAGCTGCGCGACCTCCTCCAGCTGCGTCGCCACATCGTGTCAGCGCAGCAGCGCTGCCTTTTGAACGGCGAGCTCACCAAATCGCCACGAAGAGTGCAGCAGATGCAGCCGTTCTGCATCTGGACGCTGCGATCGGCTACCGTCAGCCCTGCAGCACAAGCACAAAGCTGCAGACGCTGCCTCCGACATGTAGCGCACTTACACCCGCTCCTGCTTTTGCGTCAGGTTTGCATTGCGCAAGATCGACGCGTCGATGTTCAGGGCGCCCATGTCGTTCACGATGACCGCGATGCGGCCGAGACCGTGGTTGGCCGTGAGGATGTGGCGGAGCAGCGTCGTCTTGCCGGCGCCTGCATGGACGAACATCAGCTGCCGCGCTGTCGACTGCCTCGCGTTGCGGACCCACCGAGGAAGCCAGAGAGCAGCGTGACGGGCAGCTTGCCCACTCGCGAGCCCTTGCTGGCCGGAGGCGAGGGTGCCGGGCGGATGTCAACTGAGGGTGCCATAGCGAATGTCAAGATGCGAGAAGGTGAGGCAGCGTGTGATCGTGAAGCAAGGCGTGCACACAGCAGGAAGGTTCGCCCTGGTCACGGTCCCGCCAGCAGGCGAAGTCGCTGAGCCGCAGGAGTCTGATGAGAGTCGGGGCAGAGACTCGACTCGCCTGCACGCCTCGACACACCTCCTCCTCTGAAGCATCGAGCAAAGCTCTCCTTCAGAGGCGTCGCGGCACTGAGGACCTGCGCGGTGATGCTGGAGCCGGCATCGGGAGGTGCAGCTGAGCGGCAGCCGTCCCGCCAGGCCGGCCAATCGCACAGCTTGCATTTGTGTGGTCACGCGATGAGCACCTGTGAGGTACCTGTGATTAGTTCGCTCCGGGTGGAAGCCACCCCTGACTGCCGAGAGGAGCACATGGTCTCGGCGCTGCCCAAGGCACCGGCACGGACACGACGCGCCGCAGCACCGGTGAGGTCCTCGCTGATAACCGCTGACGCCGCGCGCGCCTGCCGCAAATGCAGGCGCTCGCGTTGGCCCAGGGCTGCCGTGTGCCTGTCGCAGCCGTTCTGCTGGACTCCATGCAGCATGTGTGCCTGCGGCCAGCCGACGGATCCATCGATCGGCAAAGGACTGCTATACGCCGCGCTGCTGCTCGTGGCGGACGGCTCCCAGCAGCTGCGGTATGGCAAGCATCTAGATCGTCCGTCTCGCTGCGATCGCCCGGGTAAAGCATGTATTTGCATGTGCTGTGCGCGTCCACAGGCCTCTATCGTGGCCGGTCTGCCTGTGCTCCGCCATCGCTGCCCTCTGATTCAGCGCGCTTGACAAGCGCGGTCTGCGCCGCCTTCTGTCGGGCAGCTGCCGGCACCGGAGAGCTTTCACCGTCCTCATCCTCCTCCGAAGGCTCGAAGCCTGCAGCGTGCATGTACAGCGGGCCTCGTCGAGAGTGCATCTGTCCTCGCGAGATGGCTGCTGCTGCCGGCGCGTAGAGGCCATTCTCCTGCTGCGAGCTCGACGCGTGGCGCGCCGCTTCGTCGTCAGCGACTGACAAGCCGCGGCCGCGGCCCAGCGAGGACGAGTTCCAGGCGTAGGCGGCTCCATGTGCGTTGAGAGCATCCGAGCTCGACATGCCGCCGCCGATGCCCATGCCCTCGGCATCAAGCCACGGTTCCTGCACCGACGAGCGGTCGCGCTTGCGCATGCGCGCGCCCCACCACGAGGGCACGACGTTCTGGCGTCCGCGGCCGCCCGTCATGAGGCCCACGCGCCGGGCGCGCTCGAGCTTGCGGTGCCCGATCGTCGCAACGATGAAGACCGAGGCGAAGGCCGCGCCGGTGGCGCCGTAGAACGCAATCGGGCCCTGCTCAAAGCCAGAGATCAAGTTCATGCCGAAGCTGTGCCACGCTGTGTGAGCCGAGGCCGGGCTGCTACACTCTTGTGGCAAGACTCACAGGCCAGCCCAAAGCGTTCCGGCGCTGACGCCGAGGGTGGTGATCGACGTGCGCAGGTCGAGGGCGAGCAGGTTGTTGCGGTTCGAGTCGAGGATCAGGTCGATGATCTCGCGGGTCTGCCAGAGGGTGCGCGAGGTGAGCAGGCAGCGGGCGCGGCGGCAGCGGCCGACGCACATTGTTGATATTGGACGACATTGCATCGCCTTCCGCGATGAGCTCCTCGACCTGATTGTCGAAGCTCTCGAGCAGCAGCTCGAGCTCCTGATGCCGCCCGGTGCCCGTACGGCGCTCGGTGAGGTACATCTGCTCCATGTCCAAGTCGTCCTCGAGCAGGTCGCGCACGCACCTGGCCGTGCCGCGGCAGCGCGCATCGAAGGCACGCAGCTTGCGCGTATAGAGCAGCAGCGCCAGCAGGCGGTCGCGGTCGATGTTTGCTTCGAGCGCATTCAGAAGCGAGCTGATGAGCCCGCGCAGCATCGCTACCTCTGAGCTCAGCGCCGAAAGCACGGAGGACAGGATGGACTCGAGCGCCCGGAACTCGTACGGCAGCGTGGTGGGCGCCGAGAGCGAGAGGTTGTGTGTGAGGGCGTAGATGAAGGCCGAGTGCAGCGCTGTGTCTGTCGAGCCGAAGCTGGTAGCGGACATGCGATGTCAGCAGCTGGACGCCCTGCCAGGCGCAGCAGCGCGACGCAGCTCGACGCTGAGGAGACAGCGTCGCTCTCTAGCACAGCGGCCTCCACTGCTGAACCCTGCTGGCGGATGCTAAGCTCTCGCCATGCTCTATCAACGCATCCCGCGCGCCACATCCACCATGTGTTGCTCCTCCTGCGGCAACTCACGAGTCAAACAGCAGCACCTGATCCTTCTTCACGAGTGCCCGCACATGCAGCACATTGACCAGGAACGCCTCATCCCGCACCAAGATCGTCGGCACCACGTTCGGCACGCGCGAGTCGACCTTGCGCAAGTCTCGCGGCTCGAGATGATGCTCTGCGCAGAGCGCGGCGCGCGAGAAGGTGCCGGAGATGACCTTGACACTGCCGCTGGCGTCGAGCACGGTGCAGCGCAGCGGCAGCGGCGGTGGCAGCGAAGGCGTGGCGAGCGAGGCGGTGTGCAGCGGCCGGGCCACCAGCGAGAGCCGCAGAGGCCGCGGTACGCTGCGCAGCGAGGCGAGCTGGCCAGTGGATGACGCAGTGCCAGAGCGCCTGGAAGATCCCGGCTGTGTGCGAGGCGTGTTCGGCGCCACTAGTCCCGCATCAGCAACGACCGTGCGCGCTCGCGACGCTGACGGACCAGCTTTGAGGGCTAAGAGCGCCGCTGAGTGCTCAGGCTTGGCATCCGAGCGTGATCGCCGTGGCGTCGAGAGCGCAGCTGCTCCTGGTGGTGCAGTCGCCGTCAGGCGCGCTGCAGCATGCCGCACGGCCCGCAGACTCGGTCCGGCAAGCGACATTGTGGGGACGCGAGTGATGCTCGTCCAGCGCCGACGCAGGACCAAGTCAGGTGTGGCAGTCACGCCCGAGAGCCGAGGACCGAAGCAGCGTGCGGGCGTTGGCGGCGTGAGGAGGGCGCAGCGGGACGATGAGGGCGTGGATGAGGAAAGAGAAGGCGCAAGTCAGCAGCTCCACCTCGGGACGCGGCGCGGCGGCGCGGCGCAGCTGCGCCTTTCTGCGTCATCCGGCGCCTGTTCCCACGCCCACCACCGCGGCGCAGCAGGGTCCGCTGGAAACGCACCGCCCTCGCACCAGGCCCAGCGCCTCAGATGATGTGTCGCAGTCAGAGAGGGTGTGGTTTGCCGTCAGAAAGAAACTGGCTGGGCGTTCTCTGCTTCTCTGCAAGCAGACGCCAAGCCCAGGCGCTGTCGAGCTTGATGAGCGTTCGCGAGAGTGCATCTCAGCCGCCGGCACGCGTCTCCTCGCGCGCAGAGCCGCCAGTCCCTGATGCCGCTGATTGTCCCTGGCCTTTGAGGCTGTGCTACTTTTGCAGCTTGCCTAGCTCACCAGTCCGAGCTCACCTATGTAGCTTTCATGCTCTGCCAGCTGACAGCGCTAGACGACGGCAACAGCGTCGAGTGCGGCGTCGGAAGCAGCTTCGGCAGGCGGCCGGCGGTGCTTGACGCGGCGGCGGCGCGTGCGGCGGCGCACGCTCAACGCGCGCGTCCGACGGGGCTCGTCAACGGTCGCGCCTCTGCGCCGCTCAAAGGCACGGACAAGCGCTGCAGAACGCCGAGAGGGCAGACAGCATGACTGCTTCAGGCAGGTCCGCAGCCTGTCCGTTGCGCCACATGCTTCTCCCGACGGCGAGTGCGGCTGTGCAGCGCCTGTGCCCGTCGGAGCATGCGCCGCGTTGGAGGTGCCTCCGCCGCGCGCCCGTTGAACATCCACCGCCGCACGGCTCTCGCCTCGGCGTGCATACGCCATGTAGCCTCACCTGCCCTTCTCGGAAGCCCGTGTGCCTGCGTTGACACTTGCGCTACGCCTGCGTCGGCACCAGCGCCAGGTACAGCTGCAGCGCATGCATCACAGCTGCGGGCCGTGCCAGGGCGCCAGAGCCGGAGGCGGGCGGCGGGCGCAGAGGGCTCGGCGCTTGCGCCCGATGCGCACGGCCAAGGGAAGCCTCCGGCGAGCGGCGCCAGAAGCGGCGTCAGCACCGTCTTGCCCTGATGCCTGTTCCGCTGCGGCTGACAGCGGCTGCCCTGCGCCGGAAGCACGGCTGCTGCTGAGCGTGAACCGGGCACATGCGCTCGTTGCGGCGGGCCGTTCGGAGGTGGGAGAGCGCTCACAGGGTACAAGAGGGAGCGTGGCACCGGCGAGCCGCCTCTTGCCGCCCATCTCTCTCCCAATCTTCGGCCCGGTCTTCTCTCTCCCGCTCGCGACTTCACTCCGCTGCACGCTGGCTCGTGTACGCCCATCTTCGACCCGTCACTTCATCGCCTCCAACTCGCTCGCTGCTCCTCGGTCCCTCTCCGGCCCGCGCTCCAAGCGCCCACTACCGCCTCGTCAGGCCCCTACTCTTCTTTCACCGACCAACCAACATGGTCTACCTCCGCGCACTCCTTGTCGGCGCGCTGCTCGGCGCCCACGCTGCCGCCGGTGCCTCACTGCCAGTCAGCGACAGCGCCCCCCTGCGTGCCTCTTATGCCGACGGTGCTGCCGGTGCCAAGGTCGTGCTGGCCGCCGACCGCGACTCGCCGCGCCGCCGTGCCACTGCCGCCGCTGAGGCACAGGCTGCTGCCGCCGCCCAACTGCCTCCGATGCGCCTGGCGCCCATCTACCCGACGACGACGACGAGTGCGGTGCTCGACGTGCCCACCAAGGTGCCTGGCCCGGCGGTCAATGTCGTGCCGCAGGCTCGTCCATGGCAGTCCGAGGGCGGCCCGGTCGCCTACCCAGCCCCCACGGGCACCGCCGAGAGCCCGACACCCGCGTCGGCGCACACGTTCAAGGCGCAGCAGACCGGTCCTGCCGGCTGGCAGCTCGTCTCCAAGAGCGGCGGCAAGGCGGCCTACAAGCTCAACACCGGTCCGCCGGGCCTCATCCTCAAGTCCAACAATCCCTCGTACGGGCCGGGCGAGGTGCGCGCCGACCTCGTCAAGATCATGAAGTGGGCGTACGACGACGGCAACCTCACGCCCGACGAGATGGACGAGACGACGGCGGCCATCATGAGCGCCGCCCAGCGCTACTATCCCGACGTGCCCACGCGCGCCATGTGCCGCATCATCATGGCCGACATCAAGGCCGAGAGCGACTTCAACCCGCGCCAGCGCTCGCCCGGCCGTCTCGACTCCGGCGATGCCCTGGGCCTCATGCAGATCTCGCTCGGCACCGACGAGCTGCCGCTGTGGCAGCAGCACGCGCGCGTCTCCAATAACACCTGGAGCTGGGCCTTCCCCGCCGCCGGCGGCGACAACGGCATCCTCTACGACTGGCCGACGGGCAAGCAGATGCGCCTCGGCACACTGCAGGAGGAGGACCTCTTCCGTCCCTGGCTCAACATCCACCTCGCCAGCTGGATCCAGAGCAACCTGGCGCGCACGTCGAGCAACGACCCGTACTACTGGGACGGCATCCTCGCCGCGACGAAGAGCGGCAACAAGGCCGCCACGGACGCGGCGCTTGTTGGCACGGGTCTCTCGCGCACGCCGCTCACCGGCCTCGGCTCCTGGGTCGCCGGCCCCGCATCGAGCGGGCCCGGCGGCTACGACCAGGTCGCAGACGAGATCTCCGGCCAGTACTTCGACGCCATCCTCGAGGGCGTGAGTGTGCTGTACGGCAAGCGCATGGGCACCGACTGGCTCGACAGCTGGACTCTCACCGCCGGCCTCGTCGACTACCGCTGAGCTCCCGCGCCCGTCTGCCGGTCCTCTTCTCGCTGCCTCGCGACCGTCTCCTCCTCATCCTGTATCCATACCACCTACACGTACGCCTTCCATGGCCCGCACGCAATACACATACTAGCGCGCACCTGCTGGTCGAGAGTGATGCGATTGGTGATCGAGCGAAACGGTGCTTGTGGCGAGCAAAGTGTGATTAGTGTACAGCGGAAGCGGGCGGGACGGCAGGAGGCGCCGTGCGCAGTCGAGCGGACGGGATGTGCGCCTGCGCAGCCAGCTTTTGAGGACGAGCGTGCCTCGCACGCGGCGACGGAGAGCGGCGTGAGGGCCTTCACGATGTGGCGGCAGGTTGGATGCACGTTATGGCATCGCCTTTCAGCAGGATCCGGCCTGGGAAGCGGAGTCAGCAGGCTGCAGGCTAGCAGACTAGGGAAAGGCTGCAAAGCAGCGCAGCGGTTGATGCTGCGCTTGCTGGCGGAACGAACGCAGAGGCTGTCACCCATCAACGCTGCAGCAGTCTAAAGCAGCCACTCGCCAAGTATCCCCAGCGGCGAAGCTCACGCCAGATCTGCTTTCGGCTGGCGGCTCTACCGCGACAACTGCCCGCTGCTCCGACGCCGAGGCGCAGGCGGCCTTGTGGCACCAGCACGCTCAGGCACGCAACCTGAGCACATTCGGAAGCACGGCAGGTCTGCCTGCCCGCGCAGCTCCTGAAGTGCGCCACCCCTCGCCGCCGGAATGCGCTCCTTGCGCTGAGCCGCGTCCGCTTCGCGCGCCGACTCACCGAGTGGGTTGCGCGTGCCCGCCTTCTCCTTCCGGATGTAGACCTCCTCCGCCTCTGCCATGGTCACGTTCATGAACTCGTCGAAGCCCTGAGGGGAGGCGCAGAGGTGTCAGCTAGGGCCCTCGCTGAGGAGAGGCGCTGCGCATGCTCGAGAGCTGGGCGAATGCCTGGCCACCCGTCGGGCAGACAGCGATCTCCATCTGGCACAAGTCTCTGGCGGGCAGGCGACAGAAGGCAAGCTGCTGTGCCGTCCGGCGGACGAAGACCAGCAGAAGCATACAGCGCGTGCTTGCTGACACGCCGCTTTGAACCCTTCCTGACAAGAGGCGCTGTGCTTGCCAACAGCGTCCGGCGGCAGGCAGCATGAGCGACGCGCAGCAGTTGCGCGCCGCTGCTTCTTCACGCTGCAAGGAGCGCAGCGAGGGAGTGCCCGGCTCTCGTCGCCCTGCAGCGGACAGAGGTTCGCTGGAGACCAGGCTTCGAGACCCGCTGCGCTGGGCGCAAGGCACGCCGTGTCTGGCCTCGCGAGGTCTAGACACCTCGGCTGCTCGCTGGCCGCGATGCTTGATCTGCGCACGCGACCGCTGCCGAGCAGTGCCCTGCCGCCCTAGCGCGACAGCACCGCAGATGTGCTGCGCAGCATCCCCTGTGCTCCTCCCATCGTACTGCTTCCGACATGCGGCTCACAATGATGCAGCCCTCGATGCGCATGTCGGTGTTGTCGTAGAGCCAGAGGCTGACGCGCGTCTTCTGCTGCAGGTACTTGAAGATGACGTTGATGGGCTGCACCATCACGCGCTGCTGGCGGGACCCCATGCTGGGCGAGAGAAGCGAGGATGGACGAGAGAGGGTGAGGTGGATGCGGGGTGTGAGAGTCGAGATGGAGGCGGCGCAGGCGGCGGCGGCGTGTGAGGCTTCTAGCGGCTGGCGACGGGCGCGCGTTACGTAAGCGGCGCGCGAGTCGTGAGACATGCGCCCTGCTCTGGCCGCGCTGGAGCGTGCGCGACTGCAGAGTGCGCTTCTCAAGGCGCACCGCCCTCCTTCCGCCCTACCACCACCACCCACCATGGCCGACCTCGCCGCGCTCCTCGCCCCGCTGAGCCTCGCGCCGCGCGAGCACGCCGCCGCCGCCTCGCCGGCCGAGTGGGCCGCGGCGCTCGAGTCGCTCGGCGCGCCGCACACGCCGACAAAGACGCTGCTCTTCAAGCCCAAGGCGGCCGGCAAGACGGCCGATGCGCCGCCGCTCGTGCTGCTCTTCGCCCACGCCGACACGCAGACGCCCAGCGGCGCGCTCGCCAAGCACCTCGGCTTCAAGGAGATGCGTCTCGCCGCCGAAGACGCCATGCGCGCCGCGCTCAATGCCGGCAAGGATGACAGTGCGTGATGTGCGAGGGCGTGGCGGATAAGAGAGATGGCGTCGTGAGCACGGTGGAGAATGGCAGCGAGGAGAAGAGAGGGATAGAGACGAGGTGACCAGAGGGACAGCGATCAGCAGTCGAGAACAATGGCGACACGCCGAGCCGCACCATGCGCTAGCTCCGCAGCTGCTCACTCGTGTCCCTGCCCGCAGTCTCGCCGATCTCGCTCACGTCTGCCAATGCGCCCGGCGGCGCACAGCCCGTGCTGCTCGTGCTCGACTCGCGCCTGCAGGCGACGAGCGATGCCGCGGCCCACGCGCGCTCGACGGCCTCGAGCGTGCTGATTGGCGGCGCGCAGGTGCTGGAGTTCGCGCAAGCGGCGGGCGTCGAGAGCAAGGTGGTGGACTTTGAGGCGCTGGCGAGGTGAGTGCAGCAGCTGGATAGGCAGGCTCGGCGTCTCACCTCTTTCTGGCGTAGCGCTGCCCCGCCGGCCGCTGCGCCCAAGGCGGCTGCTGCGCCCAAGGCGCCCAAGGCCTCGGCTGCAGCGCTCCGCGAGGAGACGCGCAACCCCGACGCCGAGCTCATCGGCATCACGACGCTCAAGGCGGGCGACTTCAGCGACTGGTACCAGCAGGTGCTGCGCAAGGGCGACATGCTCGACTACTACGACGTCAGCGGCTGCTACATTCTCAAGCCGTGGAGCTACTTTGTGTGGCAGAGCATCCAGACATGGTTCGACGCCAAGATCAAGGAGCTGGGCGTTGAGAACTGCTACTTCCCCATGTTCGTCAGCTCCGACGTGCTCGAGCGCGAGAAGGACCACATCGAGGGCTTCGCGCCCGAGGTCGCCTGGGTCACGCGCGCCGGCTCGTCGGAGCTCGAGAAGCCCGTGGCGATCCGCCCGACGTCGGAGACGGTCATGTACCCCTACTACGCCAAGTGGATCCGCAGCCACCGCGACCTGCCGCTGAAGCTCAACCAGTGGAACAGCGTCGTGCGCTGGGAGTTCAAGCACCCGCAGCCGTTCCTGCGCACGCGCGAGTTCCTCTGGCAGGAGGGCCACACGGCGCACCTGACGCTCAAGGACGCCGACACCGAGGTGCGGCAGATCCTCGAGTACTACCGGCGCGTATACGAGGAGCTGCTGGCCGTGCCCGTCGTGCCCGGTGTCAAGTCGGAGAAGGAGAAGTTCGCCGGCGGCTACTACACGACGACGGTCGAGGGCTTCATCCCCACGACGGGCCGCGGCATCCAGGGCGGCACGTCGCACTGCCTCGGCCAGAACTTCTCCAAGATGTTCAACATTGCCGTCGAGGACCCGGCCGCGCCGCCGGAGCACCGCGGCAAGCCCGAGGGCAAGCTGCACGTCTGGCAGAACTCGTGGGGCCTGAGCACGCGCACCATCGGCGTCATGGTCATGGTGCACGGCGACGACAAGGGCCTCGTGATGCCGCCGCGCGTCTCGTCGATCCAGGTCGTGGTCATTCCGTGCGGCCTCAACGCCAAGATGACGCCCAAGGAGCGGGACGTAATCCTTGACGCCTGCGCCAACCTGGAGAAGACGCTCAAGGGCGCCGGCATCCGCGCCAAGGCCGACCTGCGCGAGGGCTACAACCCGGGCTTCAAGTTTGCCGACTGGGAGATGCGCGGTGTGCCGCTGCGTCTCGAGGTGGGCCCCAAGGACCTGGAGAAGTCGCAGGTCTTCTCCTGCCGCCGTGACGACGGCGCGCGCGCTGCCATCCCGAGCGCTGAGCTGCTCGAGCGCGTGCCGAAGATCCTCGACTCCATCCACGACGACATGTACCGCCGCGCCGACGACGAGTACCGCTCGCGCCGGCGCGTTGTGACGGAGTGGGCCGACTTCACGAAGAACCTGAACCAGAAGTGCCACGTGGTGATCCCGTGGTGCGAGGTGGAGGCGTGCGAGGACGCCATCAAGGACCGCAGTGCACGCGTGTGAGTCGATCCTGCGCACGTGCCACACACCAGGCTGACACACGCTCCTGCAGCGCCGAGGAGGGCGAGGAGGTGGACGAGCGCGCGCCGTCGATGGGCGCAAAGTCGCTCTGCATTCCCTTCGACCAGGCGCAGTTCCCGAGCATCGAGGGCCGCAAGTGCCCGCAGTGCGGCGTCGACGCCAAGCGGTGGACCATGTTCGGCCGGTGCGTGCAGTGCCCGCCTCCTTCGCGTCTGCTGTCGTGCTCACGTTTTTCCCACTCGCAGGAGCTACTGATCTGGCCGCGAGGGGCTGCACACATGCGAGAGCGGGGCAGCGCAGGGACATAGAGAGCATGTGATGAACTAATGATACAGCTGAGGGGTGACGTGCGAGCAGACCAAGATGCGAAGGAAGAGCAGGGAGTGCGGGCGTCATGGCAGTGGATGCGCTATGTAGATGTCCGCAGCCTTGGCGGGCTGCGCGCCATCGACGAGCATGCTCTGCGGGTTGCGGAAGACATTGCCGGCGTCCAGCTGGCGCTTGAGGCGTTCGAGGCGTGGCGCATTGTCGCCGTAGTAGAGCGAGCGCCACTGGTCCGCCGGCAGCGTCGCCTCGGCGTAGCAGGCAAAGCCGGCGCGCCCGATGCCGTCGGAGCGCAGCGCCTGCTGGAAGACGGCATCGAGCTCGTCAAGCGTCTCGCGCGCCGCGCCGCCCAGGTGCTGCGTGCCCGCCGTGCCGACGGTGCTCTGCACCAGCCAGGTGCCGTCGCGGTGCGGCAGGGCGCTCTGCGCCACCATGTCGGGCGCCGCGTGCCGTGCATTGCCGGCGCCGCCGCCGAACATCTCCATGTAGACGTTCCACATCCAGCCCTGGCCCAGCTGCTCGCGATGCTGCGAGGCGCGCCGCCAGATCGTCTCAAAGACGGGGTTGAGCGCGTTGCGCGAGAGTGCCTGCTGGCCCAGCGAGAGCGACGTGCGCGAGACGAAGTTGTTGTGCGCCAGCCGCTCGGCCTGCGTGTCGAGCTTGTTGCCGGCCTGTCCGAAGTCGTCCCACTCCTCCATCAGCGCGAGGAAGGACATCTCGCGCTCGGTGCGCACGTCGGGCGGCGGGGCGTTGCGCGAGCGCAGCGCCGCCAGCAGACGCTCCCACTGCGGCGTGTAGGCGCCCAGCGCACCGCCGTAGATGCCGCGCAGGTGCACCGAGACGACGCCGCCGCGCGGGTCGTTGGGCGTCGGCGCCTGGAACTGCAGGTGGAAGCCGAGCTCGGGCGGCAGACGTGCATCGAGAGCAAAGTCCTGCACGGCCTCGACGAGGCGCGTCAGGTCCGCCGGCGAGCGTAGCGACGGCGACCAACGGTACTCGATGAACACGCCGGGCGGACTGGCGTCGTACGTAGAGAACTCGAAGCGCGTGACGATGCCAAAGTAGGCGCCTGCGCCGCGCAGCGCCCACCACAGCTCGGCATTCTCGGTGGCCGAGGCGCGCACGAGGGTGCTGTTGGCCAGCACGACGTCGGCGGCGACGATGTTGTCGGCCGTCATGCCCCAGCGGCGCGACGTGGGGCCGAAGCCGCCGCAGAGGGCGTGGCCGCCGACGCCGACGGGCGGACATGTGCCGTGCGGCATGGCGCGGCGGCCCTGTGCCCAGAGCGCCTTGACGACGTCGCCGAGACGTGCGCCTGGCTCGACGTGCGCCACGTCGCCCTCGAGACGCACGTCGGCCAGCTGCCCGACATCGACGACCAGGCTGCCGTCCTGTCCCCCGCTGCCGTGCCCCACGAAGCTGTGCCCGCCGCTGCGTGCAGCAACAGCGACGCCGTACTGGGCGCCACAGGCAACAGCTGCCTGGACGTCGCCAGCGCTCTGCGCGTACACGATGGCGGCGGGGTGGAAGTGGAAGCGCATGTTGTCGCTCTGCGCCGCGTCCCAGTACGCCTCGCTGCTGTTGCGTGCCGCCGTCATGAAGACGAGCGCCTTCTGGTCAAGACACTGGCTCAGCGCTGCTGCCTGTCTCTCCATCTGCTCGTCGTGCTCGCTGTGGCGGCGCTGCAGCGGCATGCCGGAGCGCGTGTAGGCAAAGCGCTGCCCGCTGCCCGGCGGCCACGAGGCGACGCTGCGCTGCCACGCCGGCGCCACATGCATGGCTGCTGCGCCGGGCGAGAGCAGCAGGCCCGCCAGCACCGCCGCGACGACAGCGGCGAGCGGGTGCAGCATGGCGCTGGCGGCGTGGGGGGGTGCGTGTGGGGTGCGGAGGACTGCGGCCAGCGCAGTGTGCGAGCGAGGTGCGGAGAGCGATGTGAGTGCTGGGTATGGGTGTGTGGTGGACTGGCTGGTGGTGGTCGTATGGAAAGAGGCGAGCTCGCCATGTGCCGCTGCCGATGCCGGCAGCTCCACCATGGTGAGGCAGCGCATGCTTCGCGATGGCGGCGGTTGGGTGGCGGCGCGGCGCGGCGCCTCTCGCGCCTGCCCTCGGCGCAGCGCCCCGCGTGTTGGCCCGCGGCGGGCGCTAGCGCACCACATGGCGCTGCGCCCGCCGCTCCCCCTCCGGCGCCGGAGCATTTCCGCTGTCCGGACGGCAGCAAGGTGAGGCTGATGCTGAAGTGAGCGGAAGTCTCGAGCCGTCAGCATGCTAAGCCCAGGAGAGGGTGAGTCTGAGAGTCTGAGTGACGTTTCTTCGGGCGAGGCGAAAGAGGCAGCTCACCGTGCCTCGGCATGGCGGCGGGAAGAACGCGCGCGCCCTCGCTGCACCAAAGGCTCCGAGCGCAAGTCTACAGCTCCGCCGCGAGCGTCCAGCAGCGACCAGCCAGCGTCAAATGCTGCACAGCGGCAACACATCGGCCGAAGGGCCAAGGCACAGCTCACTCTGCGACGGAGGTGCCGGACACCGAGAGCGTCCACAGGCGTGGGAGCAGCGGCGGCGCTAATTAGTGTCGCCCGCAGCCGAGACTCTCTCGCAGATAGGGGCCATACAGATGCGCCGTGCGAGAGACGGCCTGGACTGCTGGAGACTGCTTGAGTCGTGCTGCTGCAACATTGACGGAGCAAGGCGCGAGCCTGCGATGTGGACGTGCTGTGTGCGGTGCGTGCAGCTGTGGGGCGCGGAGAGCATCACGCGGCGGTGTGTTGGCCCCGCGCGGCCTGCAGCGTGAGAGGGGCAAGCAGGGCGCGCGAGGCGAGTCGCCTGCGGCTGATGATGCGGCCGTGCTTCAGCGCTTGCTGCCCCGCCCGCCGCGCTTCACGTTCTTCCTTCGCCTCCTCATCCGCGCCTCGGCGCCCGCTCTCATCCCAGCATGCCTGTCCCTCCCGCTCCGGCCTCCAGCGCCGGCGCCGCCTCGCCGCCCATCGGCAGCGGCAGCGGCGTGCTGCCGGCGCCCGCGCCGCACTCGACGCTCGCCGCCCAGGTCGCTGCCACACGCCAGTGGCGCGCCGACCTGCGCGACCTGCACACGCATGCGCAGAGCCGCTTTGCGGACGTCTGCTGGGCGCGGCCGGGAGAGGAGCATGGCGAGATCTGGGCGCACAAGGGTGAGTGTCGCGGCTGCGAGCAGAGGAGCAGTGGTGAGAGCTGCGAAGGAAGAGGCGTGATGAAGCGGGCGAGGGCCATGCCGCTGTTCCTCTCTTCGTTGCAACGCACGGCAGCGCCTGCAATGAGGAGCAGCTGGCTTATGTGTGCGTCTCATCCCGGCTCGCTGACCTCGCCTTGCGCCTCCAGCTGTGCTCTATGCCCGCGCGCCCAACACCTTCCAGGCGCGCTACCTGCACCTGCGCTCGCCGCTCGCCAACCTCGGCGAGGCAGCAGCGAGCGCTAGCAGCGTTTCGCTGCCGTCGCTGCGCGCCACCTCGCCCGGCGGCGCGTCGCAGCACAGCGTCGAGGTGCTGAGCGGCAGCGAGACGGGCTCGGTGCGCAGCGCCAGCGGCAGCACCCGGCGCGGCAGCCGCCTGCGGGGCGCGGCGCCGCCGAGCAGCTTCAGCATGGCACGCCTCGGCAGCCGCGGCGCCGGCTCTAGCAGCCGCAGCAGCGCCAGCAGCGCAGCGGGCAGCGGCGATGAGAGCGACTCGACGGCCGGCGGACACTCGGTGCGGCGTAAGCGCAGCGCCCTCACACCCGCCTCTGCAGCCCTGGCGGCGGGCCGCTCCATCTCGCGGCCTCAGTCGCGCGACAGCGTGGCTTCGTCGGCGCGCTCGTCGTTCTCGACGCCGCGCGGCGCCATCGACTCTGACCTCGAGTCGCTGGGCGGCGACAGCATCGTCAGTCATGCCAGCACGCTGCGTGCGCCACTGCCGCTGGGCGAGATTTCGCCAGAGTTCTTCGAGGCGACGCTGGAGTATCTCTACACGGCCGAGGAGAGCATGGTCGATGCGTTCGAGTTCCTGTACGAGGACCGCGTAGCGCTGGCAGGGCAGCCCGAGGAGCGCCTCGAGAAGCTGCGGCAGGACTTTGTCTTCATGTGGCGCAGCCGGCTGTACGCCGACGTGCGCATCGTGCTCGACGGCGCGGCGCTGGGCGAGGAGCCGATGCGCCCGCGGACGATTCCGGACAACGCCTCGGTCCTCTCTATGGCCGTGACGATGACAGACGGCGGCCATGGCGACGAGGAGGCGCAAGGCGAGGACGGCGCTGCGGCCGTGTTCAGCAGCCATCGTATGGTCCTCGCCTCTCGTAGCCCTTACTTCGCCGCACAGCTCCTTGGCCCGTACGCCGATTCAGACACCGACGAGATCCGCCTGCCCTCGCCGCCATTCACGCCCGCCTCGCTGCACTTCACGCTTGGCTTCATCTACACGGGCACCCTCTTCTTCTCGAACCGCACCTTCGACCTCGCCACTGCATTCCAGCTCTGGCGTGCAGGCGCCTACCTCCAGATCGACACGCTGCAGGCGCTCGTCAGCTCACTCATTGCCGCCGACTTTTGCCACGGCTTCGCATGCTCTCCACCCTGCAAGACGTGCGTCAAGCGCGTGCCGCGGACCCTCGCCTTCGCATCTGCACCGGACGTCGGCGATGCGCATCTGCGCGACTGCGCGCGGCACGCCGTCAGCGGGCGTCACTTTGGCGTGTACTGGGCGCGCGACGTGGGTTCGCTCGACTACGCCGCACGCGGCGCTCTCGTCGCCGACGTATGCGCACGCATCGATGCACAGCCGGCGCAGTGCATCAACGTGCTGGGCCAGCTGTCCGCCGTCGGCTCGCGCATCGACCGCGAGCGCTCCAGCGCCTGGGTCGATGCACTGCGCTGGATGTGCGAGAGCGTCGAGGCGCACATCCGCGGCGTGCTCGAGCCGCACTTCGCCACCATCGTCGCCGGCACCGAGTGGCTTGAGCTGCTCGACGGCGTCGGCTTTGCGCACGACGTGCTCGAGAAGGTCCTCGCCCTGCTGGTCGACTCGCTCAATGAGCGACGCGCAGCGCTCACCTACCAGACGCTCGTGGGCCAAGTGCTGCTGCGCGACGAAGGACCGCCGCCCGAGGGTCTGCCGCGTCGCCTGGTCGAAGAGGCGCGCGACGCCACGCTGCGCTACCTGCGCAAGCGATGGGTCAACGTGCGTGCTCTCTCGGGCTTCAACGCACTCGAGAAGTGGGCACTCAAGGAGCTCAGCCACGAGCTCGACGTGCCGGCTGCCGATCTGCTGCTCCCTGAGGTCGAGCCGCTCCCGGAGGCGCTGCGCACGCGCACCGGCCTCAAGCCCGTCATGCCGAAGCGCAAGGTCGATGACGAGGACAATGTCGGGCCGATCAATCTGCGCGCCGCAGTCGTCAACCGCGCTGCGGCGCGTGCCGCGGTCACGCACGGCTTCCGCTCCGGCACGCAGGCCACCTACTCGCCGCCCCAGCCCTCGGTCTCGGTCATGTCGCGCAGCCGTGGTGCGCCCGTAGTGCGTACGCCGAGCTCGAGCACCACCTCGTCTGTCTCCACGCGAGAGAGCACCACAAGCGGCGTGTCGCGCTCTCGTGAAACCAGTGCCTCAAGTCAGCCTACTGCGACCGCGCCCACTCCTGCGATGCGCACCACTTCCAGGACTGCGAGCAGCGCTGCGCCATCAGCCGCAAAAATGAGTGCCGATGCGCGAGTCCGCCGCATCGCTTCCAGCTCCGGGGCATCCGACAGCCGCGCAGCCTCGACAGGCGCTCGCACGCCGACTGCAAGCCTGCGCTCTGTCCGCTCCAACCTCGCTCCTGTGGCTCGCACGCCGCCCGCTTCGCCCGCACCGAAGCAAGACGAGAGCGTCCGCACGCCCACCGCCGCACGCACGCTCGGCAGCAAGAGTGCCGTGCCGGCGAGTGGCACTCTGCGTGCCACGCCGAGCAACTCGAGTATGCGCTCCACGGCTGCGAATGTCACGCCTCGTGCGTCTGCAAGTGCATCTGCCGGACGTGCTCTTCGCCCACAGACGTCGCAGACGAGCCTCAGCAATGCGAAGCGCCACACCTTCCTCAAGGCTACGCCGAGGCCCGGTGGCGCTCCTGCAACAGCGACGACGCGGTCACGCCTCGACAGCACGGCGTCCACTGCCTCGTTGCCTCGCCGTGCCGACTCTGGCGCCAGCTCAGCATCGACGGGCAGCGTGCGGCGCCTGTCCTCTGCAAAGGCGGCGCTCAGAAAGGCGCCGCCGTCGCCGTTGCCGGGCGCCAAAGGGCTGCCTGCGCGACAGGTCGAGGCGACTGAGGCACGCACGCCGCTCGCACCGATTCCTGCTCCTGCGTCAGGGCCCATGGACGTCGACGTGGGCCCTCTGGCCAGCGGCACATCGCTGGCGCACGGCATCGCCTGCATCGTCTCACCACAGTCGAGCGGCGCGCTGGTCGCCTCTCGTGCGCGCTTCCGTGCCCTCGTCAAGTACATCGGCCCGCTCGGCGGCGAGGAGGGCGCCTGGGTGGGCGTCGAGGTCGAGCTGCCGCTTCCCGCAGGCCTCGAGGCGCTCTCTGCGCGGCTGCACGACGGCTCGCTGCGTGGCCAGCGCTACTTCGAGTTGGGCACGCCTGCCGAAACTAGCGACGAGCCAGCGGCGCCCATGCCCGAGCGCGAGGCTCGCCGCCGCCGCATCGCACAGATGATCGGCCCGCGTGAAGAGGCGCTGCCGAGCGCCAAGCGCCGCAAGGACGCCGCGGGCCAGGGCGTCGAGCCCGAGGCACCGACGCGCGGCCTGTTCCTGCGCCCGCAGGACGTGCTCTGGGTGCTGACCTGACCCTGTTTCGACCGACTCTATACCCCCACACTATTGCAGGGCACACGCCGCCCGCCACTCTCCCTTCTGACACCAATACCATCATTCACCGTGCTGCTTCACGCACGTCCCACACGCCCCACCAGTTGCCGCGCTCCCAGCCTGAGGCGTGGCGTTGCACCTCGACGGCAGGCATGGTCTGAGCGGCGTCGTCGACGAGCGCCTCGAGCTCGCTGCGCAAGAGGCTGGTCAGCGGAGAGCCATGATGCCAGTCAGCCGAGGCGCTCACCCTTCCCGGAACACGTGGTAATCTGAACGAAGGGTGAGCGTAAGGTGGAGGACCAGGAAAGCGGCGGACTCACAGCGCTGATAGACCGGCGCATCGTCGGTGCGGTCCGGCGGATTGCGCCCTTTGCCTTCGTCTGTTGCAGCTGGCGGCTGCGACGGCTGCTGCATGACCCACGGCACGAGCAAGTCTTGATCCTTGCGCCACTGCATGTCGTCTTCTGCAGGCGCCGAATCTGCGGCTTTGGACGCCGTGGAAGCCTCTTCGCGCCCTTGCTCGTCGAAGCGCCGCCGCTCTTGGCCCCGCTGCTCGAGCGCCCACACGAAGATCAGGAAGCGGCCCGGCGCACCCAGTGCTTCTGCGTCACTAGCTACATGTCCCTGTGGCAGCGGTCGCACCAGCCGGACGAGCTCCTGTCGCGCAAGGCGTGAGTGCGGGCGCGCGAGTCACAGAGCAGAGACACTCACCCTAACCGACTCGGCTCGCCGCGCAGGCGTGCTCAGATGATGGATCGTCGCGATGCTGATGGCGTAGTCCTGACGTGGGCTCGTCAGCGTGCGCTTGCTTCGCTACCCCCAATAGCACTCACGAAGGCACCATGCCTCAGGCCCGAGGCGAGAGCATCGCCGACCGCCACGCCGTTGCGCGGCGCCGCCGGTTCATGATTGTCGCGCGCCAAGCGCACGAGCGGCTCGCTACGGTCTACGCCCAGCAGCGCTGCATCGCCACGTGTGCGCATGTACTTGCCGTTGCCGCAGCCGACATCAGCACCCAGCGCGCCGGGCGGCATGCCGGCGAGAAAGCGCGGAATCAGCGGCCATGGGCTATGCCGCGTCGAGCTGAAGTGCGGCGCGATGGCGTCGTAGACGCTGCGAAGCAAAGTTCAGCCTACGGCTGGCAGTCGACCGACGACAGCACGCACGCATGTACCGACGACGCCTCAAATGCTGCAGCATCCCACTCGGCATCGGGCGCCGGCGCCGGCGTCGGTGTCGACTTGACCTTAGTGCTTGCACTGCCGCTGCTCGGCCCGCCGGCCGCGCTGCTGCTGCTGGCGCCTGAGCCAGCTGCTGCAGCCGCCTTTGCCAGTCGCTTTGCCTGCCGCTTGCTGATGCCGGCGGCCTCTGCCTCTGTGGGCTCGCCTTGTTGCGGCACTGCCATGCTTGATCGTGGTGGAGAGCAGCTCTTCAAGCGCGCCCCGCATGGCCGCTCCAGCCGAGCAGACGCGGCGCGGTGTCTTGCCGTGCGAGCGGCTGCACGTCAAGCGCCGCCCCGCACGCCGCGCTTCCGACCTCACCTCCACGCCATCCACAACGCAAGACGTCAACATGCCCGCGATCAGCTTCAACGACAGCCAGTGGCAGTCGCGCGGCGACATGGAGCTACAGATCAGTGCCGACGGCGAGAGCGCTGCGCTGCATTCGCGTGCCCGCCAGGACTGGTGGCGCACGCCGCCGCACTCTGAGCCCGAGTCGGACGTCGACCGGTGCGGCTGATGTGACAGAGACGCGGTCGCGCTAGCTTCGCTGACGCTTGCCACTTTCACCTCATATCTTCTGCAGACGCACTGGCCCGACACTGACGAGACCAGTTACGGTCAAGCGCTGGACGGCCGGCGTGTGGTTGCACGTCGAGCTTGACGAGCGGTGAGCGTCAAGGGCACGCCAAGCCTGCCTGGCTGCTCACGCGCACCGCATCTTCGCATGCTCAGGTTCAAGCAAGCAGCGCTCTTCGTGCACGCCGGCGAGCCTGGCACGGTGGGCGCCTCGTGGCTCAAACTCGGCATCGAGAAGGAGGGCGGCCGCGAGAACATCGGGTGAGCGTCTAGACGGGCGCCTGACAGCCACGCAACTCTGATGCCCCGAACCCCCAGCTGCGTCGTGACCGATCCCTTCTCCGACTGGTCCACGTCGCCCTCGCCGCACCCGATGGCCGAGCACTACTGGCTCTACGCCCAAGTGGCCCGCGTCGGGCCAGACGTGCACTGCCACTGGGCTCTGCAACGCGGCTCAGCTGACGGTCCGCCAGCTGGTGTGCCAAAGGAAAGCGAACTCGTGCAGGCCAGAGAGGTGCGCGGCTTTGCGCTCTCTGCGGCCGAGGAGCCCTGGCACGTCGGCATCATGGCGTGCGGCCCGCTCTCAGAGCAGACGAGGGCCACATTCGCGCACTTCCAGCTGGACGAGCAATGAGACGTGCAAGCTTCATTCATGCATTCGACAGACGATCATGCCGGCCCAGCGGGCGGCGCGAGCGACATGCAGAGGACACGCTTAGAGCTGAGCCTTCTTCTGCGCCTCGGTCAGGCGCTTCTCGGCCTCCGAGAAGTTGATGACCGACCAGATGGCCTCGAGGTACTTGGGGCGCAGGTTCTGGTATTGCACTGTGGGCGCGCGTCAGCAGCCGCACCAGAAAGGGGCTGAGTGGGGCGCTCACGGTAGTAGGCGTGCTCCCACACGTCAACGCCGATGAGCGGCGTGTGCGTAATCAGCGGGTCCTGGTCCTTCGTGGTGACGACTGCGGGGTAGTGTGAGCCTGCGTCTGCCAGCAAGCCAGCACATGCACTCACTCTCGAGCTTCTGCGTCGTGGCGCTGTAGCCGAGCCAGCCCCAGCCGGAGCCCTGCACGGCGGCCGTCTGCTTGTTGAACGACTCCTTCAGCTTGTCGAGCGAGCCGAAGTCACGCTCGATGGCCTGCTTCAGCGGGCCTGAGATACGACGTCAGCAGAGCACGGGCAACGCGGTGATGAGCGCGACTCACCATCCTTGAGCTCGCCGCCGCCCTCCTTGGCCGGGGCCAGGTTCTTCCAGAAGAGCGAGTGGTTCAGGTGGCCTGTGTGGAGAGTGTCAGTCGGGCACAGTGAGAGCGGCAGATGGCACGTAGGCGTGCTGCTGCGCGAGCAGACGTGCAAAGGCATGCGGACGCCGATGCCGGTCGCAGCCGGTGCAGCAGTGCAGGCGCATCGAAACGCACCGCGGCCCATCACCCAGCGCACACACCTCTCCACACCGTCGCGAGCACTCACCGCCGCCGTTGAACTTGATGGCGCTCTGGATCTCAATCTGCTTGCGCACGTCGTTGGCCTGTGCGGCGCTGGCGTAGGCCTTCTCGGCGGCGTTGAGGTTGGTGACGTAGGTCTGGTGGTGCTTGGAGTGGTGGATCTCCATGATCTGCGCCGAGATGGCGGGCTCGAGGGCGCCGTAGGCGTAGGGCAGCTGCGGGAGCGTGTGGTCGGCTGGTGGAGCAGCGGGTCAGCGCGGGCCGCATCGCACGCAGCAGCAGGAGCACGCACACATGGTGATGCAGGTGCGTGTGGTGGTGGTGGTGGAGAGCAAGCAGCCGGTGTGGAGCTGGCCGGCTCGTCAGCCGCATCGCCGGCCGCCCGCTGCGCCCGCTCCGGCCGCAAGCGCGGCGGAAGGATGGCGAACGGCGCCCGGCAAGCACGCCAGCGCGCTTTCAGAGCGGCCGGGCACGAGAGCAGTCTTCTCCACCTCGCCGCTCGCACGGCCCACGTAGCATCTCGCGCCCGGCCGCCGAGAGAGCGACGCCGGGCCGCCGCCACACCATCAACCTGGTGCTGCCCTCCGCTGCCCTCACTCCACCACCACCAGACTTGAGCGCATACAAGAGCCTGATGTTGCGCAACACAGCGAGCCATACTATATCTCCATTAGCTGTGGGCCGCTCAGCTTTGGTCGCTCTGCGCAGCGTGCTGTCGTCGAAGAGGTAGAGAGAGGTCAAAGCGCTCCGCCTGCTCCTTCGCCGGTCGATGAATAGCGGCTCGAGCTTCGCCGGCCCGCCGCAATATCCGTGCCGAGACTCGCTCTCCGCCTCGCTACCGCTCTCTGACGGTCGCTCGTCGGCGGAACTCTTCTCTTGCGAGCTCGACGCTCTGGCGGCGACGCGAGGCTGCGCAGATGTCTCCTCTGGGTGGGATGACGGGAGCCCGAAGCTCAGATTGACCGCCGGCTGAGCCCCTCGCGAGCTGCGACGAAAAGACGAGATGGTCGCCCTGAAGTGGAGCACCGGCAACACTTAAGGCAGCGCTGCAGCTTGCCTCCTCTCCTGCTAGCTACGTCCTCGCCGCCGCCACAGATTGCGAGGGTCGAGCCTTGAGGGGCATGAGCTGGGCCTGTGCCGGCGGGCGCCTTCGACGCCCATCGGCGCTGATGGAGCGCACGCCCCCCTCAGCAACGCCCTTCGCGGCGGGAGCCGCGGATCGCTCCGTCCGCGATGCTTGGCGATGCCGCTTCACTTAAAGAGGGCGAGCGACTGGCCGTCCACGTGCTGCTTCTCTCACCCACCAGCTCACGTCTGCCACGATGCGTGTTTCTTGCCTGCTCCTCTCAGCCGGGCTCTTCGGTAGCGCTCTGGCCAGCGCAGAGCGCGCCATCGACGAGCGCTCGCCGGAGCTTCAGAGGCGTCAGACCACAGCGACGCCGGCCCCAGCCGTGGCTGCGAACTACACCATCGACAGGTGAGGCGTGCCAGAGGCATGCAGCCGCAGAGCAGACGCTGAAGCGAGGTGGCAGCCTGTGGACGACGCTGTGGAACCAGACGCAGTTCTTCGCGTTCTCAAATCCCAGCATCGGCTTCTATCCGATCGACGCCAACCACTCGGCGCTCAGCAGCACGGCGAACTCGACAAAGAACACGCCGCTGCAGGTCGGCGTGCAGGTGCTTGATCACCGCGAGTTTCAGCTGATGTCTGGCACGGGCGGTGGCATGTGAGCAGTCTGGGTAGCAGAAGCGTAGCTCTTGCTCACATGAGACGCAGCACCGATGCCGCATCGATCGTCATGGCCGACGTCAAGGCCAACGCCTCGGACACCGTGCGTGGCTGAGCACCCATTGAGCTCGCACGACTGCTGAGCGCTGACTCTGCGGCAGTACTGGGAGATGATCAACCTCGCTTTCAACCCAAGCGCCGAGTGGAAGGCCAAGGGCGGCGCCGGCTTCAACAGTGTTCGCGTGAGTCGTATGAGCAGCTGGACGTGCGAGCGAGCTGTTGACACAAGACCTCTCACAGGTGCCTCTAGGCGCATGCGATTTCGGCTTCCAGCCATACACCTACGACGACACGTTCGACGGCTCGACGGACCTCAACCTCACGCTCTTCAACGTAGACCGTGCGCCCAAGATCTGGCAGCTGTTGCAGGATATCATCAGCGTACAGCCGGAGCTCAAGACGTACTACGCTGCGTGGAGCCCGCCGGCCTGGATGAAGTGCGTGCGCCGTCGACGTGTCGCCTACGAACGATGCTGACAGTGCCTCGCAGGGGCCGCAAGGATGGCAACACATTTGGTGGCGAGATCCAGCCGCAGTTCGAGGACGTCTACACGACCTACCTCGTGCGGTCAATGCAGGACATCAGCAAGAAGGGCATCCCGATCACGCGTCTGTCACTCGGCAATGAGGTGAGGAGCGGCGTGTCGCGATCATGCGAGGCACCTTGGCTGACCGCCCCACTTATCTGCGTCGGCAGCCCTTCTACGAGCCGAACAATTACCCCGGAACCGGCATCAGCAATGAGCAGCAGGCGCGCATGGGCGCCGCGCTCCGCTCCAAGCTGGACGCCGCCGGCCTGCAGGACACTCGGATCCTGGTGCTCGACCACAACTGGGACCTGTACAAGAACGTAAGCGGCCTTCTGATGGCCTCTCTCGCACTTTGTTGAGCAGCTTGATCCCGCAGCCCATCGAGGTCTTCGATCTCGACAACGAGTCCTTCGATGGCGTTGCCTGGCACTGCTGTGAGTCGTCAAAGCGTGAGCGACCATTGACGCGCGGCTGATTCGATCCCGTGCAGACGGCGGAGAGCCCGGCAATCAGGAGTTCTTCAATGATGGTGAGCCAGCTCCGTCCGGCCATTGTGCGTGCAGTGCTCATTTTCTTCGCCAGCATACCCTGGCCGTGAGGTCGTGATGGACGAGTGCACCCGGTCAGTTGCTGTCTGGCAGGCCAGCTCGAGCCGTTCTGACTCTTCGATCCTTCAGCGTTACCCAGTTCGGCGCAGAGCCGTGGGAGAACCTGCGGCAGAACGTCAAGGATCTCGCCATCCTCTCGACGCAGTACGGTTCCTCAGCCATCCTCGTGTGAGTGCTCTGCCATTCTGACATCATCACGCTCTGACGCGACACAGCTGGAACGCAATTCTCAAGTCGGATTCGGACGGCTTCACCACGCCTCATCTGGACCGCGGTGAGTGTGGCGTTGCGGGCGAGACGATGAAGTTCTGACAGCCGTTGTCTTGCCAGTCTGCACCAACTGCTTGTGAGTTGCGCTGCTGCAAGACTGCCGTTCCACACTTGATCTGACGCTTCGGCAACAGGGCGCCGTTCCTCGTCTACGACAACGTGACGGAGACGCAGACGCTCGACAGCCAGAACGAGGAGAGCAAGCCGCCGAGCAAGAAGCACAAGCGTGCCGTGCCTCTTGGCTCGCGCATGCCGGTCGACGAGGCCAAGCAGGAGCTTCTGCCGCGTCAAGACACGACGACACCGGCGTCGACAGAGATCTATGCGCCGTACTACAAGCGCACGAGCGACTTCGCCACGCTGGTGAGTGAAGCGTGGGCGGTCGTGACTCGGGCGTCGCTGATCTCGTGCCACCGCAGGGCCATCTCGGCGCTGCCATACAGCCCTCGGGATCCTCTGAGGACTGGGGCCGGCGCATCGGCGTGAACACGACGGAGGACTCGCTGCTGGGCAACGCGCGCCTGCTCGTCCAGGCGTTCCGCCGCGACAATCACGATGCTGCGGGCAACTCGCTCTTGTGAGTGCAGCGTGTCGCCTGCGGAACGTGCTCGCCTGACGCCTCTTCGCAGCTCCCTCGTCATCCTGCAGCGCAACGACCACTTCCTCACGGGCAACTACGAGGACATGGAGGTGCACATCAACTTCCGCAACACCGTCGCCGTGCTCAAGGGCCTCGGCGTCGGCGCCTACACGCTCTCCTGGGTCGCGCCCAAGCACAACTGAGCCGGCTGTGCTTCGCCCGGTCCACACGCTGCTCCACTCTGCTCATTATTCCTGCGCGACTGCTCGTCGTCCTAGACTTGCCCTGGCGGCGCTGTTCGGACCCCCATGACAGCAATGTCAACTCACTTTACCTCTATGCTCTGCTGCGCATTACGCATGAATGACCGTGTGAGATGTCCGACCCGGCGATTGTGGTAGGTGCCGTGCCGGGCAGCATGCCCCAGGGAGGAGAGCGCACGTGGGAGCAGGAAGCACAGAGGAGCGAGGCGGACGTCGTACCGCCGGCGAGCGGAGCGGCGACGCGCGCGTGAGGCATGCATCGGCTGCGCTCCGCGTGCCGCCGCCAGGGGGTCTGGGCAAGGTGTGGCGCTCGCATGCAGCTGCACAGGGGGCTCGCCCGCAGCGCACGCACCGAGTGCGGCCATCATCGGCATGCTGCCTCGCTCCTGATGCCTCTGCTGATCAATCTGCAGGCTGATTGCCTTCTGGGCCCAGAGCCAGGTACAGAGCGGCAGCCATTGACGACGCTCTCGGCCACATAGGACGAGACCTCTGCCGGCGCGAGCTCGCAGGATCCTTCTGGCGAGGCGCGCCCGTGCGCACCGAGCTGCCGATCTGCGACAGCTGCTGCAGGGTTCAGAGCGCCAGCGCCTGGCGCACAGCTCGGTGTCATGCCCGCATGCACAGCGCTTCGCGAGAGAAGGGCGGAGCGGCGGCTGCAAACGCGAAACGACGCTGACGCGAGTGAGGAGAGAGCGGCGAATTTGGACGCGCTGAGCGGCTGAGGCGCTGTGTCGAGACTGGCGTCGTGCCCCTCTCTCGACGCCGGCACAGCGAAACTCTGCCTTGCGGCGTCGGCCTGCGCTGCATGCTGCGAGATGCGTGGGCGCGTGCCTCGCCGCTGCCGTGCTTTGCTCGCCCCTCGCGGCTCGCTCCTCTCTGTTCCTCTTTCGGATGCCGCCGTTGCGTTGGAGCGCCGAGCGCCGTGCAGCTGCCGCCGTTTGGCGCGCGAGGTGCAGCATTCAGGCGCGATGGAGGCGCTGCGCGCTTGCGCGCCTCGCCGAGGTGCATCCGCCGCACCTCCGTGGCCGGCGCCTTCTCGCAGCACGAGACAGCTCCGCCGCCTGCGCTGCGTCTGCGTGCTGCGCGCGCGATGAAGGTGCCGCCGGGGCCCGAGCCAGCCGCCAGCTGCTGCCGCGCGCCAGAAGGTCAGCTCTGCCGCACCGGCGCTCGAAGCATGCTGTGCAGCGCGCAGCCGGCGCTTCGCTCTTCGGCAGCCGCCGGCATCGTCAGAACGCAGCGCAGGAGGGCTGCCTGCTGCAGCTCGCAGCGCAGCAGAGGAGCCGGGTGTTGATGGGGCAGGGGCGCTGATGAGGAGCAAGGCCGCCGCCGCGGCACCCCGTGATGCTCCGTGCCCGTGGGCGCGGCGGCTGCAGGCGCTCGGCACGCACGCCGCGAGCACCGCAACGCGCGCGCGCGCCGCCGCCGCCTGTGCTTCCAAACGACGGTGGCGCGCACGCATCTCGCACCAGAAACACACATACAGCCCGGCCCTGCGTCCTTCCTCCGCATCACCACCCTCACCGACCCCTCCTCAACCCGACCACCCGTCCCGTCGTCCATCATGTCCAAGGAGCACACGAGCCTCGCCATGTCCGGCGACGAGAAGCACGACCCCATCTCCGGCCACGCCGGCTTCCGGCCAACGAGCGCCGGCGGCAACGGCGCCCAGGGCTTCGCGGCGCCCAGCCACTCGCTGCCCAGCGGCGGTCTGCCCGGCGGCGCCGCGGCCAAGCCCGACAAGAAGATGCACCCCGCCGTCATCATTGCGCTCTGGATCTCGCTCAGCTCCAGCGTCATTGGTGAGCGCGCGCGAGAGGTGTCGCGCTGCCGCACCGCGCTGACACATGCCTCCCCTTTGCGCGCGCGCTACTCCAGTCTACAACAAGGTGAGCTTGAGTCCGCAGCAGAAGGCCTGGTTCTGTGTATGCCCTGGAAGCTGCGCGCGTTCAGCGCAGCTGCTTGCCCTTCCTGGCATCTGCACGAGTGCGGCTTGTAGCGAGCTTCGCGCGCGCTTACGAGAAGCCGGGATGGTGAATGCGCGCTCACCTGCGCGACGGGCCGGAATCGGCCCAGCTGCCCGGGCGCTACGCGCTCGGTGCAGCTGCTGGTGAATCTGCGGCGAGGATGGGCGGGCCGCGCCGGTGCTGTGCTGTCAGGCTCGGGCGCTGGTGTTCGGCAGATCCTGCGCGCGTCGCGGGCCTTCGCGGGCTCGCAGAGTGGCTGCGCTGGCGCTCGGCGGTCGCGCATCTGCAGCCCTGCGCGCCGGCAACTCCTGCGCGCATCGGACGTTCTTGCGCTGCAGCAGCATAGCTCTGCGCACACGTCCTGCTCGACGCTCAGCGTCGCCCTTGGGGCGCTCACGGGCGACGCGCGCGCGGAGTCGGCGCTTTGGCGAGCACGCACTTCGAGCACGCGCCTGTCGTGCTGCGCGCAGAGCGTCTGTTTGCCAGTCCCGGCGAGAATGCGCTGGTGGCACGCCGCCTGCGAACGCACGCAGAGGAGCGAGTGGCTCTCGCGGTGACTGCGAAATGCGCGCGCGCCGGGCCTGCGCCAGACTCGTTCTGAGGGGGGCGACGCAGAACGCGCGCATCCACCCGATCCCCGAAGCTCTCCCGGCCTGGCTCTCGCCAAAGCGCACTTGCTGACATTCATTCTTGTCTGCAGTACGTGCTGGACACCAAGGCGGGCCTCAACTTCCCGTACCCGGTCTTCCTCACGACGTTCCACATGGCGTTTGCCACGGTCGGCACGCGCCTGCTTGCGCGCTACTCGACGCTGCTTGACGGCCTGGCGCACGTCGAGATGACGCGCGAGCGGTGGTACCGGAACATCCTGCCGATCGGCGCCCTCTTCTCTGCGTCGCTTGTGACCAGCAACATGGCGTACCTGACGCTCAGCGTCAGCTTCATCCAGATGCTCAAGGTGCGTCTCGCGCGCGCGCGCGGCCGGTGCGCGCCATGTGCTGACTCTCTTCGCGCGCAGGCCTTCACGCCCGTGGCAGTGCTGCTCATCTCGTTCGCCTTCGGCCTCAAGCAGCTCTCGGGCATGCTCTGCGTCATTGTCGGCAGCATCTCGTTTGGCGTGGCCATTGCCTCGTACGGCGAGATCGAGTTTGCCATGGACGGCTTCATCTACCAGGTCTTCGCTGTGGCGTTCGAGTCGAGCCGCCTCGTCATGATCCAGGTGCTGCTGCAGGGCCTCAAGATGGACCCGCTCGTCTCGCTCTACTACTTTGCGCCCGTGTGCGCCGCCATCAACACGGCGCTGCTCATCTTCACCGAGGGCCTGGCGCCGCTGCTCGACATCTCGCGCCTCGGGCCCTTCGTGCTCATCACCAACGCCGGTGTCGCGTTCTGCCTGAACATTGCCGCCGTCTTCCTCATCGGCGCCGCAAGCAGCCTGACGCTCACGCTCGCCGGCGTGGTCAAGGACATCATGCTCATCTTTGCGAGCATCTTCTTCCTCGGCTCGTCGATTACGCGCCTGCAGGTGTTCGGCTACGCCATCGCCCTCGGCGGCCTCGTCGCCTTCAAGACGCACAAGGGCTAAGCTGGCTTGCCCTCGCCCCCCCATCCGGTCCCCAAGAGGCAGCCGGAGCACGTCCGATGCACACTTGTGCGCTGGGCCCGGCCTGGCACCCTTCTCTCGTCTCATCGTCACCATACCGCTGCTCGCGCGGTCCACACTCGGCGAGCCCGCGGCAGCTGACGGCTGCCAGCACCTCCTTCTCGCATCCGCCCACACTCTTTTACTAGGCTCCTTCACGACACCTACTGCCTTTAACCACACGCGTTCCGTCTGACTCTCTCCATCCTGGCCCCGCGAACACTGCCCCACCTGCGCTCTTTCCCGTGTATTCCGCCCCACCTTCCGCACCCAGCCGCACGCGACGCAAATAGAGCTGATGTTGTTATTGCCCTGGCGCCGACTGCAGCAGAGTGTCGACAACGTCGCGCCGCTCGCGCAGCAGCCGAGAGAGCGGCTCGAAGAGCGCTGCTGAGCCGGCCCACGCCGACGCAGCGCTCCATGCTTCGGCGTCTGTGCGCCCCGGCGCTGCCGACGGCGATGCGCGCGCCACAAGCCATTCTGCGGTGAAAGGGTGAGCATCCGTGCTGCCAAGGCAGCGGCTGTCACGCACCCAGCGGCACCCAGGCCCAGCCAGCGCACTTCTCCGGCTCCAGCAGCTGCGCCTCTGGCCGCGGCCCAGCGACGTCTGCGCCCATGAAGACGGTGATGTAGTGCTTGCCCTCGAGATGCGGCGAGTTGGTGGCCGTGAGGAAGCGCGGCGCCTCGGCGAGCTGGCCCGCTTCGATGCCCGTCTCCTCGGCGAGCTCGCGCACCGCACACTCGGCCCACTCCTCGTGCAGCTCGAGGTGGCCGCCGGGCAGCTGCAGCGTGCCGTGGCCGTGCGACGAGCCGCTGCGCTGGCCGACGAGCACCTCGACGCTGCCCGACGGCGCACGGTGCAGCACGAGCACGCCGACGCCGACGCGCGGCACGGCGTGGGTCATGGCCGAGGCCTGCCCGGCGCAGGAATGACACCCGTTGCTGTGCCTGTGCCTTCTCGACGAGTCGTCTTCACTGCCCGTTGACGAGCCTGCTGGCTGCTTGATGAGCGGTTGCGGAGGGCGAGAGGGAGGCAGCCCTTGTCCTGGGAGCGCGCGGTGCTGGGCCGCGTGCGACTCCGCTGACGGTAGCACGCGCCAGCGTCGTCGCTGTCCGACCGTGCGAGCGTCGCGGTGCGGGAGCTGTTGCGTCGGCCAGCAGCGACTCGACGCTCAGACTCTTACTCCCGCTCCTTCCTGGCTCCCATCCTCACCTCACGACCCTCCGTCTCTCCTCTCCCTTCCTGCTTGCGCGCCGCCGCATCCGATACCCACACGCCACGCCGCGCCGCTGCTGCACCCTGCCCCGCCGCCCGTCCCACGTCTGCCCAGCATGGCCGCCGTCGCTCAGACGCCCCACACGCCGCTCGAGGGCTATGTCGTGAGTATGCAGCACCTCGGCGGATCACCAGCACTGCTGTCGGCCTGCGCTGCGTGCGCGAGGATGTATGGAGAGTTGCGTGCGCATGCTGGATGCCTTGCGGTACTCTGTGCCGGTGGATGCGCAGGCGCCAGCCCTGCCAGAGCAGTCTCTTGGTCGACACCTCGCACAATGGCTGAGATCTGCCGACGCATGCGATGCTGATGTCCGCTTCTTCCCCAGGGCTTCGACTCGATCACCTCGCAGATTGAGGCCAAGCTGCTGAAGCGCGGTTTTGCGCTCAACATCATGGTCGTCGGCCAGACGGGCCTCGGCAAGTCGACGCTTGTCAACACCCTCTTCAGCAGCCACCTCATCGAGTCCAAGGGCCGCCTGGAGTCGCACGAGGCGGTGCGCAAGACGACGGAGATCCACCCCGTCTCGCACCGTGAGTCTGGCTGCGAGGCTGTCTGCGGATGCTGGGCGGGCTGCACACGCACTCTGAGCGGCAGAGAGGCGCCGAAAGGGGCAGGGCCAGGTTGGCAGCTCGTCCCGCAGAGCTCGGCGGGCGCGCGCGCCGGCTTGCCGTGTGCCGGGCAGAGACTCAGAGCAGGGCCTTTGTGCCATCGCTAGAGCGGCAGATGCATCGCGGCTGCCCGCTCGCACCGGGCGCATGGGCCACATGCTCGGATCATTCTGCCTGCGAGCCCAGATCGCATGCCCGCAAGCGACGTCTCGTCCACGTAGCATATACAGGCGCGAAATGCTGACACCGCCGCACAGTCGTGATTGAGAACGGCGTCAAGCTGCGGCTGAACATCGTCGACACGCCCGGCTACGGCGACCAGGTGAACAACGACAACTGCTGGGACCCGATTGTCAAGTACATCAAGGACCAGCACAGCGCCTACCTGCGCAAGGAGCTCACCGCCATGCGTGACCGCTACATTGCCGACACGCGCATCCACGTCTGCCTCTTCTTCATCAACCCGTGAGTGCCCGGAGAGTGCTGCGCGATCAGGATGCGAGCGACAGCGCAGGCGGCGGTTGTGTCCGATTGGCGGTCTGCACAGGGTTGCAACAGCGAAGGGGCCCGAATGATGCAGTGCTGGCGCACTGCGTGGAGGAGTGTACGCCGTTGCAGCGATGCTCATGCCTCCCCGCCCACAGCACCGGCCACGGCCTGCGGCCGATTGACGTGGCCGTGATGAAGAAGCTCTCGGACGTCGTGAACGTCGTGCCCGTCATTGCCAAGTCGGACAGCCTGACGCTCGACGAGCGCGACCTGTTCAAGGAGCGCGTGAGTGCCGGTGCCGCGCTACAGCTGCTTGTCTGTCGCTGAGCAGCCTCCACGACCAGATCCGCGCCGAGATGCAGTACAACAACATCCGCGTGTACCCCTTCGACAACGAGGAGTACGAGGACGAGGAGCGCGAGCTCAACGAGCGCATCCGCGTGAGTAGCGTGTGGCGTGTCCGTTGACCACTGACGCTGACGCGCCCGCCCACGCCCGCAGGCTCTCATTCCCTTCGCCGTCGTCGGCTCGGAGAAGCAGGTCGTCATCGACGGCAAGTCCGTGCGCGGCCGCAAGAACCGCTACGGCGTCATCAACGTCGAGAACGAGAACCACTGCGAGTTTGTCTACCTGCGGAACTTCCTCACAAGGTGCGTGCGCCCGCGGTGCTCTGAGCGTGGGCTGGTGCTGACACTGCGCGCGCTCGCAGGACGCACCTGCAGGACCTCATTGAGACGACGGCGCACATCCACTACGAGCAGTTCCGCTCGAAGCGTGAGTCGGCCGCCGCTGCTTGTCCCGCGCTGCCGTACTCACACCCGCCCTTGCAGAGCTGCTGGCGCTCAAGGAGTCCAGCTCGCGGCAGCAGGCGCAGCAGCAGGCACAGCAGTCGAACGGCGTCTAAGCGCCGCGATGCTGGCGCGGCGATGCCCGTGCGGTCTGCCCTGTTCTTTGCGACGTCACGTTTCCCACTCTTGGCCGCTTCCTCTCCCTGCCCCTCGCTCAGCGAGCGAATGCAATGACCTTATGCCCCAGATCATCTGTGCTCGTCATGCCACGAGCATAGCGTATCGAGAGAGCGTGCATTGGGCTAGTGTACAGGGCAGAAATGATGCAGGAACGGAGCTGGTGAGAGATGGGAGGGGCAAGGCGGACGCAGCGGCAGCAGCTCATTGCGTGCCCATCACGATCTTCTCGTCCTGCAGCGAAGAGGTGAGCTCTGCTCCAGACAGGCGAACAGGCCACTCACCAGCACACGGATCTCGGCGTGCAGCGCCGCGTAGTCCTCAGCGTAGTCCTCCTTGCCCTTCTCTTCTGCGCCCTTCGCCGCCGCCTTCTTGGCGCCCGTGCCCGTCGGGCAGATCATAACGCACGACGTCGGCCGCTTCGTGCTGCTCGCGGCGCCGAGAGCGTCCTTGGAGGTGACAAAGACGTACGGGTTGTCCGTCTCCTCGCAGAGGATCGGGATGTGCGAAAGAATATCCATCGGCGAGATGTCGCCGGCCAGGATGACCAGGCTGTGTAGCTGTGTGAGCAGATGGTCACAGCAGACGTATGGCAGTCGTGCTCACCCCTTCTCGCCCTTGCGCAGGCCCTTGACGACCTCCTTCACGCCGCGCTTCACGTGGCCCCGCGACTTGGACGCCTTCTTGATGGTCTTGAGCACCTTCTTCGACAGCTTCTTAGTCGCCAGCGGGTCTGCTCGGCGCGTGTCAGCTGCCGGACGGCGAGCACTCATGCATGAGGGCGTCGCATGGCTGGCTCGCGACGATCTGCACACGGGTAGCTGTGGCTCGCAGCACGCGCTCATCCCAGGAGCGGCGGGGTTCGCAGCGACGCTAGACTCAATGCAGATGCCAGGCTGGACTGAGCACGAGGCGTGTCTACACGCAGCGATGTTCCTCGCTCCAGATTCCCGCCAGCCGTTGCCCGCTCCCGCTGAAGTACTCACGAGCGATGGCACTGATGGCCTCCGGCGGCACCTCGCCCTTCTCCACGGCGTCCTCCGCATCCTCGGCGGCGTCCATGGTGACGTCGCCGGCGGCGTCTGCCTTCTTCTCCTTCTTCTCCTTCTTCTTCTTCTCCTTCACCTCCTCCGGCGCAGCCACAGCGGCAGCGGCACCGTCGGCCGGCGCAGCGAGTGCGGCAGCGGCGGCCTCGGCGGCGCGCTTGGCCTTCTTCTCGGCCTTCTTGCTCTCGTCCTTGCCCATGGCGCTAGTGTGTGTGATGCGGCGGGTGCAGTTGCGGTTCTGTGATGGGGCGACAGCGCAGGAGCGAAAGTGATGTGTGGTGGAGGCGAGGGAGCGGGCTGGGCGGTGAGAAGGAAGGGCTGCGAGAGATTCTGGAGAGCCGCTCCCAGAAAGTTGCACCGCACGGCACCGCCAGTGCCAGAGTCGCACGCGCCAGAGATCGCGCAGAGCGAGCCTCGGCCGAGATCGTCCGCCGCGCGGCAGCCTCTTCACCGTGCACCAGCCGCGCTGCCCATTCCTTCTCGCCCACCACAAGCTCCGACCATGTCGTCTCACCGTCCGCCTTGAGCGCGCTACTGCGCCGGCCTCTGCGCCGCTCTTCATGAACCTCTTCGCCACGTGAGTAGCGCGCCGACGCGGAGTGCAGCGCCAGGGAAGGACGACACGAAAGCATCACATACAAACTAGAGTCGCTGCTCCGAAAGTCGCAGAGAAATGCACACACTGACCTTGCAGCGCTGCGCCGTGGTGCCACTGCTGAGTGCTGCAGTATGCTGACACGTCTCGCACACAGATCATCCACGATGTCGCCCGGCTGACGCGCGCAGCCTTGTGCCCACGTCGGCCCTTGCACCGGTGAGCATGCCTGACGTGTGACCATCCTGCGACGTTGCGATGATGGGCCTTTGGGCTCGAATTACCGCCTGAAGGTGCACAGGCGGCCGTTTGCGCGGACGTCTGTGTGCAAATGCGGACAATCATGGCTGATTATACTGCTGAGCATCGTGCTGGAAGAAGGAGCTGCGACCCGTGCGCTTGCCAGGCAGTATCGGCTGACACTCGTTCCTATCCAGGCATCTGCCGTGCTTTCGCCACTCGCTGCATCGTCGAGCCCGTCAGTTCACGCACCAGGTGAGCACCTGTCCCGCTCCTGCTCCGCACGGCCCGGCGAAGACGGAGGATGATTATACACAATCACGACGGTCTGCTGAGGGCCCATCATCCCGATGCTGAAAGCGCCCGCACTAAACCATTTCTCGGGCACTCCTCATGACTCTACTTCGCCTGCGCCGTGCTTGTGTCCCGTGTCGGCCAGCCGCTGACACGCCGCACCGCTCAGTGCCAGACCTCGCCTGCGCCGCCTTGCGATGGCTCGCTCCGTGCCTCTGCATCCTCAGGTGAGTCGTGCGCCGTGCTGTGTGAGCTAGGAGAGGACGAAACATACTACATGAGGCGACCATCAACCAAAATGAGCCAGCTGCTTTTTGCGAGGCAGTATTACCTGAATCATAGGATCCCAGCGCATCACACGACCCTTGTTCCAGCACACGCGACCTGCCGCTGACACCCCCCGCCTCTGTCGCCGCTCGTCCAGGTACCATGTCGAGCTGATCGCTCGCGAGCTGAATGCATGCAATGACCTGTATTTACCCTGTGTGACTGGGCCCGTGTGTCTGTCAGCCTGGAGTGTTGGGAGCGACTCGATGCCTCGCGGCTGTGCTGCTGCTGCTGTTGTTGTTCTCGCGCGGCGCGCGTGGCGCGCCACTGTACGCGTCCTTTGTGCTCGTTCCGCTCCACTTCCACCTCTTCCACCTCTTGCCCTCTCCGCCACCGCTCGGCGCACTTCCTCGACGGCCGGCGAGTCACTCTGGCTCGTCGAGACTTGGCTTCGGAGCAGCTACCTTGGCAACATCCATGCCGGCGCCGCTGCTGCGTGTGCTCTCGACGCCGCTGGCGCGCATCTGTCCCGCCACGCTCATGCCGTTGCCACGCGCCGCTCGCGGCCATGCGGCCGAGGATCCCATCGAGCTTCTCTCCAGCAGCGCCTCATCTTCCTCCTCCTCTTGCGGCGCCTCCTCACCACGTCTGTCGCCCGCCTGCGCGCCGCGGCCGCCTGCGAAGCGGCGTGCGCGCTTCGAGGGCCTCAAGGCCAGCGTCAGCGCCGAGGCGGCGCAGGCTCACAGTGACAGGCTCGAGCGCGAGCGGTTGGCCTGGGTGCAACTTACGGCGAGCACGTCGCGACCCCGAGTCCACAGCGATGAGGACGATGTTGCGGCAGCGCACCGCGCGGCCAAAGGGAAGGGCAAGGCTCGCGCGCAGCCGGCGCCTCGTACTGCCTCGGCGCGCACCCGCAAGGAAGCGAGGTGAGTACCGCTCCACGCTGTTTGGTGTGTATGCATGCTGACTGTCGCGAAGCAGCAGCAGCAGCTTGAAGGCTCCTGCACGACCGCGAGCCGATGGCGCAGCCAAAAGAGGAGGCCGGCAACAGAGCTCAAGGAGCGTGGGCACCTCGGCGGCACAGCGCGCGCGCTTCCACGAGGTGGAGCGCACTCGGCTCGAGACAGGACTCAAGACCTTCACGATGGAGACGTGTGCGCCATACATGGGCGGTCGCAAGCCGGCAGTGGCGGTGACGGCGTGTCCCATCGAAGCGGCCGAGCTGTTGGCGTGCGTCCCGCGCGGCGTGCCGCTGTCCGTCGACGCCGAGTGGCCCTTCGATCAGCGCACGTACAAGACCGGCAAGCTCTCGCTGCTGCAAATTGCGAGTCCAGGCATGGTGCTGCTGCTGCAGATCGGTCGGATGGGCTGCGTTCCTGACGGGCTGCGCGAGCTCATGGCCGACGAGTCGAGCTGGAAGGTGCGTGTGTCTCTGGTGCAGGCGCTCGCGAGATGCTGACACTTCATGTCCGCTTCAGTACGGCGTTGCCATCTCTGGAGACGCACACAAGCTCTACAAAGACTGGGGCGTGCCGTCGCGCTCGCTGCTCGAGCTCTCCACCGTCGCCAAGCTGGCCGATCCGGAGCGATGGGCCGGTCGGCATTGGATGATCGCCCTGCGCGATCTGACGCGCATCTACGTACAGCGCCGCCTGATCAAGGAGGACAGCGTGCGATCCAGCAACTGGTCGCTGATGCATCTCGAAGATCGACAGGTCGAGTACGCTGCGTGCGACGTCGTTGCTGGGACTGCGATCATGCGAGAGCTCGTGCCTCGTCTCGACGCATTGCTGAAGAAGCGCCACGAGGAAGCGACCGCTGCGAGCACGGCAGCGGGCTGGTTCCGGGCGGCGCCACCTTCAAGCGACGTCAAGGCTCAGATCGTCGCGCCTCCCGCTGCAGACCCTTCGCTGCACATGTCTGACGACGTTAGGGCGCTTCTGCAGGCGCAGCTCACCCACGTCGGACCGGCAGTCGGGCAACCACCGATTCAGCCTCCCACGACGCGCGGTCTCATCGAGAGACAGGCGCAGAGCCAGCAAGCGCTTCGCGACGTCGAGCGAGCTTCATCCTTCGGCAGCGCAGCTCGCACCAGCACCGCACTCGACTCGACGACGGCGGCAGCACTGGCGGCAGCGGCCGCCGCTGCGGCATCAGCTGCTGCAGCTGCTGCATCGGCGGCTGCGGCGGCTGCTGCCGCGTTGCAGCGGACGATGAACGACGAAGCCGCGTTGCTCGATGCAGCGCGAATGAGCGACAAGCTGTGCGACGATATGGAAGCTGCGGCACGTCGACACGAAATTAGCAACGTTGCTGCCCAGGCACGCAGCACTACCGGGACGCCAGGCGCCGGGAGAACGACCAGGGGTCGCGCGTCTGCTCGCCCGACCGTCAGAACTTCTGCCGTCCGTACCGCCAAGACCTCGAACTCTGCGCACAAAGCTGCGCAGAAGTCGGAAGCCGTTCCCGACGCTGAGCAGCCAGTCGCCACAGACTTGGCGTCGCCAGGTACGTCCGCCGTCTGCCCATCCGACCGTGCCGTGCGCTGAGGCGGCTTGCACAGGAACAGCTTCGCAGGTCGCTCATCCTTCTGAGTCGCCTCGTAAAGCCGAAGTGGACAAGCTCCGCGCGCTCTGGAAGCCTATGAACGAGACTGGTCTGACGGTCACGCGAGGCGCAGGGGAGACGCGGCAATGTGCAAGCCTGAGCGACTATGCCTTCGCCCTCTTCCGCAGGGGAGCGCCATACTCCGCTCTTTATGCATGTGCGCCCGAAGATAAAGGATCGGACTTCACGAGGACCGTAATTGCAGGCGGCTTTGCGCGGCTCAAAAGCGAAGAGGTCACCGAAGAACTGCACTGCCGCATGGTGGAGCTCCTGAGCATGCCTGACGACACCCGTTCTGCGTATACGGCCGGCTCCAGAGTCTTGAGATCTCTACGACAAACAGTACTTTCGCTCAACGCTTTCAACGTCGACCACGCTCGCAGGGCCCTACGAGACGCAATCAAGCTGACGAATGACGGCGGGAGAGCTTTTGTGCCCCGTAGTCCCCGCAGCTCGCAGAGAAGGCGACGTCACCAGCGGCGGCTTGGAAGGCTGGAACGGCTACTGGAGGCAGGCCTCCCTGTGACGCACTCGAGCATGGGATCAGCCGCAAGCTCGGTTGAGAGCTCAGATGAGAGCTCGAATGCGAGTGCCTCGCGCGAGGAGGAGGAGGAGGAGGCGGAGGAGGAGGAGGTGGAGGACAGGGATGACGAGAAGCGTGAGGTGGAGGGCAAGAACGAGAGCGACAACGAGGAGAAAGACAATGAGGCAGTCACGGCCGAGAGCAAGTAAGGCGTCCTGTAGCGTTATACCCCGGCAGGGTTTGCCAGCACATCGCAATAGCAAACGCTCCATGTACAGCACTCAGAACATGTGATCGTTTGCCAACGTGTGCAATTCAGCGAGGTGCTAGACACGCGCTTCAAGAGGAAGTGCAGCCCCGCGCCGACAGCTCGCGAGACGAAGCAGAACCACGGCGCCGAGGGTGGGGTAACGCAAGGAAGAGAGGGTCTAAGGCGCTGCCACCGCGCGAGCCCTGCAGAAGAGAGGCCGACGTCGATGCAGGCAGCTGCGCAGTGGCGCGGTGAAGGGCGAAGAGGGGCGCTCGAGTAAGGACAGGTGAGGCGCGGCAGCGCGGCGCCCTACTTGGCGCCGCCGCCGGCGAGGAACGTGACTTTTTGGCGCAGCACCTCGGGGTATGAGTTCATGAGGTGTGCCAGAGCGCGCAGGTCTTCTGAGTCGAGCAGTGTGATGGCTGTGGAGGGCGCGGGTGAGCATGAGTTGCTGGCGCTCGCATCGCTCTCCCCATACGCACTGATCTTCGGCGCACCCTTGACGCCAAAGGAGCGGATCTTCTTGAAGAGATGGTCTCCGACCTGCGCCAGAGAGTCGGTCAGTCTGGGCACGTGAGGCTAGCATCACCCTGACGCACCTTCTGCTTCTGGTCGTGGGCCGGCTTGCCCTTGAGCGAGTCGATGAACTCATCCGTCTCTCGCATCTTCTCTGGGTCCGCCTTCGGCAGCGGCAAGCCCGCAGAGCCAGAGTCCGGCGCCGCCGAGGCCAGCCGGATGATCTCGATGGCAGGCAGACGCGCCAGGCTGACAAGCGTGTGTGTCGGTGCGGCGGGCTCGGCTGCTGCCTCGGTCGAGCCGCTTGCGGCAGCAGCGATGGCAGCGGCCGGCGACTGCGACGTCACGACGGGCGAGCTGCCCGCGCTCTTCGCCTTGACCTCCTCGCCGTCCTCTTCCGTGATGTCGAGAATCTCGCGAGCCTCGTCGACCTTCGTCCTGAGGAAGTCTGCGTTGAAGAGGCAGAGCGCGCGGTCCTTCTTGTTCAGACTCGTGAGCATGTCGGTGATGTCCTCCACTGGGCTGCCGGCGGGCACAATGGCATGCACAGCCTTGAGCAGGCGCTCGCGCTCCTTTGCGGATGCCGGCGCCGAGGACATGACGGACGCGCTGTCGGCGAGCGTGCCGACGGGCTGCAGCGGTGTCGAGAGGAACGCGGACTGCTGCGCGACAGGCGACTGCGGCAACTCGTCGCGCGCGTCGTTGACGCGCTGCATCAGCTCGACGGGGTTGTTGAGAGCCTCGAGCGTCTCGGGCAAGCTGAGCTTGAGCATCTCCTTGACGATGTCGTCCACCTGCTCAGCGCGCACGGTCGGCAACGCTCCGACCTTTTGCGCCAGCTCGGCCGTGATGCTCTGCATGCTGAGCGGAGCCGGCGCTGGCTCGCTGCCGGTGCTGCCACTGGCTGCGGCATTGTCCGATGCGCCGCGCGTGAACGTGTGTGCAGGCCGCTCGGGCAGCTTGCGCGCCGCGGCAAAGCCGCCTTGCTCCAGGTTCGGCGTGCCTGCCGGGCTGCCATTCGTCTCGGATGCATGTCCGCTGACCGGCGGGCTGCCGCGGCCGTGCGGTCCGACGCCGTTTGTCGGCGCGCCGGAGAACTTGTGTGCCAGCTTCTGCTCGCGCATCTTCTTTGGCTCGTGAAGGCGCACCATCATCGCCTTGGAGCCGAGCACGACGTTGTTCATGGCGTGCAGCGCGCGGCTCGCCTCGTCGGCCGTCGTGTAGCTGACGAAGCCAAACTCGCGGCTCACGCCGTGCTCGTCGCGCATGACGCGCGCAGACACGATGCGCCCGAACTGCTTGAACGCCGCGAAGAGGTCGTTGGACGAGATCTCGGGGTCGAGGTTCTTGCAGAACAGGTTGCAGGGGTCGATGTAGGTGGCCGCAGAGGCCGAGTACTGCAAATTTGTGCCGGGCACGGCGATGATGGGCCCGGCCTGCTGCGAGTTGAGCTGCGGCGGGGCGGGCTGCGTGGCGTAGATCGAGCTGCTAGAGCCCGACACATTGCGCTGCGGCGGTGTGAAGGAGGGCGCAGCGGCGCTCATGCCTCGCGAGGCACCGGCGCCGGGCACGAAAGGCGCCGCAGCTGCGCTGAACTCCTGCCCACCAGCTGCGCTAGGCCGCCGCGGTGCCGAGTCGATGGCGACCGAGATGGTCTTGCCGCGCACCTCGGTGCAGTGCATCTCGTTCTGCGCCCGCGCCGCATCCTCCTCGGCGTAGAACTCGAGCAGCGCCATGCCACGGAAGCCCGTGTGCACGCCCGCCGGGTTCGTCAGGATGCGCACCGCACGTGCCAGCGGCCCGAATGGCCGGAAGAGCTCGTACACGTCGACGTCCTCGGTGCCTGGCGCGAGCTGCTTCACCAGCCGCGTCTTGGCCTGCGGCTTCGGGTCGTCTGCCGGGTCGGCAGCGACGGAGAGCTCCACGCCGCCGCGCACAGTAGCCAGTGCTCTCTCAGCTGCGACACCGTACACGTCAGCCGTGTCCCGCATCTGCAGCGCCGCTTCACGAACCTCGCTCGAGCGTCTGGAACTCCACTGTGCCGCTGGCCGTCTGCCCTTCCGGCACTGACCGGTTGATGTTGAGGCTGTGCGGTTTGGTGAGCAGCCGTGGCGACGTGCGCTTCCGCGTGATTGCTCCAGCCCTAAGGACCTGGTGGAGCGAGGCGCAGCAGGCGCAGCAAAGACGACGTCGAAGGCTCAGGCTGGCATGCCTTGCCGCGCGGAACCTACACGCCGAGCTGCTCCTGCCAGTGCTGCTGCACATGCCTCACGCCTCTTCTGGCTTCCTCATCGGTTCTGCTCCCACAATGGCCAAGCTGTGCGACTCACCGGACAGGCAGGAAGAGCTGAAACGGCCCGCTTGCGAGCTCCTTGTCCGACAGCGCAGCGTCCAGGCCGCGCACATGGAGCAGCGGGCGCGTGAGGAACGGGTGCGGCGGCGGCGGCGGTGCCTCGAGCGACTCGGCAGAGACATCTCCGGCTTCAGACACAGGTGCCTGCGCTGCGGCATCGGCGCTGGGCGCATGCTGCGATGCCTCTGCGCCGCTGCGGCCGGCGTCGGGACGCGGGGCGTAGATGGAGTCGGCCATGGCGGACGTGCGCCGGCCAAGGGTAGAGAGTGAGGATGTGGAGGTGCTGCGCTGCAATGAGAGTGAGGAGCGCAAGTCTGGAGTGCAGCTGGAGTGCTTCAGGGCTGCGTGTGGTGGGAAGCAAGGCTGTGGCGCGCTTGTGACGGGCGAGCATGGAAGAAGCGCGCACGGCACACCGCGCGCATCACACCAGAGCAGCCGCCCGCGCCGCCGCTGGCTCTCCCTTCCGCACTGCCAGATCTCTGCAGCGATGCAGCCAGACTGCTGCTCCAATGCCACGTAGCATGAGACCGCCTAATGCTCGACGTCTTTGTGGCCTCGTCGTGCTCGCCATGCGGCAGCTCAGACGCCTGAGCTGCTGTTGTGCGTGATGCCGCGGACAAAAGAGCCGTCGCCGCGAAATTTCTGGCGCGCGAACGATGCACGGCCCGCCGCGTGGCAGGAGGGGCGAGAGCAACACCCCGCGGTCACGCACAAGACGGCGACGGGCAGCAGCCTTCATTCGCAGTACGCTGAGCGCCATGACGTTGAGGAGGATCGGATGAGCTAACTGTCGGCTCTCAAGATTCGTGCATTGCGCCAGACCTTGCGTTGCCCGGCGGCAAGAGCTACGCCTCTCGCTGCCGGGCGCGTCGGCCGAGCGATCGACGTCGCATCGGCATCGGGCCTGATGAAATGTGCTCCTGGACCTGCGGCAAGCAGAGCGCATGACATTGGTGGGCCTTCGGCAGCAGAGCAGGAGCGGGTCGCTGTCCGCAGCGCCAGGCAGGCGCTGAAGCATGAGCGAGGGTTAGGTCTCTCGTGCGAGAGCCGCGAGCGAAGGCAGCAGGCGTGGGAACAGCAGCGCGGGAGCACCGAAGCGACACGTGGAAGGTGCTGGGCGCAGCACTGGCAGCCACGAGCCCCTATCGGCGCGGCCTGCTGCGCCCGCAGACCCGCGCCACGTCACACACGCCCGCCGCCGCCGTCGCCGCTTGTCTCCGCACCTCCACGTCACTCGCCTCGCCTGCCCGCCCGCCTCGCCCACGCTCTCCGTCCCGTCCGCCGCACCTGTCCTTCACGCCGTCTTCTCCTTCTCGCTATCGCGTGCGCGGCTTGACGCTCGCACCTGCTCGTACTTCTCTTTCGCCCTTGCCTACATCTCTCGACACTCTACGTCTACGTCTCTCCCAACTCACACCTGCTCGTCATGAGCGCCGCATCACCCGCCGCATCGTCGTCCACATCGTCGGCCGGCTCGCCCGCCTCCAGCTCGTCGCACACCCAGCTGGCCGGCTCGAAGCGCAAGGCGTCCGGCAAGCCCATCGACCCCGAGCGCGCCGCCCGCCTCGAGGCGCGCCAGGCGCGCAACCGTGCCAGCGCGCAGATCTCGCGCGACCGCAAGAAGGCCGCACTCGAGGGCCTCGAGAGCGAGCTCGACTCGCTGCGCCGCGACAATGCCGCGCTGCAGGCCCGCGCCGCCGAGGCACAGCGCCTCGAGACGCGCGTCGCCGCGCTCGAGAACCTTGTGCGCTGCCTGCTGCAGGCCGGCGCACCGCCGCTCGGTTCTGCCTCTCCGCTAGCCGGTCTCGCCGACTCGCTGCTCACTCCGCACGCCATCGTCGATCCCGCCGCCACTCTTTCGTCACTCAGCCCATCATCACCAGCCGCTCGCCCGCTCGTCTCCGAGCCCACAGCATCCTCATCCCTCCTCGCGCATCCGACATCGTCGCCGGCGACTCTTTCGACGCACCCCACCCACTCGCTCTTTGCAGCGCAGTCCGCAGCGCCGGCCGCGTCTCTTCCTCCCGCCGAGTCTCACGACTCGGCATCCCCAAGCGTTCGCCTCCCTGCAGCGGAGGCGTCCCGGCTGCGTGCAGCGTGTGTCGTTGACTCGACACACGCACCGCCGCGCCGGGCCCTGCAGCGGACGCTGGGGTGGAAACTGAGACAGCGGCCAATGGCAGCAGCGTGGCGAGCGTGCGAAGCAGCAGCAGTGCACAAGGTGCGCCGGCAGCAGGCGCCGGCTCGGCGATGGACGATCCGCATCCGCGTGCGCCCGCGCTCCGGCGCGGCGCCACGGAGAAAGGAGATGTGAGCCTGTGCGCTCTCAGCACGGGCGGCGACAGTGGCAAACTCGGTGGCACGAGTGACATGGACGACGCGCTCATCGGCGTCGTCCGCGGCAGCGAGGCGCCGTCGACCATGACGGCGCCCACGGCGGAGAGTAGCAGCAGCAAGGAGATCAAGACAGCAAGGAGCAGCAGCAGCGGCGGCGCAGAGCTCTTCCCGACGCTCACGGCGCCCTTCCTGCCGCCGCCGAGCACGCACGAGCACGAGGCGCTGGCGCACAGCGAGCGCGAGACGGACGCCTTCCTGGCGCTGCTCGGCCTTGCGCCTGCCTCGCAGGACGGCGAGGCCCACGGCGAGGCGATGCAGCTCGACATCCTCGACGTCGACATCGGCTTCGTCGACGAGCCGGCGTCGCGGCCGTCGCGCGACAGCGGCGCCTTCATCGACGAGCTGCTCCCGGCAGAGCTCGAGTGGACGGCCTGGGAGCGCCAGGCCCTCGCGCCGCGCGCCATCACCAGCGCGTAGCGTGCGAGCAGCAGCGTCCTCCTCGTCGTCACCTGTAGAGCATCGTCCTGTACATACTGCCTCCTGTCCTGTGCTGTCTCCTACTGTGTCAATATACTCTCTCCGCTGTCTCGCTCGTGTGATGCGTGTGATAGGCCTGAGTAGAGCATGGATTGACGTGAAGCATGAGCCGCGGGCAGACGTAGACCGTGCGGATGAGGAGAAAGAAGAGACAGACACGAGCGAATCTAGATGTGGGCGTGGAGACAGCGCAGGCGTGCGCTCATCGACGAGGTCGTCATGCGCGCTTCAGGAAGCGTCCGATCTTGCCGGAGGCGCTCGGAGACGTCGGCGAGCTGGTGTCGCGCGAGTGCGTCTTGTCGGCCGCGTCGCCGTCGTGGTCGACCGAGGCAGTGCCCGCGGGCGCCTTGCCCTTGCTGCTGGCGCGTGTGGCCTCGCCGTCGGCATGCTCGTGCGCAAACATGTCGCCGTGCCGCTCCTCGTCCTCGAACGTGGATGGCGAGCGGCGCGGCGAGCCAGCCGGCGTGTCGTACTGCTCCGCGGCGCTGTGCCCTGAAGCGGCACTGGCGCGCCGTGGGCCGTCGGGCGGCGTCGTGCCGGCGAACGAGGCACCAAGACTCGGCAGCGCGTCGTTCGCACCGCTGCTCGAGCGCAGGCCGCTGCCTCGTCCCGACAGCGGCGCTGCAAGTGTCGCAAGGAAGACCTCGTTGCGCGGCGTGCGCGACTCGTCGAAGCCGGGCGGCGCAGAGAGCGTAAAGATGTCCGCGCCTCGCGGCTGCGACTGCGGCATGTCGATGGGCGCCGAGGGACGGCGGATCATGGCTGCGGCATCAGACTCCTCCAGCTCGATGAGGTCCTCGGGCGCTACCTCGTCGTGCAGTGCGCGAATGCGCGACGACGAGCCGCCAAAGGCCGTGGAGAAGGAGTGAGAGGGGCCCGGCGAGCTCGAGACGGCCGTGTCAGGCCGTGCCCAGTCCACACCGCCGCGTGCCGAGCTCGGGCCGACGGCGCGGCGCAGATTTTGTGCAGCGGCCATCACGCCATCCGCGGTCGGCGACGTTGCCGCTCCGTGAGCACGAGTGACCGCTGCTCGTGCCAGCGGCGAGGCACCGCTCTGAGCGCTGCTGGACAGGTGCCCGGCGCCGGCAGCCTCGGGCGTGGCTTGCGGTGCAGCTGACGAGGAGGTAGCAGTAATCTCTGCCAGGCTGCTCTCGGGCACGACGACCAGCGAAGCAGTGGGGTCTGGCAGCTCCGCCATGGGCGTGGCAGCTGCTTTTGCGGCATCGGCGGCGTCCGCCTCGCGAATGAGCGCCTCCTGCCACTCGTCATCTTGCTCCACGTCCGCCTCGAGGTCGGCGAACGTGCGGCAAAGCGGACATGAGAAGCCCGGGTGGTGCATCGCCAGAAGCGGCCGAATGCACTTGTAGTGGAAGACGTGCGAGCACGGCGCGATGAAGAGCGACTGGCAGACGGTGACCGAGAACAGACCTGCGCCAGAGCCACTGCGTCAGCTCCGCGCTCGTGCGCCAGGATCACCGCCAGCACTTACAGATGCAGCAGTCAGTCACGCTCATCGCCTGCAGGTTGGTGGGCACCGCGCCGCCTTCCGCCTTCTCCTTCGACGCTGAGCCCTCAGCCGGGCCGCCTTGCAGCGCTCTCAGCTGTCGCAGCGCATTCACGCTGCCAAAGACGGTCAGCAACACGCGCATGCAACCTCTGCCGCGATGCTCACTTGAACTGGTTGGCGCCGCGCTGCCAGCCGCGGTTGAGCTCAACGCGCATCTTCACGCAGCGGTACACCTCCTCCGTGCCGCCCTGGTAATCCACGCCCAGCTGGATCACGTCGCCATCCTTGATGGCAAACGGCCGGCTCTCGGCATTGGGCGCCGAGAGGCGGATGTGGTTCAGGAACGTGCCGGACGACGACTTGGTGTCGCGGATGAAGAACTGCGAGGCGGCAGGCCTGTATCAGCTGCCTGGCGTACACGAGCTGCTCCGTTCTGCGCTCACCTTGCCGCCGCTTTCGCACCACAGCTCGGCGTGGCCGCGGCTGACAACCTTGCTCTTGAACGCCACGCGCGTCGAGTCAAGACGGCCGCCTCCGCCAGCCGAGCTCGTCGCAGCTGCGCCTGGCCGCGCAGCTGACTCGCCAGCTGCGCCCGCATGTGACGTGGCTGGTCCGCCCAGCGTCACGTCGGCCATTGTCGCGCTGTTTGTCATGCCCATCTCGCTCGCCGGTGCAGCAGCGGCGGCAGTGCGATCGGTGAAGCGACCCATCTTGACGAGGCACGCCTCGCCCTCAGCCACGTCACGCTCGATGGGCTCGAAATGCAGCGAGCGGGTGGCCTCAAGGTGCGGCACGAGCCGGATGCGGTGCACCGTGCCTGGCGCGTGCGCAGCCGCTGGCGTTGCCTCGGCCGTTGGAGAGACGTCCGCCGCATCGGCTGCCTCTGCGCCCCGGCCGGAGTGGTTGCTCGCCGCTCGCGAGCTCGTAGCGTCGGGCGCAGCAGAGGGCTGCGAGCCCGAGCCGTTTGGCCGTGCCTCGCTCGTCGGCGAGGCTGCGGCAGGCGCATCTGCGCGGGCAGCACCGCTGATGCGCCGCACCATGCGCCCGAAGGGGTTGTTGGTGCCGTTGCCGCTGCCGCTGCGTATCATGCCTGGAGCGCCAGGCGACTCGGGCGGGCCATTGGCGCCTGGGCGGCCGGACGAGGTGCCGCGTGAGAGGCCCGGGCGGCGCGTGGGCACCTCGGGCGACGCAGGAGCCTGCGGGCTCTGCGGCAGCTGGCCAGACGAGGCGCTGAAGGAGCGCGGAAAAGCGAGGCCGGCGCGGGAGAAGCCCGAGGTAGAGCGGTTGAGCTCGCTGAAGTCCTCGTTGGACGGCGACGCGATTGGCGTGCCGCTGCCGTTGCGGCGCGCCTCAGAGGTGCGTGGGCGGAAGTGCCGCATGAACGACGAGGCCGACGAGGGCGTCGTGGCGCCCGAGGCGGGGGCGCGCTCCATGCTGTGCGTGCGGCAGCGGCGGCGCCGAGTGTGGTGGTGCCAGTGTGGGGTGCGGAGGAGCGGGCGCGACGACGAGGAGCGAGCGCGCACAGGGCACACTGCTGCTTGCTGCGAGAGTGGCTGGCGGCAGGTAGATGCTGCGGATGCCTGACGCCGAGTGCGGCAGCTGGCGCGTCGTGTGCGGTGTCGGAGCGCGGGGGCCGGCTGCAGGCGTGCGGAGTTGCTGCAGCGCACGCGATGCGGAGTTGCTGCAGCGCACGCGATGCGGAGCTGCCGACGCTGTTGGCACTGCGGCACAACGACAAGGTGTCTCGAGCGGCGAACTCGCGATGCTGCTGCAGAGGAGATACGCAGCTCGGTGCTGGAAGAGGACAGGTCTGGCGACGCTGTGCGGAAGAGGGGCACGTCTGTGCGCGGAGAAGGAGCAGCACCCAGCCACAGGCGCTGCGGAGTGACTGCGTGCGCGCGGCGGCGGCGGAGGGAGCACGAGGGTCGCTTGTGCCGGCTGTGGGCACGCGAAGCGTCGGTGGAGTGGCTCGCGGGTGTGCGAGGATGGTGGTGGTAGCAGCTGAAGCGACAGGGCGACCAGCACAGCAGCAGCAGCCTCGGGCGGAGAGGAGGCGAGGCCGGGGCGCTGCGGCCGCCGGCTCGGCAGGCGCGGGATGCTGTGCCTGCTCGCCGAGGCCGCGGCTCGCGCTCGGCAACGGCGGCGTGGGCGGCGCCGCATCCGCTCCGCTGGCGCGCTCCGCATGCACGCAAGGCGCCGCCGCGCCGCTGCCAGGCTGGCGCCAGTGCTTGCCTAGCGCAGGCCGCACTCATCACTCGAGCATCGCATAGCATGCTGCCCTGTTGCTACTGCTTGTTGCTGCTCTTTGGCTCTCGCTGGACGACATCTGGGCCAGCTCGCAGCTTCGCGATGTGGTGGCCATCGCGAGCTGCGGCGCAGGTGCAGGACCGCAGTTCGCACGCCTCGGCATCTCCGCCAAGCCGCGGGCCGGCGCCTTGGTCAAGCCCTCTGACGGCATACAGGCACACCCTGCCCTGATGGAAGCAGCTGGGCCGTGGTGGGGCAGGGGCAGGCCCGTCATGATTTCGAGGGCAAAAGCGAGCTTGCTCGCGGCCGTGCGGCCGTAGAAGGAGCGAAGTGAAGAGGCTGCCCGGAAATAGAGACGGCGGTGCAGCTCGGCCTCGGCGGCCTCGGCGCGCGCCCTCTTGCGGCGTGCCTTGCCTCTCCTCCACCACATCCAGCACGAGGGCAGCCGCAGCACAAGCAAGCCAAGCTCCGGCATCGGAGCCGCCGGTCAAGCCCAGGCGTCAAGCGGTGCTCCAGAGATCGTATCTGTCGGCGTACCTGCAGCGCTCGCATACCTGCAGCGCTCGCATCATGGCCGAGCGTGCCTCTGTGCCGGCCGCGAGTGCCTACAGCACGCCTCCCACCGTCCGTCTCTCGCCGGACGAGCTCTCGCGGCTTGGCCGTCTGCTCTCCCTTACGGCGCTTCTCGCGCTCGTAGTGCTGCCTCTCGGCATCCTCGGCGGCTGGGAGCTGCTCTTTGCGCCGCTCCACCTCTCGCCGGAGCGCCGAGCAGAGCTCTGGCTCGAGCCGCCGTTCTGCTGGGCCTACTTCCTGCCGCTCGTGCCGCCGCTCGGCCTGTACATCGTTATTGCGCGCTGGAGCGGCGAGAAGGCTTTCCGTCACTCATAGACGGCCTGGACTCTCAGCTCACCACGCCCACTCGCACAAGTCTGCCGCGCCATCACCGCGTCCAGCGTCTATACCGCCCGTAGACGCAACGGCGGGCGTTTGAGGCAGGACAGCGCATCTGCCGCCGCCGGGCTCGCGCATTACGGACGGGCACAGCCGCTGCGCTGTCGATACGCGAGCAGCGCGCTCACCCGTCTGGCTTTCAACTTACGACATGGCCTGGGCGTGCGCCGTCGCAAGGCACGCATCAAGCCTCGGCACTCGCCGCCCCGGTCCGGCTCGCCGCGCAACACTGCCTCGAGGGCGAATGCGAGACGACAAGCCCGCTCAGTGTAGGCAATAGATGGCATGCGGGGCTAGAGTACAGAGGAGGGTGATATGACGGGAGCAGGCGGTGACGAAAGATGCAGACGAAGCGGCAGGACAAGGGACCGAGGTGCGATGCGAGGCGGCGGCAGGCCGGCGATGGCCATCAGGCGTAGCGCTCGAGCTCCAGCGTGAGCGTCGCACTGGCGCCGACAGCCTGGTCGCGATACACGCCGGCCAGCGCCTGGGCCCGCTCGTACAGGCTGGCCTTGAGCGAAATGACGATGAACTGCATGCGCTCGCTGGCGTGTGCGCGGATGTAGTTGGCCACCTTGGCCACGTTCTGCGAGTCGCTGTGGGGAGAGCGCGGGCGTGAGCTCGGCAAGCACGGGAACAGCAGCGGCAGCGGCACGCACAGAGCAGCATCGACCTCGTCGAGGAAGAAGAACGGTGCGGGCTTGAAGCTCGAGATGGCAAACAGCAGCGCCAGCGCGCCCATCGTCTTCTCGCCGCCGGACAGGTCTGTCATGTCGCGGAAGCGCTTCATCGGCGGCATGATGTGGTAGCGCGCGCCCGAGAGGTACGGCTCCTCGGTGTCCTCGAGACTGAGGTAGGCCACGCCGCCCATCGGCGACGCCTTGCCCTTCGTCAGCTCCTTGTACACCTTGTCGATGCGCTCCGAGATGTGCGTGAAGGCGGCGTTGAAGAGGTCGCAGCGCTTCTTCTTGATGCGGTTGAAGTCGTCGCGCGCCTTCTGCGCCTCGGTACGCGACTTGTTGAAGTCGCGCTCCGTCTCCTTGAGCTTCGACTCGGCGTCGTCGAGACTGTGGCGTGCTCGCGTCAGTGCAGGCCGGGCGCAAGGCATGTCCGAGGTACGAACCGGTCGATGGCCTTCATGTTCGGCTGCATCTGCTCGATCTGCGACGTCACGTCGTCGATGCGGCCCTGCAGCTCGCGAGCCATCTCGTCACCGCCGTTCTGCGTCGCTGTCGTCAACACAGAGCAGCGTCACAACGCTACACGCTACGCACCTCCTTCTCCTCCTCGTCAAGGTCATCGAAGTCGACCTCGATGCCGTAGTCACGCGCCTGAATCGCGAGCTGAGTCACGTCCTCGTCGATCTCCATGGGCGCGAGGTCCGGATTCTACGCGGCGAGGTCAGCATAGTTGCAGAGCATCGAATCGGCGCGACTCACGTCCTCGAGCGGCACGTTCTTCAGCGAGCCCTGCGTGAGCGGCAGGGCGATCTCGTCGAGGCGGCAGCGCCGGTAGATGGACGAGCGCTCGCTGTTGAGCTTCTCGATGGCGTCATTCCAGTTGGAGATCTCCTTGATGGACGCGGCGAGCGCCTTGCTGGCCTGCGCCTCTGCCTTCTTGGCGTTGGACAGCGCCACCTTCTTCTCCTCGGCCTCCTCCTTGAGCTCCGCCAGGCGCTTCGTCAGCTCGGCGATCTCCGCCTTGATGGCCTCGATCTGTTGCTGCAGCTCGGCCTTCTCCTGCGTCAGGGCAGCCATGCGCTCCGTCTCCTTCGTCACGACGCGCTGGTTGAGCTCGAGCCGTGCGTTGAGCTTAGCAAACTCGCTCTCCTCGAATGCCAAAGTGTGCTGCAGGCGCTTCATCTGCAGCTCGAACTCCTGCCGCGCGTCCTTCTCGCGCTCCAGCACCTGCAGCTGCCGGCCGCGGTACTCGCGGATGTGCTCGACACCGATGCGGGCGCAGAAGGCGGCAAAGACGTCGTCGTCGGCGGCATTGATCGTGTCGGTGAGCGCCGCAAAGCGAGCGTCACTCGCCGCCAGCACCTGTTGGGCTTCCGCCAGTTTCGGCTGCGTCTGCGCGAGCTGCTCGTTGATCACCTTGAGCTCCGCCTTGGCGCCCTTCAGGCGGCTGTCGATCGAAGCCTGGGCAGCGAATGCGGGTCAGCCTCCTGGACGGTGCGCCGACCAGTCAAGCAGCTCACCATCTCGTCGCGCTGAATAGCAAGCTCAGCCTCGATGCGGCCGATCTTGGCCTGCAGCTCGTCGTCCCTGGACAGCTCGTGTCGCCGCTTGCCCAGCTCCTTGAGCTCGGACATGCATGTGTCACGCTGGCGCTGCAGCTGGGCGACCTCGTTGTCGTCCCACGGCTGCGTGCGCGTCTCTCCCGACACACCACCGGTCATGTTGCCGTTCTTGTGAATGAGGGTGCCATCAAGCGTCACAGCTGTGTACACATGTCAGCAGTCGCTCGGAGTGCGAGGCAGGTGACAGCGCACCTTTGACTTCTTGCTTCTTCTCGTAGCAGATCATGCGCGCGATCGCGATCGTGTCGCACACGAGCGCATTGCCGCACGCAAAGTGCATGGCGCGCTCGATCGAGGCATCGAACTGCAGCACGTCGACGGCAAGGCGTGCACCCGTGGCAATGTTGCGCAGGCGGTCGTTGATGGGCTTGACCTGGATCGTCTCCAGCGGGATGAATGTGGCCTGGCCGGCGCGCTGGTTGCGCAGGTACTCGATGCAGTCGATGGCCGTCTTCTCCGTGTCGACGATGACGGCGTCGTTGTTGCGTCCGAGCACTGTGGCGATCGCCGTGTCGTACTTGCGCTGCGTTGGCTTGCAGAGGTCGACCAGACGGCCGCGCACGCCCGGGAAGGTGCGCTGCAGAGTGGCGAACGTGTTCTTCATACGTGTCTCGCGCTCCGTCTCGCGCGCAGCACTGCCGGCCTGCAGCAGCTTGGTGATGCACGTCTGCAGGGTCTCGTTGAGCTTGTCCTCGGTCCGTCTGAGGCAGCGTTAGCAAAAGGCATCCGCGGTGCGTCACACGCAACTCACTTGATCTCGTCGCGCTGGGCCTGCACACCCTTGACTTCTGCCTTGGCAGCCTTGAGCTGCGAGTCAAGGTCCTTCTGCGTGGCGCTGACTGCTGCCCGACGGCTGGTCTGCGCGTCGACAATGTCCTGCTGCTTCTCCTGCGACCTCTGCAGGGCTGCCAGCTTCTGCTCCAGACCCCTGAGGGTAGTCTCCTGTGCCCTGCGCTCACGCCCGAGCGTCTCGAGCTGCAGACGCTCAGCAGTAGCGCGCAGGTTCGCCTGTTGCTCGCTGAGATTGCGAGGCGTCAGTAGCGCACATGCAGCTGACGAAAGAGCGACTCACAGCTCGTGGTACTCGGCCAACTCCTGCCCGCTCAACGTCTGCCCGCGCGCCTCCGCTGCCTTGCGCTGCTCCTCCGCCGCCTCGTCTGCTGCGCGCTTCGCAGTCTCATGGTCCTGCTTCAGCTTGGCGATCAGGGTGCGGTACTTGTCGACGTCGCGCTTCGTCGCCTCGCAGAGCTTCTCGGCGCGCTCGCGCTTGCGCAGCGAGTGCGCCATCTTCTCGTCGAAGGCGTCCAGGCCCGGTTGCTGCTCCGCGCGTCAGCCATGCGCGCGTTGGTCCCTCGCGGAGCACTCACTTGATTCTCCAGGTCCTTCTCCCTGCGGCGCACCGCCTTGTCCTGCTTGGCAATGTCCTTCTCCGCTGCGTCGCGCTCCTTGCGCGCAGCCTCGACGCCCTTCTCGTCGTCGCGCACCTGATTGCGCATGGCCGGCAGCTTGGCACTCTCGTCGTCGATCTGCGTCGAGTTCTGCTCGAGCTCCTCCTCGATGTGGTACAGACGCCACAGGATGTGCTGCATGACGTGGGCGTCCTAGGGCAGAGTGTGGTCAGCAACGCTGAGGCGCGCTGCGCGGAGGCGCACAGACTCACCCGCTCAGCCTGCAGCTTCTCGAAGCGCTCCGCCTCGCTCTTCTGCTCGCGGAACGTCTTGAGCTCGGCATTGATGCCCTTGCGCTTGTTGAAGGTGAACGTCGAGTTTTCGACGGCGCGGTCCTGCGCCGCCTTGGCGCGCTCGTACTCGTCCTTGTACTCGAGCGAGCCCGAGATCTGGTCGATGAGCTTGCTCAGCTCCTTGGCGCCCTGCGACGCGACGGCCTCGACGTCGCCCTGGAAGACGAGAAAGTTCTTGGCCTTGACGAGGATGTTGAAGGAGTGCAGCCGCTCGTTGTACGTCGCAGCCGACATGACCTTGTTGTTGATGCGGTACTCGGACGCGCCGGCCGTCGTGATGCTGCCCGCCGAGGCGCGTGAGCCTGGCCCAGCGCATGTCCCTCCCGGACGCAAGAGTCTTCCACCTCCTCCACCCGCAGACGATGATCACTCACGTGCGCTGGAAGCGGTACTCGGCGCCCTTGTTGTCTCTGTAGACGGCCGTGACACTGGCTCGCGTGGCCGTGCCTTCGCCCTGGGTGCCCTCGCCCCCCTCGCCATCATCATCGCCGCCCATCTGGCGCCCGCGGTAGATCAGGTCGCGCAGCTGGGTGGATCGCAGCTGTGCGCTCTTGACGCCGAGCACGAAGGACACGGCGTCCATGAGGTTCGACTTGCCCGAGCCATTGGGACCGACTGCGGGACAGGCCGCGTCAGCAGAGCGCGCACACGCACGCGCCTCTCCACACGCGCCGAGACGACGCACTGATGGCGCTGAAGGAGAAGAACGGCCCGATGATCTGCTTGCCCCGGTAGGACTTGAAGTTCTCGACCTCAAGGCGCACGAGCGGCATCGTGGGCGATGCTCTGCTGTGGGAGGGCGCGCAGCGGTGTGGAGTGACGGTGGGAGGTGGGCCCTGCGCCGCCGTGCGCCACAGGCAGGCAGGCGCACAGGCGCAAGCAGCGGACGCGTCGCGCCGTGTTGCTCTTTACGCGCCGCGCGGGCGTCGCTCTCGCAAGTGGCCTCCGCCACTGGCGCCCCCGCCCCCCCCCCCCCCCCCCCCCCCCCCCCCCCCCCGATGGGCCTCTCACAGCGACGGCAGCGGCGACAGAGTAATGCGATAGAGATTGTGGTGCTGAGACTGGCGCAAAAAGGCGGCCGATGTACTACAGGCGCATGCGCGGCAAGGGATGTGGTATGCTGGGACGGCGGAGGATGAGACGCAGAGAGTGTGATGCGGTGAGGTCGAGCGGCAGTGCTGAGGGTATACGCTGGAGGACGGGGTGACGGAGAGGCAGGAAGCGGCAATCAGGCAAGCTGGGCATACTCGCTCGAGCGCCGGTCGACGTCCGGACCAGGCGCCTCGTCGTCGACGACGAGCGCGCTGCTCAGCTCCTCGCGCGGCGTGCCGTTGGGGCCCGTCTCACGCGACAGGTCCGAGAAGGGGCCCTCCATCGCAGCGACGGAGCGGCGCGCGTTCGAGCTGGCACGGCGCAGGTGTGCCGTCGGGCGCGCAGCAGCGTGGCCGCTGCTCACTCGCCGTGCCAGTGGCGTCGAGCGGTCGCCGCCCTCGAGCTTCGCCTGCTCGCGCCGGCGCTCTTCCTCGTAGCTGTCATCGACGTGCGGCGCATCCTGGCTCAGGTCCTGGTCGGACATGAGCGCGACAGTGCCCTCCGAGATCGGACGCCCGCGTGCCCGCTCGGCGGCGCGTGCCAGCCACTCGTGCCGCTCAGCGACGCTCTGGAAGTCCTGCTTGAGCGTATCGAGCGGGCGCGTGCCCTTGGTCGCCGAGTCCTGCAGACCGAAGAGCCCAGAGACGCGCTCGCGCAGGCCGGGCGCCTTGACGCCGCCGACGAGCACGAACGGCTGGTCGCCGTCGACGGGCGACATGGGCGTGCCGCCGCTGCTGCTCGTGCGGCTGAGCGTGCTGACGTTGCTGGCGCGCCGCACGGGCGGAGGCGGTGGCACCGGGTTCTGGTGCATCGCACCGCGCTCCCGCGACGCACGCTCGCGCTCTCGCTCGAGGACGATGTGCGGCGGAATGCCGACCTCTGCCTTCTTGCTCGGCGGCACGAGGCGCAGGCCACCGCCTTGCGGACCCTCCTGGCGCGCCGGCTTGCCGAAGCCCGCGTAGGTGCCCGAGTCGAGCTGCGCCGGCTTCTCGTCGACCTTCTTGCGCGGCGGCGCAGGCGGCACACCCGCTGCCCGGCTCTGCAGTGTCTTGCTGCGGCCCAGTGGGCGCAGCAGGCCATCGGCGTCGCCGCGCCCGCTCATGGTGCCGTCGCTGTTGCCGCGCACCCATGCGTTGTCCGGCCGCGGCAGGTCTCTGCCGTCGAGCACCGCAGCGGCGGCAGCAGCGCGCGCGACCGCCAGCTTCGTCAGCGGCTCGCCGGGCGACGTCGGCGGCTGGGCGTCGGCGTCGCGCGCGCTGCGCAGGAAGAAGGGGTTGTTGCGGTCGATCGACGCCGCGCGGCTCGCCTGCTCGCTGCTGAGGCCGCCGTCATCATCGTCCATGTCGTTGTCCAAGAACTCGATGCGCGACGAGGTGACGCTTGGCGGCGCGTCGGGCGGCGCATGTCCGGAATGCTGCCGGTGATGCGAGTAGTGCGCAGAGGACGAGCGCGGCAGCGAGGCGCCGCCGTCGGCCAGGGCTGAGCGTTGCAGCTCCTCCTGCTCGCGCAGCCACGACGGCAGGCCGCCGCTCTTCGACTCTCTGCCGATAGAGCCGTACGATGCCTTCGGCTTGTACGTCGGCGTCACGCGCGCAACGCCTCCGCCGCTGACGGCCCGCGGATGCCTGAGTGTCGGCCCGTTCTGCGCCCCATCTCGCCCATCGTCCACCGAGTCGTCGCCACTGAGCCCGCGCAGCATGCTAGGGCTCGGCAGCTCGCTGACGCTGCGTTTCGGGTCGTGTCCAGACGAGCTGGTGGGCTTGCGCTTGCTGTGGTGCGTAGGCGGCGGCGCGACGGGAGCCGGGATCGGTGCTCCTGGGGGCGGCGCCTTGCCGTCCAGTAGCCGCGGCGCACTCTTCTTCACGGGCGCGCCAGAGCTCTGCAGCACCGTGTACGTCTTGGGCGGCAGCGCCTCTTGCTTGCGGCGGACCTCGCGACTTGCCGCCAGGCCCGCCTGGATGAGCGGGTTGGCTGCGCGCGGCGGCAGCGGCGGAGGTGGCCGCTCAGCGCCCGATGGACGTGGCGGCAGCGGCGGCGAGTTGAGCGCGCCGACGCCGACAGCCGTGCCCTCTGTCACGCTCGTGCCCGGGCTGTCTACGCGGTCATCATCGCGCGCGGAGCCTCTTCGGCCCGGCACCGAGACGAGGCCCCCGCGGAACGGATTCGCACCTGCGCGCGCATTCGGCGGCGGCGAGGGCGAGCCGAGCACCGAAGTGCCGGCATTGGCGACGACTGGGGTCGGGCGCACCAGCTTGGTCGACGTCTTGGCGGCGTTCTTGAACGGATTCGGCGCCGGGTCGAAGCCCAAGATGCCAGAGCCGACGACAGGCGATGCGCCTGCTGCGCTGGTCGAGCCAGACGCCGCCGGCACGCCAATGACCGGAGTTGGCCGGAATGGATTGGCGGGGCGCAGGTGGTCCTCGTTCGAGGCCGTCTGCGCAGCGCCGCCCGTCGGCGTAGGGATGAGCGGCGGCTGCAGCTTCGCGCTCGAGATGACGGGCGTCGCTGGCGGCGGCGCGGCACTCGCGGCGGCTGCCTTGCCTGGCTTAGCCGGCACCTCCGGCGGACCACTCCGGCTGGGTGACTGAGCGCTTGCGGCAGGAGGTGCTGCGCTTGCGGCGGAATTCTTGGCTGCGATCGTCGCGACATGCTGAGGCGGCGGCGGAAGCGGGCCCGTCGCAGCCGCTGCGCTGAGGCCTGTTTTTGGCGGCGGCGCCTGAGTGAAAAGCGCGTCCAGAGAGATAGCATCGCCTCGCTGCGCATGCGAGGTGAGGCGCAGGAGCGCATAGAAGACGCCCGAGGGCAGACCATACGGGAAGCGCTCGAACAGCGACAGCATCTGCGCGCAGTGTCAGTCAGATCGGCACCGCATTGGACACCATGCTATCTGCAGCAGCACTCACCAGCACCTCATCCTGCACCGAAAGATTGCACTCGTCGCGCAGGAAGCGCAGCGCATCGCTCTCTTCTGCGCAGTCGGCAGCGCCGCTGCGCGCCTGCCTCAGGCCGGCAAACCACTGCGGGAAGCAGCCATACTCGGCCGGCGAGAGTGCCGAGGGATGCAGCAGTGCCGGGCGCGCATCAGCCAGCGCCGCCGCCGATGTGGATGCAGCGGATGCGGCAGCGGCAGCGGCGAGCGAGCCGGCAGGCGCCTCCATGCTCGGACGGCCGTACGAGCCGGAGCCGCTGGCAGTGCGCGCGAGCGAGCGCGGCGTCGAGGCGGCCATGGATGGATAAGGATGCGCGCGCGCAGGCGTGGCAGCGGCGACGAGTAAAGACGCCGGCAGCGGCGGCGGCGGCGCGGATGGCGCAGGCTCGAGCACGCAGAGACGGTGCTGCGCGCGCGAAAGCCGAGGCAGCTGTGTGCGGGTGGCGGATAGCGATGGGGCGAGGCGGTGGGCGTGGAGCGCAGGATCGCGCTGCTGGGCGTGGTGGTGGAGAGGGCAGGGCCGAGCGGAGTGCGCGGCGCGTTGATGATGAGCGCGAGCTGCTGCTGAGCTCGAGGCGCGCGGCGCGGCGCCGGACGCCGCGAGCCGGCACGCACGCACGCAGAGGCCGCACCCGGCGCCGCAAGCTTGGCTGCACCGCCCGCCGCTCAGCACTCAGCGCCGCCCAGATACACCTTCCGCAGCATGAGCCTATTCGCCTCTTCATCCGCGATCGCCTTGTGTTCTGTCACTTCCGCGCGAGGAGGCAGCGCGCCGCAGCCGCGAGCCTAGACAGATCTGGGGGCGCACAGGAGGCTGATGAAGTGACCCTGAGCCGAGCATCGCGGCCCGGAGGAGGCGACGCGGCGCGCCCAGACGTCACCCCTGGCGCCGCACCGAGCGGCGGCCGGGAAGATGTGCGCACGTCGTCGAGCCGCAGAGCACGCATCGCGCTTCGCGCATGTGAGCATGAGCACAAGCACGGAGCGGCAACGGCGGCACAGGCCGCAGCGCCGTCGCCATTCGGAGCCCGACAGCACGGCGATCCGGGGACGGGCGCTGCGAGCGCCACACGCAGGCGGCGAGACAGCGCTGCAGGCGGATCCGCCCATCGCCCCCCCTCGCACGCTCGCAGCAACTGCGGGGTGACGCTGCATGCTGCTGCGGCACACCTCCTCGAGCCGGCATGCTCGGCTCGCAAGCACGTCTGACAGCGCCGACGATGGCGCTGGGCCGCCGTCCTCGCATCGACGAGCGCGCGGTTTGCGAGCGCCATCCGCGGACGTCACGCCCGCCGCGCGCCTCTCATGCGGGCAGGGCCGTCCGAGCCAAGGCCCGATGCGGCTCGGCTTTCTGCGCTGCTCAGCGTCAAACGTGCCTTGGCCCACGCGGACGCGGCAGCGGCAGCGGCGCCGGACGGCGGGCGAGGGCGAGCTCAAAGCGAGCGCTGCGTGGGCTCGGCGCGACGTCATCAGGCATCACGCGCGGCGCGGCGCTCGCTCGGTGCATGCAGTCCCTCGAGGTCACGTGCATGCTCCTCGCGTTCCCCCTGCTCCTCCAGCTCGCCGTGCAAGCTCGTATCTACCCCTCACTCGAAGCTCGCTGGAAGCGCTATACCTTGCGAAGGGGCTGGAGCGACCTCTCTGGACGCATCACAGGTTCAGCGTATGGCAGCGATCCAATGCCGCCAGCCGCTCTGCAGCGGCGCCTTGCCCTGTGCCCCGGCCCCCTGTCCTCGGCAGGCTGCCGTAAACCCGAGCTCGACGCCGAGGAAGGCCAAGCTTCGTTCTCGTGCCTCACTCAAGGTTTGACTGGTGCGGAGTGGTGAGCGAGAAGAGAAGAAGTAGAGCGAGGGCACAGGCATCGGCGGCGGAGGCAGAGCAACACGACGCGCGGCGGACGCGTTAAGTGGCGCGCGCGCGCGACGCGTGCGTGCGCTGCCGCGGCTGCGGCTGTCGTGCGCTTGCTGCGCACCCGCCGCGCTCCTCCGTCCAACACCACCACCCTCTCCCTCCTTATCCGACACGCTGCCCAGCATGTCGCTCTCCGACCTCACGCCCGGCGCCATCTCGGCGATGCTCGAGACGCAGGACCCGGCACAGGCCATCCAGGATCCCGTGTGCCAGGTGCTGAGCGTCAAGAAGATCGCCGCCACCAACGCCACCGCACCCGACCGCTGGCGCATCATCCTCAGCGACGGCAAGTACTTTGCGCAGGGTGAGTGGCCGCAGCGCGGCGTGCGGCATGCACCGACGCGCGCCCGTACTCACTCTGCCACGCAGCCATGCTGGCCACGCAGCTCAAGCACCTCGTCGAGAACAACGAGCTCGACCGCAACTGCCTCGTGCGCGTCACGCAGTACGCCGCCAACAACGTGCAGACGCGCCGCATCCTCATCCTGCTCGCGCTCGACGTCGTGTCGCCGCCGACGGCCGGCCGCCTCGGTGACCCGTCGAGCTGGGACCAGCGCGGCGCCAATGGCAGCGCTCCTGCGCCCGCTGCGGCGGCGGCTGGCGGCTCGGCGCAGGTGAAGCGCGAGGGCGGCGCAGCGCCGGCGAACGGCACGCACCGCCCCAACGCACCTGCTGCGGCGCGCCCGGCTGCCGGTGGCACCAGCAAGGCGGGCCCGCGCGGCGCCGGCGGCATGCCCATCTACCCCATCGAGGGCCTCTCGCCGTACCAGAACAAGTGGACGATCAAGGCGCGCGTCACGTCGCGCTCCGAGATCAAGCACTGGTCGAACCAGCGCGGCGAGGGCAAGCTCTTCTCCGTCAACCTGCTCGACGAGAGCGGCGAGATCAAGGCGACAGGCTTCCAGGACGCCGTCGACAAGTACTACAACGTGCTGCAGGAGAACAAGGTGTTCTACATTTCCAAGGCCAAGGTCAACATTGCCAAGAAGCAGTTCTCGTCGCTGAAGAACGAGTACGAGATTACGTTTGAGCGCGACACGGAGATCGAGGAGGTGAGTGGCGCGGGCGAGGGGGCGTGAGCTGCGGCAGAGCACGACGCTGACTGCCGCTGCGCAGTGCACCGATGCCAGCGACGTGCCCGAGGTCAAGTACGAGTTTGTGCCGCTCGACCAGCTCGAGAGCGTCGAGGCGAACCAGGTGTGCGACGTCGTGGCCGTCGTTGAGAGCGTCGGCGACCTCGGCGAGATCATCTCCAAGGCGAGCCAGAAGCCCGTGGCGAAGCGCGAGCTCACGCTCGTCGACCAGAGCGGCCGCTCGGTGCGCATGACGCTCTGGGGCAAGACGGCCGAGACGTGGGGCACGCCGGCGGGCCTCAATGGCGGTGTGGGTGTCGGCGACGGCCAGAACCCGGTCGTGGTCTGCAAGGGCGTCAAGGTGGGCGACTTTGGCGGGCGCAGCCTGAGCATGTTCAGCTCGTCGACGATGCTCATCGACCCCGACCTGCCCGAGGCGCACGGCATGCGCGGCTGGTACGACGAGGACGGCAAGAAGGGCGGCTTCAAGCCCTTCACCAACGCCGGCGGCGGCGGTGGCGGCGGCGGCGATGCCGGTGCGAATGCCAACGAGCGCCGCACCATCGGCGCGGTCAAGGACGAGGGCCTGGGCACGAACCCGGAGAAGCAGGACTACTTCAACATCCGCGCCACCGTCGTGTACATCAAGCAGGAGAACCTGTTCTACACGGCGTGCCCGTCGGACAACTGCAACAAGAAGGTGACGCTCGAGGGCGACAACTCGTGGCGGTGCGAGAAGTGCGACCGCACCTACCCCGAGCCGCAGCGCCGGTGAGTGCCTAGCTGCAGATGCAGGCACGCCGTCACTGACACGTGCGCGCAGCTACATCCTCGCTGCCAACGTGCAGGACTTCTCGGGCCAGATGTGGCTCTCGGGCTTCAACGACATCGGCGAGCAGCTCATCGGCCACACCGCCGACGAGCTCAACGCGATCAAGGTGTGTCTGGGTGACACACGGGCCACGCCACGCAGCACTGACGCCTCTTGCGCGCGCAGGACGAGAACGAGAGCGAGTTCCACTCGATCCTGCACAAGGCCGCCAACAAGATGTACGTCTTCAACTGCCGTGCCAAGCAGGACACCTTCAACGTGAGTGCTGCCCGAGGTCGTCGTGCCAGAGGCGCCGCGCATGCCCACCGCTTGCGCATCACAGGACACGACGCGCATCCGCTACACCATCACCAAGGCCGGCGGCGTCGACTACTCCAAGTTTGGCCAAGAGCTCATTGCCTCGATCAAGAGCCTCATGTAACGCATTCCGGCTCTGCCACGCACGACGCCGGCCGCCTCGCTGGCCGGCGTCCCGCAGCGCGCCTCAGCATGTTCCCCCGATCCTGTACACTAGCCCCTGTTCCGTGCTCCGCCCCAATCGATTCCGCTACTTCACTGTGCTCGCTCGTCTCCAAGGTCATCAAATTTCCGGATCACAAACGGTGACGGGGCGTGCGATGGCACTGAGCGCGTGGAGTGCGCGGCGGTGCCCAGGACGGCTTCCCTGCGAGACAGAGCGCAAGAGACGCGCGCGGGGATGAAGCGGGAGCGGATGGTACGAGGCGCATTCGACCGCTATTGCGGCGAGGCGGCGCCCGAGCTGTGGTCGGCGCTGTTGGCCTTGGGGGGCGTCGGCGCGGCGGCCTGCATGTCGGCGACGGCAGGACGCTTCGGCTCGTTGGCGCCGGCGGCCTGCGTCTCGAGGGCGTGCGCGACGGCCGCGAAGGGCGCCTGCGTGCGCACCACCTCGGCATCGCGCATCTCGTTGGCGCTCACCTCCTCGCTGAGGCTGTGCGTGCGCGCGCGGCGCTGCTGCGTCGAGGCGCTGTTCGCGTCTGGCAGCGCAGAGGTGCGGACGCGCGGCGACGTCGACACGGCCGGCGTCATCATCGGCGCCATGGCCTTGAGGTCGGTGAACGAGCGGTTGCGCTTCGCCTCGAACGTCTCGCTGCCGCTACGGTTGCGGCTGTGCCGTCCGGCGCCGGGGCTGCCAGGGCTCTTCGGGTCGTCGCCCGAGAAGAGACGTGCGGGGTTGAGCATGCGGAAGATGGCCTCGTAGTCGCCCTCTTCTTCCTCCTCAGCCGCGCTGCTGTACTCCGACTCGTCGTCCTCCTCGATCTCGCCTTCGGGAGACTCGACAGAGCTGCCTGCCTCGCCTGCCACGCGCTTGCGGCCCGCAGGCTTCTCGCCACTGAACTCGGCAGCGGTGAGGGCGCGCGTGGTCGTCGAGCCGCGGCGCGTCGGCTTGGCCGACCAGCCGAAGATGCGCTCGTCGATCCAGCCGAGCGGGTGTGCCAGCGGGCTCTGTCCGTCGAGGGCCTTGTTGCGCTTCTCCTTCCAGATCGTAGCGCCCTCGCGGCCGGGGCTCTGACCCGGCGGTGCGCTAGCCATAGGCGACTGAATCGTACGCCGCGACTCGAAGTCGGACCACACCTGCGGAGCGAGCTGGGAGGCGCGAGGTCAGCATGGCAGAGAGGCATGTAAAGTCAGAGCTGCGTACCTCGTCGATGAGAGCGTGCAGCTCCGACGAGATGCGGGCGCGCGTCTGCTGCAGCTCGGCAATGACCTTGTGGTTGCCCGGCATGAGGCTGACGAAGAGCGGCGGCAGGCTCTTGTAGATGTCGATGCCGACCTCTGAGAACTTGAGCGTCGAGTAGCTCATGCCCGGCAGGATGGAGAGCACGTAGAGCGGCATGAAGAGCTGGTGTCGCGTGGCCAGGTTGGCGCGGCGTGCCAGGTACGTCGCCACGCCGGCGTAGAAGCAGTACAGCACGGGCGTGAGGCCGAGACTGACGAGCACCTTCCACGTCGCCAGCACGTCGCGGCCCATCAGCTTCACCTGCGATGCCGCAAGCGCCTCCTTGGCCTTGCGCGCCGAGATAATCTTGGCGAGGATGATGATCGGCGCGTTCAGCACGACACCGGGCAGCGCCAGGCCGCCCCAGATGCCGAGCAGCCCGATGCGGTAGAACAGCAGGCTCAGCGAGCGCCAGCCGGCGCGTGTGGCGCGCTCGACTTGGTGGTCCTTCAGGCCGGCGTACGTGAGGCGCTTGTTGTACTTCAGCACATCAGTCTTGAGCTTGACGATGCGCGGGTCGTCCTTGAACTTCAGGTAGCCCACGATCATGCGCCGGTTCAGCTCGACCACCTGGCTCAGACTCGGATGGTGGCCTGGCGGCGTGTAGAGGCGGCGTCCGGCCTGGATGAACTGTGGCAGCACGAGCGTCAGTCACGCTTGTTGCACCAGCGGCTCGTCACTACGTACCATGAGCGTCTCATAGTCGGGCGCGCGCACAGTGACACTCTTCAGGCCATCGTAGACCAGGTCCATCATGTCGCCGACGGCCTTGCGCTTGCCGTCGCCGCCCTTCTCAAAGAGGCCGACGAGCTCGCGCGGCACGTCCATCGGCGCGCCAAACTCGACGACGGCACGCGAGCGGAACTTGTGCGGGTGGAAGTAGGAGAGACCGACAGGCACGATGCGCACGCGCAGGCCTGGGTTAGCCGACATGGCGCCGAGCGCCATAATGACGACGCCCGCCTTGAGCGGCAGCAGATCAGTGCGGTCGTGCGAGCCGCCTGGCAGGAAAATCGTCAGCACGCGCGTGCACGCAGAACAGCGCACTACACACCTTCCGGGAAGATGCCGAGCGAGCCGCCCTCGGCGAGGCGCTCGTACACCGAGGCATACATGTGCGTCTGGTCGACGAACGGCAGGCACTTGTATGCGCAGCCGTTCTGCTCCTTGCCCTTCTCGGCATCAACGCGCCCCTTGGCGTTGACCTTGGTGCGCGACTTGAGCGCCTCGATGGCCTTGGCGTCCTTGAACTCCTTCTTGATGCGCACCTCGTCGTCGCCGAGTACCTCGACGACCTCGGCAATAGCAAAGCCGGTGCTCTTGGGTAGCTGCAGCTGCCACTTGGGCTTGAGCTCCTTGGTGAAGTTGGTGCCGACGCCCTTGATCAGCAGCGCATCGCCCGACGGGTGCACTGTGATGGTGCCCTTGCCTGGCTTGGCCATGTCGGCGGCGCGAGCCACGGGAACTGAGAACACGGGTCAGAGCGCTGCGGATGCACACGCCGGCAGCGCACCACTCACTGCTCTGCATCAGACGAGCAGCCGCGCCGATGAAGCGCCGCTTGATCGACTTCTCGGCGATGAGGAAGGCCACGCGGCGGCCGGAGCCGCGGCGCACCTCGGATGCCAGCAGCAGCGGATCGAGGAACTGCAGGCCAACGCATCAGCTCGCCGCCCGCTTGCCCACGCTCTGACGACGCACCTGGTTGTGATGCGGCGCGGCCACGAAGATGACCGGGCCCTCATGGGGCTGAGGGATGCGCCATGCTCCGCGTGGCTGGATGGAGCGGAAGAAGATGTTGATGATCAGGCGCCAGAAGAGCAGCGCCAGATCGAAGGCCTGCGAGAGGGCGTCAGTCAGGCTTCGAGTGGCAGGCGGCTATGCGAGCGGCCCGCTCTCGCCCGCACGCACAATGTTGGTCGCCATGAGGCCCTGAGCTCGCAGCGCACGCGCAATAGCACGTGCGATGAGGCGCGGCACGAGGCGGTGGATGGGCAGCGGGAGGCCCTCGAGGAAGCAGTGCAGGTCGCGCAGCGTGCGCTGCAGCTGCGGCGAGTCGTTGCGCGCGCTCCACGCAGGCGGCGGCGGACGGCCCAGGGCGCGCGAGGGTGCGCTGCTGCTGCCGGTGCGGCCACCAAGGACGGCGGGAGCCGCGGCGGTGGCGAGCGGCGCGAGCGCAACGGCGGGCGCAGGCGAGGCAAGCGCCGGCGGCAGGCGCGTCGAGGAGCTGGCGGCGGCGACGGCGGCGGAGTCGGTGGAGCGGCTGTCGTCGGGGCGCATCGGCGGGCAGCGGCAGGCACGGCGCGGCTGGGCCAGACGGCGCAGGCGGCAGACGGTGTGGTGAGATGGAAGCGTGAGGGCGCCGGCGGTGGACGCGAGGAGGACGAGGCGGGGAAGGAAGGGGCGGCAGCGGCAGCGAGTGCGGAGATCGAGCGCGCGCACGGGTCCAAGAACGCGGCGGCTCTCGACAGAGAGGCGCGCGGCGGCGGCGCGCACAGGCACGCAGAGAGAGGCGCGCAAGGCAGCGCGCTTCGAAGCGTGCGAAACCCAATCGCGGCAGCCCTCCTGCACCTGCGGCACGGTTTGCAGTCTAGCCTCGAGCCCGCCCGTACATAAGCCCCAGAGTCAAGTGCTATGCCCCGCCGGCCGGTACCGCATCTCTCAGCTCTCTGCTGCCAGACGGTGGCTGGCATGCAGTCTGCCTTTGCTGCGCACACAGGGCGCGCCTCTGCGCAGGCTCTTAGCGCCTCGCTCGCAATCGCGCACGGATGGGGCAGCGCCGGGGCGATCACGTGCGCCCGCTTGAGGCTGTTCCCACGCGGACCAGCAGTGCGGGCTCCACTTGCCGGGCTGCGACGTCAGCGGCGAGCTGGCTTCGCTGCGAGGGTCCATGAGGTGCGCAACCGCCGGCACGCGCAGCGGCACCTCGTCTTCGGGTCAGCACCGCCGCCGACGCCTGCCTCTGCACCACCACACCCCCGCTCTCTCATATGCGCCCGCGCTCCTCGCTCTTCGCCCTCGCCCTCCTGCCCTCGCTCCTCAGCTGCGCCGCGCGCCCCGCCGTCTCGCTCGCTCCGCAGGCGCCGCGCGCCCTCTTCTTCTCCTCGTCCAGCACCACCGCTGCCGCCTCGTACGGCATGTCCGACAGCAACAACGGCGAGCTCGACGCCAAGTCGGAGCAGCTCATCGCCGATGCCCAGGCAGTCAGTCTTGCCGTGCACGCCACGCCGCCGCACCTCCACTGACACGCCTCACGCGCAGCTCTTCAGCGCCAAGCCGTCCGAGGAGATCTTCACGCGCTGGAGCCCCGACGCGCTCTTCGAGGACCCCATCTGCCTCGCCGTCGGCGCGCGCCAGTACAAGGCGCAGTGGTACGGCCTGGCCAAGGCCTTCAGCGGCAGCATGACGCGCGCCTGGCGCGTCGAGAGCGTGTCCAAGGAGCAGATCAAGTACGTGCAGAAGCAGTGGTACAAGGTCGCCGGCTTTGAGAAGGAGATGATCGTGAGTGGCAATGTGGAGGTGTGTGGCACGCGGATGTGCTGACGCGCGCTGCAGAGCACCGTCGTGATGAAGCTCAACAAGGAGGGCAAGGTCACGCACTTCATCGACATGTGGAACCACAAGGCGCCCAGCACGAACCCGGTCATCTACGTGCGTCGCCGCTGCTGCCACAGTCTGCCATCTCACCGCTGACCAGCCCACAGGCACTGCGCCGGCTCAACGGCATGATCATGCCGCTGTTCGTCGGCGTGCCCAAGGCCGAGCAGCAGAAGCACAAGGACCTTTAATCGCAGCCACTTGACACCACACAAGTCGCGAGACGAGAACCACGTGCCATTTGCAGCCTGGGTAAGCGGGGTGTGTCCGACGCGGCGGGTAAACTGGGAGGGTGCGTCCGTTCACGGGCAGCGAGACGAGAGAGGGTATGATGGAGGAGAGGAGGCGGGAGCGCCGTGACCTTGTTTGCCGTATGTCCGGGGTCAGCGTGAAAGAGACGCGTGCGAGTGAAGGTGCAGTCCGGTGGCGGCATCGTGGAATGCAGTGGGATGCGGTTGCGAGAGGCAGTGGAGCGGACGGAAAGGTGATGGGCGGGTGGCGTGGCGCTCGGGCTTGGCGACGCCCGACGCAGGGGTCGTGAGGGTGATGCAGAAGGGACTCAGTGGCTCGCCTGGCGCGACGGCTGGGCGAGGAGAGACTGCACGCTGATGTCGCGGGCGCCGCCGTGCGTGAAGCGGTGCGACGGCGAGGTGGGCGAGGCGTCTTGCTTGGCGTTGCTGCGGCGCTCCGTCTCGTCGCCCGAGTCGGACGCGCTCTCGTCGAGCTTGCGAGGCTGGTATGCCGCCGCGCCGCCGCTGCGTGCGAAGTGCTGCGGCGCCAGGCTGAGGCCCAGTGCGCTGCCGCCACGCTCGAGGCGCTCGCCGTGCTCGGCGGGCCGGTGTTGGGCGCTCATGCGCGGCATCTCGCGGACACTGCCGTACTCGGGCGACCAGGCCAAATGGCGCGAGGCCGGCGAATGGTCGTGCATGCTCGACGGGCCGCTCATCTCGGCGTCGCCCGCCATGCTCATGTACGGCGCCGGCGGAGCCGAGCGGGCGGCGGCCAGAGACGGCGACTGCACGGGTGGCGACACGGAGTGTGCCTCGCGCTTGACCATCGGCACGCTGCTTGGGTTGCCACCCTGGCGGCGCACGAGCTCCTCGAGATTGCCAATGTACTGTCAAGGTGTGAGCCGACGGTAGATGCAGTGACCTTCACAACGCTCACCTCGATGGCACGGCGCAGGATCGTTGCCTTGCTCTCGACGCCGTCGCCGCACGTCGGCACGCAGCTGCGCAGCTCCTCGAAGCCCTGGTTGATGTGCTCGCGGCGGCGCTGCTCGCTCATGAGGTGTGCCATGCGGCGGCTCTGGCTGGCGGCGCTGTTGCCGCGCCGCTTCTCGGCGGCCGTGAGGGCACGCGGGCGCGTGAAGGGTGCCGATGACGTGCCATACTCGTCAGCGTAGCCGTGGAGCGGCGTGCCGGCCGACGTGTGGTCCATCGACGAGCTGGAGATGCTCCGCGCGGACATGGGCGCAGAGCCGCCGGGCGGCGGCCCGGGGTATGGTGCTCCGCCGCCGGCGTTGCGGCCGGGGCTGCTGGTGTGCATTGCCGCGCTGCGCTCGCCGGCATGACCCTGCATCGGCTCGCGGCGCTCGTCGAGGAGGCGCACGTCGCGCAGCATGCTTGGCATGGCCGGGCGGCTCGGGTGGTGCTCGGCGGGCGAATGCACGGCCTCTGCGCCTGCGCCTGCTGGCACGTACCGCCGCTCCCAGTCGGAGTCGGCGCTACGCGAAAGCGGGCGTTCGGCGTGGTGGTGGAGCGAAGACGACGCCTCGCGCGCCTCGTCGCTGACGGCACTGCGCAGGCGCTCGTGCACGACGCCGCGAGGGTCGTCGAGCGAGGCCGGCAGGCGGCTCGACGTTGCGCCGCTGAGCGTGCGGACGCGCCGCTCGCGCGCCGCCGGTCCGAACTGCGACGGCAGGCGGCGCTCGTCGGCGGGCGAGAGCATGGCCTGCGCATGCTGCGAAGGGTGCATCTGCGGCAGCGACGAGCTGGCATGCAGCGGAGCGCCGTGCTGAGTGTCGGCCTTGCTGTGCATGTCGCGGCGCACGGGGAAGAGCGGAGCTGATGCGCCAAAGGCCTCCTCGGGCGAGCCGGCGCCGACCATGCCGTACGGACGCGGCGGCGCATGCTGCGGCGCCTCGTGCTGCCGGCGCTGGTGCTCGTACGCCTGGCGGGCGTGGTGGTCCTCGTCGCGCTGCCGCAGCTCGTGCTCGTAGCGCCGGGCGTGGTGCTCGTCGCGCTGCATGCGCTCGTGCTCCTGCTGCCGCTGCTGTTGTTCTTGCTGCTGCTGCTGCTGCTGTTGCTGCTGCTGCTCGAGGCGGATCTGGTAAAGGAGGCGCGGCGGTGCCGGCTGCGACGGGCCAGCCGTCTGCTGCTGCGAGGGTGCCGCACGCATCTCGGCGTCGGCGGGCAGCGCCTGCACGCGCGAGCGCACCAGCTGCGGCGCCGAGGGATCGCCGCTCTGGCTGCCGGGGCGCGAGAGGTGCCAGTGCTGGCGCTCGTCGAACGCCGGCACCTGGGTGGCGTAGGCGCCGGGCGGCGCGTCCGCTGCGCGCCGGGCTGGCGGCATGAGGAGCGTCCGCGAAGCACCGGGAAGACAGACGTGGAGACGGGACGGGGTCCGGGGGCTGTGGCAACGCGCAATGTGCACGCTCTTGGAGGGCGAGAAAGCGGCACACACGGTCACCACGTCAGGGAGAGAGGTCCAGGGAAAGAGACACGACGGAGCCACGGCCAGAGAGGTGGCAAGACGGAGGAGGAAACGAGAGGAAGAGAGAGGAGCAGGACGGCGGCGCGAGGCGGACGTGAGCCGCTTATGAGGCGAGCCGGCGGCCACCGAGAGGAGCGGACAGGGGCCTGCGCCGACTGGGGTACCTGTGCAGGGCACCGCCGCTTGGTCAGGCGCCGCAGCCGGCCCCACGTCACCGGTGTGTCGTGCTCCCAGGCGCCGTGCTGCGCCAGGGCCGACCACATGCTGCTCTGTCTCGCATGCCCGCACCGGGTGTGACTCTGCTCGTCTAGACTCGGCGCCGCCATCACGCATTCGGTCCCATGCAGGAAACTCCGGGCCTCGGGGGCGGGAGGCAGGCGCTGCATGTGCAGAGCGGCAGCGCAAGGTGCCGCCGGACTGCCGCTGCCGCTGCATCCTGCATCCTGCGCCGAGCCTGGTGCTGTCGAGCGTGGGCGTGGCGCCCGCAACTTGATGCTGGGACGCAGGGCAGCGCATCACAGCAGCTCTCGTCGCCGAGGTGCGGCATGCTGCGTGCGGCTGCGGCCACGGCAACCTGCGGCACAGATGCAGGGGAGCAGCAGCACGCCAGCAGATCCAGGCGCCGCTCAGGGTGCCGCAGCCGCAGCGCCGCACCCCGGCGCGCGGCCATGGCGCGCGCGTCGGCGACCTGCGCGCGTGGCTGCCGTGCGCTCGCCGAGCGGTGCGCCTCTGCTGCTACCGCACCCTGAGCGACAGCCTCGTGCTGCCGCTCAGAACGCATTGACAGCCAAGTTTCACCAGGCGTGCGACCTGCCAGAACGGGAGAGCGGCAGTCTCCATGCCAGCCGACAGCTCCACGCCGCATGGTCCGTGTGAGGCGACGCTGCGTCAGCCCGCGGGCGTACCGCTGCCGCAGCTTCCGGCGCGCTTACGAGACGTCGCACCCGGCTGGAGCGTATTCCGACGCTGCTGCTCCCGTCTCATTGGCCGTGTGCCGAGGCCGTGCGACGCCGCCTGCCGAACGCCGCAGCGTCGGAGGGTACGCTACCACGGAGCACGAATTCGCCGTCGGACAGACGCGAGACTGCGCCGCCCGCGAGAGAGAGGCGCTCGCGCCGTGGCGGCGCGACGCCGCCTCTGCCCCTCGAATGGCGACGCCGCTGCGCGATGCAGCACCCAGAGGTGCAGAATGCGGCCGCGCGGCAGGCGGATCGCCCGGACGAGCGGACAATCCACGGGCTAACAGCAAGTGGGCGTCAGGCGCAGCATGGCGGCGCACGGACAGGGCGCGTCGAAGCGGCAGGTGGTGAGCGTGGGCGGCTGGGCGCCCGTTCGGTCATGCAGGCACGGCGCCCCGCCCAGCGGCCGTGCGGACCATGCGCCTCGGGACGGCGCTAGGCGCGCAGGCGTGGGAATAGGCGTTCCCCTGCAAGACACGGGCGCACGAGCGGCGGCTGCCCCGGCGTGCAGCCCCGGCGCCACGCCTGCGCCGCACTGAGCTGCGCCGCGGCTGCAGGCTGTCTCGCCTACCCATCCGGCATCGATGCCCGCCCGCGGGGCCTTATTTGCCCACGCTAACGCCATCCTTAGCGCGGCCCACATGGCCCAGCACCCAGCGTGCGACATGTCCCATCCGCCAGCCTGCAGGCCCACCAGACAAGGAGAAGCGTGAGCCGCGGGTCGAGCGCCGCAGCAGCGCAGTGCCCTCCCGGCGAGCACGGAGTATTTCGACCGGTGCTGCACGCTGCAGCAGCTGCATGCAGCTCGCTGCGGGGCGTTAGGAGGTTGGCCCTCCGTCGGGATGCAGCAGCAGTTGCTGCGCCCAGACGCAGCGTGCAGCGTGCAGCGCAGGTGCAGGTGCAGCACGCACGACTCGACGGCGAGCAGCACAGCCGCTCAGCATGCAGAGATCCGGGTGCCGGCACCCTCGATGCGATGCGTCGCCCAATCAACTCGTGTCGGCGTTCGGCGTAGGCATCGCTTGGCACCTCGCCATGTGCGGCCCGGCGAGCAGGAAGCACGTGCCGCCTGCCACCGTGCGTCGACCACGCGGCCGGCTGCGCCCGACGCCGAACATGCACACGCGGCGACAGTCCCGCGGCATGAACGTCCCGCCCCTGTGCACTGTGATGCAGGGAGACGCTGCGCAGCCGCTCAGCGTGGGAGGAGGCGGCGAGGACGACGAGTGGCGCAGAGGTCACGTGCATGGCGAGGCCCTCGTCACTCCTCCATCGTGGGGCCCTCTCGCACCACGATCGCCACCATCAGCTGATTCCCTGTCGTCCGACGGCGCCAGCGCCGACGGCCGCTTTCCGGTTCACGCTCAGCTGCGGCTGCCGGACGTCGGGCCGAAAATATCGGCGCCGGCTGCGTGCTGCGGGCGGTGCTGGGCGCAGCAGCCTCAGTTCGGGCGTTTGCCGCTCAGAGGTTCGCACGCCCGCGCAGCCACACGCCGGCCCAAGTTGCTGCCCACTTTCGCCGGCGATGCCCCCCCTGCAGCCCGTGTCTTGATTCGGCCTTCTCTGGCTGCGCTGTTCATCCGAGCTGTGATCCCAGTCAGACAGAAAGAGCGAAGGGGGCCAGTGTGGGGCGAGGCGGGGCGCATCGCTCGCCTGCGCGTCGCTTCATCCTTGCTCGCCGCGGAACGCGCATCCCGACCGGCGCTCTCGCCGAAGGGGCGTGGGAGGCATGCAGCAATGCCTGGCCCACGCATCACGCTGCCCTGCTGCGGCAGCATGCAGCCCAGCCGCTGCAGCGCCCAGCGTGCGCCGTGCAGAGCAGCAAGTGCAGCGGTTCAGCCTGAACGCTCGCAGAAGAAGCAAGGTGCTGCGCAAGGCCCCCTTATCCGGCTCGGCGTTCTCACGCCTAACAGTCCGTCATGCTCGGCGCCACGCTGCGCGCTGCCCTGCTGCGCCATGCGCATGGACCGTTGATCGTTGGCAGCCGGCAGCACACCTGCTGCTGCTGCAGCTGAGGATCATCCAGATGGAAGCATGATCCGCGGACAGCGAGAGGGGCAGCAAGACGCGAGAGCGTCGCATGGCGGCCGTGCGAGCCAATGGGGTGGCGCTCGATGCGCGGAGATCGGGCAAGGATCGAGGCTCTCCAGCTCACTGCATCTGTAGGATGTACACGAGGTCGCTGTCTGAGCGCTGCTGCCCGCTGAGAGTAACAGCACCCGTCCTCCCTCTTGCTCAGCGCACCATCGCGCATGCCCTACAGCCGAGTGAGGGTCGGTCTGCCGCCCTTGCGCTCCCGTGGCCGGCGGAGGTGCTTTGCATGCTGAACGCTGCCTGCTGTTGCGAGAAGCGCAGGCAGCAACAGACCGCCGCTCCTCACCCTCGCTTACATCGCTGAAGCGTGACGCTGCGCCTGCCGCTCTGCGCGCTCGGCAGGCCCTTCCGGGCGGGCATCGGGAGCGGCTCGCGCCTGCACCGCCGCGGGAGCCGCGAGCCGGCGGCATCATGCGCGCCCAGCCCCGAGGGGCGCGCTGCGGTCGCCGCCGCACGTCTCTGCTGCGAGCCGCACCCCCTCAAAAGACGACGACAAGAGGTGTCGCCAGGCTGACAATAAGGGTCCTCTTGGCCGATGATTGGCTTCTCAGGGGAAATGTGAGGCGCAGCGAGGGGAAGGGCGCGGCTCGATTTTTGAGCTGAGGCTGGGCTGTGCTGTGTGCCTGCCTCCACCTCGATTTCACGCTGATGCGGTGCCTGGCTGTCTGCAGCGTGCAGGCGCGCAGCGGCTGCGGGCGTGCGGCTCCGCGGCGCGCGCCGCCGCGGCAGCGTGCCGCCCTCTCGTTGCGGCCGCGCGGGCGGGCGGGTGCGCAACTCCACGCAGCGCCGGCCTCGGCGCCATCGTCCTCACCACTGCCTCCTCTGCTCGTCGCAACTGCCGCTGCCGCGATGCGCATATCGTGCTAGCATCTCGACACGCAGCATCTCTCTCTGCCGGACCGCGCTCGCGCGCGCGCCCCGCCGCCCGCCATGTCCTCGCTCCTCTCGCCCTTCTCCTTCGGGCCGACGAAGCACGCCTACTTCCACGTGCGCATCACCGTGCACGAGCTCACCAACGTGCCGCTCGTCAGCGGCCACTTCCAGGCCAAGTGGCGCGTGCGCAACGCCCACAGCCTCGGCGCCGTCGCCGCCAGCGGCACGAGCAGCAACGGCACCTCGACGCCCACCAGCGCACACGGCGAGCGCCGCGCCAAGGCGCGCGCCGAGCATGGCGCAGAGGTGCCGAGCCGCCGCGACTCTGGCGACACGGCGCACTCGCGCCCGCGCGAGAGCAAGGACACCGACCGCCGCAGCTTGCAGAGCCTCACGCAGCTCGACCAGGGCGGGGGCGCGCGTGGCAGGGCTGGCGACGACGACTCAGCCGATGAGGAGCATGCCGAGCCCGAGCACCACAGCTTCCTGGGCGGCCTGTTTCACCGGCGCGGCGAGAGCTCGCGCGCTCCGCATGGCTCGCACTCGCGCGAGTCGACGCAGACGTCTGGCGCCGGCACGCCCGACTCGCCGCGCTCGGCGCGCACGCGTAAGAGCAGCGATGCCATGTCGCAGCGCAGTGCCGCGCCCAAGACGTCGCTGCCTGCTGCGCTCGACATCCACATGCCCGAGCCGCGCGGAGCTACAGACTTTGTGCGCGTCAAGGACCTGGCGGTGCGGTGGGAGCGCACGATTGAGACGGGTGTGCGGCTGGGCATCGACAAGCCCAAGTCGCACTCGGGCGGCCACTCTTCGCCGGCCGGCGCGAGCCAGACAGACTTGCTCCGGCCGCACCACCGCCATGGTCTCCGAGCGAGCGTCAGCTCCAAGAGCCTGCGGGAGCGGATGCAGGCGCAGGAGGAGCATGGCGGAGAGGAAGGCGGTGTTGCGGGCATGCTGGCCAAGAGCGAGCTGCGGATCAGCGTCAAGAGCGTAAGTGCGGCGCTGGGCATCGCCATCGTGCAGCTGCTAACCCTACTTCACAGGACATCGAGACGGATGCATCAGGCAGCCACAACGACCACCGTATGGGCCATGTGACACTCAACCTGGCCGAATACGCGCCCGCGCCGTCGCGCTCGCATGGGCATCACCACCATCACCATCACCATCACCATCACCATCATCATCACTCGCATCACCATCAGAAGCGGCCCAGCCGCACCGAGACGCGCCGGTATCTGCTCGCGGAAAGCAAGACGAACGCGACGCTGAAGATCACCATCGAGATGACGTGGGCTGGCGGCTCGCGCGACTACATCGTGCCGCCGATCAAGCGCGGCCTTGTCGTCGGCGGCATCGGCGGCATCATGGATGACATGGCCGCGGCGCAGCTGCGCGGCGCCAAGGGAGCGTCGAGCACAAAGGACAACAGCACCGACTCGAGCTCCTCGCACCTCGGCGACGCGGACGGCGTTCACGGCTCTGACTCGGGCAACGGCTTCAGCAGACTCGTGACAGAGACGACGAAGCTGCCAAGCTTCTACACGGCATGGCCGTCGACGAGCGTCGCGCGCCATGCACGCATCCCGGCCAGCAACCTCACGACGGCACTCTCGGCGAAGCAGCTTGCTCGCGCGGCGAAAGAGGGCGCCGGTGCAGCAGGCGCCGGCGGCCGCCTGACGTTCAGCTTCGCGGGCGCGGCGCATCATGACCGCCCGCCAGAGGAGGTGATTGATGCGATCTTTAGCCAGGGCAACTCGTCAGCATACATGCTCGCTCCGACTGTGGCACGCTCGGACAAGGTGGCGAAGAAGCCTGGGCCCACTCAGCCAAAGCGGGCGCGGCCGACGTACCGCTCCGTTACCGAAGCGCCGGCCGACGAGAACGAGTCGCACCGCGTGCAGCTCCGTACTGCCGAGCACCACAAGGGCCTGCAGCCGGCTGCTTCTCCGGAGCAGACTGCAGACACGCGCAAGCGCACCGACTCGCTCTCTGCTGTCGCCAGCGTTGGCGAAGTGACGGGCCCCAACTCGCACTATGCCGCCAGCCAGACGTCGGACTCGAGCGCCTCAAAGGCTTCGCACGGGGAGGACACGAGCTCGCGGCCGCGCGCGCACGCTCGCACCTCCAGCGCAGGCACATTCCGGAGCATCCTTGCGACCAAGCAGTCTTCGACCGAGGTCCCGGCCGGCGAGCCGCAGTGGAGCGTCGACACTGCGGAGCGCTCCGGCAGTCTCGCCTCGACCTCTTCGCTGCCTTCCGCGCCATCGTCCTCACGACACTCCGTGCACTGGGAGAAGGACGCCGAGGGCTCGGCCACGACGCCGCAGGCTCTGGCGGCGCCGCTGATGGAGCCGCTCACCGCCAGTCCTGCGGCACTCGAGCCCACCGAGCTGGCGCGCTCCGACTCGGACAGCCCGCAGAGCTCAATGTCGGGGCACGGCCGCCGCACGCAGCGATTTGCGCTGCCTGCCGCGATCCACCACTCGCACGGCGTCGCGACAGCAGCTGTCGACCAACCAGCATCTCTCGCTGTGCCTCGTACTGCCAAGCCACGCCGGCGCGTGGGCATCGACCCGGCGCGTGCGGCCGAGGCGGGCTACCGCGGCGCTGGCTGGGGCACCATCTTCGAGCCCGTCGAGCTCGTGCGTCCCGAGCCGCCGTACGGCAGCGAGTTTGTTTCCTAGACGTTCTACTTGCCTTGTCTCTACCTGCACTCACACTGTAACATCTGATCATCTGTCTTGCTCTCCTCGCGCGGTCTGTGTAGGCGTCTGATGCATGGTGTGAGCTGAAGCTGGTCTTGCGAGGATGCGGAGTCGCGCGGCGCGACGCGACTCGGCGACCTCGCCGGCCCTCGTCATCTTGCCTGCTACCACCACAACACTCGCCAGCCGCTTCCACTCCCCGTGACGCTCGGATTTCCGCCTCCTCTGCGTCTGATCTCTGCATGCGCCTGGCTCTGACCCGTCTCTGGTCTGGCCGTCATCTGCTCGCTGCCTCGCCCTTGCGCCACGCCCTGCTCGCCGCCCGACCTCCACTTGCCGCCTTCGCGATGCCCGAGCGACGCGTCTCTGTCCGTGTAGCTGCGGCTGCCGCATCCAAGCCTGCTGCTACGGATGCTGCGGCAGCTGACGCTCCAGTGGCGGCCGCATCGCCAAAGAAGGCAGCGCCCAAGAAGGCCCCGGCCAAGCGCAAGGCATCGCCGCCTACCGCTGAGGCGCCCGAGCAGCCCGAGCCCGGCGCTCCCGCAGCCTCGCCGAGCAAGAAGAAGGCCAAGGCCGCTGCGACCGCCGAGGCCAGTGACGTGCCCGATGAGGCAGCTGCGACGCCGCGCAAGAAGAAGGGCAAGGCGGCTGCCGACCCGGATGCCGAGCGGCACCCCTCTGCTCCGCTCGGCGGTGCAGCGCTCGACACGCTCGCCGCCGAGGGCCTGCCGCGCAACGCCGACATGCCGCAGGAGCTGAGCTATGCGCCGCGGCCAAAGGGCCAGATCCGCATCGCCTCCTGGAACATCACGTCGCTGGCGTCTGCGGAAAAGAAGGGGATGCTGCGCTACTTGATGGCTGAGGACGCAGACATTGTCGTGCTCACCGAGACCAAGGTGAGTGAGAGGTGTGGGGGCGAAGGTTGAGCGGCCGCTCAGAGGAACGCGCAGGTCAACGATGTGCCGCGCCACCCGGCACTGCTGGCCAAGTGGCCGCACCAGACGTGGGGCATCGGCGCGAAGAAGGGCTACGCAGGCATTGCGCTGCTCAGCAAGATCGAGCCGCTGCGCACCTCGTGTGGCCTGCCGGGCGACCTCAAGGCCGAGACGAAGGGCCGCGTCATCACGGCCGAGTACGACAAGTACATTCTCGTCGGCACGTACGTTGTGAATGCTGGCGAGGGCCTCAAGACGATGCCGGTCAGTATCGCTCTGGTGTGTGGTGTGTCGCAGTGCCTGACGTGTGCCTTCACAGGAGAAGCAAGCATGGAACGCAGCCTTCGCTGCGCACGTCGCCGAGTGCGACTCGCGTAAGCCAGTGATCTGGGTGAGTAGGCTCGACGACGGCATCTCGTTCGCGGCGCTGACACTGCTTAGTGCGGCGATCTGAACGTCGTGATCGACCACCGAGACCTGGCCTCAGCATCGAAGAAGTGGAACAAGTCTCCGGGGTGAGCAGCTCGAGCACGGTCGTGCGAAGCGCAGATCTGACGCTGCTTCATCTCAGGTACACCGAGGTGAGGGATGAGAACGCGATGCAGCTGCTGCTGTCGGCCGCTCACTCCGCGCGCAGATTGAGTGCGAGGCGCATCGCAAGTTCCTCGCAGGCGAAGCCCACGACGGTGCTCAGCCATTCGTCGACGTCTGGCGGGAGAAGGTGAGAGCGACGCAGCACACGCCTGGGCATGCCGCGCTGACGATGGCGCAGCACCCCGACGCCGTCGGCCACTACAGCTTCTACGGCTTCCGCGGCATGTGCCGGGCCAAGGGCATCGGGTGGTGAGCGTGACAGCGCAAAACATCGCTTGAGCACTGCTGAGCTTCACCCACAGGCGACTCGACTCCTTCATCGTCTCGAAGCGAGCGGCAGATGCTGTCCAGCAGTGCGCGATCCGGCACGAGGTGAGTCTGGAGGGTAAGCTTGCTCGAGCTGCGCTGACGTGCGTCACTCAGGCGTACGGTGCGAGTGACCACGTGCCTGTCATTGCAGATGTGGTATGGTAGGCGATGTGTAGAATACAGATGGATGGACGATCAGGAGTCAGAGCGATGCGCGGACGAGTCTAGGATTGCAGGCGCCGGCGGATGAAGTCGCGCGTGGCCTCGTCACTGCAGAGGAAGGATGATCAGCACAGCGTCGCGGGGTACATGCCGCTGCACTCACCCCTCAGCGGCGACGAAGAAGAGGCGACGCGCCTCGTTTTGCCACAGCAGCACGCCGAGCTGCGCTGCGTAGTCGCGGACCATCGTGAAGTCGGCAAGCGAAGAGAAGTCGGTGAAGAGACTGCCTGCAAGCACGAGCCAGACCGTCAGCCGCATTCGCTGGGGACGTGGCGAGCAAGCAGACGCACCTGCGGCAGAGGCAACACGGTTCTTCTCGCGCTCCCACAGCCGGATCTGGTCGGTGACCGTGACCGGGAGCAGCGGGTCCTGCGGCGACGCACTCAGTGGACGCTCGGCGCGGCAACAGCGGAGCGCGTCTCACGTTCTTCTGCATTTGCGGATGCGCGTGGTGTGTGAGGTAGGCGATGATCTGTAGGCCTGCGTCAGCATGGCTTGATGGCAATGGGGCCGCTGTCACGAACCTGCTCGGCGGAGATGCCGTTCGACAGCGCGCCCTTGACGCTGTTGCGGTTGATCGTGCCCATGACGAGGTTCGGGAAGCGCGCCTTGAGCGTCACGAACAGGCTGAGCACGCTGATGCGCAGTGGGTTGCCTAGGTGCTCGCTGTCAGTCGATGGGCAGCTTCGCAACAGACGCAACTCACTCGTGTACGCGTACACACGGTAGTTCGTCTCGAGGATCACAAAGCCGCGCTCCTCATTGCCGCCCTCGCCGCCGACGAGCGGCGTGGCGCTGCTCGTCAGCGTCGTGGCCAGGCGCGTGGGATAGAAGCGGCGGCTGCTGCTCTTGCGCTGGTAGATGAGGCCGTAGTCGCGGAAGTCCTCGAGCATGTGCAGCTGCGTGTCGGGCAGATCTTCCGTCGAGTAGTCCTGCCCGAGCTGCAGACTGCCGAGCATGAAGAGGAAGGAGAGCACGTCGACGAGGTCCATGTGCCGCGCGTCTGCCATGGCGAGGTAGGAGAGGAACAGATCCCACAGCTGCGTGTTGACGTCCTCGAGCAGGAACTGGAAGCCGCGCGACGTGATCGTCAGGTCGCTGTCGTCCGGATGCTTCGAGGAGGCGTACTGCATCAGGCCAGACATGCGCAGCAGATACAGCACCGGCGGCCGCGGCGTGTCGGCGCCGTCGGTGCCGACCATGTAGTGCAGGATGGCCTCCCACCGCACGCGCGCGTAGTCGTCGAGGAAGGCGACCGACACTGCATTCTTGTCCTCCGTATCGCAAGGCACGCCGAAGGACCGATGATCGCCGCTGCAGAGCACAGGTCAGCACTCGCCCTCCCTAAACCTCTCAAATGCGCTTCCTAGCTCAGCGCTCCTCTGGCTCTCCTGCCACCCGCGGAGTCACTCACCCGCCAGTCAGCGCCCGCCGCATGTTCTCGCAGAACACGCTGCTTATGAACAGCTTCTCGTTCTTGACACGCACGATGCCAAGCGTGTCGAGACGCGCCATGGCCGCCTCGTATGGCTTGCGTCCCTCGCTGCGAATCCACACACTGGCCTCCTTGACGGGCAACGGCGCGTCGAGGAAGAGCAGCGCCATGATCTGCTGGCGCGCCAGCGTAGGCAGCAGACGGAACACGGCGAGACAGTTGGCGGGCCGCTGGTAGAGGCGGCTGAGCGTCGTCTGCGGCTGCCGGTCGAGGAAGGCATTGATGGAGTCCTGTCCGACGGCTGACGAGGACCCTGCCGCGCCCGCACCGCCCGCCGCGGCGCCCTTGGCCGGCGTGCCGCGCACTGAGGCGGCCATCTGCCCGATATGCAGGTCTCCGGTACAGGCGTGTGGGGTGCGAAACTGTTGACAGCGCAGGAGAGGGTGAGTGGGTCGTAGTGAGAAGAAGCGTTGGCCAGTGCGGCGTGAGGGCATGCAGCGCGCGGGCGCTGCACGTGACACCGGCGCGCGGCGCGGCGCCTCGGCCTCGGCCTCGAGAGCAACACACGCTGCTTGCAGCGCCGCGCACCTCGACGCGTTGAGTGCGTGAGGCGGCGGCGCACACCTAGGCCTTTCTCCTCACCACCACTCCAACACCCACCATGCCGCCCCGTCGCGCCGCTGCGGCAACATCGCGCACTCGTGCTGCGCGCCCGTCGAACTCGGACGAGGAGGAGGCAGCCCCGGCGCGGAGCACGCGCGCCGCCCGGCCAGCCGCCGCGGCCACGCGCCGCGCCAAGAAGGTGGTCGAGAGCGACAGCGACGACGAGGAGGAGGCAGACGAGCAGGACGATGAGGAGACGTTCCGGGAGGAGGAGTCTGCTCCGCGGGCCAAGAAGGCGGCCGCCGTACGGGCACCGCGGAGAGCGCCAGTCAGCGCAGCACGGGCGCGGGACGGCGTGACGCCGACGCCCGACGCGGCCGGCAGCCCGCACACGCCGACCGCATCGCTGCCTGTCGCAGCGCCCCGTGCGGCCAGCTCGGTCGCAGCTGGGCCCAAGACGCCCGAGAATGCGCCTCCGGCCGCGGCCTCGCAGCGTGCGGCGCAGCCCAGCGGCTCGCGGGTGCCGTCGGGCTCGCGTGTGCCCTCCTCATCGCAGAGGATCCCGTCCGGCTCGTCACAGTACTCGTCTGCCAGTCAGGGCTACCGCTCAGCACCTGGCGGAGTGCCGCAGACACCACGCGTGCCCTCTACGCCGCGCACAGTTGCTGGCACGCCGTTCTCGGTGGCGCGCACGCCCGCGCCCGTGGTCGTCGAGGCGCCCAAGACGCGCCTGGTCATCCACAAGATGGTGCTCAAGGACTTCAAGTCCTACGGCGGCTCGCAGACGATCGGCCCGTTCCACAAGAGCTTCTCTGCTGTGGTCGGGCCGAACGGCTCGGGCAAGTCGAACGTGATCGACGCGATGCTCTTCGTGTTTGGCTGGCGCGCCAACAAGATGAGACAGGGCAAGCTCAGCGAGCTCATCCACCACAGCGAGGGCAGAGACAACCTGCCGAGCTGCACAGTGGAGGTCTGGTTCCGCGAGATCGTCGACTTGGTGAGTGGCCTGTAGCATGCCTGTCAGCCGACTGCTCACTGCGCTGTTCGCAGCCCGGTCCGGACGCCTACAAGGTCGTGCCGGGCAGCAAGCTTGTCGTGTCGCGCACGGCGTACCGCAACAACTCGTCGGTCTACTCGCTCAACAACTCAAAGAGCACCTTCACCGAAGTGCGCAACCTGCTGCGCGCGCGCGGCATCGACCTCGACCACAAGCGCTTCCTCATTCTGCAGGGCGAGGTCGAGAGCATCGCGCAGATGCCGCCCAAGGCCAAGACGGAGCACGACGAGGGCCTGCTGGAGTACCTCGAGGACATCATTGGCACGAGCGAGTTCAAGACGCCGATCGACGAGGCAGCGGCCAAGGTCGACGCCGCCAACGAGGTGCGCGCCGAGCGCCTCGGCCGGCTCAAGATCACGCAGCGCGAGAAGGAGAGCCTCGAGTCGAAGAAGCGCGAGGCCGAGGAGTTCCTGCGCAACCAGAACGAGCTGACGCAGCGCCAGTCGGCACTCTGGCAAGTGTACATGCTCGAATGCCGCGACCAGCTGTCGGTAGCGACATCAGCCATCGAGAAGATCGAGGCACGGCGCGCTGAGGAGGCAGAGAAGCACGCCGGCTCCAAGGCTGAGATTGACGCGCTCGAGGCAGAGCACGCAGAGATGCTCCGCGAGTACGATGAGATCGCCAAGGACACCGCCAAGGTGGTCAAGGAGCTCGCGCGCCTTGAGAAGGAGGACGTGCAGCTGCAGGAGAAGCGCAAGCATCTCGACGCGAAGAAGAAGAAGCTCGTCAAGAGCCTCAGCGATGTGAGTTCTCTGGTGCTCGGTTCGCTCCACCCCGCTGACGCGCGCACCACAGGACAAACACGCGATCTCTGCAGCCCGCTCGACCGCGGTCGACTCCCAGGAGGAGATCGAGAAGGTCACGGCCGAGGTCGAGGCGCTCGAGGCGTCTCTCGAGAAGCAAGAGGCCGAACTCGACGCGATCCGCGAGTCTCTGAAGGGCAAGACCGAGGGCTTGAGCGCCGCCATCGAGAAGAAGCAGCGCGAGCTGCAGCCCTGGGCCGCCAAGATCTCGGAGCGGCAGAAGGCACGCGACGTGGCGACCGAGGAGCGCAAGCTGCTCAACGAGCGCGCCGGCCAGGCCGTCAAGGAGGCCGAAGACGCGCAACAGGCTCTGGCAGAGCTGGACGCAAACAACGCTGCCAAGCGTGACGAGCTCGAAAGCCTCGAGAAGGAGAAGCACGAACTGTCGAAGAAGCTGCTGCGCGGCGAGAAGCAGGTCGACGGCATGGTTGCGCAGGAGACGGAGCTGCGCAGCAAGGCTCGCTCTGCGCGGACCAAGGCGGACGAGGCAAAGTCCTCGGCCACCTCGAACCGGTCGCGCGGCGAGGTGCTCAATGCACTCACACGCCAGGCGGACCTCGGCATGCTCAGGGGCTTCCACGGCCGCCTGGGCAACCTCGGCGTCATCGACGACCAGTACGACGTCGCGATCAGCACTGCCTGCCCTGGCCTGGACAATCTCGTCGTCGAGGGCGTCGAGACCGGCCAAGCATGCATCGAGCATCTGCGCCGCAACAACCTCGGCCGGGCGAACTTCATCCTTCTCAACAGCCTGCCCAAGTCGAGCATGGCGCCGATCCAGACGCCGGAGAATGTGCCGCGCCTCTTCGACCTCGTCAAGCCCAAGGATGCCCGCTTCGCCGCGGCCTTCTACCACCAGCTGCGCGACACCCTCGTTGCGCGCGACCTCGCGCACGCCAACCGCATTGCATACGGCGCCCAGCGCTGGCGAGTCGTGACGCTCGATGGCCAGCTCATCGACAAGAGCGGCACAATGTCTGGCGGTGGTGCGCGTGTCGCCCGCGGTGCGATGAGCTCCACGTTCGCAGCCGACGACGTGACGCCGGAGCAAGTCGTGCGCCTGGAGAAGGAGCGCGACGCGGCCGAGGAGGCACTTCGCAGCCACTCTCAGGCACTGCAGGAGATGCAGGCCCTGCTCGAGTCGCAGCGTCAGCGCGTGCCGCAAATTGAGGTCGAGCTGGAGAAGGTCGCGATGGACCTCGGCATTGGCGAGCGCCGTGTGCAGGAGGCTAAGAAGCGGGTCGCAGAGCTGCAGTGAGTTGACCGACCGACTGGTGCAGCAGCAGACACTGAACACCTTGCCGCAGGTCCGCAAGCGGCCCAGACGATGCCGATGCCGACCGCATCGAGGAGCTCGACGTGCAGCTCGAGGCGCTGGACGAGGAGCTTGAGAAGCTCAGCGAGAAGTCGTCGGCGATCGAGTCGGACATCGAGGCGCTGCAGGAGAAGATTCTCGAGGCCGGTGGTGTCCGTCTGCGCACGCAGAAGAGCAAGGTTGATGGCATCAAGGAGATGATCGAGCTGGGCAGCGAGCGGACGACCAAGGCCGAGGTGGCCAAGGCCAAGGCTGAGAAGGACATCACGAAGCTCGAGAAGGCCATCGCCACGAACACCGCGTCCCTCGAGGGCATGGAGGATGAGCTTGCTGAGCTGCTCGAGTCCATCCGCTCCCGGTCTGCGACCCTCGAGAGCGAGCGGAGCAAGGTCGAGGAGGCGCAGGAGGCCATGGAGGCCAAGCGCGAGGCCAAGGACGAGGTCAAGTCGCAGCTCGACTCGCACGCTGGGTCGGCAAATGCCTTCCGCAAGCTTGAAGTGAGCGATGTTGGGCGCAGGCGAGCCGCACCGCTGCTGACTCGACCCCATAGATGGAGCTCAAGCAGAAGCTCGACGACAATCAGCGCGCGCTCGCTGACAACGAGAAGCGACTGCAGCACTGGCAGGACAAGCACGTCCAGCTGCGCCTGCACCGCATCGAGTCTGATCTCGAGGAGGAGGAGGGCGAGGAGGGCAGCAAGGCTGCCTCGCCTGCCCCGGCCGTTGAGGACGAGGCCGACAGCACTGTCGGTGGGCCAGGGAACGACGCCAAGCCTCGCTCCGGCAAGAAGAGCCGCGAGGGCTCAGCCGATGCCGAGGAGAGCGATGACGATGTGGACGAAGACCTGGCTCTGCAAGAGTATCCGCCCGACGAGCTGCGTGGCATCGACAAGGAGGGCATCAAGGCCGAGATCGTCCTGTACGAAGGTAAGCCGCCAGCACATCTGCAGCGCCGGCTCATGCTGACGTCCCATCCCAATCGCAGAGCAAGTGCAGAAGGGCATGGGCAACGTCGCCGTGCTCGAGGAGTACCGCAAGCGCGAGCTCGAGTTCGCTTCGCGTGCCCGCGACCTCGAGGAGACGACTGCGGCGCGCGACGAGGCAAAGCGCGTGCACGACGACCTGCGCAAGCAGCGCCTCGAGGCATTCATGGCCGGCTTCAGCCTCATCTCGGCCAAGCTCAAGGAGATGTACCAGACGATCACGCTGGGCGGCAACGCTGAGTTGGAGGTGAGTCGCGCAGGTGCGCTGGCGTCCCTCTGCTGCCCTCTGACACGCTTCCGCAGCTTGTCGACAGCATGGACCCGTTCAGCGAGGGCATCCTGTTCAGCGTCATGCCGCCCAAGAAGAGCTGGAAGCACATCTCGAACCTGTCCGGCGGCGAGAAGACGCTCAGCTCGCTGGCGCTCGTCTTTGCGCTGCACGCCTTTGCGCCGACGCCGCTGTACGTGCTCGACGAGGTGGATGCGGCGCTCGACTTCAAGAACGTCTCGGTCATCTCGTCGATCGTCGCCTCGCGCAGCTCCTCGGGCGCCAACCCGGCGCAATTCGTCGTCATCAGCCACCGCAACGACATGTTCGAGCGCAGCCAGCGCCTCTGCGGTGTCTGGAAGACGAGCGGCCGCAGCCGCTCACTGGCCATCGACAACTCGGACATGCACGCGCCGCCGTTGCCGCCGCCAGGCTCGGTGGCCAGCACGCCGGGCATGCGCCGCTCGGCCGTGCCCGGCTCGGCCATGTCCTCCAAGATGGTCGACATGCGTGGAGCTGGCCGGGCGTCCACGGCCACTCTCGTGCCAGCCACGCCGCTGAGCATGCGGCAACGGCAGATCACGGGCTAGCCGCAGCGCTGGCCGGATGTCGCGTGCCTCCTCTTCCTCCCTGCTCTGGACCCGTCGCTGCTTCCTCTGTATTCTGCGCCTCTGTACGATGTGTAATGTGGATCGTGGTATCATTTGAGTCTTGGCGCGTGTGCGTTGCGCCGGGAGTAAGTATGTGCGGGCGGACAGCGGCGCCTCAGTCAGTCTATGGACACGTCGCCAGCCTCGCTGCTGGGCGCCAGCGGCGGCTCTTCCTGCGTCTCCGTCGCGTCGGATGCGGTGTCGGCCGAGTCGAGCGAGACGATGGACGAGCTAAGCGACATCGATGTGGAGTCGCCGTCGTCGTTGGACAGCTGTGACGTGTCGCCAGCCACTGCGAGTGCGGTGCCTGACGCATGCGACAGGTCCTCGATGCTGCTGCTGCTCTCCATCACGCTCGTCTCTGCGCTATCCGAGGACAGCAGGCGCGTCGAATCGGCCGTGTCCGTCTGATCGGCCGTCTGGTCTGCAGCCAGCTCGTCTTGCTCCTTGAGGCGCTGCTCTTCGAGCTCGCGCATCTCAATCGGATGCAGCACGCGATTGCCGCCCTTCTTGGCCTCCTCTTCGTAGCGCGAGACGATCGAGGCGCGTGCTTGCGCGAGCAGGTTGTTGATGAGAGTGTTGCAGCGCTGATGGCTTGCTTCGAGCTCCGGATCCTCCTCGGCGCCCTCTTCGGCATCCTCGAAGTCGTCGTCGTCATCCTCCAGCTCCTCGTGCGGACCGCTGAGTCCCATCGCGCTGCCCAGGCCGCCGGCGCCGACAGCGAAGCGCCCGTCTCGCAGGCGCCGCCGCAGGTCCGAGATCTCCTTTGACTGGCGCAGCTTCGTCTTCTCGAGGCCGTCATTGATAACGAGCAAGCTCTTGTTGGTGATCTCGAGATCCAACAGCCGCCGGTGCACGCGTGCCTCGGCTGCTTCGTAGGCCTCGGCTGGCGAGAGCATCATGCCAGACTCTGAGGTCGGCGACAGCAGTCCCGTCTCTATAAGGCTGGCGAACGGCGCGCCCGGGCTGCGAGGGAATGCGCTCGTGCCAGCTTGTGGCAAGGAGAGCTGCTGAGCGCCAGGAATAGCGCGGCCCTGGCCGGACGCGCTGGTGCTCGACGAGCCGCCGGCAGACGTAGAGCTGACGGTAGATGCGCCTTCTGAGAGTTTCCGCGGCGCCTGTGCAGGCCGGACGGGCACACTGTCTGCGCTGTAGCTGTTCTCTCTGCTGCGCGCTGTCGATGCCACTGGGCTGTCATACGGCGTAGCCAGCGGGCCACTCCTCCGCAACGGACCCGGCTGCAACGGCACGTCTGGTCCCGGCGACGGCGTGCGGCTGCGATGTGCCGGAGACCTGCGCCCGAAGGCATTGGCGCGTAGAGGCTGAGATGGCGTAGGCGTGACGTTGAAGGACGCAGGTGATGCAAGCGACGTCGTGGCGCGCACATGACCGCGCACTGCATTCGGCGGACGTCGTGCAGCCTGTGTAGACGAGCCCGCTGCTGCACCGGCCGTCTCTGCGGCGAATGCGCTGGAGAATGTCGGCGAGCCCGTCGTGGAAGCGTCGATGCTGCGATTCATGAGACGCCGTCTGTCCTTGCGCACCGTGACGTTCGACGGACTGAATTGCTGCGCATCCTCCTCCTGCACCACCGGCGAGCGCACAAAGGCTGGCGAAGCTGCATGCGCCGCTGCGCCGTTGAGGTTGGTGCGCGGCGTGCTGGGCCCGGCAGTCGCTTGCGGAGTCGTTACTCTGGCGAATGCAGACGGTCCGAGAGAGCTGATAGAGGTGACGGATGAGGTAGAAGAGCCGAACCGGCGCAGTGCAGGCGCAGACTCTGGCGTAGCGAAGGCAGGCCTGGCCTGTCCTGTCTGAGGTGCTGGAGGCTGTGACGGCGTAGCGACGGGCGACATGCCGACGATGTTGGACATGTCGACGCGTGCACGAGGTGCTGCCTTGCGTCCGACGGAGCCTGGAGCGCCAGAAGAAGCGCCATACGTACTGCTGGCCGTGGGAGAGAGCGTGTGGTTGATGCTGGCGCGCACCACGCTGCCGGTGGGCGCTGAACGTGGAGGAGGGCTGGTCTGCGCAAGGTCGATGCGGCCCATGACCTGTGACGAGCGTCAGTCGACGTACTTCCTCCTACTGCGGACAGCACTGCGGGCCTCCGCCTGCTCGCCCGGCGGTCGTTCGCCATCGAGACGCGCCCCAGCCAGAGGTCCAGCCATCGCTGCGCACTCACCTTGCGCTTCGTCGGCGGCTGCGCCATGCTGGGCAACGATGCGCGCTGCGCGCTGCCAGCAGACACGGCGCAGCTCGCAGACTCAGCAGGGACGTCTAGCCGAGCGGCAGCTGCGCGCCAGACGGGTGCAGGCAATGGACAGCGGGACGAGGTGGCCGCGGCGGATCAGCAGCGCTGCCCAAACATGGCACGTGCGGCGCGTCGGACTCGAGATGTGGTGCGGACGGAGGACAGGGAGCGCGAAGGCCCGGCGCCGCAATGCTGCTGGATTCGGCGTCTAGAGAGCGTAGTCGGCGCGCGTATCTGAGGGGGCCAGGGACGAAGTGGTCGAGGTGAGGGGTGTGTCCACCTGCTCCCAGCGGCCAGCACGCCCAAATGCGTGCTTGCGGAGAGTGGAGGGCACCGCGAGCGGGGCCGCACGTGACCGATCGCCAACGAGCGCCGCTGGGCGGCCGTCGCCCCGCCGTGCTGCTGGCGCGCAGCGGCGCGGGTGCTGCTGCTGGCCGCGTGCGGTGCGGCGTCAGCGCTGCGTGGCCGGCGCGGGACGCTCGCACGAGACCGGCCGCGCCTCCATCCCCCGCCATCCTTCGCTCCTCCTCCACCGCCGCCTCATCCGTCTCGACTGCACCGCGCTTGCTCCTCCTCTCCACACGCTCCACCACCGCGCTCGCAGCCTGCAGTCTGCGCCGGCGCCGTCTTCTCACCGCCTGCGTCGCCCGCCTGCCATCCGTGCGCGCACCCTCTCTCCCTCGCAGCAGCCCGGCACTCCTACTCGCGCTGCCATCTGTGCTGCGCGCGCCGCCGTCTGCTCTTCTTCGTCTCGTCTGCTCCATCGTCTAGATCGCGCGTGCGTGCTGCTCTCTGCTTCTCGCACGTAGATCTGCTGCTTGCTTGCGTCTGCGAGCAGCACATCCTCTGCGGCCGTGCGTGTCCGTGCCCGTGTCTGTGCGCACAGCCGAGTCCGCCGCCGGCTGACGCTGCGCATCCCTGTCACGCAGCAGTCTCTGGCTGCGCTTCGCTGCTGCATCTGCGCTCAGCGCGCCCGTCGCGCTTACGCCGCCTGCCTCGCGCTCTCTGCCTGTTGCCGCGAGACCATGCACTTGGAAGTCCGCGACATCGAGCCATCATCCTCTCCGCCGCCGCTGCCTAGCAACCCACTCCTCGTCTTTCGCCCAGCCCGCGCAGCCGACATCACATGTTCGGCTCGCCCGCTCCTTCGCCGTCGCCCTCTCCGGGCCCGGCCTTTCTCTATCAGGGCGGTGGCTCGCACCACCATCCTTCCGGCAGCCTCTCGTCGGGCGGCGGCAGCGCCTCCAACGGCGGGCCGGGTCCCTCGGGCCTCGGTAGCCTCGGAAACTCGTCGCCCTTCTCCAACGGTCCCGGTCCGGGCTCTGGCTTCCCGCCTCTAGGCCGCTTCCCGCCCTCGGGCCTGGCGTGGGGCGGTGGGGCGCGGCACCACGGCGGGCCTGGCGGCTCGGGCGCCGGCGGCAGCCATGCCGCCAACGCCTCCCTCTCCTCGCTCGGCGGCAGCATGGGCGGCGGGCCCGGCAGCGGCAACGGCAGTGCGGCGCCCTCCAGCCCCGCGTACGGCCAGATGGGCGGCCACCACGGCCACCACCACGGCCACGTCGGCCCGCACGGCCACTCGGGGCTCGGACACATGAACAGCCCGGGCCCGCTGCACGGCGGCGGCAACTCGCACATGAACAGCAGCAACTCGTCCGCAGCCGCCAACGCCAGCCCGCACTGGCAGCAGCAGCTGGTCAAGGCAGAGGTGAGTGAAGGGGCTCGGTTGCGGCAGGTCGGATACTAGAGATCCTTGAGGGCGCGCTCGCTGCAGGCGTACGGTGCAGTGCTGGGGCGCACAGACGGATGTGGGCGAAAGATGCGGCTGCTGACACGGGTCTCTGCAGATCTCGCGGCAATCTGCGTCTCCGCACCACCACGCTCGCGCTGCAGCACTGGCTGCGCGCAGCGCGACGAGCGCCGCCGTGGCCATCCACGACCCGAACAAGGGCATCCGCATCCCGCAGACGGCTGCGAACGGCCTGCATCTGCCTAGTAAGCGGGAAAACGGCGATGCAAACGGCGAGGACGGCCTGGGCCCGAACGGCGAGGCGACGGCCAACGGGCGGGGCGCCAAGGACAGCGCCGAGAAGAGCAGCTCGGGGCAGTCGTGGACGACGATCGACATGGGCGGCCTTGGCCTCAAGACGCTCGCCAAGGAGGTGTACCGCTACTCCTTCCTCACGTCGCTCTTTGTCAACCACAACGCGCTCTCGACGCTCTCGCCGGCGATCCTCGAGCTGAAGAACCTGACGGTGCTCGATGCCTCGGGCAACAAGCTCGTCTCGCTGCCGGCAGAGCTGGGCATGCTGACGCAGCTGCGCGAGCTCTTCCTCTTCGACAACCTGCTCGTGACGCTGCCGCCGGAGATGGGCGCGCTGCACCAGCTCGAGCTGCTGGGCATCGAGGGCAACCCGCTGAGCGAAAATCTGCGCTCGCTGGTGCAGCGCGACGGCACATCGGCGCTCATCTCGTACCTGCGAGATTCCTGCCCCGTGCCGCTGCCGCCGCCGGAGCGCGAGTGGGTCAACATCGACGCCGACCTGCCCCCGCCGCCGCCGGCACCGGCAGACGGCAGCGACGCGCCGCCCGAGGCGCCGCCAGAGACGTTCAACCTGCTCTGCTACAACGTGCTGTGCGAGAAGTACGCGACGGCGCACATGTACGGCTACACGCCGTCGTGGGCGCTGGCGTGGGAGTACCGCAAGGAGTTCATCTTGCAGGAGGTGATGAGCTACTCGGCCGACATCTGCTGTCTGCAGGAGGTGGATGCGGAGCAGTACGAGGACTACTTCCTGCACCACCTCTCGCAGCAGGAGTACGAGGGCGTGTACTGGCCCAAGTCGCGCGCGCGCACGATGCGCGACGAGGAGCGGCGGCGCGTCGACGGCTGCGCCACGTTCTTCAAGGCGAGCAAGTACGCGCTCATCGAGAAGCAGCTCATCGAGTTCAACCAGATTGCGCTGCAGCGGCCCGACTTTAAGAAGACGGAGGACATGTTCAACCGCGTCATGACGAAGGACAACATCGCCGTCGTGGCGCTGCTGGAGAACCGCGAGTCGGGCTCGCGCCTCATCGTCGCCAACGCGCACATCCACTGGGACCCCGAGTACCGCGACGTCAAGCTCGTGCAGGTGGCCATGCTGATGGACGAGCTGGAGAAGATTGGCGCGCGCTTTGCCAAGTTCCCCGCCAAGCTCGACGTCGCCGAGGGCTTCCCGCCGGCGCCCAAGTACAACGACGGCAGCAAGATTCCGACGATCGTGTGCGGCGACTTCAACTCGGTGCCCGACTCGGGCGTGTACGAGTACCTGGCCGGCGGCGAGCTGCGCGGCGACCACCCGGACTTCATGTCGCACATCTACGGCAACTACACGGCCAACGGCCTCGGCCACGGCCTGCCGCTGAAGAGCGCCTACGCCAACATCGGCGAGCTGCCGTTCACCAACTACACGCCCAACTTCGAGGGCGTCATCGACTACATCTGGTACAATCAGAACGCACTCGCCGTCACGGGCCTGCTGGGCGACGTGGACAAGTCGTACCTCAACAAGGTCGTCGGCTTCCCCAATGCCCACTTCCCGTCGGACCACATCTGCATCCTCAGCGAGTTCCGCGTCAAGCATCCGCGCGACGGACCCGCGCCGCGGCAGGTCGACTTTGGCTCGGGCAAGGAGCGGCGGCACTGAGCCGGGCTGCGGCGGCGAGGCTTGCGCGCGCGCACACTCTTGTACATAGCGGCCCACTCTCCGGTCTGCACCAGTCCTGCACTCTCGCCTCTCTCTCGCTCTCGCTCTCTCTCTCACTCTGCGCATCAACTACACCCGCCTCCAATCTGCTCTTCCGGTGCCTGCTCGCCATTCCCTAGGGTTCCCTCCCTCTTCTTTCTCCCGTGTGACTCTCTTCTCTCTCATGAACCTCGACGCGCGCTGCTTTCGGAGGGGCTTCTGGGCCCTCTCTTTCCCTCTCGCGCCCGTGACGTGCCGCCTCGACGCATTTGTATTAGCTACTCCAGCCAGACGCGGGACTGAACCAGGTCGACCCCCCTTATCACCCACTCTTACCCCTCGTCGGCGCTCCGCCAGCAGCTGGTCGCTCGCGAGTCGCACGCCCCCCCCCCCCCCCCTCTCTCTCTCTACACTGCTCCGCGCCCTCCAGGCCCTCTCCCGTAACCCCTCTCTCCCCTTCCTATACTCTGCCGTCAATCGCAACAGCTCAATCGTTGGTGAGAAGAGAGCGAGAGCTGGCTACAGAGGAGTCGAGAGGGGAGTGCGCCACAGCCACATCGCTGCTGCTCTCTCTTCGCGCGCGTCAGACTTCCACGACGCCGGCCGGCCAACTCACTCGCGAGCCAGACGTGCGCACAGCGGCAGCACGGCCAGGCAGAGGAACGGCGATGATTAATGTAGCACTGCGGCTGCAGGGGAGAGGCACAGAGGGACGGCGCTGGAGAGACATGGAGACACAGCTCACGAGGGGTTGGCCCATCACGACGACGTCGCAGACGCAGCCAGACTGAGCGTGTCGACGAGCAGACGGCGCCAGTAGCGCTCCACGAAGGGCAGCGCCTCTTCGGCCAGAACCTGTGCGGCGCGCGGCAGGATGTGAGCCAGGGGCCATGCAACGGAAGCGCGCAGTCTGCACTCACCGGCTCGAGCACGTCGACGAGCGCAGGCACCTGCGACCGCTTGCGCAGCGCCTCGAGGAACGCCTCCGTGAGCTCGGGCACGCTCTCACCGACGCTGTCTGAGATCATGCGGTCTGCCAGTGGCCGGTAGCTGCGTGCAATGGCGGCCTGGAGGGCAGCACGTCAGCATTGCGCGTCATGCGCTCATCAGGTCCAAGCTCACCTCGTCGATCCAGTCCCATGCTGGTGAGGCAGCAAAGAGGCCCTCGCGATCGCGCGGTAGCTCGCGCTCGACGTGCGGCGCGTGCTGCTTGATCGTCTCCTCGCGCTTCTCGTCGGACAGGCCATCGCCCAGCTCGATCTTGCGCAGCCGTCTCCGTCCGAGATCCTCCTCCTCGGCCTCGCCAAGCACGGCCTTGGGGATCACCGCAGCAGCGGCCGGCTGCTCCTCGCCCGCCGCAGGCTTCGGTGCGACCTTGAGCTTCAGCGGCGCGTGCGAGCCGTCCGCGGGCAGCAGCACACCGGCTGCGCGCTGGGCGTCTGCGTGCGCCGCCGAGTCCGCCACGGCCTGCTCTGCCGCCCGCTGGGCCGCTGCCGCAGCGGCCTCCGCCTCTGCCTTCTCAGCCTCGCGATCGGCAGCGTCGGCCTCCTCTTCCCGATGCCGCGCGCCGCTTCTGTAGCTGCGCCACCGTGCCCTGAGCAGAGCGTCAGCTGTGTCCGGCATCGCGCTGCAGCCCGTGCTCACCGTTCGGCGTAGAAGAGCTCGCGCTCCTTCTCCCGCGCGTCGTCCCACGCATCGCTGCGCGCGAGCAATGCCGATGCCCGCTGGACGCGGTCCTCCGTCGCAATGCGCTCCCGCTCCGCCTCCTTCTCCCATCGTGCAAATCTCCGCCGCTCCGCGTAGATGTAGTCCTGCTCCTGCTGCAGGGTGAATGCGCTTCAGCACATAGGGGCTGCGTCAGCGCGCTCAGGAGCACTCACGTTCTCGGCCTGTTTCCGCTTGGCCTCCTCGGCCCTGCGTAGCCGCTCCTTCTCCTCCTCCGTATCCCGCTCGACCGGGTCGGTGATCTCCTTTTGCGCCACAAAGTCCAGCGGCTTGTTGTAGCTCTGTCTGCCATCGCCAGCAGGCCGCGACGGGCCGTCCATCGGGCCCTGCGGCCCGCCCTGCTGCGGGCCCCAGCCGCCGCCCTGCTGCATGCGCCGCTCCTGCTCCAGCACGCGGTCGCGGCGCTTCTTCTCCTCCTCGCGCGCCGCAGAGGCCTGCCGGAACTTGTCGATCTCCGACAGCACCGACGTGCGATGCTCCTCGGGCAGCTCCTCCGGCGGCAGGTCCTTGAGGTGCGACGGGATCGAAGAGCGCACCTCGCTGCCGTCTGAGCCCGCCGCAGCGTTGGGGTCCTTCATCTGTGTCAGGAGCGAGGCAATAGTCGTGGTGGACAGGTTATCCGCGTCGCCGTCCTGGACATTCGTCAGCCACACGCCGTGCGCTGATGATCGACTAGTCGCAGACTCACCACTGTCCGGCCCTGCTCGTACTGCTCCAGGAACTTCGCCGTCTTGGCATCAGCCTTCAAGCTCAGCGCCTTGGGCGCTTCGCCCGACTGGTCGCCCATCGAGGGCAGCTCCTTGCCATTCAAGTGCTCCAGCGCTCGCAGCACTCCATCTGCATCGACGAACGTAGCGAAGCCGAAGGCCTTGTTCACGCGCTTCAGCGATGAAAGCGGGCCGCAAGCCTGGCGTGCAGATGGGGTCAGCACCGCAGCACGCACATCCATGCCGGCGCAACGCACCTCGAGCACACGCCGTAGCCACACATCGCCCACTCCCGGGCTAATGCCGCCGACGAAGAGCGTCGTGGCGATCTCGGTGCCGGCACGATTGATAGCCTCGGCGCGCGCCGCCCAGCCGGGGTTGATGCCGGGCACCGAGGGGTTCGCCTGCGGCGGCATGCCGTATCCCGGCGGCGGCCCGCCCATGCCTGGCGGCGGCATGCCCATGCCCGGTGGCGGTCCCATGCCCGGCGGCGGCATGCCCATGCCGCCCATGCGCATCGGCGCGCCCATGGCCATGTGCGGCGCCATGTCGCGCTGCATGCCGCCGGGCCCGCCGGGCGCGCCGATGCCGGCACGCGCGCCTGCGCCCTGGTAGCCGCCGTTCATGGTGTGTGCGTGCGGAGCGGACTGTGCGCGGTGAGCAGCCGGCTGGAGGGAGAGTGGATGGTGGTGGAGGAAGGGCAAGAAGGCCGGCGCCGCCGCGAGAAGCAGATCGCCGTCTGCGCGGCGGCACACTTGAATCACAATTTCTAATCAGGCCCGCAGCGGCACGTGATTTTTGTATTGCGCCGTGGTGTGGAGAAGCATGCGCGACCCAGCCCCGCTCAGGCCATCCTTCCCTCCTCCCTGCCACCTCGCTACGCTCTACGCCCAGCTCGGCCCCCGCAGCGTGCTGCCGCCATGCCGCCGCCGCTCTCCACTGCCCAGGCGGCCAATGCGCTGCCGCTGCTCGCGCCCGCCGCGCTGCCGTACGAGCACCTCTCGCTGCTCTCCAAGCGCCTCGGCAGCCTCATCCGCTCCATCCTCGACATGCAGGCCGCACTGCAGGCCGACTTTGGCCTCGAGGACTGGTGAGTGGCATGATGCGGTCCTCCCTCGAGAAGTCGAGTGCTGAGACGAGACTCTTTCGCAGGCCTGCGCTCCTCACGCAGCACCTCAACCTCATCTCCTCGACGCACACCCTCACCGCCCTGCTCCTCTCGCCGAACCCCACGCAGGACGCCCAGCTGCAAGCGCTGCAGGACTTTCTCAGCCAGGAGGCACGCGACAAGAACCTCTTCGCCGCGCCGTCCGCTGCCCAGTCAAGTGCGCTGACTGCCAGCGGCAACGATGCGCTGGGCCTGGGCGCGAGCACGTCGGCGGAGCGCTTGGCGACAGCAGAGGGCATGCCGCTGGTGCAGTTTGCCGACCCCAAGTCCCTGCTGCCGCGTCTCTCTACGCACCCTTTGCAGCCGCTCGACGCCGAGCGAGCAGGACGGCTACAAGGCCTGCTGCGCACGCGGCTCGACACGGCGCCGGAGAACGCCATGGCCGAGACGTGGGCCAGCTGGTGCGAGGCCAACCCAGTCGAGGAGGGCGACGATGGCGCCGACGTGGCGCATGCACGACTGCGGCTGGCACGCAAGCAGGAGCGCGAGTACGATGAGATGTGCGAGGCGGCGCTGCGTGCATGGTGGCACGTCAAGGAGCAGCCAGACGAGGAGGGCGAGCGCTACGACTGGAAGATGCGCATCACTGCAGAGGACCTCGCCGCCGAGGCTGAGGACGACGACACGCAGATGGCCGACGCACAGGCGCCGCCAGAAGGGCAAGAGGCGGAGTGGTCCGTCAAGGACATCTGCGCCTTCATGAGCGGGCGATCCGCTGCCTCCAACTCGGCGCTCTAACCGCTCCATATCTCGACTCCGCTTCCTCTCCCTCTCACACATCTGTACAACACTCATCTGCCGCGGTCTATTCTCAATGTATTCGATTGCAACTCATCATGCTGGCTTACACATTGCGACGGGCATCGGCGACCTTCCATGCCAGCGGCTTCTCGCGCTGCTCGCCCTTGATGTAGTCACCCGCCTCCTCCGCGGCGTGCTTGCTCTTCTCCTTCGCGCCGAAGAGGCTGTCCTTTGCCGCCTGTGCGATGTTGCTCGTGCTCGACTCGACTGACGACGCAGCCGACGAGAGGCTGTCCGAGGCAGACGAGGCGGCGGAGGAGATGCTGCTCGAGGCCGACGAGGCGGCACGCACGAGGGGGTCGGGAGCGTGCGCGATCGTGTAGAACGTCGAGGCAGCAAGGTCGGATGCCTTCGACGAGGCGTCCGATGTGGTGCGCGAGAGAGCGTTCCTTGCGGCAGCAGCCTCGTCAGAGACGTACGACGCGGCATCCGACAGCTTGTCACCGGCCGCCGAGGCCGTGCGGCTGGCCTCGTCGGAGGCACGCGAGGCAGTGCGCGAGATCGACGACGTCAGGTGCGAGGCTTCCCGCGAGACGGCGTGTGCTGCGTTGTCGGCGCTCTCGTACACGCTCTGGCCGGCCTCCGACGCCTTGCGCGTGAGCGACGAGGCGGCGCGAGAAGCCTCGTCGGCGCCCGCACGCGCCGTGTCGACCACTGCGCCGGCACCGCGGCTGGCGAGGTCGTACGTCTGCTCGCCGGCGCGCTCGACACCGTCCACCACCTGGCGACCAGCGTGCTGCGCGCTGCGGGCCGTGTCGCGGGCGCGCTCGGCCGTCCAGTGCGCGGCATCCTCGGCGCGCTGCTCCGCCGAGTAGGCAGCGTTGCTCACTGCACGTCCGGCATCGCGAGTGCGCTCGGCCGCATAGTGGGCCGCGTCCTCAGCCCGCTGCTCGGCCGAGTAGACGGCGTTGCTGGCTGCACGTCCGGCGTCACGGGTGCGCTCTGCGGTCCAGTGGGCTGCGTCCTCAGCACGCTGCTCAGCCGAGTAGGCCGTGTCGCGGACTGCCCGGCCGGCATCGCGCGTGCGCTCGGCCGTCCAGTGAGCGGCCGCCTCGGCCTCGCGCTGGGCCTCGCGGCCGGCATTCTGCACCGAGCGGCCGGCGTCGCGTGCCCGGTCAGCGGCCCACTGCGCCGCCTCCTCCGTCTCGTGCTTCGCCTCGCGGGCCGCAGACTTGGCGCTGCTGCCTGCGTCGCGCGCACGGTCAGCGGCCCAGGACGCTGCGTCTTCGGCGCGCTGCTCCGCCGAGTAGACGGCGTTCTTCGCCTCGCGGCCTGCGCTGCGAGCCGAGTCGGCAGTCCACTGCGCCGCGTCCTCAGCGCGCTGCTCTGCCGAGTAGGCGGCGTTCTTGACTTTCCGGCCCGCGCGGTTGGCGCCGCTGCGCACCGACTCGGCCGTCTCGGAGGCGTAGTCGCCGACCTCGCGGCCAGCAGACTTGACGCGGCTGCCCGCCTCGTAGGCGGCATCCTGCGTAGAGCGAGCGGCGGACGAGGCAGCGTCCGAGGCGCGGCGCCCGGCATTGTACGTCTCCTCCTCGACGCGGCGGCCGGCGTCGCGAGAGCCCTGGGCGAGCGACGCCAGACCGCTCTGCAGACGCTCGCCAGTCGATGAGGCCGTGTCCTTGACGCGCTCAGCAGCGTCGGAGGCCGTGTCCTGTGCCGAACGCGCGGCGGAGGAGGCGGCATCCGAGGCACGACGGCCAGCCGAGTAAGCCTCCTGCTCGACGCGGCGGCCCGCATCGCGGGCACTGCGAGCAGCAGAGCGAGCGCCGCTCTCGATGCTCTCCTCCGCAGAGTTTGCAGCGTCTCTTGCGCCACGCGCCGCCGAGCGCGCTCCGCTCTCGACACGCTCGCCAGCATGCTGCGCAGACTCCTTGGCGCTGCGGCCAGCAGAGGACGCAGCGTCCTCGGCGCGCTGCTCGGCAGAGTAGAGGCTGTCCTTGGCACTGCGGCCAGCGTCGCGGGCAGAGCGACCAGCCGAGCGAGCGCCCTCCTCAACGCGCTCCTCGGCAGAGTAGACCGAGTCGCGGGCGCTGCGGCCGGCGGAGGCTGCCTTGTCGCCAGCGCGACGACCAGCAGACTCGGCCTTGTCCTCAGCGCGGCGACCCGCGCTAGCCGCCGAGTCGTAGGCATCGCGACCAGCGCTCTGCGCGCGGCTAGTGACATCCTCGAGGCGGTCCTCGGCGCTGCGCGACGACTCCTTCTTGGAGCTGCCGCCGAACCAGCTGGAGCGGCCCTTGGAGGACTGCTCCGAGGCGTGCTCATCCTTGGCAGCTGCACGCGTGGCGCCTCGCGGCTCCACGGGCGCGCCCCGGCCCGAAACCTCCTCGGGCGCAGGCACGCCGGCGTGGCGCGCCGGGTCGTACAGGGCGCGCTGCAGCTCGCGCTCGAGCTGCTCGCCGCGCGTGAGGCCGTCGTCGCCCGCGACGGGCGCCTGCGGCGCCGTCTTGCCGCTGCGCGAGGGCGCCTCGGTGCCGCGTGCGCGGTTGGCACGCTCCACCAGAGAGTCCTCGTCCGAGCCAGAGCGGAAGACGGGCGCGGCCGTGGCGCGCGGGTGGCTGCCGAGGGCGTTGCGCAGGCCCTCGATCTCACCCTTGACGCTGGCAACAGCAAGGTCAAAGTGCTGGCTGGCATCGCCGGCACGCGCGCGCGGCAGCTCGCCGTCGGGCAGCTGCGGCTCCGTGTTGGGCGAGCCCTTGCCGATGCTGCGCTGCCACGTCGTGCCCTCCTCCTTGAGCGCAGCCGTCAGCTCGTCCTTGATGCGGCGCGGGTGGCCGACACCCTCGTAGCCAAACGACGTGTACAGCTGCACGGCCGAGGCGCCGGCCTTGGCAAAGTCGAGCGCATCACGGCCCGACGCGATGCCGCCGCAGCCGATCAGCGGCATCTTGTCGCCGACGCGCTTGTAGATGGTCTGCAGCGCCTTGATGGCCAGCGGCTTCACGGGCGGGCCAGAGAGGCCGCCCGTCTCCTGCGTGACGTGCGGCGGCGACAGCAGCGAGGCAGGCCGCGAGACGGTCGTGTTGCTGACGATGAGGCCGTCGACCTTGGCGCCGAGCGCAGCGTCTGCGATGTCGTTGAGCTCGCCCTCGGAGAGGTCCGGGGCGATCTTGACGAGCAGCGGCGCCTGCGGCTGCGGCAGCTCGTTGCGCGCGTCGACGACAGACTTGAGCAGCTTCTGCAGTGCCTCCTTGTGCTGCAGGTTGCGCAGGCCGGCCGTGTTGGGCGACGAGATGTTGATGACGAGCATGTCGGCGTACGGGCCGAGCTTCTGCACGCCCTTGACGTAGTCGTCGACCGAGTCGGCCGCCGACGTCTTGTTCTTGCCGAGGTTCACCGAGAGGAACTGGCCGGCGCGCGCCGAGCGCGGCAGCTCGGCGGCGTCGAGCAGCAGCGGCCCGACGGCCGGGTTCGCCGCCAGCACCTCGGACGCGACGTTGGACGAGGAGATGGGCACGCGCACATCATTGAGCGCGCCCGACGAGTGCAGCCACGTGCCGATGCGTGCCTGCAGGCGTGCCAGCACGGCGTCGTGGCCGTCGGAGTTGAAGCCAAAGCGGTTGATCGCGGCGCGGTCCTGGTCGAGGCGGAAGTAGCGCGGCAGGTCGTTGCCCGGCTGGAAGGAAGGTGAGTCACTGGCACAGCTAGAGGCGCACAATGGCACTCACCTGCGGCTCGGGCGTCACGCTGCCGATCTCAACAATGCCGAATCCGAGGCCCAGCAGGCCGTCGATGGCCTCGCCCTGCTTGTCAAAGCCGGCAGCCAGGCCGATGGGGTTCGAGAGCGTCTTGCCGAAGAGCTGTGGCAGAGAAGGTCAGCCTGGCATGATCTGATGCCACAGCTTCTGGAGTGCCTGGTCCGCTCCTTCCATCTTGGCCTGGCCTCGCACTCACCTTGGTCTGCAGCACGTCGTCGTCGACACCCATGTCGCGCGGCATGATGCCACTCGCGAGGCCCTGCACGGCGATCTTCTGTGCCGTCTCGGGGTCGGCGGTGGCCTGCAGCACGGGGATGGCGACCCAGCGGTGGATGGCGGCGCGCGAGTCGAGGTAGTAGGCGACGCCAAACGTGGCGACGGTGCCGTAGAGGAGCCACTTGAGCAGCGTGCCGACGGGGCGCAGCGGGTTCGGCGGTGGCTTGGAGGAGCCGCCGAAGAAGGAGGACGAGGAGGAGCTGGAGCTGGAGAAGGTCGAGGGCACGGGCTTCGGCGGCCCCGGCGCGCCGGCCGTGGGCGGCAGCGGGCGCGACGTGGGGCTGGAGAGCGTCGGCGGCGGGCCGGGCGGCGGCGCGGGCGTGGAGCTGGAGCCCGGCGGCGGCACGAGGGGCGCATCGGCACGGCGCGAGGCCGAGACGTGCAGCGCACGGTACGCAGGCGCAGCGCGAGGCAGCGCAGCGAGCTGCTGGGCGCGGGCGGCGTGGCGCAGCGCCGACATGGCGGGCACGCGGAGGGGTGGGAGAGGGAGAGGAGAGGGAGTGGTGAGGAGGGAAGGAGGCGCAGCAGGCTGTGCAGCCTCGAGAAGGGTGCAAGCACGGGCAGGACGGGCTGCCGCAATGGGCGCCGGCACGCGCTTGCGCTCCAGGCAGGCGGCCTGCCTTTGCAGCCGCCGCCCGCGCGGCGAGAAGAAGCGTGCCTGGCCCCTCCGCCTCGCTTGGCGGCTCCCACGTCACCGTGCGCCGCGCCCGAGCAACCTCGGGCTGCCGGCCTCGCCCGCTCCTCTTCGCCTCCGAGCTCGCAGCGCCGTCCAGCAGCGCCATCTCGAGCTCGATTTGCACTCAAAATTCTCAGCGAGCTCGAAAGGGCTGAATTGCTACAGCGCTGCCGTTCGGCGGCCAAGTGACTGCCCAGGGAGCTCTACGGGAGCTCACCTGCTGCCTCCACCTTATAAGCAAGGTGTCCCTCGCGTCCGCGAGACCGTGTTCCGGGTGCGAGCGCGACTCCGCCAGCGGCCTCGGGCGGCCTTTGCGCGCGCCGTGAGCCGAACAACGTGCTGCCCAGCCTTTTGCGCCGCTTGAGCCCTGGACGCCGGACTTGAGCTCGCCCAGAGCGGCAGAGAAAGGCACGCTGCAGCGGTGATGGTGGATCTGCTGCTCAGAGCAGCGCATGTATAGCTGCTGCTGCTGCTCTTGCCGTCTTTGTCGCGTAGGCTGGGTCCGTGGCCTTCACGCGGCGCGTGGCAGCGCAGATCTTCGCGGCGCGCCGGCTTAGCGCCGCCTCGGCCACCGCCGCCGGCCTGCTTGCCGCCGCGACCCCACTCATCATCCTCTTGTGCGCGACATCCGGGCATGCTCCGCTCGCCGTGCCTGCTGCGTCTGCCCCTCCACCACCAGCCGCACCTCTCTGTCTCCAGCGCACTGCGCACCGCATCGCTCCTCTCGCGCTCGCCGCTCGCTGCTCCGCGCCGCGCCCTCGCCCTCGCCGCCTCGCCGCGCCGCCCGCGCGCCCGAGCCGCCGCCGCTCCGCTCCCGCTCCTCCGCGCCACGATGGCCTCCTCTGCCGATGCTGCCGGCAGCAGCGGCGCCCGCATCATCGACGGCACGGCGCTGGCCAAGTGAGTGAGCTGCGGCGCGTGCAGGGAGCCCGGCCTGTAGAGGCCTCTGCTATGCACACTAAACCCCTTCTGCGCTCGCAGGAAGGTCCGCGCGTCCGTCGCTGAGCGCATCGCCGAGCGCCGCAAGACGCACGCCTCGTTTGCGCCGCACCTCTGCATCGTGCAGGTCGGCGACGACAGCGCCAGCGTCACGTACATCCGCATGAAGCGCCTGGCCGCCGAGGAGTGCGGCATGAAGTTCACGCACCTGCATCTGCCCGGCGGCACCAGCGAGGAGGAGATTGTGCACCGCGTCGGCGACCTCAACGACGACAGCAGCATCGACGGCATCCTCGTGCAGCTGCCGCTCGGCGCCCACATCGACGCCGAGGCCGAGCGCCGCGTCACCGAGGCCGTGTCGCCGAGCAAGGACGTCGACGGCTTCCACGCCCTCAACATCGGCCACCTCAACAGCCGCGCGTGCAATCCCGACTTTGCGCCCTGCACGCCCGCCGGCGTCATCAAGCTGCTCGAGGAGGCCGGCCTGTCCGACTTCTCCGGCCTGCGCGCCTGCGTTATTGGCCGCTCGGACATCGTCGGCAACCCCGTCGCGGCGCTGCTGCGCTCGCGCAACGCCACGGTCACGCAGTGCCACTCGCGCACCAAGGACGTCGCCGCGCACGTCGGCGAGGCCGACATTGTCGTCGCCGGCCTCGGCAAGACGCAGTTCGTCAAGGGCGAGTGGTTCAAGAAGGATGCCATCGTCATCGACGTCGGCACCAACTACATTGCCGACGCGTCCAAGAAGAGCGGCCAGCGCCTCGTCGGCGACGTCGACTTTGAGGCGGCGCGCAAGGTCGTCAAGGCCATCACGCCCGTGCCCGGCGGCGTCGGCCCCATGACGGTGGCCATGCTGATGGAGAACGTGCTGCAGTCGGCGCTCAAGTCGACGGCCAACGGGCGCGCACGCGGCGTCACGTCGCCGAACCCGCTGAGCATCCTCGAGAAGGTGCCGGCGGACATCGAGGTGGCGCGCTCGCAGAAGCCGCGCCCCATCACGCAGGTCGCGCGCGAGGTGGGCATCCTGGGCCGCGAGCTGGAGCCCTACGGCGACGTCAAGGCCAAGGTGGACCTGAGCATCCTGCAGCGCCTGGCCTCGCGCCGCGACGGCAAGTACGTCGTCGTCGCCGGCATCACGCCCACGCCGCTCGGCGAGGGCAAGAGCACGACGACGATCGGCCTGGCGCAGGCCCTCGGCGCCCACCTCGGCAAGGCGGCGTTTGCCTGTGTGCGCCAGCCGTCGCAGGGCCCGACGTTCGGCATCAAGGGCGGCGCTGCCGGCGGCGGCTATGCGCAGGTCATCCCGATGGAAGAGTTCAACCTCCATCTCACGGGCGACAACCACGCCGTGCAGGCGGCCAACAACCTGCTGGCCGCCGCCATCGACGCGCGCATGTTCCACGAGGCAACGCAGAAGGACGCCGCGCTATTCGACCGCCTGTGCCCCAAGAAGAAGGGCAAGCGCAGCTTTGCACCCGTGATGCTGCGCCGTCTGAAGAAGCTCGGCATCAACAAGACTGACCCCGAGGAGCTGACGGAGGAGGAGCGCAGCAAGTGGGCGCGCCTTGACATTGACCCAGACACGATCACGTGGCACCGCGTCACCGACACCAACGATCGCTTCCTGCGCGAGATCACTGTTGGGCAGGCGGCGACGGAGAAGGGCCAGGAGCGGCGCACGGGCTACGACATTGCCGTGGCGTCGGAGTGCATGGCCGTGCTGGCGCTCTCCAAGGACCTGGCCGACATGCGCGAGCGTCTCGGCCGCATGGTCATTGCCTCGAGCCGCGCCGGCGATGCCGTGACGGCCGACGACATTGGCATTGGCGGCGCGCTGACGGTGCTGATGAAGGACGCCATCAAGCCGAACCTGATGCAGACGCTCGAGGGCACGCCCGTCTTTGTGCACGCCGGGCCCTTTGCCAACATTGCCCACGGCAACAGCAGCATCCTCGCCGACGCCGTGGCGCTGAAGCTCGCGGGCACCGAGGAGGGCGAGGACGACAGCAAGGCCGGCTACGTCATCACCGAGGCGGGCTTCGGCGCCGACATTGGCATGGAGAAGTTCTGCGACATCAAGTGTCGCGAGTCTGGCCTTGTGCCCGACGCCGTCGTGCTGGTCGCCACGGTGCGTGCACTCAAGACGCACGGCGGCGGCCCCGACGTGTCGCCGGGCAAGCCGCTGTCGGAGGTGTACCTCGAGGAGAACCTCGAGATCCTCGAGGCCGGCTGCGTCAACCTCAAGAAGCACATTGAGAATGCCAAGAAGTTCGGCCTCAAGGTCGTCGTGGCGGTGAACCGCTTCGCCACCGACACGCAGAAGGAGCTCGACCTCGTGGTGCGCGAGTCGCTCGCTGCGGGCGCCGATGCCGCTGTGCCGGCGAACCACTGGGCGCGCGGCGGCGAGGGTGCCGTGGATCTGGCTCAGGCACTCATCTCGACGCTCGAGGGCAAGCAGAGCGACTTCAAGTTCCTCTACGACGTGGCCCTGCCGATTGAGAAGAAGATCGAGACGATCGCAAAGGAGATGTACGGCGCCGCGGGCATCGAGATCAGCGAGGCCGCACAGAAGCAGATCGACACGTACACGCGCCAGGGATACGGACACCTGCCCATCTGCATGGCCAAGACGCACGTGAGTTGGCCGCAGACCAGAGCGTGACGGAGCCGACGGCTGACCAGTGCACCCTCCCATCAGCTGTCGCTCAGCCACGAGCCGACGCTCAAGGGCGCACCGACCGGCTTCACCGTGCCCATCCGCTCCGTCAAGCTCTCGGCCGGTGCTGGCTGTGCGTCCACTGTCGCCTTCCTCAACCCACTCTGCATACCTTGGCTGACGTTCTCCCACCTCTCGACAGTCCTGTACCCGCTCTGCGGCGCCATGCAGACGATGCCGGGCGTGAGTGTCGCTTCTCGGCATGCTGTGCCGCCGGCTCTGCGGACTCCCGACTGACCGTCGCATTCCTCGCAGCTTTCCACGCGGCCGGGCTACTACGAGAGTGAGTCTTGGCGTCTGCATCCTTCCTTCTGTGCTGCGGCTGACCATAGGCGGCCGTTCTGCAGTCGACCTGGATGAGAATGGCCAGGTGCAGGGTCTCTTCTAGACGTGTCCCTGCCTGCTTGCTTCTCCATAGACCGCCCGTGTTTCTCTCCCTTCTGCAAAGCTCTTCTCTCTCTCTGCCCGCATTCCCCATCACGTGACTCCCATTCGGGCTCAACTCCCATCCCACCCGTCGTTCTCTCATGTCATGCCAGCACTTACCCACTCAATAATACGCTTCAACAGACGCCGGCACGAAGAGAGAGGCAGCTGCCAGGCAGGCGTGCTCACGCGACGTGAGCATGTCTGCCGTCTGCTGCGGCTGCGGTGGACACACTCGACTCACCGGCGCCAAGGCCAGGCGCGGAGACACATGCGACCCAGCTGGCTCAGCAGCCTGCGCCGAGCATAGCGCGCGCTGCAGCAGGCTGCTGCGCCGGATCGGCGAAGTGACTGACAGCTGCTGATGTTGCGCTGCAGCTGCTGCCAATCAAGCCTGCATGCTGCAGCGGAGGCATGCCGTATGTGCCCGCAGCCGGCGGAGCGTGAGCTTGTAGCGTGCAGTTGCCGAGCTTTGAGGGGAATCAAGACAGCATGAAGCAGCATCAGGCAAGGTGCGAGAGGTGCGCAGGAGGCGCGACAGGTCAGCGCATGCGAGCAGGCGCGCAAATGAACGCTGTGCAAGCTGCGGCGCAAGTCTGCCTGCTCTTGCGCCCCGATGGTGCGCAGCATGCGGCTCGACGCACGACGACAAGTCGCAGTCGCGCCCCTGCCGCTGTGCCGCCTCTTGCAAAGGCTGAAGGTGAAGGCGAGGCAGCACCTCTGCGTTGGTCCATGGCGATGCGCAGCGGGCAGCAGCAGGCGAGACGCGCGTCGCGTCGCTGTCACGCTGTCGCTGTGCCTGATGCCCTGACAGGAGGACCCTAGCGCCTCATCGTGTGGCTTGCCCGCGGCGCGTGCAGCTCCTCTCCCCCTCTCTTCTCTCTCCCCCCAGAGAGCGCTGCAGCCTGCAGCTCCGCAGCATGCAGGCCTTGGCGCAGCGCTGTATATCTCCGGCCGATCATCGCCCTCGGGCGCTCGGGCATGCAGGCAAGGCGAGGTAAAGCGCAACAAGGTGTGTTGATTGCAATTTGCCTCGCTCGGCGCCTCTGGCCTGCGTGTCAAGGAGCGAGCTGCGCCTGCGCTGCTGGCGGCTGCCGCTGCAAGCTGCACACGCCAGACGACGGCAGCTCCGCCTGCCTGCTCTCTTGGCAGCTGTGAAGGCTGTCTTCGGCGTCCGGCCAAGTCAGCATCCGAGAGGGCTTGCCCCGTCGTGTCGTGAGCCCGATCGAGCTGCGCCATTCTCAAAGCGTGCATACGTGCATTGCTCTTGCTGCTTGGCTCGATGCTCTCCCTCCACGCTGCATCCGCATGCTGCATGCTGCAAGTTGCCGCCTGCAGGCGAGCGAGGCAGCCCATCCAACGACGTCGGCGTCTTTGTGGCCTCACGACCGCTCGGGCGCGGACGCAAGAGGCAGGCCGCGCGTGCAGGGCACAGCAGGCGCAGCGCTTGCGGTGTGCGCCGGCCCACGCCGCGGCCCGGCGCTCTTGCCTGAGCCGCGCACACTGCAAGTGAAGAGACGGCAGCGAGATGTGCGCATGAAGCTCCATCGGTAAATGCCGCACTTCAGCTCCTAGCATGCCTCGGCCTCTCCAGCGCAGCAGCAGGAGGGGGCAGGGGCAGGAGGTGTTGCTCTCAGCCGGCGGGCGGCGCGCGACGCGGCGGCGGGCGGCGGGCCACGTTCGCCCTGCGCCGCGCGAGACGCGCCATGGCCAACGGACGCACGTTCGATGACTCTCCTGCCCTGCCCCCTGGGGCAAGTGCAGCCTCGGACGCCGCAGGACATCAGTGTGCAACCTCGCTGCCGGCACATGTGCGCACGCTCGCTTCCGAGAGCGAAGAATGAAGCGCTGTCGGCCTCCTGGGAGCAACGGGCGGCGCCGAGCAGGTATAAAGCTGCTCGACCTCACGCGGACCCCACTGGTCACCACCCTCATCCTCTGCTCGCCTCGACACAGCTCTCTTCTCCCTTCCTCGTCTCCTCTCCCCCCTCGCCATGCCGACGGCCATCTCCTCTGCGCCCCAGGCGATCCGGCGCATCTGCTGCGTCGGCGCCGGCTACGTCGGCGGGCCGACGTGCACCGTCATTGCCCAGAACTGCCCCGACATCACCGTCACCATCGTCGATGTCAATCCGGTGCGCATCGCCGCCTGGAACAGTGCGCCGGACGCCGAGGGCCGCCTGTCGGGCCTGCCGGTGTACGAGCCGGGCCTGGCCGAGATCGTGCTGGCGTGCCGCGGCAAGAACCTCTTCTTCAGCACGGAGATCGACAAGGCCATCGAGGAGGCCGACCTCGTCTTCGTCAGCGTCAACACGCCGACGAAGAAGAGCGGCGTGGGCGCGGGCTTCGCCGCGGACCTGCAGTGAGTAGCGAAAGGGGTCCGAGGCGGCGGTGCGCGCGCGTCGCAGCGGCATCAGCGCCGCGCGCGTGGGCCGCTGCGGTGGGAACGTGCGCCGGCGCCAGAGGCACGAGGCAGCGAGCGAGACGCGCCGCGGGCCGCCGCCTTCCCCGCATCGCGACGTGGAGGCGACAGCGCGGCGGCGAGAGACGTGCGCTCCGCACGCTGGACCCTCGAGGGGGGCCGGACACCGGCACGGCTCCTAGCGGTGTGGCTCGTGCTCCGGCTCACACACGCCACGCGCAGCTACGTCGAGTCCTCGACGCGTCGCATCGCCGCCGTGGCGACGAGCAGCAAGATCATCGTCGAGAAGTCCACCGTGCCGTGCCGCACCGCCGCGTCGATGCGCACGATTCTCGAGAGCAACTCGCGGCCGGGCGTGCGCTTCGACATTCTCTCCAACCCCGAGTTCCTCGCCGAGGGCACGGCCATCCCGGATCTGCAGAGCCCCGACCGCGTGCTCATCGGCAGCCTCGACACCAACGAGGGCCGCGAGGCGGCGGCGCGCCTCAGCGCGGTGTACGAGCACTGGGTGCCGAAGCACAAGGTGTACACGACGGGTCTGTGGAGCTCGGAGCTGAGCAAGCTCGTGAGTCAGGCGCAGCGCATGTACGCAGCCTTGTCGCTGACGCTCCATCCAGGCGGCCAACGCGCTCCTTGCCCAGCGCATCTCCTCCGTCAATGCCATGGCCGCCATCTGCGAGGCGACGGGTGCCGACGTGGACGAGGTGGCACACGCATGTGGCCTCGATGGCCGCATCGGCCCCAAGTTCCTCAAGGCCAGCGTCGGCTTTGGCGGCTCGTGCTTCCAGAAGGATATTCTCAATCTCGTCTACCTCAGCGAGAGCCTCAGTCTGCCGCAGGTGGCCGACTACTGGCGTCAGGTGAGTCCACGAGGCGCAGCGCTGCGAAATTCGCTCTGAACGCATGCTTTTCGCGCGCAGGTCATCACGATGAACGAGTGGTCCAAGTCGCGCTTTGCCCAGAAGGTCGTGCAGACGCTCTTCAACACCATCACCATGAAGAAGGTGGCCGTGCTCGGCTTTGCCTTCAAGAAGAACACGGGCGACACGGTGAGCAGCGCCTGCGAGGCTGCGGCTCTCTCTGCATGCGCTGACCCTTACACCGTCTGCAGCGCGAGTCGGCGGCCATCTCGCTGTGCCGCTACTTCCGCCAGGAGAACGCGCTGGTGACCATCTACGACCCCAAGGTACCCGAGGCGCAGATCTGGATGGACCTGACGGAGCCGGGTGTGGTGGACGACAGCATCGAGGGTGAGTCGGCTCCCGGCCCTTCTCGCCTGCCTCTCACTGAATCCGCCTCTCTCAGTGCGCAAGCAAATCACACTTGCGCCCTCCGCAGTCGCCGCCTGCGTCGATGCCGAGGCCATCGTCATCGCGACGGAGTGGGACGAGTTCAAGGAGCTCGACTGGGCCAGCATCTACGCGGGCATGAAGAAGCCCGCCTTCCTCTTCGACGGCCGCGGCATCGTCGACGCCAAGCTGCTGCGCAAGATTGGCTTCAAGGTGCACAGCGTCGGCAAGGGCCCCGAGATCGTCGACCCCGTCTGGGCATAGGCGTCGCTCTCTGCCTTGTCCTCTGCGTCTTCCATCTTCCTCTCAGCTCCCTCTCTCCCACATCTCCGGTTCCGCACAGTCATCGTTCTTATCACGCCTCATGATCCAGTAATAGACTCCTCTCACACGTGCATCACTGACTCTCGGCTCTATCGCTGGCTCGAATCATTCGTTGCTTCTCTCTGGCCTTTCTCACAGAGTGTGCTCGTTGAAGAATCCCTCAAGGTCGTCATGGTCCTCGACCTCCGCTTCTCCGGCTGCGCTATCGACTGCGACAGATAGGTCGGGCTGCGGAGCGCTAAGCGCGGTGGCCGGCGCGCGCACTGGCATCGCGAAGCCGAGTTGCGCCACAGGCGCGCCTTCGTCGGTGCGCACTTCCGGCTGCGGCGGCACTGGCTGGCTGAGCGCGGCGGCCATGGGCGGGCAGGCTGGCGAGGCTGCGTGCTGGACGGCCAGCGGCTGCTCGGGCGATGAAGAGCGCGAGTCCGTGTCCGCCGACTCGGCGCGAGAGTGGGTGCTTAGAGGAGAAGCCTCCGCGCGCGGGCGGGCAGCGGGAGCGCGCCAGCGGCCGAAAGACGACTCGGACGACGACCTCGAAGTGATGAAGAAGAGCGGATCATCCGCAGCTGCGCCTGCGCCTGACGCAGCCTCTGCTGCCTTTGCCTCGTCAAAGGCGTACGGCTCGAAGTCGTCGTATGCCGGCTGCAGGTCACGCAGATGATCGTGCGGCACCACGCGCGCGCTGTCGAAGAAGCCCAGCTCGCTGATGCTCGGCGGAGAAGGCGAGTCCTCGGTTGCTGAGTCGTTGCCCAGATGCTCAGTGAGCGCGGGGTCGAGGCCACGCCACTGCCGGGGCGGGCGTTTGGCAGGAGGCATGGCCTCTGGCGCCTGCGAGCTCTTGCGCTTGGCGGCCGCGGGTGCGGAGCTCGCAGCAGCGCCTGCAACAGCCTTAGCTTTGGCAGCAGCGGCAGCAGAAGCGCGCTCCTGCACCCATCGCGCCGGCAGGATCAGACCGGACGATTCGGCACGCGATGCAGGCGCTTCTTCCTGCTCTTCAGTCTGCGTCGCTTCGTCAGTCGCCTTCGCTTCGCCGATGCTCGAGATCTTGTCGAGGAGCGACTGCTCAATCGTGTTGAGCTTCTTGCCGCTGGCCTTGCGTGCCAGCGGCGGAGGCTTGAGCAGGCCCTCGAGGCAGCACTTGTGTGTGCACTTCTTCTTGCACAGATGGCGGCATCTGTGCGCGGCAGAGTCAGTAGCGTCGCGACGGTGCAGGATGCGCAGACGCTGCTCACTTGTATCGACCGTTCGGTAGACGCTGCGGAGCGCTCTTCGTGACCGCTGCTGCCTTTACCGTCTTCCCCGATGCGCCTGCAGTGCTGACGCCCTTCGTCTTGTTCGCCGGCTGCGGCTGAGGCTCCACGCTGGCCGGCGCTGGGTTTGGCAAGACGATCAGCTCGGCCGTTGATCTGAATGTTCTGTGGCACTCACGAGCTGACTGGCCCGCGAGGGACTCGAGCTCTGCCGTGTCGAAGTCGGCGGCCGTCAAGCCCTCGAGCTCCTGCCTCGATCATCAGCATCGATCGTCCATGCGGGCAGACAAGGGCTCACCTGCTGAGCAAGCTCCTCTGCCGAGCCCATGGCCGGGATAGGAAAGTCCGCCGCGGACACTGAGGTCGGATGCAGGTCGGCGCGGACGCCTGAGCCGGCGATATCGTCGCAGCCGACGATGACCACAAGACTCTCGTGCGGACGGCGGAGCATGCAGCGCACGGAGAAGCTGCGCTCATCGGTGAGCTTCTTCACGGGCATGCGGCTGAGGAAGCACAATGAGCATGGACTCTTATGCTCGCGATTGTTTCAGCGCACCGAAAGTCGAGGAACTATTGGCAAACTGTCAGTCAGGACACAGGGCAACTTCCTCCGAGGCGCTCACCTCCGACGTGCTTGTCAAGGACAAGCAGGTAAGCCAGAGCTGGCCTCCACTCTTTGACCGAGTGCGCACGTCTGGGCGGAGCAGGCCCACCGTCACGCGTGCTCTTAGCGCCACGCCCTCGCCCGTCACCTGGGTGGCGCTCTCGGCAATGCCGAGGCTGAACGCCGGCATTGCGCGGGCTTCGTTGACGATCTGCTGGCCGAAGGGCGCGCGACGGCCGAGGATCATCTCGATGCGGTGCGGCTCGGTACGTGCGACGGACTCGAGCGTGCTCAGACCAGCCTGTGCGAGCGCGCGGATGGACTTGTCGCCCTGCTCAGGTTCGCGTCAGTCGCTTCTCGCTGCGTAGCGGCGCTGCACTTGCAATGCTGCGGCAGAGAGTCAGCCGTGCGCAGAAGAGAAGGGCACTTCTGCTCACCCTTCTAGCTGACGCAGCGTCGCACAAGAGCCGTCCCACGCCTTTCCCGAGACACTACGGAGGCTGTGAAAGCGTGAGCGGTACATCGACTGCGTGGCCTTCCGCAACGACTCACAGCTCGAATGCAGAGCGTGCGGTGCCTCCATCTCTCTTGAGGCACGCCAGGTCGAAAGCAGCCTTGATGCTGTGCACGGTTGAAAATCAGCCACAGCGTCCGACAAGCAGGCCGGCCACTACTCACATGCGCGAAGCGTGACGGAACAGGACGAAGCAATCACTCATCGGGCTGAAAGCGGCGCCACCCTCTGTAGCGAGCAGCTCGGCCAGCGGCAGGCCAGCGAGTGTGGCCTGGATCAGGAGCGAGCGCTTCTCTGGCCCGCCTACGACCTTGGCAGGCGGATAGCGTATGTCCGGGTTGCTGCGCAGAGTCACAAGAGGCGCCTTCTCGCCCTGCCTGATGCGGATCTCGCTGTACTCCTCGGCGTTGCAGAGCGCCTCGAGCACATCCTTGACGCTCGAGTTGAGCTTGAGATCGCAAAGGGTAGCCATCGTCTTGAGCGACAGAAAGTACTGCGACAGGATGTGGCCTGGCAGCGAGCGTGTCAGTCGCAAGCGCGACAAGTGTCCTCTGCCACTTACCACGGTCGTTCGAGCAGACAGGCGAGGTCGCTTGCGGGCGCGCCGCGATCAGGTCGTGAGCCCCGAGCTTGACAAGCGTCTCCTGCAGTAGCCTGTCCATCACGACGTCGGGCGCCGTCTCTCGCGGACCGCCTCCCTTCTGCAGCAGGCTATCGTAGTGCGCCGGGTTCTGTCGAAGACGCACGAACAGAAAAGTGGTGGCGAGGAAGCGCCGCAGAGCAGCCTCGTCCGTCTGGCCACGCAGGCCGATCTCTGCGTTGATGTGCTCGCTGCGGCAAGGCGTGAGGCGATCAGCTACCTCCTGCTGCGCTCAAGGGCAATGCTCGCTCACACGAGGTCGAGATGCAGCGTGCTCTCAATCGGCGTAGAGCCGGCGAGGAGACGTTGCCAGCGCTCCTTGTGCTGCTGCTCAGTGAGGATAACGCAGCAGCCCGAGGTGTCGAACTGCGGCCGTCCGGCCCGCCCGACGGCCTGCAGCAGGTCGATCTCGTTCATCTCGCGCCATGCGCCATCGAATGACTGCGTGCCACGGATGATGACGAGGTACGCAGGCAGATTGACGCCGACGGCGAGGGAGCTCGTCGAGCCTGGAAGCGAGTCAGCGAGGCGTTGAGGCGGGACTACCGCTGGACTCACACAGCGCATTGATGCGCCCTTTGAGGAAGTTCGCCTCTACCGCGCGGCGGTCGGTCAGGTCCAGTCCGGCGTGGTGGAAGGCGATACCGAACGGCGCCAGCTCTGCCGCGTTTCGTGAGGCGTGAGGTCTTCCCTCATATACCGCCGTGGCTCACCAGTCAGCGCCTTATCCTTGTACACGAGCGGCTCATTAAGCTGCGGGCGACGCCATGGCCCCGGCTCGTTGCGCGTGTATGTGGCCTTGTAGTCCTTCAGGATGGCCAGCGCCGCCTGCGAGGCGGCCTTGCGTGTCGGCACGAAGATGAGCGTCGGCTTGCTCTCGGCGTGCTGCTGCATGATGCCGACAAGCCTGCAGCCCTCAGCGTCAGTCGCATGCCGCCCTTGTCTCTGAGCACGCTGCTGACTTGGAGTTGAGCGCATGCATGAAGCTCCACTGATCGCCCTTGGGATTGGGATAGGCATAGACGTGCTGCGCGAGAGGCATCAGCAATGGACCTTAGGCTGGGCAGGCATGTACGCACTCTCGTGAGCGGGCAAGGGCGATACGCCTCGCCGAACTTGTGCAGCTTGGCAACCTGCGAGCCGGAGCCAAGCCATGTCGCAATGTCCTCGGCGTTCGGAACTGTGGCGCTGAGCACCACTACGCGCACGTTCGAGCCATACGTGCGCATTCTCGAGACGACGCATTCGATGCATGCGCCTGTTAAGGGGAATCAGCTGATGCCGCCACAGTCAGGAGATGTTGCGCCATGCGTCGCACCTCTTCCGCGCTCTCTGAGCGTGTGGATCTGCAGATGCAGAACGGAGTCAGAGCGTAGCCGGAGCCGAACCTGCATGCTGAGGAGCCTCACCTCATCGACGAGGAGCAGCTTGACAGACCTGAGCATCGGCTCGTTGTCATTCCAGCGGCGCGTGATGCTGCGCTCGCTCCAAGTCAGCACACCTCCTTCGCCGCCGCTGAAGGGCACCCACCTGTCCCACTTCTCCGGCGTCGCCACGATGACCCGTGCGCGCTTGGCCTGCTCGAGCCCCGAGCTGGCATTCGTATCGCCCTGAGCGGAGTAAGCAAAGGGCCAGCAGTGCAGCAATTAGGGCGGTGCGCTACCGTCAGTTCCGCAACGCGGCAGCCGAGATGGTCCATCCTGGCCTTCCAGTCGCTCGCTCGCTCTGTGCACAGCGCCTTTGTCGGCGCCAAGTAGACGGCCTTCACAAGGGCACATAGTATCAGCGTCACTCAACGGTCACCCGCCGTTGCGGCGCCGGCGCACCTTGGCGCTGGCATCCTGCGTATGCAACATGCGGATGATGCCCAGCTCGAAAGCGCCCGTCTTGCCTGATCCAGTCGGCGCCGCCAGAACGACGTTGATGTCGGAGTGCAGCACGTCGTCCAGCACGCTGCTTTGCACGGCGTTGAAGTGCTGGAAGCGGAACATGCTGCGGTACTGATCGGCTGTGCAGGTCGGCGCGTCAGCAGCCGGCAGATCTGCGAGCCTGGGAAGGAAAGAGTCACGCAGGATCGTCACAGGCTTGAGCTCGATGCCGTGCGACGTCGGGTTGGCTGGTGACCTCTGCGCAGCGAAGAGCGAATCGCGGCCGCGGGGCTCCAGCGGAGGAGTAGCGGCGTGTATTGGACGAGCAGGAGCCGCATACATGCCCCGCCGCGCAACGGTCTGCTCCACGACGTCGGCACGAGGTGCATGCCGAGTGCTACTGCTGTGCTCGGGCGCTCGAGGGCCCACCTGTAATGCGTCAGTAGGCTGTTGCGGGCGTCGAGCGGCCAGCGTGACTTGCTCGCTGCGCGCTCGGCTCGGCCCACGCCACGGCTCTGCTGCTGGAGGCCTGCGGGTAGAGCGGCGCGACGGGCTCGTCGGGGACACCATACTCGGCCGCCAGTGCGTCGAAGTCGAGGTCAATGTCGTAGGCGTCGTAGCGCTGCATGTCAGTCACTGCGGGCATGCATCAGTCGGGGTCAACGTGAGCAGCGGCGCCGAGCCGGCTAACGGCTGTTCAGGCGCGGTCGGGACCGCGGCGAGGAGGCGTGGGAGTGACAGGGATGCTCAGACGGGTGCACAGCTCGGGAGGAGGATGGCTGAACACTAGGGCTAGGAAGCAGCTGCGAAATTGATTGGGAGGTGGTGGAGCGGAAGATGGAAAGTGCACGGACGCGAGGCGCGCATACAGCGCCGCGCCCGCAGCCGCTGCACCCCAAACCCGCGGCGCTGGCATCGGCGCCAAGGCCCGATCCAGGAGTGCTCGACCTTCTCCTTTGCGCTGCAGCCGCTTGCCCTCCCACCACCTCCTCACCCTCCTGCTCGTATGCTGCGTCGCGCCGTCTCACGGCCCGCCGTGGCTTCGCTGCCGCTGCGGCGCGCCACCCTGCCGCATGCCGCCCGCCGCCCGCTGGCCTCTGCCGCTCCTGCACCGCCCGGGCAGGGCGAGCACTCGCACTCGCGGCAGTCGCGCAGCGATGATCCGCCGCGCGAGGGCGGGCTCAAGACGCTGCTCAACTCGTCGGGCTTCGAGACAGCCATGGGCGCGTGCGTCGGCGTGCTGCTGCTGGGCGGCGCCGCGATGGGCTACCAGGCGTGGTACAAGTCGCACGTGCTGAGCAAGATGGAGAAGGCCTTTGAGGGCGGCTACGACCCGGTGCTGGCACTGGCGCGCGGCGGAGATCAGCTGGCTCATGCAGAGGTGCTGCCGCTGCGCGATGAGGAGGCACTGGTGCGGCGCATCGTAGAGGGCAAGGAGCCCGGGCGCTACTTTCTCATTCTCGGCAGCAAGGTGAGTCGAGAGCGCAGCCACCTGCTGCCAGACCGTGCCGCGGGAGGTGTGTCGTCAAGGCTGACGGTGCATTGCAGGGCTCTGGCAAGACGTCGACGCTGATCGACGCCATGGCGCGCAATCAAGCCGAGGGCTGCGCCTTCTTCGACGCGCACCAGACGCCCGAGATCGTCGTGGACCGCTTCAGCGAGAGCATCAACTACAGCATGAACCGCGACTATCTGGGCAACCTGCTGGGCCTCTCGGATCTCAGCGGCATGACGCACTACCAGTCGCTCGAGCGGGCGCTGCACAAGCTGGAGAAGGCAGTGCAGCGCTACGCCGCACGCACTGGCCGCCCGGCCGTCATCATCATGAACTCGGCGCACTTGCTGCCGCGCGACGATGACGGCGTCAAGCTGCTGCAGCTCTTCCAGCAGCGTGCCGAGAGTGAGAAGAGCACGGGAGATGGTGGCTGGATGCGAGACTGACGACGCCGTCTGCAGAGTGGGCCAGCGCGGGCTGCGCTACCTTTGTCGTGAGTGCCGTTCGAGGCCGTGTCCCACAAGCAGCAGTAGCTGACCGCCAGCGCCTAGTTCACGTCGAACGATTACGTGCGTCGCTGCCCGTGCCCACGCCTGCCACCTTGCTGACATCATTGACAGTGGGTCTTCGACACGCTGCGCAAGAACAGCAACCGCATGGACACGCTCACGTTCAAAGACCTGACGCGGCCGCAGTCGATGCGCGTGCTGGAGCAGTGCCGCGTGCAGTACTACGGGCGGGAGCGCTTCGAGCGCGATGCTGCAGACGACGATCTGCTGGAGGAGGTGTATCAGACTGTCGGCGGACGCATCGCGCTGCTCAACAAGGTGTGTGAGGGCATGTCATGGCCTGTGCACTGTATGCTGACGAAACGCTAGATTGCGCGAAGAGAGGACATGCGCGCTGCTGTCAGGCAGCTCGTCGTCGACGACCTCAACTGGCTGCTGTCAAAGGTGAGGCTAGACGGCATATGTGGCGTCTGCCCTTGCTGATGCTCCTCTCGACGACAGACTGGCATCATCGAGGACGTGAGTGGTTGATGAGCTGCGCTGTCAGGTACGCCGCTGACACTACGTCCTGCAGCACGACGACGACGTGATGTGAGCTCGGGTGCGTGGCTGGCCGCATGCCGCTTGTCTGACTCGCTCGGCACAGGGACGAGCAGAAGTGGTCCACGTGTTCCTGGCTGCTCTTCGTCGAGCTAGCCAAGCGGCAAAAGGCGCTGGAGGAGGAGAGTGCCTCGGCGCTCTCTGCCTCCATTGCCGCTCGGCGCGAGGACGAGCAGGTGCGGCAGGCTGCTCACGAGAGCGAGAAGGAGCAGGAGCATGGCGAAAAGAGACCGCAGGACGACGCCACGAATCCGCTTAGCGACGTGGAGGTTGGCTTGCCTGGAGATGTGCCGAATCCGAGCTTGACATGGGGAGAGGTGCGGCAGGTCATGGTGAGTGTCTGAGCCTGCCTCGGTCGAGACACTCTTGCTGAGGGTACGGGCGCGCCAGACACGGCCGGACTTCCTGGAGGAGCTTGATCGCCTCAACATCATCCACGTCGGTGAGACCTGGCCCTGCCGCACTCCAGCTGCCAGCTCTGACGGCGCCTCGCCCTGCCAGATCGGCATCACCACATCCGTGCCGACTCGATGCCGCTGCTGCGCGCCTTCAGGCTGCAGGCCGAGGAGGAGGGCTACGAGGACAAGCTCGAGTCCGTCAGTGCGTATCGAGCGACGCTGCCCGCCGCTGTCGCCTATCTGACCCCGCCTGGTCTCTTCGCAGTGGACCGCGTGTCAGCGATCGAGTCGCTTCTGCGTACGCGCGAGGTGAGCAGACCATCAGAGCAATGTTCTGCAGCCGCAGTAGCTGACGCAGCTCCGTGCTCTAGCTGGTGTGGAAGGAGCAAGGCCACCACGGCAAGTTCATGGTGCGGCAGGACAGCAAGGGCCGCGAGCTGGAGGCCTGGCGCCTGCTGGGCGGCGACGATCGATTGAATCGCGAGGAGGAGCAGAGCGCTGGCATGGAATGAGAGAGCTGGCAGACGCAATGCAGATAGACGTCACACGCGTAGCAGCAGAGCAGTGACTGGTGTTGCATTGGCGTGATCAGACGAGCGCCCACCTTGAGAACGGGTAGAAGTCAGCAGGCTGAACGCGCAAGTGAGCGTGCTGGAGACCGACTCACATGTGCACAGCAAAGAGCTCAGCCGGCAGACCGAGCTGCACTTCAGAACGCACGACCCTTAAGCCCGCCTCACGGAACACCCGTTCGTACGCCTGCTTCGACCTGCGAGCCTTGAGTCAGCAACGCAGTGGGAGAACGCACCTCGCCTGCATGCAGCATGACTCACCGAGTGATGCTCTTGTCCTCCTCGTCCCACCACACATTCTCGCTCCCATCCTCATTCTCAGAGCACACGTTCTCCTTGATGAAGATGCAGCCTGCGCCGCTCAGAACGCTCTTCTCCTGCGGCGCATCTGCGGCTGCTGCGCCATCGGCGGGCACGAGAGCGTCCCTGGCGCTGCGCAGAAACTTGATGAGATCGGGATCGGAGAGATGCTGCAGCATCCACTGGCACCAAATCACGTCGAACTGCATGCTGCTTCCGCTCTCTTCCCCGCCCGAACGGCCATCGCTCCATATTGGCGGCGCAAAGTCGACGGGCGCTTGCAGTTCGAAGGACTGCAGCGTGGAAAGCACGAACGAGGCGGACTTGGCGGGCGTAGAGCCCTTCTTGAAGGCGGGCCACGAGGGACAGGAACGCACGGCTTCCTCCAGCAGCTGTGCATAGCAGGCCAGTCAGACCTCCAGAAGCTGTCGTCGCGTATGTGCCCGCGGACACTCACGTTCTCGGCAGGCTCCACAAGCACGACTTCGTCCGCCACATGACTGAGCACATCGCGGCTCACGCGCCCCACGCCTGCGCCCACATCCAGTGCCCTCGTGCGTCGCCGCGACGAGCCTGCTTCTTCCGAAGCAGCAGCAGCGGCTGAGCAGGTGGATCTCGCTGGTCCATCGACCGTCGAGAGGCGAGGCAGCACGCGCAGCAGGAACGAGCGCGAGCCGAGAGCATCGACGCGCGGCAGCGTGCCGTTGCCATAGCCGCCCAGCACGCCGTCGACGGTGGCGGGCACGCCGCGCCAGTACTGCACGCCGCCGGCGATGTCGGGCTTGGGGTGGTGGAAGAGCGTGCTCATGGTGGGGGGGAGGTGGTGGGAAAGATTGGACGGAAGAAGCGCGGCGCTGAGGAGGCTCGCGCGGCGCTCCCACGGATGCCAGAGAGATGCGCACACGTGACGCTGGTGCGGCGAGCGACCTCCACCTTGGCCGTGCCCTGGCGCTAGCTTTCTTCTCGGCCACATGCTCCTCGTTCCGCAAGCACCAGCAAGTCTCTTTCTGCGCAGCCGCTTGCGCCTCACAGTCTGGTCGTGTCTCGTCGCCTCCGCCAGGCACTCCTCGTCGCGGCACACCATGGCAGCCTCTGCGCCTCCCGCACGACCTCCGGCGCACTACCGCGTCCTTCCCGTTGCGCGCGAGCAGATTCTGCTGCAGCTGACCGTGTCGAACCGCTGTGGACAGGCGTTTCGATGGCGCGCAAACGAGGTGTGGGAGTACATTGGCGATGAGGAGCTCGGACCGCCGCTGAAGAGCGAGCCGGAGACGCCCGTCAAGCGGGAGCCGGACGCCGAGACGGCGCACGTCAAGAGCGAGACGGACGGCAGCGCGGCGCACGTCAAGGCCGAGAACGGCAGCGCACACGCATCGACCAGTCTGAAAGGCTGGGAGCAGCAGACGGAGTGGTCTCTCTGCCTCTCGGACCGCGTCGTGCTGCTGCGCCAAGACGAAGCGCGCGGCTATCTCTACTTCCGCACCCTCCTGCCCTCCGGCACCGACACAGCCGACGTCGAGCTAGTCGAATCGCAGACACGCTCGTGGCTGCACGACTATCTCAACCTCTCTGTCCCGCTCGAAGCGCTCTACAAGGAGTGGTCCCTCAAGGACCCCGTCTTTCGACGCTTCGCCACGCGCTTCGCGGGCGTGAGGATGCTGCAGCAAGAGCCGTGGGAATGTCTCTGTGCCTTCATCTGCTCGAGCAACAACAACATCGCTCGCATCGGACAGATGGTCCAAGCGCTTTGCACGCACTACTCGGAGCCGCTGCTCGAGTACAGCTACCCTGCGCCGCCGGATGCGCTGCTGGCTGCAAGCCCAGATCTGAAGTCCGGCCCCACGAGAATCGTCTATCATCCGTTTCCCTCGGCAGCTACACTCGCTCAGCCAGGCGTGGAGGAGACGCTGAAGCAACTCTCGTTTGGCTATCGCGCCAAGTACATCGCTGCTACTGCTCGTGCACTCTGCGAGGCGCATCCACACGCTCAACGACAAGTGTCTCCGCCGCTAGCTCTCAAGCCAGAACCCGCACTGCTCGAAGCAGAGGCTGAGCCACGACGCGGCAAGCGGGCACGTCAGGAGGCGAAGCTGTCAAGCGCGGAGATGAAGGACAACAAGACGTCGCAAGAGACGAAGGCAGAACCTGAGGCACCACCACCAAGCATCCATTCGCCCGCGTCATACCTCCTCACGCTGCGCGACATGCCGTATCATGAGGCGCGTGCAGAGCTGCTCAAGCTCTCGGGCGTTGGTCCCAAGGTCGCCGAGTGCGTGTGCTGGAGAGGCGATTGGGCGGCTGATTGCGCTGGCTGACCTCCCCGCTCTCCTGCTCGCGCGCACAGCTGCATTCTCCTCATGTCGCTCAATCAACCCTCGAGCATCCCCGTCGATCGACACGTCTACCAAGTGAGTGCCCGTCTCGCTCCCATGCCAGGCCCAGCTGATCACCTCTTGCCGCCCAGTTCGCAGCGCGCTGGTACGGCATGAAAGTGAAAGAGGGCGCCCGGGGCTACGAGACTCTCGCAGAGCGCTTCCGCGAGCTGTGGGGCGAGTATGCCGGCTGGGCACACTCTGTCCTCTTCACGGCCGACCTGCGCGCCTTTGCGGGATACGAGCCAAAGAAGGAGGAGCCGCAGGAAGACGTGCAGACGAAGCTCGAAGATGGAGCAGCTGTGAAGATGGAGGCAGAGCCGGCGGGGGAAGAAGGTCCAGGCACGCCACTCTTGGCACCGCCTGCAGCGCCGGGAGCCCTGGCGCTCGGCACGATGGAGCGGCCGCCGAAGCGCAAACGCGGCGGACGATCGTAGACGTCCTGTCTCCGCACTCGCAATCGCATCATACCCCATCTCATCCCCGCTCGTGCGTCTTGGAATCGTGTCTATTTGCCCTTCTTGCCTCGTCGTCCTCCACTCTCCTCCTCGGGCGGCGCCAGACGAGCGCGAAGATCGGCCTCGAGAGCAGCAAGGCGCAGAGATTCGGCATGTTCGGCGAGCGCATCCATCATGTAGCTCAAGCCCGGCTCTACGTCTCCATCGAGCAGTCTTGCGATGGCGTTGAGCGAGAGGCCGACTCGGTGGTCCGTCACTCGATCCTGCCATTTTGCGCGTCAGCATTCCGTGGGCAGCAGCGCACGGCAAGGCAGAGGCAAAACTGACCTGAGGAAAGTTGTACGTGCGGATCCGATCGCTTCTCTCCATGCCCGCAACCTGTGCTCGTCGAACATCGCGATTCGACGCCATCTCTTCTCGCATTTGACGATCGAGAAGGCGGGCTCGCAGGACGCGCCATGCCTTTTCCCGATTCTGCAATCGAGTGGCGCCCGGGTAAGAAGTCAGAGAGACGGAAAGAGAGGAGAGAGCAAGAGGGAGAGTGAGCGGCACGCACCTGATGCTGAGAACGCGAGTCTTGCATCGAGACAGTGATGCCCGTCGGCTCGTGCGTGAGGCGAATGGCAGACTCAGTCTTGTTGACGTGCTGCGCTCCAATCGCTGCGTCAGCATGTGTGTCATTCTCCTTTCGGAAGGTCACGCACCTGTCCACCAGCGCCTCGACTGCGCATGACTTCCGTCTTGACATCCTTCTCGTCGACGATGTCCGTCTCCTTGCTCTCCTCCACCTCGGGCAGCACCACCACCGCCACCGTGCTCGTCTGGATCTTGCCCAGATTCTGCGTCTGCGGAATGCGCTGCACTCGATGCACGCCCGCCTCGTGTCTTAATCGCTCGTATGCGCCCGCGCCCACAATGCGCAGCGTCGCCTCCTTGACGGCATCGGACGCTACACCTGCTTCGGCAGGCACGTAGCGCAGCATCTCGACGCTCCAGGTCGGCTGCGCAGAGGCGTAGCGCTCATACATGCGCAGCACTTCGGAGAGGAACAGCGTCGACTCGGCACCGCCGACGCCCGGGCGGAACTCGAGGATGGCGCCGAGAGAGGGCGGCCCGGAGGGAAGGAGCAAGGAGGAGATGCTGCGGCGGAGCTGCTGCTGCTGGGAATGCAGCTCCTCCTTCTCCTCGGCTGCCAGCTCTGCCAGTTCGTCGTCCGAGGCACTGAGCTTATCTAGCGCTCGCAATTGCTGCACCAAGAGGCAGCAGCGTCAGATGCTGTTTGGCCAGCGCCTCGCAGTACGCCGCACCCTCATCTCCTTCAGAGGCCCCCCAACTCACTGTCCGAGTGGCATGCCAGCTCTCCCAGAGGCGCGTCAGCTCCTCGCGCTCCTTCCTCCCCAGCATCTCACTGCCCTGTCGCTCTTCGCCCGGCGCCGCATTCGCCGCGCTCGGCGCTGCTTCGCCGCTGCCGTCGGTGCTGGCGCTGGGCTGTGCGAGGACGAGGGGCACGAGGCGCAGGAGTGCGTCTGCCTCATCCTCCGGATCCAGCGCTGCGAGCGTCTCGTGCGCTGATGCAGCGGCGCTGCGAGCGGGGCCAGAGCAGGCGAAGGCGCGCCGCGGGCAAGGCAGGCGCCGCGCAGGCCGAAGGCAGCAGCGCACCGCGGCCGCCGCATCGGGGAGCGCATCGGCGGCGCCGAGGCGCGGACAGGCGGCAACGACGATGCGCGGCCGCGGAAGCGCACGCGCGAGCGCTGCACGCAGCATTGTGTCCACTGCCGGCACGTCGACGTGGTGAGGGAGGTGGAGGAGAGGAGCGAAGGCACGCCGCCAGAAGCGAAAGACGGCGCCCTTGAGCATGGCGTGGGAGCAGCGGCGTCACGTGCGCAGCCCCAACGCAGCGGCGCCTCGAGCCTGAGTCTGAGTTCGCAGCGGCCGCCGTGCGCGGGCTGAGAGCTCCACTCGCCGCGACTCTCCGACCACGACGGCCCTCCTCACTCCTCACTCCTCACTCCTCACTCCTCACGCTCCTCTCTCACGCCCTCGGCCCACCGCGCACCTCGTCCTCGCTCCGCCGCACGCACTCCGCCTGCCCAGCATGGCCTCCGCCGCCGGCGCCGCCGGCTCGTCGCGCTTCAGCGCATTCATGAACCACCCCGCCGGGCCGCGCACGGGTGCGTGCTGCCCCTCGCCGCCCTGCCCCTGCCTCTGCGCTTCTCTCACACACGCCCTCGCAGTCTTCTTCTGGGCGCCCATGATGAAGTGGTGTCTCGTCGCCGCCGGCATCAAGGACCTCACGCGTCCGCCCGAGAAGCTCAGCGTGCCGCAGAACCTCGCCCTCGCGGCGACGGGCATGATCTGGGTGCGCTACTCGCTCGTCATCACGCCCGTCAACTACAGCCTGGCGACGGTCAACTTTGTCGTCGGCTCCACGGGCATTGCGCAGCTGTATCGCATCTGGAAGTGAGTGCGGCCACTTGCGCGTGGAGGAGGGGAGAGGGGGGGGGGGGGCATGTGGCCAGGAAAGGCGAGAAGCAGGATGAGACAGGGCAGCAGGCAGAAAGAAGACAGATGTCAGGAGGACGCTGCTTCCCAAAACCTGCTGCCGGCAGATTGGCTCTTGCCTTCTCCTGCGCACAGAGGGCAGTGCCCCCGCGAGCGCTCTGCTGCAGGTCGGGCGCCCTCTTGTCGAGGACGGAGAGGTCAGAGAGGAGAGATATGGGCGGAGGGGGGCAAAGACTCGTCGCATTGCTTCTTCGCCATTGGTCTTGCGGCGTAGGAAGAGGGGTGGGGGGAGAGGTGGGGCGGGAAGAGGGGAAAAGTGCGCACGGCTGAAGCGGGAGGAGGAGCAATCGAGATCGAGCTTGGCAGGGAAGCAAGCGCAGACTTGTCGCTTCGTGCGCGCATGGCACAACGACAGAGAGCCAGCAAGAGAAAGAGAGAGAGAGAGGCGGCAGGCCAGTGATTCGTTTGCTCAACGGCCCCCCGGCATGCTCTGTGCTTTCTGTCTGACTCTCTCTCTCTTCTTTCTCTCTCTCTCTCTCTCTCGCAAAAACAGCTACAACCGCACTATCGGTGCCGCACCGGCACCAAGTGCGCTCCTTGCCGACGCGCAGCACAAGGGCGAGTCGCTGGCGCACGATGCGCGGGCAAAGGCCAGCGAGATCAAGGAGGTCGCGCAGGAGAAGTTTGCCGAGGTCAAGAGCAAGGCATGAGGCGAGTTCAGGCGAGCCAGCGCTCGGAGCAATACGTCCGAGAGGCCGGTCAAGACGAGCCTGCAGACTCCTAGACGTCAGTCAAGCCCTGGCTATGCTTCTCATCTCTCTTCATTGTCCCATCCCTCCTTCATCGGCCCTAGGCCATCTCCGCCCTCTCTTCCCCGGTCCTCACATCTTCACGCTCAGTCAATGCCGCCATCCCGATGCTGTCAGCTGCTGTCTGCTCAGCTTCGATCTGCTGCCTGCTCAGCTCGAGTCGAGAGCGAGGCGGGCTACTTTGCCGGCGGACGAGGTCTGACTGGAGCTGAAGATTGCGAGCAGCTCGAGCTGGAGAGTCTCGAAGCTGCAGGGCGAGAATGGGGGACTCATGCATGGAGGACTGGTGACGAGAACGGAAGAGAGCGGTGGTGGTGGGTCGAGTGAGGAGGCAAGATGACGAGAGCCAGTGACGGACAGGGATGTGAAGCGGCTGGCGCATGACAGATGGGGCGTGAGATAGCAGGTGACGGTGGAGGGCGATGTTGGAGCTCTGGCGAGCGCGGATTGACGAGGAGCGCTAGATGCGGAAACGGGTGCTTGATGCTGTGCGGTCGAAAGCATCAGCGTCGACCTGCCAGCACAAGGGCAGTGATCGCTCTCACCATCTCGCAGCATCGCTCGACGGCGGAGCAGAATCTCAATCCGTCTCAGCGCGCGCCACGCGTGTCGTGCACCTTGATGCGCTTCATCGGCTTCGTGGCCGCATCCGTGCTGCTTGCGTTGCTGCGTGATGGTGCTGCAGCTGCGGGCGAAGCAGGACCTCGCTGCGGCAGGGCGTCGACGGAGGGAGCGCGAGAAGGGATGCGAGCTGGTTTGCAGAGAGGTGGATGAGCACATGCAGAGCGTTGGGCATCAAAGCACGCGGACGCACCAGCATCATCGTCTTGCGCAGCATCGCTTTCGGCGGGCAGCTCGATGCGCTGCACAGTCAGCACCTCCTCGTGCGGCAGCGCCGCGGCATAGCGCAGGTGAATGACCCATGTCTCGCCGCCGCTGGCGCAGTGCAGCACTTCGTGCGCCAGCAGCTCGCGCTCGTACTCGTCGCCGTCCGACGCGTCATCATCGGAGGCAGCAGAGGCCCAGGCGGCGCGAGGCGGCGATGAGGGAGCATGCCAGCCCTGCAGATGAAGCATGCGCGCGCCGAGCGCCGAGAGCATCGCTTCATCCTCGTACGCGGCGGCGAGCATGCTGCTCAGCTCGACTTCGGTTGCGAGCAGCTGCGCCAACGGCGAGGCACGTACGCTGCTGCTGCTGCCGCCGCCGCTCGTGCTGCTGCCCGCTGCACACGCCTCGTCGAGCTCGGGAGCGAGCAGCGGCGAGGCGAGGAGGAGATGCAGCAGCGTGGCGCGTGAGAGGGGCAGCTCGTGGATGGAGGATGCGTGCAGCTCGCCGCACGAGGGACGTGAGGGCGTCAAGGGAAGAGGAAGAAGCTCGAAGGTGAGCGGGTGGATGAGTGACATGGCCAGCGGCTCAGGCGAGCGAGGCGAGGGTGGTGGGATGCAGAGAGGCGGCGAAGGTGTTGTGGTGGAGTGCAAGGCGCGAGGGCGCATCATGATCGGGCGCGCCGAGCAGCACATCGGGCCGGCGCATCCGGCAGCAGGCCTGGCACGGCGCGCCCAGTCAGAGCCAGAGGCGCCGCCTGCGTCGTACCGCTTCCATTCCCCGCACCAGCTCACCCCCTGCTCTCCACAGCCATGCCGAGCCCACAGCCGGACGTCGAGCTCGAGAGTCTACGAGCCAGAGCCTTGGGCGGCCTTGTGGAGGCGCCTGGCACCTTCGAGAGTCCAGTTCTCACGCACAGACCAGGCTGGGCTCTGCGTCACGTGCGCCGCGGGCGCCGCTCCTTTCCTTTCCTTGCCCTCACCTGCAGCGGCTGCCTCTGGCGCGCACTTGGTCTTGTTGCAATTTGCCCAGCTTCGCCTCATCCGCACCCAGCACGCAGCAGCCGCCTGCCGAGGGCTGTGCCCGAGCGTGGGAAAGGCGGCAAGATGCGCTGCGAGGGCGGCGGCGGCGGCGGGCGATGCTGATGGCCGGCGCGCATTTCTGGGCGATGCAAGGGGGGCGCGGATGCAGCGCGCGCGGCATGCGCGGGGCGCGCGCGCGACGCTGCTCCGCTCCAAGGGGCTGCCTGCGCTGCTGTCTCGCCGTGCCGTTTGCTCCTCATCGGCGGCGCAACCGCGCTGCAGCGCTGCAGGCCAAGGAGAGCACGAGGATGCGCATGGGCAAGGGGCGAGGAGCGATGCTGGGCGCAACGGCTCAGGGCAGCAAGGTCCCGCAAGCTCGGCAAGCTGCACGCACGCCGCCCGCTCGGACGCTCGGCGCCTCCGAGCTGGTGCGAGTCGCAGACGCATCCCCTCGCCTGCTGCGCTGCAGCATCTGGTGAACGGAGGACGAAGCACTCGCTCGTGCTCGCTCCTTACTCGGCCTGCACTGCGGCGGCCGTGAGGTCTCCGCTCTGCGTCTCACTTCGGGCCTCCCGAGCTCGTCTTCGGCTCCGGCATGGGCGGCCCAGCTGAGATGCCGGCCCACACCTCCTTGTCATGCTGCTTCTTCCCCGCTGCCGACTGGCACTCCCGAGGCAGCGCCGACTGCGCAGCCAGGGTGCAGCAGGCAGCCCAATCACTTTGGTGTGGCCTTGGCCGCCTCGGCACAACGCACCGTTGCCTTTGCTGCCAGTCTGGGATCAAGGGGCTTGCGCACGCGCAGAGAGAGACGCGACGCGTCCCCTGAGAGCCGAGACGCAGCATCAGAGGCCCCCCCCCCCCCCCCACTGGGAGGCCGCTGACGCTGACTGTGCGGCTGTGCGATGGCAACGAGCTGGGCACGGCAGCGGCGCTTGACGAGAGCGGCGATCAAGGACCCTCGACCTCACCCTGGGGTCCGCGCCCGTTGGCGTCGAGCGCCCTCGCTTGGCGTGGCCAACGGCTTGCCTCCACGTGCAAGGCGGGCCCTGACCTTAGCGCTGCGCCCGCCCGCGCCCAGCGAAACGGCCAACACCGGCCCAGAGCGCCAGCCGCAGCGCCTCCTCACGTGTGGAAGGCGGCGCCCCCGCGATCGAAGGGTGCGAGGTGTCAGTAGGCAAACAGACGGACTGCGTTCGAGGTGCATGTGATCCATTTGCACAGCAGCCAGCGCTTCAGCGTGCCGATGCTTCGATCATGGACGCCAGCGCCACGCTGTGGGCAGGGCTCGCAGCGAGATGGGCGGCGGCTGCAGCGGCGAAACGGGCGAATCAGCGCGCAGTGCCGCCATCGAAGGCGAGGGCCTGCATCTTGATCCACAAGCCCCCCTTGAGCATCGCCCACGAAGGACGGCGACGCCACCGATGCTGCGTGCTGGCCGATGTGAGCGCCGCGAGCTGCGAGACTCAACGTCGGAGGCTCGGAGCAAGCGGCAAGGCGGAGAGATGCGATGCTGCCTCGGCGTCGGAGGCGGGAGGAGCGCGAGGGGGGGCGAATATCGCCGCACCTGTACGAACTCAGCCGCGTCCTGCGTCGCTGCAGGACCGCAGCCACAGCACCTGAGCTGCATGAGGGCGCGAAGGGGGGCAAGACGCGTGCGGTGGCGAAGTGTTGCTCTGGTGCGCGAGGGCGGCATGTGCATCACAGCGGCAGCAGCGCGGCAGAGGAGAGGCGCAGGCGCTGCATGGGGAAAGTCTCCGTCCTCGCGCGGCGGGCGCGGCACAACGACCCCCTGGCGCCGGCCGCCTCCTCTGCGTGCTGCTCCTCGCTCCGCGCTCGCACAGCGGTCGCACAACGGGCAGCCGCACCGCAGCAGGCCCAGCATCGGTGCACACGCCAGAGAGCAGCGAGGAGCAGCCAGCACACGCAGCCTGACGCAAGCGAGCGGCGCGCAGCGTGGCGCTGCTCCTCGCGGCGCCAGCCAGCCGCGTCCGCTCCACCTGGCCGTCTCTTTCCCGTCCGCCATCCCGCTTCGTCTCGCCGTCCGAGAGGTGTCTTGCAGACACTCACCGCCTCTCGCCTCGCCGCCTCTGCCCACCTCTGAGCTGCCCGCCGTCCTCTCGCGTCTCCTCCTCCTCAGTCTCCGTCTCGCACTCGCGCGCCACCGTCTGCCGGCCCGGTCCCCTCTCTGCCCGATCTCTCACCGCCTCCCTGCCACACCGCGTTCGCCACCTCTTGCACACGTCCGCCTCCTCCTTCTCCTTGCTCTCTCGAAGCCGGTCCTCGAGCTCCGTTACCCTCCCTTCCTCTCCGTCTGTTTGCTCGCGTCTCTCGCGCGCAATGTCGCGTCTCGACGTCTCCGCAGGCATGCCTTCGCGTCCGCGCTCGCCTGCTCCGCCATTGAGCACTCGCGATGCAGCAACGGCAGCCGCAGCTTCATCCGCAGCGCAGGCCCTGCCGCAGCATCGCTTGGCGCCGCCGCGTGGCCTGGCGACGCGCGCTCGCAGCGGCAGCACGAGCACGGTGGATGCAAGGGAACTGCAGGTGAGTGTCGGGGATGGGCTCAAGTGGACACCAACGGAGAGACAGGGGAGAGAGACAGCTGCGGGTGGCAGAGAGGTGGCGACCTCTCGCTCGAGGAGCACGTCCAAGGGGGCGCAAGTGACGAGCGCCAGCATCTCCATCCATCGTCTCCATCCGCATCTGACCCTTGCTCTTCCCAGCCGCAGTCCTCCTCCTCTCGTCTGCGCGCCCGCTTCGCCAATGCCGAAGCCGCACACGCACCACTCATGCTGCGTGCCGACAGTGCCGACTCGCACGGTGCGCTCCGCGGCCACCTGCCGTCGCCCAGCGCCCTCTCGCCGCGCACGGTGCCACCGGGCTTCGATGCGATGCAGCAGATGCAGCTGCAGCACATGCAACAGCAGCACCAGTCGCAGCAGTCGCATTCGCAGCAGCGGCACGCAATGGCGCCACACGAGCGTGTCCTCGCCGAGCGAGCCGCGCGAGGAGGACACAAGCACAGCAGCAGTACGGACTCGGATGCCGATTCCCTCGCGTCGTTCGGCTGTCTCATGTCCGACGAGTTCGATCGGCAAGCGCGTGATCGTGACGCAGGCAAGGATGGACCCATGCTCGATGCCACGTCGCGCCAGCAGTGGCTGGACGGCATGTTCACCAAGCTGGCGCTCCGACACGCCCGCAAGATGGGCGCAGGCGACGAGCGCCACGAGAAGCCCATGCAGACGACGCAGGCGCAGAAGCCCAAGGCTCACTTCCTCGACTTGAGCGGCTACATCAATCCCATCCCTCTCGCCTCGGCCAATCACACGCCACGACCCACGGACGCTCAACGCTTCGCCTCGTCTGCACAACAGGCCGCGGCGTCGTCGTCTCTCATGGCGCCCTCCACCCGCGAAGTGCCGCGCCGTGCTCGTACGCCCGACATCGGCCATCATCCTTCGAGCAGCGCCGGCAGCAACCAACTGCCCGGCGGCGCACCGAGTGGAGCAGCACACACCGCTCAGCTGCTGCGTTCGCGCCGCAGTGCAGACTCTCTTGGCGACACGCGTCGCCGACAGAAGCTCGAGTGGGCACAGGCGGGAGCAGCTGGGCCCAACAGCAGCAACAGCGCAGCGAAACCGTCAGCGCCGCCCAGTGCGTACGGAGGCACGGCCATGCAGGTGACGCAGAGCCACGATCCGAGCGCCATGAGCAGCTCGGGTGTGCCTCAACTGCCCGGCTGGGCACGCGAGTCGAACCGCAATCTGAGCATCTCGAGCGTCAGTTCAGGCTACAGCACAGCCAGCAGCGTCAGTGCGTCTAGCCACCACTCTTCGGGCTCGACTACCTCTTCGCGTCCCCAAACGCCCGGCTACGCACACGGTGGCAACGCCAACGGCGAACGCTTCGTGCTGCCCAGACCTGCGCTCATGGCGAGGACGGTCAGCCACGATGTAGGAGGTGACCGTCCGACGCGTCCCGTGCTCATGGCACGAGGCTCAAGCAGTCAACTGCGCACGCTTCCGGCGCCAGGCTCGCTTACGCCAGGCTGCATTGTGCCTCGTGGCATCCTCACGCCTCTGCCGCCGCCTTCCTCCTCGCAGCAGCACCAGCAGCAGGCGCACCTGCAGCAGATGCGCGAGGGCGCTCTCTCGCCCGTCCGCTCGCGGCCTCCGCCTCTGCTGCGTTCTCGCGCGTCGCGAGGCTCGATGAGCTCCGACGGCAACTCGAGCGTGCCGTCGACGCCTGCGCACTCGGTCGTGGAGCTGCCGATTCCCGAAGTCATGGGCCAGCAGCCCATGATGACGATGGGCCCGCGCTGTCTCGCTGCTTCTTCGCCCATCAAGCCGCCTCCCTCTCGAGGCGGACTTGCGATGCAGGGTCAACCGTTGCTCGAGATGACTTCGGACGAAGAAGAGGATCTCCTTGCTGGCTCGGGCCGCTATACGCTGCATCGGCATGCCGTTGAGACTGCCCAGGCTCCGGTGCGCGCTCAACAGCACCAGCATCAGCAACAGCAGGCGACGCAGCATTCCACGCCGCGTGCCAGTGCCACAGCACGGCCTTCGGCACGCCATCTGGCCATGCCTCACGTCGCCGACATCTTCGATCTGACGCGAGCGCCGCCCTCGCCTCCTCGCAATGCCTCGTTGCGCAAGATGCACGGCGCTCCCGGCGGCGCCTCTGGCGCTCGTCCACGTGCCGCGTCGACTGCATCAAGCATGCACAGTCACAAGACCTCTGTCTCGTCTACGACGAGCAGCTGCGGCGAAGCAGCGGAAGAGACGTCTCGCATCTCGTACCTCTCGCGAACGAGCTCGACCAGCTCGGGCAGCACCGACAGCACGCCGGCAAGCCCCGACTCGCCGCGCTCCGTCGCCACGCGGCTGCGCACCACGTCGCGCGCGGCAGAGGACTGGGCCAGCTCGATTGGCAGACGCTTTGCGAGACACCACGGAGTGCCGGAGGCTCGTGCAAAGACGGCGGGCATCGACACGTTCGGCGCGCCGCTGGAGCATGCTTGAGGCGTCTCGACGCTAGACCGTCCCGGCACACGCGTGCAGCTTGCGATCCGCCGCCCTCCCCCTCCCCCCCTTCTCATTTCCTCTACTTTTCAGCCCTCTCTTGTTCCTCACTTGGTGCTCAATCTCTGTAGCCATAGCCTTTCACCGTCCCCGTCCTGTGTCTCCGACTTGGCGCCCGCGCGCACATGCATCACGTATCCTCGCGCGACAGCCGCAGCCAATGCCATCCTCGTACGCCGTGCAATTGAGCAGCGCAGAGCGTCGCTGGTCTTGATGTGCGGCAGCAGGCAAGGGAGCTAGGTCGCTGGACGCCGCCCGAAGATGGCGCGAAGCTTGGCCGGATCGACTTTGAAGCGCTTGAAGCACGCAGGACCTCTGGCGTCAGCGAACGGGCCACGTCGGACGAGGTGGGCATGCTCACGCGGTCCTTGGTCAAGAGACCGTTCTGCTCCGTCTCGATGTCGCTGAGCTGCGTGTAGACTGCGCCGGCATGTCGCAGGCACAGAGTGGCAGGGAGTCAGAGGAGGGAGTCTGTGACTAGAGTCTTGCGCTGTCACTCACCCCAGCCTTGCACCAGGCCGCCGGCGAGGATGGCCTCGGTCATGGGTGCCAGACGAGCCAGGTAGTCCTCCTCGCTCTCTGCTGCTTGATAGCCTGCGTTCTGAAGGAGTTAGGTCGGGCCTAGCAGAGTAACAGGCCCCCAGAGACGTACCCCACGCGCCCTGGCAAGCGTCTGGCGTCAGCACGCGTTGGGTCTCACTGATCTGGAGCTATCACTCACCTTGCCTCCCTCGCCAGCGAAGCTGATGCCTCCAAACTCGGAGAGGATGAAGGGCGCCTTTGGAGAGTGCTGGCCGTCGCCGACGAACATGTCCCGTCCCGCCTTGGGCGCCAGGATGCGCTCTCTGCTTGCGCACACGCTGCGCAGATGCTCGGCGTTGCCGTAGTCGTGGAAAGTCGTCAGGTCGGTCTTGACGTGCTCCCAGCCACTGCCGGATTGCGCTGTGAGCGCAGAGCCAGGAGCGGGACGTGGGGAAACTCACTCGTTGTCGACGACGAGGCGGGTCGGGTCGAGCGATCTGTCCAGAGATCAGCGGACGGGATGTGCGCGGAGGCAGGCGCTGCGCACTTGATGTGATGATACAGCGCAAGCACATGGTTGCGCTGTGCCTCGGACGTCGCCAGCGCCGGCACGCCCCAAGACTGGTATGCATTTGGCTTCAGCATGCACCAAGAGCGAGACGCAGATTCGCAACTCTCACCTCATTGATGGGCGTCCATGCCACAATACACGGGTGCGACTGATCCCTGCGCACACTGCAGGGCGGGCATTGAGCAGTTGGGCATCGCCGCGCGTTTGTCGTGGCTCACGCCTCGGTCCACTCCGCCATGATGCGTGCGCAGTACTGTGCCGAGAACTCGTAGGCGTTTGCCATCTCGCCCCACACGAGAAAGCCGAGTCGGTCGGCGGCGCAGAGGAAGCGCTTGTCCTCGACCTTCTGATGCAGTCGACAGCCGCTGGAAGCATTGCGTCAGTGAGCAGACACGAGCGCGGCTCGGTGGAGATGCCGCTCACTTGAAGCCGATCTGCTTCATCATCTTGATGTCCTCCTCGAAGGCCGTCTCGGTGGGAGCAGTCATGCCGCTGCTCGGCCAGTAGCCCTGTGACGGATGATCGATCAGCCTGCTTCTCCCGTGACCTCTTGCTCAGCACGCACCTGGTTCAGCACCAGGCTCTGGAAGTACGGCTTGTTGTTGAGGCAGAACATGCCCTTGTCGTTGACGGACACCTTGCGCATGCCAGCATACGTCTGAACATTGTCGAGCTCCTCGCCATGTGCGTCGAGCAGCGAGAGTTCGACGTCGTAGAGAGTCGGTGTCTCAGGCGACCAGAGCGCTAGACCATCGACCCACGCCATGCGCTCCATCTCCGGAGGCAAGACATCTTGCTTTTGCAGCTGTGCGCGTAGCGCCTCGGGCGCCAGCATGCCTGGCACGCGCATGGTGGCGACGATCCTGGCGCTCTCCGTCTCACGGCTGACGCGTGCGCTTGTGTTTGAGATCTCGGAGCCAAAGAGCGACACGACTGCCTTGACTGTAGCGCCCGGCGCGCGTGAGAGGCCAACGAGCTCGAAGTCGATGGAGAGGGTGCCGGCATCGATGTCTGCTACCAGCACTGTCCGCTCGATGCGCGCCCGCGGCACGATCTCCACCCACACGGACTGCCAGATGCCGGTGGTCGGGTAATAGAAGATCGACTCGGGCTCGGCCTTCCAGTATTGCTTGCCGCGAGGCTGTGAGGCGGCAACGTGTCAGTGCCCACTGTGCACAGCCTCGCAGAGTCACGTACTTGCGTAAGGTCATGCGGTCGATCTCTGACGCGCACCACGACGGTCACATACTGCTCGTCTTCCAGGGGCAGAAAAGGCACAGAGAAGCCGACGTGACCACCGATGTGGTGGCCCACCTGCAGAGAAAGCAGAGCGACTTAGTTGACGCCCTCAGACGCCGCGACGCCGCTTTCTTCACCTGAGTTCCCTCTACCCACACCGTGGCCTCGTAGTCGACCGCACCGAAGTGTAGAAGGTATTCTTGCGTGTCCTCTTCGATGCCTTGCTCGAGCTCAATCACATTGCGGTACCAGCAGATCTCATGCGCCTCTCGGTCATTGACCTCCGAGGCAGCAGTCTGGGGTGCGAAAGGCACGACGATGGGCACTGCTCCAGATTGCTCAGCTCGTGCTGGACAAGGAGCAAAAGGTAGCGTCGCTCTCACTTGGCTCGATCTCGTCTTCCTTCTGAAGGTCCTCCCACAAATTACCGCTATACCACCTTTGAATGAGGCCCTTGTCCTCGTCATCGAAGGCGATCTCCCACTGGTCGATCAAGGCCACGCCTTTGCGCAAGTCGGGCCTGTTGGAGCCCTCGCCCCACCGCCGAAAGTCGGGCCGAGGGTCTGCAAAGGTGATGCCTGACATGTTGCGAGGGCGGCAGAGAGCGTTGGGAGGGGGAAGGAAGGCACAGCGCTGCATGCTATGCGCTGCGCGCCTCCTCCACCTGCCTGCCCGGTGCCGAATCAAAGGTGGTCCGAGCGCACGCTAGCAGGAGGCCGTGGGACCAGGTGAGCCTGGCGGAGTCGCACACCTCAGCCGCATGAGCCGTCCGCTCCGCTCTCGCCCGCACCACCAGCTGCCTGCGCTGGCATACGACGACGACAGACGTCGTACAAGCCTCCCTCTATCGAATGGCGGCGTTATGCTTGCGCAAGAGGAGCCTGATCGTGGGAGCAAAGTGCTCCCCTCGCACTCAAACGGATAAAGCCGCGCGAGCCTCTGCAGCGGCGCAGGCGGGCGCTGGGCGCTGGCGGCGTGGCGCCGCGGCCACGTGGCGCGGCGGCGGTCGAGCCGCGAGCGCCGATGCCGCCTTGATCCTCTCACGCACCTCCACAGCGCGACCGGCGCCTCGGGCAGCGGCCGCCCGCCGAAGCCGGGCACTCACGCCGCCCCGCATTCGCTCGCTCGCTGCCAGTAGTGCTCTGCCGCCCCGCCTCGCAGAAGAGATCATGATGCAGCTGCGTGCCGACAAGCGCGGCCCTCGGACAGACGGACTCGAGCCCGTCGATCGCAGCGCTGCAGACGGTGCTGCGCCTGGAAGACAGGAGGAAGAGACTGAGAGAGGAGGCGGCGCAGACAGTCAGAGTGTGCGGAGCAGCCGGCTCAAGACGGCGCGGATGCGCACGCGCCAGCCTTTGCTGCAGCGCCGCCGCCGCCGTCCTGTTGCCCCGCTGCCGCCCGCTCCACCGCGGCTGCCCGCCCGTCGCCTCGTCGCCTTGGCCGCCTCGAGCTCGTGCCAAGGCAGCGCTGAATAAGTACCGGCGCCGCTGCTCGCCGGCCTCCGTCTCCGCTACCACCACCTCCAGCGCACACCACCCCTCGCGCACTCGCACTCGCACTCACCCCAAGTCAGCTGCCCTCGCCCGTAGCTGTCCTTCACGCCTCGCACGCACACGCCCATCCGCACCCGCCTCCATTCGCCCAGCATGTCGCAGGTCGAGGGCGTCCGCATCACCGGTGCGTCGTCGCGCCGCCGCGCCTCGCTCCGCCTCTCGCAGCGCACGCCGAGCTCACGCCCTTTGCCTCTTGTCCAGGCCGCATCGAGCCGGAGCAGCAGAAGATTCTCTCGCCCGAGGCATGCAAGTTCCTCGCGCTGCTGCACCGCTCCTTCGACGAGCGCCGCCACAAGCTGCTCAACAACCGCGTGCTGCGCCAGACGCAGTTCGACGCCGGCGCCCTGCCCAACTTCCTCCCCGAGACGGCCGACATTCGCGCCGACCGCACCTGGCGCTGCGCTCCGCCGGCGCCCGGCCTGCGCGACCGCCGCGTCGAGATCACGGGCCCCGTCGACCGCAAGATGGTCATCAATGCGCTGAACAGCGGGTGAGTGTGCAGAGCAGAAGAGCAGAAGAGGCCCGGCGCGGCAGAGCGGCGCAACTGACATGCCCTGCAGCGCATACACGTTCATGGCCGACTTTGAGGACGCCACGTCGCCGACGTGGGCCAACATGCTCGACGGCCAGGTCAACATGAACCTCGCGGTGACGCGGCAGATCGACTTCAAGCAGAGCAACGGCAAGGAGTACAAGCTGGCGCCGCTCGGCAAGACGGCGACGCTCATTGTGCGTCCGCGCGGCTGGCACCTCAACGAGGAGCACTTCCTCGTCGACGGCAAGCCCATCTCGGGCTCGCTCTTCGACTTCGGCCTCCACTTCTTCCACAACGCCCACGCCCTCGTGCAGAGCGGCTACGGGCCGTACTTCTACCTGCCCAAGATGGAGTCGCACCTCGAGGCACGCATGTGGAACGACGTCTTCTGCCTGGCGCAGGACTACATCAAGATGCCGCGCGGCACGATCCGCGGCACCGTGCTCATCGAGACGATCACCGCCGCGTTCGAGATGGACGAGATTCTCTTTGAGCTGCGCGACCACTCGTCGGGCCTCAACTGCGGCCGCTGGGACTACATTTTCTCGTTCATCAAGCGCCAGCGCTACAACAAGGGCGCCGTGCTGCCGGACCGCGCCGACGTGACGATGACGGCGCCGTTCATGAACGCGTACGTCGACCTGCTCATCCAGACGTGCCACAAGCGCCAGGTGGCGGCGATTGGCGGCATGGCCGCGACGATTCCCATCAAGGACGACAAGGCGCGCAACGACGCCGCCATGGACAAGGTGCGCGCCGACAAGCTGCGCGAGGTGACAAAGGGCCACGACGGCACGTGGGTGGCGCACCCGGCGCTGGTGCAGATTGCGCTCGAGGTGTTCGACAAGCACATGATCGGGCCGAACAGCTACCACATGCGGCGCGAGGAGGTCAACATTGGCGCGCTCGACCTGCTCAACTCGACGGTGCAGGGCAAGATTACCGTCGGCGGCGTCAAGCAGAACTGCGAGGCGCTGCTCGTGTACTGCCAGTCGTGGCTCGAGGGCCTGGGCTGCAAGGCCGTCAACTACTCGATGGAGGACGCGGCGACGGGCGAGGTGTCGCGCTACCTGCTCTGGAGCTGGATCTACCACGGCAAGTCGACCGACGACGGCACGCAGATCACCGCCGCCTACGTCGACAAGGTGCTCGACGCGGAGGCGTCGAAGCTGCAGAAGAACAAGGCCCTCGAGACGTCGCTGCAGTACATCAAGAACGACCTGCGCCAGAAGGCACCGTCCGAGTTCCTCACCTCGAGCCTCTACGCCCACCTGCCGCACGACCGCGCGCCCGCCAAGATCTAGGCCGCTCTCCGTCCCGGCAGCGTCTCGATCTCCCTCTCTACTCTAGCTCGATCTCGCTTTGTGTCCCGATATTCCAGGCCTTGTCTCTTGTCTGTCTCTCTTCTCCCGCGACGCGCAATCAAACAATCGACACCCAGCGCATGACAGTGACGACGTGGTATTGCTGTAGATGGTGCAGAGTGATGTGGGCAGGCAAACGGCTCGAGGGGGGGGGGGGGCATGCGCAGGTCGGTCGTCAAGGCCCGCCCTCACGCAATCACGCAGTCTTCGCGGATCTTGAAGCCGTACATCTCCTTGTCGATGCTCGCCTCGATCTAGAAATGAGAGGCGTCAGGGCAATGCACCGGAGAGAAGCCATGCCGCCACTCACTGCCTTGAAGTCAGAACGGGACTGCAGAGCGCGGGGCATGAGCAAAGCGTTGGCAGAACAGGGGGCCCACCCCATGTCTCGCACTGGCTCACCTTGAGATACTCATACAGATCCTCCGGACTGATCAGGCCGCCAAAGTCGGTGGCGTCGCGCACCATCGTCGCAAGTTCCTTTGGATTGTCGACGATGTACAGGTTGCCGAGCATCTTGAGCGCATCGAAGTACGGCGTCACACTCGCCTGGCGCAGCGTCACCGCAAAGGCTCGATAGGCGTTGAGATCGGCAATGACCTTCCAGCCGCCCTCGAGCGAGATGATCTGACGCTTCAGATGCTTTGTGAGCATGCTGTATGATGAGGAGAGTAGGGCAGAGTCAGCAAATGTGGCTGTCAAGCGCGGGCCCAATGACACAGCTCACGCGTGCAGGCGCAGGCCCACCTCGAGATTGAAGACCTCGAGCACATTCTTGTCCGTGGCGCCGACGAGCATGCGACAGTGCGTGCGCAAGCACTCGATGGCCTCCGTACATGCCGTCGTCGGGCCCAGGTCGATGTCCGTGCCCGGCTCCGGCGTAAAGTCTCTTGCGGCCTGGCGCGTCGTGATGATGTGTTCGACCTGGCCCATGAGCAGATCGATGCCGGCGTTGAATCCGCGCGCCACGACCTCGTCGAGCGCGCCTTCGAAGCGCTTCTTCTCGCGCACCGTCGAGTTGAGAAAGTCGGTGCGGTCAATGTGCCGCGCCAGCTCTTGGTCAAAGTAGACCTGCACCATCTGCTGAATCGTGTCGCCGACGTGGACGAGCTCGAAGAAGTGCACCAGAGGCAGCACGTGCTGCTTGTCGTCCTTGGCGCCACCCGCCACAGGCGTCCACTGTCGAATCTGCGCAATGGCCTTTGCAAAGCCCGGCTGGATGTGTGCCTCGCCCAGCACCTGCAGGAAGGCCGTGGCAATGTGCTCAATCTCCTGCTGCACGCGATGCCCATAGTCGCCCGGATAGCCGGCAAACGTCTCGATGCGCTTCAGGCAGTCGCGATTGACGTGGATCAGCTGCAGGGCCGTGTCGAGGCTGAGAAGCAGCTGCATGCGCGTGAAGCCCGACGAGGCGCCGCTCGCCCTGTCGCGTCCCGGCTGCGGCGTGCCGGTGCGCGAGGGCACAGAGGAGCCAGGCGTTTGACGACCGGAGAGACCGTCGGAAGGCCCGAGTGTCGTGGCGCGCATTGCGGCGCTGAGTCCGGCGGGCGACTTGCCCTTGCCCGAAGGCGGCGCCTCCGGACGAGCACTGGCGACTGCGCTCCAAGCCTCGACTTCTGCGCCCCACTCATCTCGATCGTTCATCGCCTTCGCCCGCGATGCATCGTTGGCCTCCTCCTCCTCCTCCTCTTCTTCTTCCTCGCCTGCGTTCCATGTAGCGGGTCCATCTGGCGCCGCATCGGCATCGGCCGTGCTGGCGCTTGGATCCAGATACTCGCCCGCGGCGCCGAGTGGCGCTGGCGCAGTCGCGCTACTGCCCTGCCAGCGCAGCGGATTGAGCGCACCGGCAGTGCGCACTGCAGCTCCGCCGACGGCGCCGCCGACGTACACGGCGGTGCGCGGCACGACGGTGACGGGCAGCAGAAGCACGTCTTTGAAGCCCGAGAGCACGGAGCGCTTGACGGCTGCGGGATTGTGCGAGGCGAGAAAGGCTGCATCTCCCTTTGAGCGAGCCGTCTCGTTTTCGAGCTGCGAGGGGCCACCGCCGAAGGGGGGGGGGGGGGGCGAAAGGGCAGGGCAACGAAAGAACGTCAGCTACCCAAGTGCGGGAGAAAGCGCTGGCACCGTCGGCCAGGGGGGGCCTACACAGACTCACGTCATTCTCCCACGCCTGCGCAATCGCATTCATCTCTCCTTTGACCCACTCTCTCTCCCTTGCCAGATACTCGTCCATATTGGCCTCCCACATGCGATACACGACGTCTTCGCAGCGCGTCTGCTTCACCGTCTCCTCATCGCGGCCCTTGACGGCCATGAGCGCGTCGGCAAGACGCAGCGACTGCGTGAATGTGGCGGCGCAGGAACGCAGATAGAGATGCGAGGAGAGGGACTTGGCTTTGAGGAGCAGTGGGGAAATGTACTCGCCGATCTGGGCAGAGGGCGAGCACGTTGGGGTCAACACTCCTGCAGCAAAGGGGCATGGCTGCTTCACCATGCGGCACGTCGCGCAATACTCACCACCTCAGTCGCGACACGCTCGGCATACTGGATCAGCACATCCTGCGTCGGAGGAAAGACGCGCGAGATGATCTCGCCGTCGGCAGCGACGACGGCCAGAAGCTCAACCATGAATGTGTCCATCGCTGTGAAGTCCAGCGATGCGCCGTCTGCTTTTGTGCTGTAGCAGGCGGGCATTGTAGGTTGCGTCAGCGTTTGCTCGGCATGAAAGATGGGAGGGGGGGGGGGGGTCGGCGACGAGCACTCACACCACGTTGGCCGTGGCGTCGTGCTTCCTTGCCAGACCTAGCACCTTGCGACTTTTCAAGAAGGCCTTTGCCGATCCTGAAGCTCCCTTGCCATCGCCCAACGCCTTGCCCACCTCCCACGCCACATCCGCGCTGCTTCTCATGCCGTCCTCCGCTCTTCTCGTCGCTCTCGCCGTGTCTGCACCATGACTGGCTGCTCTCAATGCATCCTCTCTTCTCGCCATGCTGCTCTTGAAGGCACTCAGAGACGCGGCGGCCACTTCGCGAGCCACGCCTTGCACGAGTGGGAGCAGCGTGGCAAGCGAGGCGGAAGGGCGTCTTGAGCCGCCGCCGACGTCGGCGGAGAAGTAGCGCAGACAGTTGGCCACGAGTGCACCTTGTGCCGCGAGGGGCAGTTCGGCGCCTAGACTGCCACTGGCGGGCAGGGAGCGTAGTGGTGCTCGAAGCGAAGCCACGAGCGCTCGAAGCGTCACGAAGGAAGGACTGGCCTTTGCTGCCAGCGGCAGGGAGACTTCGGCGGCGTAGCTGAAGAGTGCGGTGGCAGCGCGTGACTTGACCGGCGAAGCGTGGCCTGCAGCGGGACGTGCGACGCTGGCGAGGCCTGCGGCTAGCGAGCCGCCTGGGACGCGAGCGGGAGGAGCAGAGGTGAAGTCTCCAAAGGCGTCGTCGTCGACGGGCGATGCGGCGCTGGTCTTGAAGTCGCCAAAGTCGTCCTCGGCCGCACTGGTTGCGGTGGCAGGAGTGGCGCTCGTGGGCGCCTTGAGCAGCGCCGCTTCTTCAGCGGGCGAGCGCAGGCGTCTGCGGCCCAGATAGCGCGGCGCCATCTCTGCTGCGTTGTCGGGCAGCGCGGGCGGCGCACTGCCGGGCGCCATGACCCAGTCCAGCGCCTCGAGGCGCGGCCGCCACGTCTCTTCTGCGGCGACGACGCGCGCCAAGGCGCGCGCGGCCAGGGCACAGCTGGGCAGATCGGCGAGGGGCAGGTGTGCGAGAATGCGGCGCACGACGGAGACGGGCAGGCGGCCGACGAGCGGCTCGGCCGTGTCGCGGCGGCGGCGAGTGCTGCTGCTGCTGCTGCTGCCGCCGCCTGCGCCGGGCGCCTCGTCGTCGCCCTCGAGGCCGGGCAGGGAGAGCGAGGCGCGCGCATACTGGCCTGCCGACGAGCGCGCGGCGGCGAGGGTGAAGCGCGGCGTGGGAGCCAGCGGCGCCCACTTGTCCATCGCGGCGCCGAGGCAGAGACGAGCGGCGGCGGCTGTGTGCGGCGTGTGCGAGAGGTGCGAGGACGTGGTGGTGGAGAGGAAGGAGCAGCGCTGCCAAGCAAGGACAGCCATCGCATGTAAAGGGCGGTGTTGCGCTTGCTGCTCCCACGCCGCCAGCACAGCGACGCTCGGGCCATCTGCCGCGCCGCAGGAATGATGCGCTCCCTTCCTCGCGCGCCAGACGTTGCTCTCCACACGCCCACCACCTGCACCGCCCTCGCCCCTCTGCCTGCCGCTCCCCATGCCCGCCCGCAAGCGCGCCGCAGCGACCAAGGCGGCCGAGAGCAGCACCTCGGCCTCGCCACGCCGCGCGGCCGCCTCCGACGCACCCGCCGCCGCGGCACGGCGGCGCCTCAACACGCCTCGCCCGCTGCGCCTCCTCTGCGCGCTCCTCTCCCTCGCATGCGCCACATACCTGGCCGCGCCCTGGCTGCTGGCTCGCCTCGATGCCTCCTCACCACCCCGCGCCGCATCATCGTCCACGCTGCGCACCTCGCCGCCCGGCTTTGATGCCGACACTCCCTACGCGCCGCAGCCGGCGCTGCCCTTCCGGCAGGCCCCGCTCGCCTATCCCAACCGCACCTCGCGCCTGCGCTCCGTCGACGCGCTGCGCCGCAACGCCATCAAGCTCGCCTTTACCGACTCCTGGGCCGCCTACGCGGCAGACGCATGGCCCGCCGACGAGTACCATCCCCTCTCCCACGGCGGCACCAACCTCAGCGACGAGGGCCCCGTGGGATACACCATCATCGATGCGCTCGACACCATGCTGCTCATGGGCCTGCAGGACGAGTATCGCAAGGCGCGCGACTGGGTGCGCGACCACCTGACGTGGGAGCGCGGCGGCAGGTTCAACGTCTTTGAGGTGTGTGTGGAAAGACGTGCGCGATTGGGCATCCTCAGCGACGCCGTGGTGCTCATGCTCTATCTCTCGTGGCGACAGACGACGATTCGTTCCCTAGGCGGCCTCCTCTCCGCCTCCGCTCTCTGTTCCGAGCATGCCGTCGCCTCTCAGCTGTGCGATGCCGGCGACGCGGCCCTCTTCCTCTCGCGCGCCGAGGATCTGGCGCTGCGGCTCACGCCTGCGTTCGCGGCCACAAAGACGGGCGTGCCGCTGCGAGAGGTCAACTTCAAGACTGGCGAGGTGTATGCGGATCAGGACAATCAGGGCAAGGCCAGCTTGGCGGAAGCTACTACTGTGCAGCTCGAGTGAGTCAGAGTCAGCCGGACTCACAAGCAACTTTCTGCAACAGACACTTTGCATGCCTCGCCTACGACTCTTGCTGACGCCGTCGCACGCGCGAGGGCAGGTTCAAGTACCTGGCGCACCTGACAGGCACGAAGGCCTATTGGCGTCTTGCAGAACGGCCGATGGAAGTGGTGCGCAAGGCCACACAGAGTGGGCCGTCGGATGGCCTGCTGCCGATCTTCCTCAGTCCCGACACGGGCAAGTTCTGGATGTCCGACATTCGCCTGGGCAGCCGCGGAGACTCGTACTATGAGTATCTGATCAAGCAGCATCTGCAGACCAAGTGAGCCCCCTTTCCTCCCCCCCCCCCCCCCCCCCCCCCCCCCCCCCCCTCCCACCCACACCGCCGTCCAGGCCGCGCCGTGCACATCCTGCCTTGCTAGCGTACTGCAAGACCGCAACTGATGCACCTCTCACCCCCCTTGCCTTGCCTTGCCTCCAGCCGCACGGAGGGCGTCTACCGAAACATGTATGACCGTGCCATGTCGGGCGTCAAGAAGCACCTCGTCAAGCAAAGCACCTTCTCCAAGCCTCCTCTGCTTTACACCGCCGAGATCAGTCCTCGCCTGCTGCAAGGGCACGACCGACCGTGAGTTGATGTTGCGCGCCAGCAGTCGATCAAGGCGGCCGAGAATGGCTTGCTGACTTTTGGCGCGCGCCCTGCAACAAAAAAGTGTCTTCACTCTCATTCCAAAGCAAGACCACCTCGTCTGCTTCCTCGGCGGCTCCTTCATGCTTGGTGCCCTCTCCTCCTCTCCCGCTTCAGCCTGGCGCTCTTCCTCGCGCGACGATCTCGACGATCTGCAGCCGTACGCGCAGGAGGACTGGAGTGTGGGCCACGAGCTCATCCGCACGTGCTACGACACGTATCGCGGCACCAAGAGCAAGCTGGCGCCCGAGATTGCCATGTTTCGTCTGGAGGATGAAGCAGAGGCAAGATTTGAGGATTGGTACATCAAGCAGTGCGTTCTGTTTGCCGTCCTGTCCGCATCGGCCACGTCTTTGCGCATGCTCATTCTTTCAACCTTCGAGCAGAGCGCCGCGAGCCGCGCCGCACATTCCGCGCCCGTCGCCGCTCATCGATGCGCGCAACATTCTGCGCCCCGAGACCGTCGAGAGTCTGTTCATTGCCTTTCAGCTCTCGGGCGACCCCATCTATCGGCAGTGGGGCTGGGACATCTTCCAGGCCTTCGTCCGACACGCCAGACTGCCGTCGGGGGCGTTTGCAAGCATCAAGAATGTGCAGGCAGACCTGTTTGACGAGGGCATCGAGCATGAAGATCGCATGGAGAGGTGAGGGGAAAGTGGCTGCCCAGCGAGGCGTCCGCTCCCGCGCAGAAATGGCCCCGAGGCTGACGCCGAGCTTGGTCACGCACCCAGCTTCTGGCTCAGTGAGACACTCAAGTATCTCTACCTGCTCTGTGAG